GCGTATTCGCCGTGGAAGTCATCTGACCTACCAATACTCTGTATATGTTATTGTTTTACAGTCACATGTGACCATCTGGACGTAAGATCATCCAATCTCAGATTCTTGTGGACTAAATCACTCCGAACAGCATCTCGTGAAGGATTTGCCGCATTTTACGAAGATTCTACATGATTGAAGGGACGAGGCTGGATGAGAACGCAGGGGTTTCCTTGATCCATAAGTGTAATGGATGCGATAAAGTTTTGATGTGAGCTGGGTCTCACCGGTGCATATCCCTGGATCGTACATAATTCCGAAGAGCTGTATGTACTATCCCACGATAGTCCATGCGTGTGTGGTTACGCATGGCCACCTCGTGCTGGAAGACCGAAGGACATATCCTATCACATAGTCCATCCCAACTATCCAAAAGACAACCTCTTGAACATCCCACTAGACACAACTCTCTTCTAAGTTGGAGTGCACATCGTGTTCTCTGGTAGGATGATTATACCGGCTCCCCGTCCCTCACAAAAGTCCAAACTGCCACATGAAGCCTATCTCTAACAACAACATGACACACGATATAGACGACAGAACTTCGGCCGACGGACCATCGACAAACGTGCAACTCACGACCATCTCAGCCACGAAACTCCTCAGCAATGACCCAGAGACAGAAAGATCTCCTCAAGGCGTGTAATCACTGCGGTTCTTCTATCTGGACTGCTAAGACCATCCATTTAGCCCCGTCCTGTCTCTGGGTAGGAGGATGTCCTCCACAGCACTAGATTTTTACAACTCTCGGAGTCAATGAAGGAGAAGAGGGCCGTGCTTACTTCAATGACTTGAAGTCCAAGTCATTCACGTTTGTCTCCAAATTTCTCTATTTCAGGAGATCTAATAACTAGGCCGTCGTGACACTATAACTGACACAAGTCAGCCACAGGCCGGCTGGTGAGCATAAAATGGAAGAAATACAGGCGGGACGGGATCATCGTGAGATTACGTTGACTATATATCAAAATGGCTGATATCCGAAACTAATAAGAAACATATTGTCGAACATCCACTTCGTGCGTTCCAGCGAGCACACCAAGTTTGTCTCTCCTGGCGAAAAGGAATGGACTGTCGCCGAGTAGAACACGATGAAGCACAAGTTGGTTCACAGGGGCGTGGAGATGCAGGAGAACTTTAAAATTATCACAAGGCGCGAGGGATAGGGTAGCTTTTGAAGTGATCAAGCGGCGTAAAGGGGCTTATGTACTCTGCCTGGCTCCTGCCTTATTTCCCAACTATACTATCTATTAAGTGATATCCTCGATAACGTACGCGCCGCGATGATTGAACACCATCCGATCGAACATGGCTCTTAGATACTGTCTGTCATTCAATATACTAGTATTGTAATAGAATAGTATGTAGGACAGTAGAGTAGGGCCCTCTTCAACGCTTGATTTCCTTCTTTTATCTCCGATAGGTAATTACTTCGTTAGACTCACATATAGGCTATATAGTGCTTGGGCGTACTTAAAGATGGAGCACGATACTATTAGATTCATGTCAATTAGAAGTTTTGCATACAATCGCAGAATAAATATATAAGTTACATAAACCATAAACCTAGATTTCGTTTTATGATAGATACTTTCAACCACGCCGTCAAAGACATGTAGGCAATTGAAATAAGGCCCATGGGCTGTTCATAAGTAGGAATAAAGACAATATACGCGTTTGGATAAAGATCGTGCTAATCTAAGAAGTGAAGAAACTGCATCTGTTAAAGGAAGGTGGGCCGCGCTATGAATCAGGGTCGTCCAGAAAGCAATGAAGAAGGGCGAAGGAAGGTCGTCGACTTAAGCTTCGTGATCAGCATAATTTTGTATTAACAATCTGTTTGAACTAGGTTGTGTCTCGTGGAAGCGGTATAAGACATTGATTTAGATTAAGATGTCTTAGATGAGCTTCATATGCGTATAGTTGATCAATGGTACGCGTTGATTCAGCAAGGTCTCGGAGGTATTCCCACTGACTAGTCATTGAAGTGGGCGTCATCACGTACATATTTTCAACCGAAATGACGCAATTTTACAGTCGTGGAGATCTCAACGATGATCATATCTTATCAGATACAAGCCTACTAATTCGGAATGCTGTTACGCGGTCAGGTTGTCTGGAATGAGAGATTGAAGCAGTGAGAAATGCGGATGGTTCAAGGTACAGACCCTCCATCGGCTGCATGGCGGTGCTCATCACATACGACTTGGTAGACAACTATATATAATAATTGCTCTTGACATCGAGGTCCTCCTTCTTGAGCGGAATAACCATCATCATACCTTACATCTGCAAGGAACAAGCACCTTCTATCAGTCCTTGCACCTTCTGGTTTCGACGAGTTCAAACATGGTTTATAATGTAAACTGACACTATTCCAGAACTTTTGTATAGATGAAAGCAGATCACAATAGGAAAGAAGAAATCAGATGCAGGGGATCTGGGTAATAGATCTCTAGTACTGGTGAGGTGGAATCTGAGGTCCACGTTTGATACATACACTATCCCTGTGTCTGATGCAGTAGCGGCGATCCCTTTCATCCCTTGTTCTCCTTGAGAAAATACCCTTAACTTGCTGTGTGGGTCACTATGAAGATTTGCGGTTTTTTGTTATATTTTATTACCATTTTTCCGCCATTTTTGAATCCCCTGGTCGGAGAATACACTTGAGGGATACTCTATAGCGGAACTATCGGAGTGATCGGTTCGCTTTCCAGGCACCGCTGCCACGATGAAAGGAGCAAGTTCTCGTCCGGAGCCCACCATACAGCCTTGTGATCAAGAGCATGATGCTCCAAATGAACTTCCAGCCCAGCTCCAATCGGAAAAAAGGCCCAACTCATCGTCCGGGGATGGGGCCGCAGCTCAGGAGGGAGTGAAGTCCTACGTTGAACTGGTCCTAGTAACAATCTCATTAGGGTTATCGGTGTTCTGCATGTATCTGGTGGGTTGATATGTTTCCATGCCTTGGGCCCCATGTTCGTTACTCACGCCATTCTTTTCGGTCCTCAGGATACAACCATTCTAGGGACAGCTTCCTCCAGGATCTCCACCGAATTCCATTCACTACAGGATGTCGGTTGGTATGCGAGCTCGTACCTCCTCACATCATGTATAGTACAGCTGCCCTACGGCCAGTTGTATAACTTCTACACAGCCAAGTGGGTGTTTCTGGGCGCACTGGGCATCTTCGAAATAGGATCGCTCATCTGCGCCACGGCCCCAACGTCCGCAGTCCTGATTTGTGGTCGAAGCATTGCCGGTATCGGGAGTGCTGGTATATTCTCGGGATTCTACGTCGTCATGGGGTACAGTACTCCAGTTCAGCATAGAGCATTGTACAACGGTATCCTTGGGAGTGTACCGGCTATTGCCAACGTTGCTGGCCCGGTGTAAGCGAGCGCACAGCCATATATCCAACGGATCTGCTGATCCATGGAACAGGTTAGGGGGTGTGTTTACAGACCGGCTCTCGTGGCGCTGGTGCTTCTACATCAATTTGCCCGTGGGAGGCGTGGCCGCCATTTGCATGCTCTTTACAAACGCTGTGAAGCCAAGCCTCAAAGGCGCCGGCTGGCGTGAGAAACTCGATGCCTTCGATTTGGTGGGCAATGCCTTCTTGGTTCCCGCGCTTGTCTGCCTCATGCTCCCCGTGCAGATGGGGGGAACGGCCCCTTGGGAATGGGGCAGCGCACGCGTTATAGCACTCTTTGTTGCATCTGGTGTGCTGGCCATAATCTTCGGCGTCCATCAAGTTTGGCGCGGGGATCGTGCTCTGCTGCCCCTTCGCATTTTACGGAACCGGGATCTGCTGGCGGGGGCCTGGTTTAATCTGTGCATTGAAGGCGCTCTCCTCGTCGTTACATACTATGTAGGTGGTGTTTTTCCTTTTGCGAAACAAAGCCGGGAGGTTGGACTAACTGCCTCTAGCTCCCGATCTGGTTCCAGGCCGTCAGAAATGCGTCCGCTATCAAGTCCGGTGTGATGACTCTGCCCACCATGTTGGGTCTCATCCTCACTGCGACAGCAACCGGTGGGCTGGTGGCTGTCGTCGGCTACTATACGCCGTTTGTCATCGTATCGTCGATTATCACGCCCATCGGGGCCGGCCTTCTCACCACCCTGGCCGTCGACTCTACCACGGCCCACTGGCTAGGCTACCAGGTGCTTAACAGCGTGGGAGTGGGCATCGGCTGTCAGAACGTGATGCTCGTACCGCAGTTTGTCGTTGGCCCCGGCGACGTGCCCATGGCGATCTCCATTTTCTTCTTCACTCGAACCCTGACCAGCTCCATTTTCCTCGCCGTCGCTCAGTCAATCTTCCAGAATCAGCTGGCTCAGATTCTTCACAGCCACACGGAGTTATCCGTTGACCCCGCCGCCGTCATCCACACCGGTGCTTCTCAGGTCTCCGAGAAGTTTTCCTCCGATGTCTTGCCGATCATCCTGGACGCATATAACTCTGCCTTGACTCGGAGCTTTGACGTGGCGATTGCTCTCAGTGCTCTGTCTATATTGGGATCTGTCGGTCTTTCATGGAGACGCATCAATGAGGGGAATCGACGAAAATGACCACTACTTCGACGCGAGGCTTCAGGGCAATTAGCATTACTGTAGCATTTGGTTGAGTGGCGAGTTTTTTACTTCAATTTGAAGGGAGTACACCTTTGTTGGCGGACTGAGCATTTGCGATTCGAGCACCCTGTTGGAGATAGAGAACATTCTGATGATTGAAAATAGAATAATTACATAACTACGGTAGACAGAAAAAAAGTAAAGTGAAACAAATTCATATAATAAGAAAGGAAAGAACATTACTATAGAAGTGACTGCTACTTATGATTATGATTCATTTTGATAAGTGACAGTAGATACATCACCTCTTACTGAGAAAGAAAGAGCTTAAAATATATTTTTCAATATTATTATATCATTTTACCATTTTATCTTCCAGCTTCAACCTATTCTTCCATAACTTGATTACTGGAGGATCTACTCTCCCACAACGCCCGCGGTGACAAGCCCTCCCGATTCAAGGCAAGATGATAAACCTCCTCACCGGCGTCCATGTCTATAAACAACTGCATGACGCCGGGGTCGACATTCAAGGTCTCCGCCAGATAGTGCAGGGCAGTGTTACCATCGACATCTTGTGCGCGGACATCGATGCCGGCATCGACGATGACGCGCAGGGTATCCAACTGGGCTTCCTGCTCGGCGGACGTCATTGGGGTTCTCCCCCGGGGACGCAGCGGGTTGAGTCTGGACGGCAGCCGTGGCTCCATATGCAAGGGACTAGGTCTTGGATGCGGTGACCAGGCGAGATCGAGAGTCCTGGTGCGGTGAATGCTTCGGACGACATCGGGGTTGTTTTGGTAGATGCATTCGAATGTTAAGGGCAGCGAGGCGATGTGAAGCAGTGTCTGTCCGAAGGCAGTGGATCCCGCGGACGAGAGGGGCAAGCCGAGCCAGGACAATGGGGCTGAGCTGTGACAAGCGACGGCAAAATGAAGCAAGTGGACCCCGAAGACGGGGGTGCGGAGGTAAGGGTCGAGATCTGGGTGGTCTCGCAGCTCGGTGATACACTCTCTGGTTTTGGGGTCGTCTGGATCACAGCAGGCCAGGGCGTAGGAGAGTGGAGGAAGGGCCAGAGTCGGCGCCGCGGCGAGGGGTCGTTAGTTTTTGGGAGTAACGGTGTTGGTGGAGCAATTTTTGAAGCATGGCGTGGTGACCTGCAGCGATGGATTTGTGGACGGGTGACGAGGTCGACAGCGATGATGGGACTGCTGCCTCCTGGCTCAATAGTCCGTCGTCGACAATTTCACCTGGAGACTGAGTCTGAGTCCAGGCGGATTCATCCGCTCTCGCGTCGCGAATTAGATCGAACATTTGTTCTTGGCCACAAGCCGCGGCGACTTCTAGAGCTGTCAAGGCCTTGGTGGAGCGAAACCTTTGGCCCGGTAGATTGGGATTCCGAGCCGCCCGAATGGCCGGTGTGGTCTCCGTCGATATGTCGAGGTCGTCGGGGGTAAGTTGGTAGGAGGACATGGCTGAGGGTGATCGGTGATGGCCATCGGAATCGATGGGCTGATCTATATCTATCTATTGATAGTCACCCTACTTCGTGCGGGGCTGATTTGATGCCACCATGACATCATTTAGTAGTTCGTTCACTTGTACACTTCATAAGAATGTTACTATTCTGCATTCCACTGAAAGTATGATTGACTAGGGCAGTCGGGATAACGGTACCTAGTTGGCCTCGAATCAACACTCGCGATCCTCCGGCGCCCGCCAGGGCACCCCCAACCGCGAAAAGATCTCTCGCTCGTCCCGCCCCTCCACCAACCGCCCCCGGGTCCCAGGCCTGACGTCCCCATACAGCCCCCGCTGGTTCAGCCGCATCCCCCGCCGCCGCGCCAGTAACCGCAGGCTCCGGTTGAACACATCGTTCCCCGTGAAGTAGATCAGCGCCGCCCCCAGCTCTGATCCCGGTACGAACAGTAGATCGATCCGTCGCCAGGCCGCGCCCCCCGCCAGCTGACACGCCCCGTGCCACTTACTACCATCTGCCGCTGTCGTTGTCGCCAGCCTCGCCTGCAGGAAACCGCACCGGAAGAGATCCGGGATCACCGTCTCCACCATGACCGTCCGGATCTGACCCGCTTTCGCGTCCGGCTTCGTGATCAGCACGTCAATGTCCCCCGAGTCGCGCGCCCCCCGCCGGTACGAGCCCCCAATCAGCACCTGCATATTCGGGTCCGCCCGCTGCACCGCATCTCGCACCATGGCGCCATGTGCCGCCACCTCCTCCCGGGGGATCCGTTGCGCGAAATCATGGTAATGCTCAACCCCCACCCGCTGGTTCGCCGTCAGGGGCGCCCGCCCCCCAAGGTCCGCCAGGGATCGGTACCCCTGCGCCAGCCATCGTGACGCTTGCACGATCCCCGCCCCGTACACCCCGAGGAACAGCTGCAAGATCCGCTCGTCCGCTGTGGTGTTTGTGTTTTCTAGCCGTCGCAGACGGTCCGTGAATGCTATCTCTTCGATCTTGTCCGCCAGCCGAGACCCCACCCCGGGGATCGAGAGGGCTTGGTTCCGAGTGACGATCCGCGTGGTCTGTCGTCGGAGAGCGCCGATAGCCTTGCGGTAGGCCATCGAGCGCCACTGGTCGTCCGTCTTGGTGTAGTAATCCAGCATCTTCTGGAGGATCTCGATGGTCCGTGCATTGGGCCCGTCGGCTGTCAATTTCGGATCAGGCGTTTGCATGCATATGAAATTCTGCTGCCACGCGTCCACGGTGGAATCAGCCTCCGGGAAAAATCGCCTCCGTTTAGGCCCAGTCGAGTGGGTGTCCGAGCACTCCGAGTCTGATCCACCCATCGCCGTTTCGTCATCGAAGACCTCTAGAGGTTCCAAGGGCTAGTGGCCATATTATCAGTGCGGTTCGACCTTCGCTGCGTCCAGTTAACGTACCAAATCCTGGGCACACTGTGCTGCTTCGATCATCTCATCCAGAGCGTCTCGTGGCGGCGGGGTCCGCGAGCGAACCGCCTCGTCTGCCACGCCGCCGCGTGCAGGTGACCGGGAAACATCAAAGTTCCATCCAGCGGGGCTGTCAGGCTCAGGGGGCGTCATCGCCGTCCGTAGCTCCCTGCCGCTGGGCTTCAATGGGAGCGAATCGCCTGTCGACACTTCACCACCCGGTCTTGTTTCCCCAGGCTCCGACTCCACAGACATACCGAGGATACGGAACCGGGCGTGGTGCGAGCTCAAGATGGATCGAAACTTGATGCACTCGGAGGGGTAGCTCTCGTCGAGCAGCATAACAGTCGACTGTACCCGGTCAGTGGGTAGGTCGAAATTTGAGGGTCGGTTGCCTACCGGAAAACATTCAAGTTTGAGGTGCTTCAGCACTTCCTGGAATGTCAACCCTTTGTCCACGATCACATGGGTGATGCGATTCCCCCAGTCCTTCGCCCATACCGCCCCATACTCCTGCGCCCGTTGAATGCGCAACCGTCGTAGAGGCGATACGTCACTGTTGGGGAAGAAGACTTGTCGAGGTTAGACACCGACCGGTCCCTAGGATCAGGGGACTCACAGAATACCAGCCCTTTGAAGATCTGCTGCTGCTCGGGGATCGTTCTCGCACAAGCCTTGCGCTTCCGACTGCCTCTCGAAGCACCCGTCTTGGTGCCTCTCGTCATGGTATCCGTAGTGAGGGGTCCATTCGCTCGCGGGTTTGGGATGCTGCGGGCACATGCCACCTCGGGCTCGCCTGTCCCCTCTGGAGAAGCCCGCGGGGTAGGAAGCAAGGGCGTCGGACTGGTCGGTTCTAAAGGAGGGGGACTCGAAACCGGTAGACTCGATACCCGCTGAAGCTCAAGTGTGGCACTCTGCAGCACCCGATCAAAATCGTCGGGGTTTTCTGGAGATTCATCTGATACCGAGTCCAACTCATCCAGTTGACTAAAAAAGGCTTCTTTGTCCGCCAGGGTCGGCGTCATTTTCGGATGCACATAGAGACTCGTCCTTTTTTGCTGGCTAGCGACAACCCGGCCATGAATGCCACGTCTATATATGAAAATTCAAGGGAAGAGATGGGCCTTGCAAGAGAAGACGGCTAGGTCGACGGTTGTCCAGGCAGTGACGCGTGGGTCGAACCGCGAAAGTGTCGCCTGGTCACGGGACTGGGGGCAATTTAACCTTTTTGGGATACCTATCTCGGCCTGGATTCCGGCCGGTCCAGGCTATTTGAATGGGATCCCATTTACTAGGTATAATTCGTATAGTCTATTGATCAGGGAAGTTGGTATTGCTGCATGGCTCGCATTAAAATCAATTCACGCTGCGCATGGAAACAAACAGGTTGTCAGAGTGAGCTATCCTTGCTAACTAGGCCCAACACTTTCTATTACTGACAGTGCTTCTCTGTCGAGTTTCAAACGTGTCTGCCATATTTGAGTGCGGTGCGCTGCTCCAGTTTCTCAAGCGGGGCAGGTTCCAGAATGCCCATGGCTGCGCTGCACCCAGTGTAATTGGCAGGGTCCCGTCAATTCCCGCTGACTGGTACCGTCTATTCCAGCTGTAGAATAAAGTCGAAACTCTTGGGAAACGAGCTCGCCTGGTCGGTGCTGCCTCGTGGCCAATTCGGTCTGCGTACTAGCATTGAATCCGCACGTCTCCGGGACCAGCATGTCTCTACTCAGCCGCACTCCATACCAGTGTGCTTCCCGGTAAAGCAAGGTTGGCATTCGAAATACCTCGTCCATGACCACTATCATAAGGACCACAATCACTAGTCCCGGCTTGTCGCCGTCCCAGCTCATCGCCAGCCACCCAAGCCAGGCAGCCCACCACGCCCCATACTCGCGCCGGCGGTGTGAATGGATCGTTTGGCCGCCGGGCCCTCTTGGCTTCGCACGCTCGCCACGATCTTCTCCGTGTTGGTTTCCAACACCACCCCGCCTATGATCATCTCCGCCAGCACGGCGTGCATCGACTCGAACCCGAAGATGAGATCAAGCTCGCAGACGTTCTCGAACATCCGGTCCAGGGACTCGACAAAGACCTGGATGAGGTCGATCAGCGCCAGCGGAGACTCCGTAGACGTGGCGATCATGATGAACGACAACGTGGCGTAGGTCCGGTAGATGACTTGTGTCGGGGCATCGGACGGGCCAAGCTCCACGGTGGACATGGCCCCACGCGACAGCATCGGGGGGAGAGGAAGGAAGTTGCAGGCGGTTGGCGGTCGTCGCGACACGAGATCATAGATTTGGCCGATCAATTCTTTCTTTGCTTGGGTGTCCTGGATTGTAGGTTCAATTAGTGGGATACTCTTTCTCGGAAGGGTGAACTGAACCGTATCCGGGAGACATACGATTTGGGTGTAGAACTTGGTGAGCCTCGGCTCACCGTTGTTGTTGAAGACCAGAACCGCGTTGATCATTGTGGCTGTAGTATGATATTATGCCCTTCAACGTCGGATCAGACAAGATCGAATAGTTGACTCCTGGACGGAGCGGGTCGCCCTGATCGACTGGAGTGCCAAGCACGGCCCCTCGTGCCTTAGGCAGCGCATCGTGGCCCGTGCACACCGCCCGGATACAAACAGGGCAAACAATGATTTCATGGAAATTTGTTCCTGCGCGAACTTGCAGCTTCATTTTCTTCCTGCTTCTCCTGCTCGTCCAGAGTCTCCAACTCATCCATCATCGACGGTCCGTTTTTTGGAACAGGCTAACTCGCGTTTCAGTAAAACCAAGGGACCTGTCTGACCAGCTTCTGGGTGTGGTAATCCCACCACCTTGATTTGTCGACCTTCCCCTTCCGTCCGTCCTGTCCATTATGTGACGGCAACCATGACAGGCAATCTTGGACGCAGGCTGTATACCAACTTTTGGGAAGCGGCTCACCCGCTCCTAGGCAAGGGATTTCAGACGGCTCCGGCCAGTGCGGCCAGCTCGGGTAACTTCTTTTGCGATTTCGTCCTCAAAAATCGCCTCGGAAAGCCGCCTTCTTTCTCGCTACGAAAAACCCACCAATATACTCGACGATTCGCCTCCGGGGGCTTTCTGGTCCTCGGGGCATCACCCAGCACCACCGCGGTCGAGACGGGAACCAGTTGTGCTATCGCCCCGGAGAAGTTGCTGCCGTCTCGCCGCTACCAGTTCGACCGCAAATTCTTTCGCTCCCTATCCCAGACCGCGGCACGACGCGGCTTTCACACCAGCAAGGATGACCGACCACCGACGGAGGGGTCGAAAGATCCTCTGAAAAATGCTCCGGAAGACCCGCAGTCGACAGCGCCCGCCGGTCGCCGAAATGAAGGATCCCAGAGTCCCGGTTCCGACCATCCGACAGCGGAGCAAAAACACCCGACTGGATACCGCTTCCCCCAGATGCCACACATCCATCGCCCCTCCAAGGAGGAGCTGCTGGCCGCGGCAACGGGGTTCTGGTCCCGGCTGAAAGTCCGATTCAAGTGGTTCTCCATCCGCAGTGTGCGACCTTATAATCTGGACGAAATAGCCGCCCTGTTTTCATGGGTCTTTCTGGGCCATGTGGTCTGGGTCGTTCTGGGGACGACTACTTTCTTTTCTCTCATAATCCTCACCATCAATACAGTATTTGCACAGGGTATGCTTTGTCACTTACCTTCCCGTTGGGGGTCCGATCAGAGCTAACAGTTGTAGAAACCCTTGCGGGGTGGATAGGAAACTACCTCACGAAATCCTCCGGAGTGAAGGTCGTGTTCGAATCCGCCATCGTCCCCAGGTGGAGGGACGGCGTCATCACGTTCAGAAATGTTTTTGTCTCGCGACGTCCTGGTCAAGGGACCGGAAATGTCAGTAAAGGTTCCTCGAAGACGGCAGCTGCCGCCGCTGCCGCCGCAGCTCGCAGCGACCACTTGATTCCCGACGGGCCCGAACAGAGAACAACAGCGGAGGACGAGGATACCAATTACACACAGTTTGACGTCTCCATCGAAACCGTCAACGTGACCCTATCGTTCGCGAAATGGCTCAACGGGAAAGGGCTCCTGCGGGACGTGGAGATCCAAGGAGTCCGGGGCGTCCTCGATCGTCGATCGGTCTTTTGGCCCGATGAGGACTTGGACCCCAAGTCTTACCGACATGAGCACTCCCCGGGCGACTTTGAGATCGATTCGTTCAAGATGAACGACCTGCTGCTCACGGTCTACCAGCCGGACAACTTCCGTCCCTTTTCCGTCAGCATCTTCTCCTGTGACCTCCCCCAGCTGAGAAAGCAGTGGCTCTTCTACGATTTCATGTCCGCGAACATGATGTCCGGCGCGTACGATAACTCTCTGTTTACCATCCATCCCCGACAAACCCACAGCTTCACCGGCGCCCAGCTCGACAACGGCCGGGAGGAGGATGGCAAGCCGAGTCCGTGGAAGAAGCACAACCGCATCCGCGTGGACGGGCTAAATATCGACCATCTGAACCGCGGGGTGCCCGGTCCGCTCTCGTGGATCCACGAAGGGCAGGTCGACATCGTCGCCGACATGATGATCCCGGCCGACAACGACGAGAGTCTGGCCAAGGTCATGGCCGACTTCTACGACCGGTTGGAGGCGACTGTCACCTCGAACCGGTTCCACTCGGCCGCGGATATTGCCGGCCGCGCCGACGAGCCGGTCGCCGACGAGGACAAGCGATTCCTCGTCACGGACCTGCGCTTACACCTAAACAACGTTCGCGCGGTTGTCCCCATCTTCACCCGCGATCTCTCCTACATCAACAACGCTCTCATCCGCCCCATAGTCGCGTATATCAATTCGCGGCGCACCTTCATCCCGGTCAACTGCCGCCTAGTCAAACGGGCGGGGGATTTCAACGGCAGTTGGACCATCTACGATAGCGGGCTGATGGACGACCTGTCCGCAGCGGTACGTCTCTGTCTTTTCTTCATAATCGGAACAAGAACTAACGATATTTGTCTAGGTCTACGACGCATTTGCGCGGGACGTAGTCGACGAACAAGCGCGCAAGCGACGGTTCAAGAAGGTCGGGTTCTGGTCGCTGCAGCTGGCGGCGCAGGCGATCTTCATCAGCATGGCAGGGAATATCGCGTGACGCGGTGGATCCCCGCTCTCTGTATTTATATGTGATATCATACTACCCATGGGCGTTGTCGGTTTAATACTGGGACCCGGCGTTGCTGGGCAAAATACACTTGATTCCTGCATCGCTCCTTGTAGATTTGTTCTGGCTCTTGCATATGGGTAGTGTCCCATGGCTTGATATCCATCTTACCTTATTTTGTCCAGGTCTTCTACGTCCACCTAGTGTATCGAGGTAGATATCTAAAACGCAACAAATAGTCACAATACAGGTTGTATTCTAAAATATCTGACAAGGGCCAATGCAATATGAACAGGCGGAAAGAATACCCAACTTTTCCAACACCCATGAGAAAAAGGGAACAAAACAAACAAAAGAGGCAGTATGGGTCACGATTTACCACCCCCGCTGCGCCAGCTTATCGGCCTCAGGCATCTGCTTAACATTGATCCCGACCATAGCCTCACCCAGACCCTCACTGACCTGTGCCAGCACCTTCGGATCCTTATAGTGGGTAACAGCCTGGACGATCGCGCCGGCGCGCTTCTTCGCATCGCCCGACTTGAAGATACCCGAGCCGACGAAGACGCCATCGCAGCCCAGCTGCATCATCAGCGCCGCATCAGCGGGCGTGGCGACACCGCCCGCAGCAAAGTTCACAACCGGCAAACGGCCCTTCTCAGCCGTCTCACGCAGCAAAGCGTAGTCGCAGCCGAGCTCGCGGGCGTACTGCCGCAGCTCAACCTCGGGGTCGACAGCGGAGTTCAAGATAGAGCTGGCTTTAGCGATGTCCGCGCTGACGGTGCGCATATGTCTCACAGCCTCGACGACGTCTCCCGTGCCGGCTTCGCCCTTGGTGCGAATCATAGCGGCGCCTTCGGAGATACGGCGCAGGGCTTCGCCGAGGTTGCGGCAGCCGCAGACGAAGGGGACTTTAAAGTTGTGTTTCGTGATGTGGTAGACGTCGTCTGCGGGGGTGAGGACCTCTGACTCGTCGATGTAGTCAACGCCGATGGCTTCGAGAATCTACAACCGAGGTCGTTCGTTAGCGGTGTTTGCCTGCTCTCCGAGAGAGAAAAGGACCTACCTGGCACTCGACAAAATGACCGATACGAGCCTTGGCCATGACGGGGATGGTGACAGCCTCCATGATCTCCTTGATCATGTTGGGGTCGGACATGCGCGCGACGCCACCCTGAACTCTGATGTCGGCGGGGACCCGCTCGAGGGCCATGACGGCGGCGGCACCGGCTTCCTCGGCGATGCGGGCCTATTTCGCTCTACAGTCAGTCCCTGACAGACGCAATGGCAGTATAATGAAGTGGAAGGAGACATACCTGCTCGGCATTGACGACGTCCATGATGACTCCGCCTTTGAGCATCTGCGCCAGGCCGGCCTTGACGGTGAAGTCATTGGCGGAGCTCCCGTTGGTACCGTTGGCAGACATTGTGGGGGTTGATTGAAGTGGAAGGGTAGGAATCTATTGGGGGGTATGCAGAGAGAGAGAGAAAAAAAAAGATACAGCAGAGAGATATAGCGGAGAAGAATAGACAACGATGAGTCAATGGTTTCCATACATGGATCTGGTCACCGGTTCCCAGAGGATCCCCGATTACATACATGCCGTCAAATGAGAGTGGGTACCGGACGGTCACGTAACGGCGTATATTACCGGCTAGTCTGTATTCGGAAGCAGATCTGTCTGACATAAGCGGATTTGGACCGGGGTGATCCCTGCTGTTGTCATATCCAGCCAATCAAATTAATTCCGTCCCTCATTTCACAGGATTTAAACTTTTTTAAGTTTTCCGGTTTCCGTCTGTTACCGGTTTCCCACGGCGCATCAGTGGTACCGGAGGGGTACTTGGATTTGTCTGCCATTACCTCGGGATGGGGGGTACTATTTTGTATTGTTGATACTGACAGTATTCCCGCGGAAACCGTAGTTACACCGGAAGACTATATATAAGATTTGATCATCTACAAGCAACGGAAGTCAATCATTGGGGTATCTGCACAACTACTCTCCCCGTGATGGTGTCCGTCTTCAACCCCTCTATTACTCGGGCAGTCTCCGAAAATTCCAAGACCTCCACCAGAGGGGTCAGTTTCCCGGCCAGCGCCTGCTGCAGCAGCTCGTCCATCTGTGCATCTGTCCCGACACACGCGCCTTTGATGACCAGACCTGGGGAATCTTTGTTAGCGGGGATGACCCTGGCCTCCGGTGTACCAATGACTCACCTCGTGCCGCGCACGCTGTCGCCGAGATCGGCAGATTGAACTGATTCGGCGGCAGACCAACGCACACAATGGACGCCAAGTTCCGCACCAGGCTGGGCGCGACTTGGAAGGCCGCCTCGGTGCCAGGCACGACGAGGATCGCGTGGGCCCCTTCCCCCGTGATCTCCGACACACGCTGGACGAGATCATCCTCCTCGTAGTCCAGGAACACCTCCGCCCCCGACTGTAGACTCAGCGCTCGTTTGGCATCTCCGTGGTCGATGGCGATAACGCGGAGGCCAAGGATCCGGGCGGCGATCTGGACCCCAATGTGGCCCAATCCGCCGCCGGATCCCGAGATCACCACCCAGTCGCCGGCGTGCACCTCGCCGTCGAGCTTGGACAGCGCCCCGGCCATGCTGAGCCCTGCGCAGAGCAGCGGTGCCGCCACCTCATCCGAGAGACCGTCCGGGATAGCGGACACGTATCGCGCGTCGGCCACGACGTACTGCTGCAGCGTGCCGGGGACGTGGCGGCCCGTGTTCAACTGGCGGGGGCAGTTGTTGGGGAAGCCGCGCGCGCAAACGGAGCATTTCCCACAGGCGCTGTAGAGCCACTTGATGCCGACGCGCTGGTGCATCATGGACGGGGGTACATCAGGGCCCGTCTGGACAACGGTGCCGATACCTTCGTGGGCGACTATGGGGTTATAGGGGCCCCATCCGAGGACGGCGCGAATTTCCGAATGGCTTGAGGGTGGTGTTAGAGCGGTAGAAGTGTTTCTCCAGGCGTCTTGGTGCCACCTCCATGGTTGATCGGGGATCCTACCAGAGGCCAGTGCAGGTGAGTTTCACCAGGATCTCGTTTGGTCCGGGGGTCGCCACGGGGATGTCGTCGCGGTGGACGATCTTGGCCGCGGGGCCGGGGTTCTCGACCAGCGCGGCTTTCTGGGTAGTGGGGATGGACGTCATGTCGGAATATATGGAAGAGTATCTAGAATTGATCTAGTAGACATGTAATAGGGTGATCGCGACGGTCTTATAGACCCCGCATGAGGGAAAGGATCCGACAGCCGAAGAGTGAAGATATCGGTAGTTCATCCGGCATCGTCAGTGATCCACTGGAGCCTTAGGCATGTGTTTCCATATGTCTCTATTCTCTACATTGTCCCTGATATAGTGGTCAACTTGATGGATTGCTATGTTTGCTAAATCATCAGCAATAATATGTATTATTGTTTAAACATTTTTGAACTATACCAATACTTGTGTTTCTGTACATATTGAAGCACGGAGTAATGTTAATAGCCAAGGATAATACATATTGACAATCTTCCATCATACAAACACATCCCGAGTAAATCTGTTCATATGATTCTTACTATACATTCTTCACGAAACTAAATTTCATCTGTCTACCCCTATGGACCTGTCTATCTACATTGTCCCCCAGCGTTTGGAGATGCGGAGAATGATGATGTAAGATCACGGACTTCCCAATCAGGAAAAGAACTGCGGGCCTGTGATGCCAACGGATTTTCTGGCCGCCAACCTGTCCGATTTCTGCAGCGACCCCTCTACGCGACCGTTGTTGGACACCAAAGACCCTGATACATGCAGTACTGTCCTATCAAATTGAACATTATTTGAATTGGTGTTAGACATCCCCTAGCCTACACCCGGTCTAAAACGAGTCTTCCGACGGCAGATTTTTCAAACCACCCGTCGCAAATTCCCATCGCGTGGTGCGGGGAACCACTCCGATCCAGTCAATTCAATTGAACAATAGTGGCCGAAGAATTCAGTCATCATGCCTCTTGACACCTCGACAACATACCCGCTCACCAAGCTGCGCCTCGATGGCCGTCGCTGGAACGAACTGCGCCTCCTCTCGGCACAGATCTCCACGAACCCAGCCAGCTCGGGCTCCTCATACCTGGCCATGGGGAACACCACCATCCTGTGTTCCGTCCACGGTCCCGCCGAAGGACGTCGCGGGGATGCGACAGGCGGCGCCGCCGGGTCCTCGGAAGCGGTGGTCGAAGTCGATGTCAATGTGGCCGGTTTCGCGGGCGTGGATCGCAAGAGAAGAGCCGGCGGAAGCGATAGGTATGTCCGCGTGGTCGTTCAAGATGTCGAATCTTGACCGTCGACTAATCCTTTTTTTTTTCGCCATGCAGACAATCGTCACGCATAGCCGCAACCCTCCGAGCCGCCTTCCAGTCGCATTTGCACACCTATCTCTACCCGCACAGCACGATCAGCATCCACGTCTCGGTTCTTTCATCGGACGGGTCTCTCCTAGCAGCCGCAATCAACGCCTGTACCCTGGCGCTGGTCGACGCCGGTGTCCCCATGCCGGGCCTTCTCTGCGGCTGCACGGCCGGCATGAGCGGCAGCGCCTCGACACCACGGGATCCGCACAACGACGCGCTCGACCCGCTGCTCGACCTGTCGCTGCCGGAAGAGCAAGAGCTTCCGTTCCTCACCGTCGGAACGACCAACTCCATCCCCGTCGGGGAACACGCCATGGACGACGACGAGCCGGACATGAAAGTCTCGATGTTGACCCTGGACTCGAAAGTCCATTGCACGTATATCGAAACCATGCTGGCTGTCGGGATCGACGGCTGCAAGCAGATCCGAGAGATTCTGGAGAACGTCATCCGGGGGACTGGGAAGAGTAGATGATCGTGCCTAGCGGAGGGGGGGCATGGATCTGTTTTGTCTGTATCCGAGCATGGCAGGTGTGCGATTATACCCGTCGGTTTGCAATGGGAGGTGTTGGGCGTATTGTTGATATTAGTCATGTTATCAAAATATCCTTCCTATAGATCTTGGGCTGTGTGGGCCAATATTGACTTGGAAGTCTACCTAGTGTATGTGCCATGCGTCAATCTCGAGGTCATTAGTGGATGTGCATTGAGCACAATTACCAAAGCCACCGGTCAACTACCAATCTAGCGTTATATTCAAAGTGGTCTAAGGTGATTCCGGGTAAAAGTACTTCGAGGCACATGATAATAGGCGGGCCAGCGGTATACCTACCACACGCTCTAGAAAACCCATCACTGCCTATAATATAATTGCTACGACTTGGTCAGTTCCACGTCAAAGACAAAAATTTTGTGTCTCTCCATAAAATAAGTATTTACGGTATTCATTGGGTGAGACATCCAACCATCATACCTCAGGGTGAGTTTCTCCAAAACCAGATAGTACAAAGCCCCAAGCATAGTTGCCTTGACTACCTTTGAACACCGACCAGCGATACTTGTTGGCCCTCATATCTCACCAGCTAACATACAGTACAGCTGCAAGACAGTAGATCTGGCACTACAGGTCCAAATCCCTTCGGGATCTTGTAAAACCATAGGGCTGAGAAGCAAGGAGTCGTAGGGTTGATAGACCGCCATGTTCTCAACCGCGAGAGGCTTCAGTGAATACTCGCCAATGTCAGTACCAGCTGCATCTGATCATCAACTATGCCATTATCAGTGGCCAGGTCGTTCCTTATAGTACTCAGTTCCAGGACTAATCCAAGACTGGCTCATATTTTCCATCGCAGATCAATGTCTGATCGACCTTCGATCTTGTTCAAGCAATGCCATTGTCACGGCGCTCGAACATATCAGCTATCGGCAATTGGCGACTGGGAGTATATGCCAACATATCGATTAATACAAAATGATATAGAATGTAATCATAACAAATCAACTTGGTTGTAGGTTGTACAGCAGAGAGAGAACAGCATGGGAGCTTCCTCCGCATCACGTGACGATGACCCATGATTGGAGAACGACCGAGTCGGGGCGGTCTCTCGTCGCCAACTGATCGACCAATATCAACCACCATGGATCAATTGGCCTCCATCCTGGACAATGCCCTGGCATCGGCACATATGGATGCAGTGGATTTGATCAGGGCGATCTACGTTGCCCTCACCTCGGTGGTATGAACAAGTCCAAATCCAGATGTTGTGTCAATGTCATTTGGTCGAACTAAACCTCCCCAGGTCCTGTTCGCCAGCCTGCTGGACTCGTTCCATGCCCGCTTCATCCCCTATGGGGCCCGCGCAGCCCCTGCGCAGGCGTCTGCACGTCAGCCAGCCGAGACTTCGAGTAGATCGGTCGTGACGCGCGCCCTCGACGTCGTCGCCTCGTGGAAGGTGCCCCACCGGTACTTCACCCATTTCTACATCGCCTCGGTAGTGGCCTCGGTATTCTGGGCCGTTCAGGTCACGCTGCGCGGTGGTGCATTCGAAGCGATTGCGACGCGGGTTAGCCCGGAGCATCGGGATCGGTCCATGTCGATCACCCAGATTGTCATGTGCTGGGGGTTGATGCTGGTCCAAGGAGGTCGGCGTCTGTACGAGTGTTTTGCCTTTTACAAGCCGTCCTCATCCTCGATGTGGTTTGCGCACTGGCTGGTGGGACTCGCCTTTTACCTATTGATGTCGGTCTCCATCTGGATCGAAGGAACCGGTATGCTTTCATCTGATTTTGTTTGTTTTGTTACTCTAAGAAAGCGACATCGATTGACCTCGAACAGGTACGCTGCTGTCTCATCAGATCACGTTGGATGACATAAAGGTGGCCAATGCGCCGTCCCTGCGCACCTTCTTATGTCTTCCGATCCTGCTGATGGCATCCGGGTTGCAGCACGACGGCCATCACTACCTGTCTTCGCTCGAGAAGTACACCTTGCCCACGCACCCCATGTTCTGCAGTATTGTTTGCCCCCACTACACCGCCGAATGTGTAATCTACCTGTCTCTGGCTGCGCTAGCTGCCCCGCCCGGCGAGATGATTAATAAAACCCTCTTCCTGGCGCTGGTATTTGTCGCTGTGAATCTGGGTATCACGGCGGGGACCACGAAGCAGTGGTATGCGCAGAAGTTTGGGAAGGAATCGGTGCAGGGGCGGTGGAAGATGATTCCATTTGTATATTAATGGCGAACATGTATATATTTTTATACTGCCGATGATCCTTTTGTAATACATCCCATCATCATCATGTTCAGTTTAAACGTACGGAGTACGATGGGGGTCAGATCGGTATGCGGAGATAGCGGAGTTTGGCGAGCAGCGACAATCGGACCGAGATTTCCACCGCGCTCCGCGGCCAAAACTTTCCCACCTGCCGCTTCTTGCTCCCACCGTCTGTCGTCCAATTGACCTGGTAGAGAGTAATATCACTGCAGTCGGGACAGACAGCTTCTCGTGTTCTTCACCCACTGCAATTCCCAGCGAAATGAGCCCTTGATCCGGCTACCCCGATCGAGTCACTTCTTCCCGACCATGGCCCAGGCCTCCGAACCGGGGCCATCAGCCTCGCTGTGGACCAGGTCTTTGCTGGTAAGCTGAATTCATTTAGTGACCAGTGTAGCATTGACTGACTCACTCCTTTACTTCCAGTCTGGCGCGGTCGCTGGTCTGACCGTGGACTGCTCCCTCTACCCGTTGGATACCATCAAAACCCGCCTCCAGAAGGCCCGGCACCACACGGCCGCCCCGACCTCGAACCTTTCTTTGAGACAAACCATCCGCGGGATTTACGCCGGCCTCCCGTCTGTCCTCCTCGGCTCCGCACCGTCGGCCGCATCCTTCTTCATCGTCTACGATGGCGTTAAACGAACCTTCCTCCCGCCGTCACCCGTAGAAGCGCCCTCGCGGACCCACATCATCCTGACGCATTCCGTCGCATCGTCCATGGGTGAGATCGCCGCCTGCGCGGTGCGCGTGCCGACCGAGGTGGTCAAGCAGCGCGCCCAGGCCGGTCTCTTCGGTGGCTCGAGTCTGCTGGCCCTCAAAGACATCCTGGCCCTGCGACACCCGGATCCCGCGAGCGGCGCCCGGCGAGGCTACGGCCAGGTGATCCGGGAACTCTACCGCGGTGCAGGGATCACAATCGCCCGGGAGATCCCATTCACGGTGCTGCAGTTCACCATGTGGGAGTCCATGAAGGAGGCGTATGTCAAGCGCGTGCGGCGATCCGCAGGGCCGGGCGCCGACGCGGTCAGTCACGTCCCGGCTTCGACGAGCGCTGTGTTCGGCAGTGTGGCGGGCGCCATTGCTGCGGGCCTGACGACGCCGCTGGACGTGATCAAGACGCGGGTCATGTTGGCCCGTCGCGAGGACGGGACCGCGGGGCAGGAGGGAGCCCGCTCGCGCATCAAGCACGTCGTGCAGGATATCTCCAAGGAGGGCGCCGGAGCCTTCTGGCGAGGCATTGGGCCGCGAGTCACCTGGATTGGGATCGGGGGGGCGGTGTTCCTGGGTAGTTACCAGTGGGCGTGGAACGCGCTGGAAGTGAAGGAGAAGTTGGAGAAATCCGACAAGTCCGTCTAGAGGTGAAAGGGAGCGAGTATATATGTGTTGTCTACGAAGCGATTGTTGTAAGATATCCAGATAGACAGTGTGATTTCCATAGAGCTTGACTCAATACATAAAGCGATATGACCGCAGCCCGATACGTCTTCAATGTGCAACGCGACAAGCATGAATTGTGTTTCAACTCGACATCTACTACTCCAACTCGTCTGTCCATGTGGGTGGATCTCAATCCTAAATCCATCTACAGTAGAGTGACTGAATCTATGTCGGGTCCGCCAGTTGCCTGCCTAAAGCGGCAAGGCCCGTCAGTCGCGTTGAAATCCGGGATCTCGCGACAACAAACTCCTCCAGTCGTGTTGTCCTCACGAGTCATTATCGCCTTCCCTTCAATTCAATTCCTGGTCTTCGCGTAATTCCTATCCTTCTAGACCAGTAACGCGAAGAAGCAACTGGGTGGACCCAACGCCAGCGCGACCGGTAAGTCCAAGGCCTGATTGGTCGCCGTGAAAATTTCTGTCGCGTCCAAGGGGGACCGCTAACTGGTTTGTCTCGTCCGGCCGCAGAGAAGCAGATATCAGTCACAAATTCTTATCCTACCCCGCACGCCAAACAGAAAGTCGAAAGACGCGATCAATCAGACGAGATGCTTCCTCCGTCTTCCGCTTCGCTACACAAGCGGAAAAGACTGTCCGGCGACGCCGCGGCCGCGCCGACATCATCCCCCGCCGCCGGGCCCGCCGTGCCTCCATCCAAGAAGGCGAAGAAGTCCTCGGATCCCGGGTCCAGCCAGGCAGATAGAAGCAACCCGTCCTCCGGAACCGCACCCGCGAACGCTGCGAGCGCTGAGTCCGCGACCGCAGCCGAGATCGCAGCATGGTTCAGCCAGGAGCCGCCCAAGAAAGGAAAACATGGAGCCGCACACGGGCAGGTCGGACACTTTGGGAAACACGAGTCGAAGACGATGGAGAAGTTCAAGAAGGATTTCTGCCGGACCCACGACATCGATGACGAGCTGTTCAACCAGATGGTGCAGCACTCGGACCGCGACAAGGAGCCCTTCCCCTGCGACACCGTCGAGAAGAAGGACATGTGGAAGCACATCTACGAGGCCCTGCCCACCCGCGACCGGCGCTCCATCTACCGCTTCATGCGGCGGCACTTCGGCTCGACCTCGCAGCGACCGCACGACTGGACGCCGGCGCAGGACAAGGAGCTCATCCGGCTGTACCAGGAGTTCGGGCCCAAGTGGACGGCGATCGCGAAGCTCATCGAGCGCACGGACGACGACGTGTCGCAGCGGTGGAAGAACCAGCTGCAGCACCAGAGCACCATGAACCGGGGGCCGTGGTCGGAGGCGGAGGTGCAGGAGCTGCAGCGGACGCTGCAGGACGTGTGGAACGCCAAGCAGGCCTCGGGGCAGCTGGACGGGCTGGGCCGGGACATCTACGAGATGGACGACACGATCATCCCGTGGGGGCAGGTCAGCGACCGGCTGAACCACTGCCGGTCGCGCCAGCAGTGCGGCGACAAGTGGCGCAAGGTGCGCCGTCGGGTTTCCTCCCTGCGCGAGAACGGAAAGCCCGACGCGATCTACGATTTGTCCGCCGAGACGAGGTACCGGAACTGGTCTGAAGCCAGGGGGTCGGATCCGAAGGATTTGCTGAAGCGGTACAAGAGTTCGAAATACGTTCACTCGGATGAAGAGGAGTCTGGGCCTGATCCCCGACCTCAGCTTAAGGCCCAGATGGAAGAGCGCATGAAGACAATGCTGGCCAAGAAGTCTGAGACCAAGAAGCCCGAGACGAATAAGCCTGCAGCACAGAAGCCTGCGCCAAAACAAGTCGAAGCAAAGACGGCCACGGCGCAGAAGCCCGAAGCAAAGAAACCAGTGAACAAGAAGATCACGTCGGTCTTCTCAGATAGCGAGGGTGAGAGTGGGAGTGGGAGTGACGAAGGTAGCGATACCGATGATAATAGCGAGGACGACGGCGAGTCGAGAGAGGATAGCCGCAGCACGACCAACAACCGCGAAGGGAACGGGATTGTCAAGGTCGAACCGCGCACGTCTACGACTACGACTGCATCTACGTCCGACGGCTCCGGATCAGACTCGGGAAGCGATAGCGACGGCGACTCCGATGGCGAGTCTGGCTCGGACAGCGACAGCGACAGTGGCTCTGAGTCCAGGCCCGACAACCAGCAACCCCAAGATCTCGCCGGTTCCCAGAGAATCAAAAGGGAGCGTAGCAGTTCCAACTCCTTGACCGGCCGCATGGACGTGGACGCGCCAGGTGACTTGGACGGATCTGCGGATCCCGGGGTGAAGCAAGAGCAAAGCTCTGTCAACAACTCCGACAGTGACGAGGAGGAGTCGGATTCAGCTGAGGACTAGGTGCTTGATTGTGTGGACATGTTGGAGCAATGTAGGGGATGATTGTACCGTTGGCAATATCTCGAGTGACCGGATGGATGGCGATAGAGGATCCGGACGGGGTACACACTCATGTTCGTAGTAATATTCATAGATACCATATGATTTCGGTCAATAATCAACAAGTTTCTCCCAAGTAGCCTCATGTAGTTGACAGATGTTGAATCCGATATTGAATCTGATATTAGATCTGAATGTAAGAGCCTCAGGCAGCGAGGCGGTCTCGGCGTCGGCGGCCAAACCTCCGATCAGCCTTGCTCTTTTTCGCCATCATTTCCCGTCATCTCTTTCAACTTCCTCCTCAGCCACCACTCTCACCTTCTTTCCAGCTTTGTCGCGGTCGGAAGGATGTCGCTGTCGTTGGATTGACCTTCTAACAGGATTTCTATCATCGCCCGGACGTTGACGCCCTCATTTTATCCTCGTTTTTGGTGATCGGCGCAGTCACATCCACCATGGATCTCGCCAGTACCTTGATTCGCAGCGTCGCGCGCGCCTTCTACGAGACCCGTCATATCCTCGTGGTTGATGCGCTCTTCATCCACTCGGTGTATGCCTGGGCCTGGACTTGAAAATTAAATTTAATATCCCACCCTCTGACATACTTTGACTAGGCTCCACGCCGAGGACCTCGCCTTTCTTCTGGGAATGCAGCAAAAGGATCTACGGAAGCTTTGCGCCAAATTGCGCGAGGACCGACTGATCGCAGTGTATGGCCTCACGCTGATGTCGCATGCATGGGGGCGTCTGAGCTGAGCTGACTGCGATTTCATTTCCCCCGTTACAGGAGCACGCGAGCCGAAATTCGAGACGGCGCCACGCGCCCCGTCAACCGCGAATACTACTACATCCCCCTCCACCCGGTCGTCGACGCGATTAAGTACAAGGTCTCCAGGTTGACCTCGACGATTAAAGCACAGTACACGCCGAGCGAGGACCGAAAGGAGTACATCTGCCTACGGTGTGGGACGGAATGGACGGAGCTGGATGTGCTGAGTCTGTACTCGGAGGAAGGGTTCGAGTGCCAGAACTGCGGCGCGATCCTGGAGCGGACGGAGGATGTCAAGGGCGCCGAGGGGATCGACCGCACAGGACACGAGAAGAATAGCAAGCTGATGGCGCAGCTGGATCAGATGCTGAAGCTGCTGAAGCAGATCGACTCGGTGGAGATCCCGCCCAACGACTTCGACACCGCCTGGGACCACAAGGTCGACGTCGTCCGCAACCAGCAGATCAACCCCACCCGGGCGACCATCGTCGTGCCGCCCAAGCAGCAGGACGCCGTGCGGGGCAACGCCAAGACCGACACATCCGCGCTGGAGATCTCGCTCACGTCCACCGCCGAGAAGACGGCCGCCGAGCAGGCCGCCGAGGCGGCGCGCAAGGCGGCCGTGGAGAAGCAGAACGCGCTCCCGGTGTGGCACACGCACTCGACGGTCTCCACCGCGGCCGGCAACGGCAGCCGGGTGAAGACGGAGACGGACGTCGATGTCAAGCCCGAGATCAAGGACGAGGAGGACCAGAAACCCAGCATCGACGAGCTCGACGACAAGGTGGCGGCGTACTACGCGGAGATGGAGCGGGAGAAGGCCTTGCAGGCGCAGGAGGACGCCAGCAGTGCGGAGGACGAGTCGGACGAGTTCGACGAGGAATTCGAAGACGTCGGGGGCGTCTCGGCCAGCGACGCAGCGTCCCCTGCTGTAGGAGGCGGGGCGCCGACCAGTGCGCCGTCCGCCACGTCCGGGTCGGGGATCAAGCGCGAGCTTGACATGGATTCGAGCACGAGTAGCCCCCAAACGGGCGCGACGCCGGCCAGCGCCGCCGACGGACCGGCAGCCAAGAAGATCAAGACCGAGCCGGAGATCAAGACCGAGCCGGGGATCAAGAGTGAAGAGCCGGCGGTCAAGAAGGAGGAGTCGGATGAGGACGATGACGAGGAATTCGAGGATGTGTAGGAACCCTTCTCTGCCATTTGTATTATGATCACCCTTCTTCCAGGGAGAGCAGGACGTGAACTTCCACCATCCTCGGCGCTGGCGCTGGAGCAAGGCGGGAGGCATGTTTCCACTTGGATTATTTAGACGGTTTGATAGATTGATCTGGATGATCTTATTTTTATCCTTTATTATTATTATTATCATCATCATCATTATAATTGTTCTAGTCTTCTTTCTAAATCGTAATAATCATCCCATGTAAAAGCGGGGGCTGGAAACAAACCGCCATCTCGTTCTCGCCCAACCAAACGCAGCCCTAAGTTGAGCGTCATCCCAGCCACCCCCAAAATCCACATGGCTGGGCTTCAGGTCAATTCTCCCTTTTAGACACGAGGGAGCCGAGAATTTTCCTTTCGTCCCTTCTTCTGTTATGTTCCATTCTTCATCCCTGGATTCTTGGATCTTTCTTGATCCTAATCCTGATCCTAATCCACCTATCAACCATTCCGATCGATATAATCAACCTATGTTATTGGACCAGACCGATTGACAACCCTCGTTTTGACACCTAATACCCACATATACCTTATATCTATATATACATAGAAAGAGAAAGAGAGACAAAATGGTCCAAAAAAACATCGCCATCGCGATCATCATCATCGTCCTCTTCCTGCTCATCGCCATCGCCAGCTTCGGCATCTGGGCCATGAAGAACCACGTCTCATTATTTCCGAGGAAGAGGGCTGTCGATGAGGAAAGTGGAGCTGATGAAGGATGACACTACTTCTTCTATTCCTGCACTTTTCCTACTCTTGGCCTCCTCTTTCCCACGATCTATCGCTATTGCTATCTCACGATCGACTATTCCTACACGAACGAAACGAACGAAACCCTAATGACGAACGAACGAACGAAACGCCCTCTATCTATCTATCTATCTCGACCTACCAGAATTAGTACATATCGAACGATATGAACGACTCACGGCGCTAACGAAAGGAGTACCGGTTGATTTACTGCTATCGCTTCTTCTATTTTCTACGGCCATGTTCAACTATGTTGATTTCTATATTTCCTATCCTTTATTTCCCCTGATATATTCTCTCCGACATACAACCCGAGCACAGTATATGACGAGTGGTACCTACATTTATCTATGAGTGAAAAGTGACTGTACATCAAGCATGCATACATATATGACACGATCGCATTGGTCTTATGATCACGAAATATATACCGTTTCATATATAGCTTTATTTTACGAGATATACATACTTCCCAACGGTCAAACCAACTGGACAAGTACTCAGCAGACAGGGTAGCGTAACTTTAGATATCAGAGCTACTAAAATACAATCACAATGTATATTTATCTTGTATATGCATGTCAATTACTATGTATGATAGACAGGGTGAAACAATTTCCTCCACGTCAACCCAAAATCTTCAATCCCCCCTTGGTCTTCCCCGGCTTCTTGACCCCATCGTGTCGCACCTTGCCTCCGGCCCCCGCTCCACCCTTGTGGCCGCCGCCGCCGCCGCCGTTCTTCCGCCCCGTCTTGTTGTTTGACACGGGCCGCACCTCGGTGGTAGCGCGGCGAAGCAGAATCGGGTGCGACCCGATGTACTTGTTCTGCATCTCGCGCGCGGCCCGGAAATAATCATCGCCGTCGCTGAAGCTGACGAACCCGTAACCCTTGCTCTTCTGCGTCCGCTTGTCGCGAATCACGCGCGCCTTCTGGATCGACGTGTATCTGGAGAAGGCCTTGAGCAGCGAATCATCGGTGACCTCGCCCGCAAGGTTTCCAACGAAGAGACGGAAGTGCGCCGGGTCCCATTCCAAAAGCGAGGAATCGGACCACGTCTTCCCGCCGCCGGCGCGCACCACCGTCTTGGGGTCCGGTTCCGGGCCGCTGGGGAACGGGTTGGGCGTGCTGGCCGCTGGGGTGGTTCCCGCTTGGGTGGTGGCACCGGAGCCGGAGCCGGGCATGGCGGGATAGGCGTCGCGCTGACCCGGGAACTTCCCGACGGGTGGGACTTCATCCTTGTTGGCGTAGGCGCTCTGCCATTGGGCGATCTGCGCTTCCATCTCAGCATCTACGCCGGATTCGTTGGCCTTGGCGCGAGACCCGTACGGCTGATCGGCCGCAAAGGGGTTCTGAATGTGCGGAACTGCAGCCCCATAGTTGTTGTCGTTGTACTGCGCCGAACCGTAGTAGGAGGCGCCCCCCTGGTACGTTTGCTGTGGTTGCGGATAGTAGTTACCGTAGCCGGTGGTGGTTGGAGTGGAATATCCAGACGTGTTAGCCGGCGGGGCCGACACCACAGGACTGCTGGTACGGTATGGCTGGCTGGATGCTACGGCCCGCGGCTGGAATGCCGTGAAGGCGTTGTAGCCCGATCGGGCTCCGCTACCCCCATATCCGCTACTGGTCCCCGCAGAGGCATAGGACGGCGCTGCCGAGTATGCGGGTTTGTATGACGACGGGGTGGGAGAGGGCGAGATGGAGCTGGCGGGAGGCGGTCGCGGAGGGAGCGATGAAGGAGCTTGCTTCAGACCTGGAGGAGGCGGAAAGGACATGATGAATGGATTGTTCGCAAAAAAGAGAGGCGGGCGGTGGATAGTGTGATTCGCCGTGTGCGATTAGCAGCAGACACGTACCTTCAGGGTTTGACCGACGTAACAGTCACACGCCAGACGTCACACCTGAAAAAGCCGAACTGTGGTGTCCCTGAAAGAGAGGAGAGAGTATTGATGGTTGTCGTCGCGGTTTGGAGGGTCGAAAGAGGCAAAGAGGTATCCCGGACGATCGCGTTTGGGGTGAATCAACGAAGTAGTCGTAATCCTCGTATGGTAGTTATAATATACCAACTGAGCAACAGGATACTGGTGGGAATGAAGATGGTGGTCGTTGGGCTGAAATGTAGTTGGAGAGAGGAAGAAGAGAGAGAGAGAGAGACAGAAGGCGAATGAGGTGGAAAAAAAGTCACGGGTGGTCTGGGTGCCTCGCCGTAGTCAGGCATCAACCTTCCTCTTCCGTCAATACATGACATACTTCTACGCTCTATGGAAACAAGATCTATGATTTAGTCCAGTATCTCAACAGTGTAGGTTACTTGTAGAGTCTACTATCAATCAGACACCTCAATTCATGTGATGTATTGCGGATAACGTTGTTTTGTAGGGAGATTGTACGGTAGTGTCAATACGATATATATATCGATCGATCACCAGGAACTTTGAAAAACCGATATAAATAATCCATTAAAGACATACAAGTTCCGATCCAAGTCTAATACCTATCCCAACACCTTCATTTTCTTCTTCTTCTTCTTATCATCCCCCCCCTTTCGCCCTTTTTGCCAATCGCGCCAACTGCCAATCCGTTCCTCCCGGGTATCTTCCCACGCTTTGTCTTGCTCCCTCTTACGCTTCCGGGCGTCGAGCTCTTCGTCTTCCTTGCGTCTCTCGCGTCCTTCTTCCTGCATCTTGGCTTTGATCTGCCTCCGTCGTCGGGCCTCCTCATCCAGCAACACCTCGACCGTCTTTTTGCGCCACTCCTTCTTGAACTCCTCCGTCTTCAATTCGGGCGAATCGACGGTGTATTTGTGATCGCGAATGAGCAGTCGCCGAGCGTCCGCGATGCATTCGTCCAGGTACGTGCGTGACTTTTCCTCCATGAGGGCCGAGTGCGCCTTCTTAAGGCGATCGAAGGCATCGGGGGCGGCCGGATTCTTCGTCTTATCGGGGTGAATGAGGAGGGACTTTTTGCGGTATTGGATTTTGATGTCGGACTCGGTGACTCCCGGTTGGAGGTCTAGAACAGCGTAGCTATACCAAAAACGTTAGAGTCTTGCTCCCCTTCGCAGCCCTCGCCTTGCGGTGGCTTCAAATAGAACACAGGAGAAAGAAACTCACGCGTCTAGCTGAAAGGCTTTGCGAATGCGATCGATCTCGGCATCCTGTTTTGGTCAGTCGCAGCTCCGTGTCCGTCCTCGGAGTGTCATACTTTGTTGAAATCCGAGGCCTCCCTCTCTAGCGAGTCCAAAATATCTTTCTCGTCGTCGGACATAACGCAGCCTGCTCTCTGAGTGAGGGATGATCCATCCAGGAAGATGGTTGGCGTAAATGAAGCAACGATAAGCGCGATCTTATCGGCGCTGAGTCAGCAGGCACCCGCCCGGCAGAAAGGTGGGCCTCGGGCCTGCAAAAAGTCCTTTCTCACCGCCCGGCAATTCTGCGAATCTTTTTCGCCAGAAAGAAATGCGAAAAAGCGCAGTCAATTCTGGTCCATTGTCAACAGAACGTTGAATTTTCCACCGACACGGCTCTATTACGGATCGCTTGCGATTGGAGTCGATTATGGCTCCCCCGAACTCACGAAACGGCAAACATGCGAAATCTCGAGATGCGTCGTTGAAACGCAAGCGGGGACAGGAGGATTTGTCCACCCTCGTCCAGAAGGTCGAGGATCTCGATATCAAAGAGACCTTCAAGTCCTTCTCCGACATTCCTCTTTCCGAACCGACCGCTTCCGGCCTGGAGGCGTCCCATTTCAAGGCCCTGACCGATATTCAGTCTCGTGCGATCCCCCATGCGCTGAAAGGCCGGGACATCCTGGGTGCCGCAAAGACCGGCAGCGGCAAGACCTTGGCCTTCATTATCCCCGTTCTCGAAAACCTTTATCGCCGGCAATGGGCGGAACACGATGGTCTGGGGGCATTGATCTTGTCTCCTACGCGCGAGTTGGCCATTCAGATCTTCGAGGTCCTGCGCAAGGTCGGCCGCTTCCACGGCTTTTCGGCCGGCTTGATCATTGGTGGAAAGAGCCTACGGGAGGAGCAGGATAGACTGGGACGGATGAATATCTTAGTCTGCACGCCCGGTCGCATGCTTCAACATCTGGACCAGACGGCTATGTTTGACACCTTCAACCTGCAGATGCTCGTCCTGGACGAGGCCGATCGCATTATGGACATGGGTTTCCAGAAGACCGTGGATGCGATCGTCGGCCATCTTCCGAACGAGCGACAGACCATGCTATTCAGTGCGACCCAAACCAAGAAGGTGTCTGACCTGGCCCGGTTGAGCCTGCAGGACCCCGAGTACGTCGCGGTTCACAATACGGCGGAGTCAGCAACCCCTTCCACGCTTCAGCAGCACTACGTGGTCACGCCGCTGCACAACAAGCTTGACGTCCTTTGGAGCTTCATCCGGAGCAACCTCAAGTCGAAAACGATCGTCTTCCTCTCGTCGGGCAAACAGGTGCGCTTTGTGTACGAGTCCTTCCGACGGCTCCAGCCTGGTATCCCGTTGATGCACCTCCACGGCCGACAGAAGCAAGGCGGGCGACTCGACATCACCTCCAAATACTCCCAAGCCAAGCACGCCGTTCTCTTTTCCACCGACATTGCCGCCCGCGGTCTCGACTTCCCGGCGGTCGACTGGGTCATCCAAATGGACTGCCCCGAAGACGCCGACACCTATATCCACCGCGTGGGCCGGACGGCGCGGTATGAGCGGAACGGTCGCGCCGTCATGTTTCTGGACCCTAGCGAGGAGAAAGGGATGCTGGCACGTCTGGAGCAGAAGAAGGTGCCCGTCGAGCGGATCAACGTCAAAGCGAACAAGCAGCAGAGCATCAAAAACCAACTGCAGAGCATGTGTTTCAAGGATCCCGAGCTCAAGTACCTGGGCCAGAAGGCCTTCATCTCCTACGCCAAGTCGGTGTACGTGCAGAAGGACAAGGAGATTTTCAACATCAAGGCGATGAAGCTGGACGAGTTTGCGTCGAGCATGGGTCTGCCTGGTGCCCCTCGCATCAAGTTCATCAAGGGCGACGATACGAAGGAGCGGAAGAACGCCCCGCGGGCCGCCGCGAACCTGTCCAGCGACGATGGGGACTCGGACGGTGGCGAGGGGAAGAAGAAGAAGGCGCCGAAGGAGGAGAAACAGGTGCGGACCAAGTACGACCGAATGTTCGAGCGACAGAACCAGGACGTGTTGGCCGACCATTACCACAAGCTTATCAATGACGATGGCACGATGGTTGGCGCGGCGAAGGGCCCTGGTGATGGCGAGGATGAGGACGACTTCCTTTCGGTGAAACGCCGGTACGAGGCTGGAGACGAGGACCTCGGCGTGGCAAGCGGCTCCGACGAGGATGCCTCCGACGAGGATGCCTCCGACAAGGACATCAAGACGGTACATATTGACGGCAAGAGTGAGCTGACGATCGACTCGAAGCGTCGCGAGAAGCTGCTCAAGTCCAAGAAGAAGCTCCTGAAATTCAAGGGCAAGGGCAAGAAGCTGGTGTACGACGAAGACGGCAATGCGCACGAGGTTTACGAACTGGAAGACGAGGAACAGTTCCGGGCCAAGGGCGACGCCAAGGAGCAGCAGGCACGGTTCCTGGAGCAGGAGACCGAGCGGGCGCGGCAGGCCGATCTGGAGGACAAGGCGGTCGCCAAGCAGAAGAAGCGCGAGAAGAAGGAGAAGCGCAAGGCTCGCGAGCGGGAGGAGCTCTACTCCGACGACGAGGGCGAGGAGGTCGTGGCCCAACTGGCCCCCTACGAGGAGAGCGAGGGGTCGGCATCGGAGGACGACAGCCGTCGTCCCAGCAAGCGCACCAAGGTGCAGCGCCACGAGTCGGACGAGAGCGAGGACGAGCCCCGGCCCAAGAAGGACTACCGGAGAAGCACCACTCGTCCCGCCCAGGAAGCCCCCCAGATCCAGACCCTGGAAGATCTGGAATCGTTGGCGACTGGATTGTTGGGATGAAGCATGGGATGGGGCATTTCTGCATAGTCGCCCGTGGATTGAACACGGTCGTTCGATTTTGTCTTTCTTGTCTATCATATCCTTACCATTTTTCTTCTCTTTTTTGTTTTCTAGTTCTCTAGCGGGATATCAAAAGCAAATGGCATGTATATAGATCGCACGAAGTGTTCAAACATCATAGTATACTTCTTAGGGTTATATCCACCTAAGGCATCGATGTCGTAATTATGTCCCGGAGTCACCACCTCCACGCTAAACCCGATCTGGCCATTTATCCCTCAATCCATTCTATGAAGCGGGCGTTTTCCCTCCGACCGCGGCGCTTTCATCACCAACGTTGATTTTCCCCAATTGCTTCTACGGAGCTTCCCCTTTGCCTAACCATGTGTCATTGAGTATAGAGGTTCTGCACGTTTGATTTCCCGTCGACTTGACGCTCACATCCGGCCATAATGCTGCCCTGGGCGGCTCGATCGCCGTGCTGGCGCATCTCGCGCCTCATACATCACCGCCCCGCGGTGCCGCGCTCGACCGCGTGGACGACTCCCTCACGCGCGACGCAATTGCGCTTTTTCTCAGCTCACAATAGCCCGTTGCGGAAACAGGATTCGAAGGAACCACCGTCGAACCAAAAAGTATCACCCTCCGCCGCGGGGTTAGATTCCAAACCGACCGATCCGAAGACGAACGACCCCAAGAATGCCGTGGCCGCGCCTAAGAAGGACCTCCTCAGCGAGGCGACGATGGGGAAACAGGAACAAAGGAAGGCCGATTGGGCGATCATGAAGGAGATGGCCAAGTACTTGTGGCCTAAGGTAATGCGTCTGGGTCTGTGGAGGGGTTCGATTGGTGTTAACCGGGGACAATGCAGGATGACTGGGGCACCAAGCTTCGCGTCGGAACGGCCTTGTCCTTGCTGATTGGGGCTAAGGTTAGTGGAAGTGTTGCTGGACTGTACTGGGTCAATTGCTGACCGGGTGACTAGATCCTGAACGTGGAAGTACCGTTTTACTTCAAGAGCATCGTCGATTCCATGAACGTGGATTTTGCGACGCTCGGCGGCACGGCTTATACAGTCGCCGGGTCCATGATCATCGCTTGTAAGCTCACACGATACTGATGTACCAATGGAGGTTATCTAACGAGACAGACGGCGCCACCCGAATCGGAGCCACGCTCTTCCAAGAACTCCGGAACGCAGTCTTTGCGAGTGTGGCCCAGAAAGCCATTCGCAAAGTTGCGAGCAACGTCTTTGAGCACTTGCTCCGACTCGACCTCAACTTCCATCTGTCCCGACAGACAGGCGGGTTGACGCGAGCTATCGACCGTGGTACCAAGGGCATCAGCTTCCTGCTGACGTCCATGGTGTTCCATGTGGTCCCGACTGCCCTTGAGATCTCCCTCGTGTGCGGGATATTGGTATGCCGGAGACCGTCCCCTACCGGTGACGACACCGCTAATGGTTCCCCCAGACATACCAGTATGGCTTGCAGTTTGCTGCCATCACGGCGGCCACCATGGTTGCCTATTCGGCCTTTACGATATCGACCACGGCGTGGCGAACCAAGTTCCGCAAGCAGGCCAACGCAGCAGACAACCGCGGGGCCACCGTGGCCGTGGACTCCCTCATCAATTACGAGGCGGTCAAGTACTTCAACAACGAAAAGTTTGAGGTTGCGCGCTACGATCGTGCGCTCAAAGCGTACGAGGACGCGTCGATCAAGGTGACGACATCGCTGGCCTTCCTGAACTCGGGGCAGAACATGATCTTCTCGAGCGCGCTCGCCGCCACGATGTACCTCGCCGCCAACGGGGTAGCCGCGGGCTCCCTGACGGTGGGCGACCTGGTCATGGTCAACCAGCTGGTCTTCCAGCTGTCAGTGCCGCTAAACTTCCTGGGCTCCGTCTACCGCGAGCTGCGCCAGTCGCTGCTGGACATGGAGACGCTGTTCAACCTGCAAAAGGTCAACGTGAACATCCAGGAGAAGCCAAACGCGAAGCCGCTCCAGTTGAGCCAGGGCGGGCAGATCCGCTTCGAGAACGTCACCTTTGGATACCACCCCGACCGGCCGATCCTCCGCAACGCGACCTTCACGATCCCTGCGGGACAAAAGTTCGCGATCGTCGGTCCTAGCGGGTGTGGCAAGTCCACCATCTTGCGACTGCTGTTCCGGTACTACGACGTGCAAGAGGGCCGCGTCTTGATCGACGGGCAGGACATCCGAGACGTGACGCTGGAGAGCCTGCGGAAGGCGATTGGTGTAGTGCCGCAGGACACGCCGCTGTTCAATGACTCGATCGCCCACAACATCCGGTACGGACGGATTGACGCGTCGGACGAGGAAGTCCGGCACGCTGCGCGACGGGCGCATATCCACGAGCTGATCGAGCGATTGCCTGATGGGTACAAGACGGCTGTGGGAGAACGCGGCATGATGATCTCGGGGGGTGAGAAGCAGCGGTTGGCCATTTCGCGATTGATCCTGAAGGACCCGCAACTGTTTTTCTTCGATGAAGCGGTATGTCTCTTGCCCTTTCTCTCCGCGTCCTTCTTGTCCGTTCGATAGTACTAACTTCACAGACCTCTGCTCTCGACACCTACACCGAGCAAGCCCTACTGCAGAACATCAACAGTATCCTCAGAGAGAAGACGCGCACGAGCGTGTTCGTCGCGCACCGACTGCGGACCATCTTCGACAGCGACCAGATCCTCGTGCTGAAAGACGGCCACGTAGCGGAGCAAGGGTCGCACCGCGATCTGCTCGATCAAAACGGCATATACGCCGAGCTGTGGAATGGTAGGTATTCCATCCCCGACGTCCAAACGCGCCGCTAACCATACCGCACAGCCCAAGAGATGTCGCTAGGAGACGCGGAATATGAAGAGACCGTCTAACTGAGGCGAGGCCGCGCTCGAAACAAGGGACAGGACCCCGGGGAAGAAGACGTAAGTTTGATCGGATCACTGGTGTTACTGGATTGGGGTTACAGATGGTTGTGTTTGTTTTTTCTCCGTGCATATTTTGGGTCCCGTTGGGATGTCGTATATACATTGACAATAGATATTGATTCCATCAACCTGTTCTCATGATAGACATTATTGTTCGGGTGGTCAGCCATCTACTGATGACCTGTGAATCGATGGGTTGATCCGATAAGTTCGTACATTGACGATCGATATATACCACCAAAGTCCAGCCCATTCACTGAAGATTACTCCCTCCTCGCACACCACCGCAGTCGATACCCATTTCGATCCAACTTCTGATGATCAAGATACGCGTCCTTGTTCACATTTACCAGCCACCTCGTCCCCGTGCACCGTCCAATCTCCTCCCACAATCCCAACAACGTCTCATGGGTATGGACAAACACCGCCCCACCGCCAGGCACAACACCTTCCTTCGCCTCACATCGCGCAAAATTCGCCCCGACGATGAGGTCGCCCTTCATCCCGGGGAGAACCTTCAGCATACGCTTCACGAGCTCAACCTGACTCTTCCAGTCCCACACATGCAAAAAATACCCAGCATTGATCACGCGGAATTTCCCCTCCTCCAGCAGACTGTCCACCAATCCATCCCGCATGAAATCCCCCACTATAAAAGAACTCCTCATCTCATCCTCATCTCGAAACAACTCATAGCCTAACTCAGCCAGACCACGATGAGGATCCAGCCCGCAGAGATTCTCGCTCGGCGCCCCGTCGTACACCATCCGTCTGATATCCTGCCCTACCCCACACCCCAGATGCAGCATCCTCTCGCCGTTTACCACCCGCCTCAGAATCTCCCCGTACGCGGGCGACAAGGCGATCTCAAAGTCGACGAACCAGAGCTTGCTGAAGTAGGGATAGGGTGCGATGGTGAAGCCGCGCTTGGCCTGGTTCTTGTCAGGTAGTTCATTCAAAGGGGGGGAGGAGAAAGGAGGGGTACGGTTGCTTGGACGTGGGATGAAAGTAGGGAGGGGGCGAGTCCGGTGTAGTTTTGGAGCAGGGTGCGCGCTTCGTCGTTCATGGAGGTGGCAGGTGCCATTCGGGCGTTCCAGGTGTTGTATGCTTCCATTTATGCGGTCAGTTTGGGGATAGTATATACTGAAAGCTGAAGCTGACTTGTTCAAAGGAGAGTTGTTCAATTAATATATTGAATGAAGAGGATGGCGGTTATAGGCGGAGACTGCGCCAGCCCTAATCCAGCCACGCCAACGCAGCCTCGTCGATGAACATATGATCTATTGTATGAGCTTGTATTACAAAACTAGAATATAACTATCAAACTGGAGACTATCGCCCTAGTAATCTCACCTCCACCCACCGCAGTGGTGGATAAACGAGCGCCGTGAACCCCACCGACAGCCATATCCCCATATCGCACGGTGCAGGGAGGACCCTCGTGACAGGACCGACGAAGTACGACTCGGACTATATCATCAGTACAATACAGCAGTGAATGGAGAGTACAGTGCACCTACCATGCCGAGAATCCCACCCAAACAGCCGAGCAGAAGACTCCCCCCCGCAGCAACCCCAACAGGCAGCCTGACTCTGCAGTTCCACGCCGTCCAGTCGACGACACGCCCACGACGGAAGATCCACGCCTCTTCGAGACAGATGGCCAGCCACGCGACAATCCAGTACGCCATGAGCGGGAGAAAGTTCTCGAGAATCTCGCGCAGGTAGGACCGGCCCAGCACGGCGCACACGGTGCACAGGACGATCTCGAGCGTGGTCAGGAGCGGCCGCGGGATGCGCGGCCCGTACCGACCTAGCATTTGCAGGTTCAAGCCCGCCGAGTACGTGCACGGGATGTTGTTCGACACTGTCCCTAGCATGAGAAGCACGGCGCAGAACCGTCCGATCCCACCGAGGGGTGTCAGTGTATTTGCAAGCAGAGCGCCCGGGGCGGTCGTTGCCACCTCGTCTGGGTGAGTGATGCTTGTAGCGAGACCGACTCCCACCACGGTGGTCAGGACAGCTCCTATGCTGGTTGCGCTGGCGGCGGCGAGGACCATGCGTGTGGTGGAGGTCGACGGGGGGAAGTAGACGAAGTAGTCTGCGCTGGACGGGGCCCATGTGATAGCGGAGGAGAAGCACAGCGAGAAAAACGACAAGCGGTTGGCCACGACTTTAGGGGAAGAGTCTATCGACTGCGCGCGGCTGGTGTCGAAGTGTGGGCCTGCGCAGCCGATCATGATGCACAGCACGGCGGCCTGCACGGCCCATGCGTATCGCGTGTAGAGGTGGAAGAGGGGCATGCCGAAGGTTGCGACGCACCATGTTAGGACGGCGACGATGACAATGCCTACTGGGACGGCGGTGCGGCCGTTGGACATGGTGAAGAGGATCTGCCCGCCTAGGATGCCGTTGACCATGGCGTAGCCCAGCATTGTGAGGACGTTCAGGAGACAGCAGATCTTGCTGGGGTAGTATCCGATGAAGAAGCGGGTTGCAACCTGGGGGTTTAGCGGTCTGCGCAACGAAGGATGTGTAGCATGCATACCAGTGTTCGATTGCCACTGCGCGGTCCCAAGGTGCTCATGTAGGCCACTCCGATACTGCCCAGGACGCCCCCAAATACAGCACACCAGACGGAGTCATACCAGTCCAGTGCATACAGAGACGGCCCATAGAGCCCAACCAAGATGTTGTTGCCGGTCAGGAAGGAGCTCAGCCAGAGCATGAAGATGCGATGGTAGTCATTTGGACCGGGGGGATGGCGCTCGTGCACCTCGACACGTTCAATGCCTCGTGTCTCTAGGCCTGACAACCGACTGAGCTTGATCACACACCGTCTGACCGGGGAGACCTTTCGATCAGAATCGATCGATTCGGTGACTTGCACGATTTCCGCCTTGACCCCCGCGTCCTTGAGGACCTCAATCGGTGTAGGACCTTGTTCGATGTCTGCCATTGTGTTTATCTAGATAGCAGGAACCTAGGATATCGATTGGCGGGGATTAAACCAGTCTACCAACGCGTATACCATATCACCACCCCTGGGGTAAGCCAGACAGTTTTATAATCACCTTAACCAGGGCATTCGCCCGCATGGACCTAGACCCTATAGAACCGTCAAGAATCAAGAGAAAGATAAGAAAGAAGAGAAAAGAAATTGGTGGATGCCTAATATGCAGCCATAAGAAATTGTCTCGTATAGTTGAGAGGGTTCCATCCTGTATGCAAGGACCGCATAGGGCTGGTCTGCTGATCTGGGGTCACATCGCGACGCATTATTCTACTCTCTAGGGGGTGGCGCGTTTTCTCCCTGTCGAAGGGGTATCTGTGGAGGTCTGGATCTAGCTGCTGTCTTGGTTAGATCTAGTCCTGGGTCTTGTTCTAGATCGGCTTGATGGGCCGAGACTTTCGTCCACCCTGTCTTACCCAGGACCACACATGGGGTCAAGGATCGTGATGAGGCGGTTTCGAAGGGTGCAATGGGCTGCTATCTAGCAGTATTTGCCCTGGAGATAGGATACTCTTGCGGTATTGGGTGGTTGGCTTCGCAGAACGAGGGCTTTAAAAAGGTAGATGGTGTGCTCTAGACTCCACGGCAGGGAATCCAGGAGGGATCGATCACGGGTCCTCTCCAGCCCTAGGTTGATCATACTGCGGATGGGATTCAGTGGACATCGAGACCCCGTTTAGCTCGCTGTCTACGACTGGACATGTCATGTCCCTGGTGTAGGGGGATAAGATGAACAAGATATCATTTCTCGTCTAAACACGTCAATGCTACCTAAATCGTTGCCATGCACAATTCTTCCTTTTCTGCATTCCCTGATCAAAACAGATGTGCTTACCGCACCGTGCCGTTCTTCAGGCTCTTCACAGTGCACAACCCACCCTGCGTCATCAGCTTGCCCAGCGCCGGCTTGCCCTCCTGGCCCTGCACGGCAGGGACAGCACTGCTGTCAAAGGCCACCTCGAGGGAGTCCGTCGTGGTGAATCCGGGCTGGAAGGTCTCCCAGACCTTCTTCTTGGGGTTGAGCACCTTCTCGGGCTCACCCTCCGACCAGCCGTCGAAGTAGACGCGGGCACCGGCGGGGGCATCGGCCGGCGGGCTGACGAGCTCGACGGGGCCCGCGTGGGAGTCCTCGCCCTCGGCGACACGCGGCGACGCGGCCAGCACCATGGCGCACGACTTGATGCCGCGCATGGTGACGGGCTTGAGGTTGCAGACGGCCACGATCTTGCGGTCCTGCATCTCCGGCAGCGGAATCAGGCCGTTCAACCCGGAGCAGACGGTGCGCACCGTCTTGCCCGTGGCCTCATCCAGCGACGTGTTCTCCGTGCCAGGGGCATCGCCGCAGTCGATGGTCGACACGTACAGCGAGTCGGCGTTGGGGTGGTTGATGGCGCGCAGGATGTGGCCCACACGCAGGTCGATGACCGACGGGGAGGGCGGGGCGGCGGGGGCCGGCGGGGGCTTGGGGGCCTTTTCCTTCTTCTCCTTCTTCTCCTTCTTGTTGGCCTTGCCCTCCTTGGCCTTGCCCTCGGGGGCGGCCTCCTTCGACTCGGGGCGACCCTTGCCGACGACCAGCGGCTTGCCGGAGTCGGGGGTCTGGACGCCCGCGGCGGCGGCAGCAGCGGCCTTCTCCTTCTTCTTGCGCTCCTTCTCCTCCTTGGGGTCGACGGGCTTGGGGACGAAGCGCACGTCGTTCAGGTCGATGGCGATCTTCTCCTCGTCGGGGATGCGCAGGCCGAACAGGCGGCTGTTCTGGACGAGGTCGATGTGGCGGACGATGTGGTGATGGCCGTGCTCACCGGTGCGCTCCTCGGGGGACCACTTCTCGACGACGGGGGCCAGCAGCGCATACAGGGCGATGTCGGCGACGGACGGCTTGGTGCCCAGGAGGGTGGTGCGCGAGGCGAGGTGGGTGTTCAGGTGGCCCAGAATGCCGGAGACGGCGGCGGCGTCACCCTTGACGAGCGCGGACTGGAGGCCATCGACGGACTCGAGCCACAGCTTAGTGCTGGCCTTCTCCTCCTCGGAGTAGTCGATCTGGGAGAAGATCTTGTGGGAGGCGTGACGGAGGTCGGGCTCGGTAGCGTCGGGGGAGACGGCGCCCGGGTAGGAGCGGTAGAGGAGGGAGAGGAGCGAGGTCTGGGGGGCGGAATTGATGGCCATCGTGGAGCGGGACCTGGTGGCAGGCGTGATCGGAGGAGGCGTGGTGATGGTGGGGAAGAAAAAGTGAGGCAGACGAGGGGCAGTTGGGAGAAGTCGGCGTGGGGCTACTGGGGTGGCCCGCACACGGCGCAGGAGGGGCACGAGGGGAGACAGCGTGGATGCTATCCCGAGGGATTACGGAGGGAATTGGAGCGAGAGATCTAGGAAGGCTATAAAGAACGGACGAGTGAAGCAATTGAAGAATTGAAGTTGAGAATCATGAGAAAAATGAGGAAATGTCCGATCGCAGACGGATGCCTGTGCGTTCAGGCAGGAGTATGAGTCAGCGTTGCATCTGAGTCAGCATGTACAACAGTCACATGATCCGGTGATATCCATCACGTGCACATCCCTTCTATCCCCGACAACATACAGAAGACTACGAGACACATCTGGGAGCTTTGCAAATGATCCAATTGACTCTGTGACATGATGGTACTCAGTGGCCTTTCTGGTGTCGTATTGCACAGCGTCAGATACTTCTGCTCTGCTCCCTTCATCCTCTCATTCAATGACGTTGCTGATTCTAGCACACGTGCAATCATCAACACCAATTATTTAATACCGTCAGAGCTGCCACCGAAGCTAGACAGGCATGGACTTTCACCCCATTGATGCCGTAGACGGCTTATATGATCATGCGCCGGCAGTGTGGATTGGTGTGTCATGAGGTGGTCCTATCTTTGCTTGACGAATTTAATAGATCTATCCCCGTGTTATCGATCAGCCGTACCGCATCAGTACTCCGATGTAATTCGTGTGATATTTGGCCCTGGGGTTGGTGGGTCTTGCCCCTCATCACATTATCTACCCGGCGCGAGGAATATTTATGAATTTGAGTCTCCTACCAATGAGATGCCCTGAGCAACTGGTGTGACGCATCAACAGGGGTGCTTATCACCTGAGACGCTTGTTCGACCGCGCAGCATATATGTCAGCTCATCAAGAGGCTGGAATACACCATATCTTGTCGTCTAGTTCCTTTTTTCATCCTTTTCTATCCCGTGAAGCATCATGCCTGTGGTATTTCAAAAATATGTCCATCCTCCCCAGGGTAGGTATCAAGAGGCCGCTACCTTCTGTTGAAAACAAATTGACTAATAAGCCCGTTCCGCCTAGAGAGACACGAAGAAACCCCATCGCGTCCTGTATCAATCGTCCCGTATCCGCGCAATCCAGACTTTGTGGGTCGGGACACGCTACTCAACCAGCTTCATAGGAGAGGTGATGTGCCCGGGTCGAGAATAGCGCTTATCGGCCCTGGCGGAGTCGGGCGAGTTTAGCATAGTCGACCGGCTGCCCGTTGCTGACAGGTTTCCAGAAAAACGCAGCTGGCCGCCGAATACACCTACAGCATACGAGACCGATCGCCCGAGACGTCGGTATTCTGGGTCCCTGCAAGAGATGCTGGCAGGTTCGAGCGGGGTTGCCGGGATATTGCAAATAGGCTTAAGATCCCCGGCAGGCAGAACCCGAAAGCAGATATCTGCGAACTCCTTCATGCCTGGCTTCAAGATGAGAGAAATGGAAAGTGGGTCCTAGTTCTCGACAATTTGGACGATGGCGAATTCCTCCGTAACATCCGACCAGCAGATGTTGATGACCTCGGCGTTAACTCTAGCGGCCTGCCAGGGAAATCATTCTGGTCGTATTTCTGTGAGGGTTTGAAAGGCCCAATTGTTATCACAACCCGGAACAGAGGGGTGACATCGATGGTGGAGGATAGCAATGTTCTTCATGTTGCACCGATGAATAACGACCAAGCGATAGCACTGTTTGAGAAGAAATGTAATGTGCAAGCTGACAGAGAAGAGGTTATCCAGCTTGTGACGGCCCTGGATTTCATGCCGCTGGCGATTACGCAAGCGGCAGCCTATGTCAATCGTGAATCGCCAAACCTGTCAGTCCCACGGTATCTTGAATTGATCCCTGGGTATAACAAAGTTTCTACCACCTGGCAACTGTTATTTAACCATGTACGAGAAATGCAGCCGTCAGCGGCAGATTTGTTATGTGTTATGAGTTTCTTCGACGCAGATGGAATTCCTGGTTACGTTTTTCGTCAGAAGGGGACAGGGTTAAACATCAGAGATTTGCCTACCTACGACAAAGATAGGGCAAACAATGGCGGAGATGGAGAGGCGAGCGCAAGTGAACCTAGTGGGCTTGATATCCTTGAAAATGACATCTCGCTGTTGGAAAAATACTCAATGATATCCGTCAGCGCAGATGGATCAAAGTTTGGGATGCATCGGCTTGTTCAAGGGACCACACAGAATTGGCTGGAAGACAACGGGCAATTTGAAGAATATAAGGAGCGTTTTATCCGAATACTTTGGAGCAACTTTCCAGCGGGGCGTTTGAGAAACTCGTCAAGGTGCGAATCGCTATTTGCTCACGTGCTATGCGCGGCTGCACAACGCCCGAACGCAGAAGCCTCTTTAGGACAATGGGCATCTTTACTGCATGAAGCAGCATCGTTTGCGATGACCCGAGGAACTTACGCTGATAGCACAAAATTGGCAGGGGAAGCTTTCTCCACCAGAACGAAATTATTTGGCGTAAGGGATGAGCAGACACTCAATAGTTCCCAAGTCCTGGCACTATCATACAGTCTCGAGGGCCGATGGAATGAAGCCCAAGAGTTACAAGAGCATGTGATGGAGACTAGCAAGCAGGTTCTAGGATCAGAGCATCCTTTCACTCTGACTACTGCGAGCCATCTCGCATCTACATACTCACATCTAGGGCAACTGAAGGAAGCAGAAGAGCTTCTGACTCTGGTAATGAACACGAGCAAGCAGTTGCTAGGACCAGAGCGTTCTGGTCCTCTACCTACTATGACTGCTGTCACATCTTCACACTGGAACCAAACACAAATCAAAGAGGCCGAAGAGCTCCTGACACTGGTGGTACAAACCAGCAAGCAGATCCTAGGGCCAGAACATCCCAACGCTCTGCTTAGCATGGATAACCTCGCTTCTCTATATATGAGCCAAGGAAACTGGACGGCGGCCAAACAACTGCTGATGCAGGTGATACAGATCAGAAGACAGGTCCTGGGGCCAGAACATCCCAGCACTCTGCTGGGTATGGATAACCTCGCATCTCTATACATGAGCCAAGAAGAATGGACGGCGACAGAACAGCTGCTGTTACAGGTGATAGAGATCAGAAAGCAAGCACTGGGACCGGATCATCTCGATACTCTACAGAGTATGAACAACCTCACATCGGTGTACGTACTACAGGGAGAATGCAAGGTGGCGAAAGAGCACCTGATCCAGGTGATAGGGACCAGCATGCACGAGCTAGGGTCGGATTACGCCAACACTCGGATCCGAAAGGATATAGAGACACGAGTAATGAACACTCACGATGAAGTGCTAGAGCTCAAACATTCCAGACCTCTGCTTACTATGAACATGCTCGCATATCAGCGCATGAACGAAGGACAATGGGAGGAAGCAAAAGAGCTACAAATGCAGATGGTGGTTATTCTGGACTCATTAATAGAGACTCGAGAGGAGGGCTCGGATTCAGCCACTGAAAATGACTCAGTTTTTTCTGCCTCGGTCTCCCACCCCAGCGCCACTTCGTTGGAATCAAGAGGACGGGAAATAAATTTGCTGCTCGTTCGCGAGTTTGCAACCTTGCTTTTTGACGATGGCACTCTGTTCTCGCTCCTCTTAGTCGGCATATCAGAACAACGGATTGGATTTGAGAGGATGCGAAACAACTTTCGGAGGTTGCTGAAACACTTCGCGAACAATCTCAAGGTGGACATCCACAGTGAATTGCACCAAAACTTTAGGAGATTTGTAAGTTCTTATTCAAGGATGATTACCCAGGAACTCTTTGCCATGACACCCATCGGCAGAGAGCATGTTACTAGACTTCTCGTTCCAGAGGCAGTAGATGGGACCGCATCAGTGAAAGACCGCGCAGTCCGTGAAAAGAGAGTGGAAAATTATCTTCAAAGTTTACGCGGGACTGGCCCATTTCTTCCAACAAATGAAGCAACAACAGTACTCAATCGTGATGACGAGGATAGTGATCAAGACTCCGTGGCAGAGGAAGCCGGCGAAGATGAGCCATATGAGGGATCTTTACCGCAGTTGGACCAAGTGAAGAGCTTCATTTTGGAAAGCGTCGCCTACCAAATGTTTCGTCGCCGGCTCCAAGAATTTGTCCATCCCTCGTTGTACTCTCGGCTTCGGGATCTGGTGACACAATGGACTGATCAAGACGACAGGCGCTGTGGCGATACTGTGCGTTATAATTTGCATAACCTTGTCTCGGATCTGCAGCACGTGAATCCCCTTGAGGTTCGATTTGACATTGGCCATGGAAGTTCTCGATTCGTCAAGTTTATCAGTCCCTATCAGTATTTAGTTGAGCGCTGGACCGGGGAGCATTGGGATTGGTGGCCATTTCCTCCCTGTCAGAGACCACTGGAAGAATCAGAAACACGGTTACGATGGAAGTGTGTGAGTATTTGTTTATCTCCGCTCCTGCACAAGACTGAGCTCTGATCAGTGATGCAGGAATGTGGTGAAGAGCGATGGGCAGAAGTGCCAAAAACATTTGCCAAACGCCTTCAGTCTATAATTAGAAGTCTTCCCACAGGCACTACCGCATGTGAAGATTTGCAACCTCCTCCAGTGACCCAAATTCGATCTGACTCGCTCCCTAGTAGCGCTTCAAATAATGAAATCTCTAACCAGGCACCTCATCAGGGTCATGGAATTAAGCAGGCACTTGGCTCATCATCGGATCCTTCAATTCATCATCGACTACCGGGACCCCAGACCAGTAACTTTGACATGAGTCTCACCCAGCACCGCGTCCTCTTGGTCGTTAAAAGTGGCCACAACTATAGGCTCGCACAGATTCGCGTGAGCAGTTCGAACCATAATACCTTTTTCGGCACTTTGAGAGAAGAATATTTCCGCCTAAGAGGTATGATGCGAAGCTGGTTCAGTGTTTGGAGGTACAACCATTGCGAGTTTTACGAGGTAACCACTTGCGCTTGCTTTGCTCTCTGAGATTTTCGGCTGAATATATAAAAACAGTTCGAGAAGTTCGATGACCACCTTTTCGCACCCAAAACCAAGAATGCGTTCCCTAGCCACAGGAACACCGAATATGAGTATCTGCCAAGACCGATAGACAACATTCCCCCAATAAGTGAACATGCATTCTGGTGCAAATTTTACGCATGTCACAAACCACGACCATATCACCTCCACCACAAATGTAACCAGCGGAGGTCTCATTCCAATGAGATGCTAAAGTCCCTTCCCAAAAAAAAGACCGAACTAGAAGAAGGGGGCGACAAGCGAGAGTACTTCTGGGGGATCTATGCATGTGAAAACATTAGTATACGTTGGATCATTTTCTACAATTTTCTCTGTGTTTCACCTTTGCTAGCATTCTTCGTGGCACGGATCATACCACAAGGGCACGGCACGGATTTGCAAAACCCGTCTATCCCGCTTTCAATGATGTGTTCGATGCTTTCTCTCTTCTGGAGTGTATATCTTAGCAGTCTACAGTTTGGCAGGTCTCATTGAAGCCGGTATGTGTTTTATACATTGGTCCGTATTGCTATGAAGATGTGGATTGCTAATGAGCCTGCAAGTGTAATGGGTCTTTTTTGTGTTTAGGGTCCCTTGCACCCGGGTAGTGTGAATTTGATACCCAGCGTTGGCCATATCGCCCAGAGAGAGCCCTACTAGTTTCAAGGGCCATTTTGGTAAACGAGTATATACTCATCTTTCTATGGACAAGTTATCTAGTGGCTCTAGTCTAGTAAGAGTTATTTTGAATAGCCTGAATAGAGTATTATGATTTTCGCGGCAGCTAGGTGAGAAACACTCCGATTGTTCTTCCCAAATTCAGTGTGCCATTAGACACGTAAGGTCGCCCCGCTGTAACTCGGGGAAAAGACGACTATCGGTTGAAAGGATTTGGGCTTGTCACAATTATATGCTCATCTTATAGGTCTCGCAGTAAACCTACGACCCAGGGACTACGTGACGAGAGTTTAATGTTGTTGTTCTACTTTTTGGCCTGATTTACGATTCTCTAGTTAAAACACTTGGGCTCAGTCCAAACACACATATAATTGAGATTGCATCTGTTGTGAACTATTGTATACGACCCAAAGCATGAGCACGGAGCATGACCAGAGCCTAGTTGACTAGAATAATCCTCTCTTTCATATGTCTACCTGGCTTTTTGTTTCTTTCCCTGTCCTTACGGGCCCATAGCCGATTCTACTCCTACGAGAGGGCGGCGGGAGTGGTTAGGATCCTCCCCTGTCCTCTGCCGATTCGATTTCATTCACACTGTTTATTAAAGCTGGACGGGAATGAAGTCCCGCACTAATTATCAGTATAATAGGAATCATCTCATCCGTTTGGGAATTTGGGTTAATATGAGCCTGTTGGAAGCGGGTCACCTGACTATGCTGGGCGACATAATCACCACTGCTTTGTTCATCTGTTTCATCATCTTCACCACTTTGGGCTGTTTGGTGTCTCTATCAGGCAGTAGAGTAGTTCTTGCCTCGTAAATTCAACCACTATATCCCAAATGCAGCTATCAACATACCCCGCATCATGACGACTGGTTGGGGAAGACCCTCTGACCAAAACCAGAGGGTAGGGCATTGAATCTCTAGCCCCTGGAAGTTTTTGGAACGGCGTATATGGCACGATCAAGATACAGACCTGCGTGATGATTTGGGCAACCAGTGACGCAACCACACCTCAATTTCACCGGAGGAGCTGGCCGAAACGCAGCATCATTGCTAGCCCCGAAAGGACTGAGATTTCCTACATTAGCCGAGTCGAAACTTGCCAAGGTGCCCATGGTTACTTGCTCATGTTGACTAGATGACTCACAATGCCCAGAGACAAAACCCTCTTGTCGCAAGGAAGATAGCACTACTTGGGAAGCCCACGATTGCCACGATATCCTTTGTGGTCTAGTGGTAGTGGCTACTTGAATGCGTCGCCTCACCAAGAGTGTAGGCCCCACTGCTCCACCAAGCAGCATCGTTTGCATGACTCGAAAAATTGCATTGGGATCAAAAGAATGGCTGGGGAGGCCCTCAAAAACAGGATTGTCTGGCTTGAAGAAGGCGGGGCAGTCAATAGTCATCTGCTCCTACGGGTGGAATATAGCCTGGAGGGTCAATGGACCCCGGCGGAATACTTATATGTGCATATGGTATAGATGACCAAGCCGGTGCTGGGACCAGAGCATGTCTTACATGTGATGACTGTGGACCATCTCCCATTTATACACCGGAAAAAAAAAAGAAAATTGGAAGGAACAGCAGAGTCATGGGATGCGACTTGACCGTGGTCACGATGTCTCTCGACTGATCTTGCTCACAATTCACCATCGTCACCTAGTTCAGCACCTGACCAGACAGTGTTGGGATTAATAGCCATTTCCTCATTGTGGAAGACTACAGGGATAATCAGAAACACGGTTACGGTGAGATGCATATGAACCCATCCACCCCAGCCCTGCACGAGTGACCGTTTCTGTTCAGGGATTCAGGACTGTGTTGTGGCAAGGGAAGATGGGCCGAAGTACCAAACATAGTGGCCAAGCACCTTCAATTCATAAGCAAAACAATTCCCATGGACATCGCGGCAACCCAAAGTCTACACTCTCCAAGGGTACATATGTCGCAACGAAGGGGGGTTACTCACGGCAGCCCAGAAGAGTCATAGTATCTTCTTGGGTCTAGCGGGAACGACTGCCGTTGACTGCGTTATTTTATTATCATCCCCGGGAGATAAGGCCAGTACCTTGGCCCGAGCATCACCTAGCATGGCATTCTGGGGGAGAATATGGGGTGATGGTGGGATTGCAGGGATTGGATTCGGCGTCCATATGCCCAGGGGTCAGCGCGACTTCCAGATGGTCCATCGGTCCGACGGTTGCCCCATCCGTGCACATCATCATTTCCCCTGCGACGGCCGCTTCTTCAGGTCCGTATTCGGCTAGCGATGTCGATTGGCTCCCAGTCCGAGTGACTTTCAAATTCCATTCCACTATAGGACTGGATTGCCCAATTAGCACAGGGATCCCCGCATTCCAGCCGGGGCCAACTAATATAGGGCTAGGGCGTCAACTTTATCCCGTGAATAAGGGTCTCTCATCACGGCAGGTATATTACGGCCAGGGCACGGATAATCGACGGAATTGAAATAGGTGGGTCACGAGGTGATCGTTGGCCTGCATCGAGCGTGAAGCCGACGAACAGCCGACACTTGGTCGGTAGTGCCCCGTGCGAAGGCCTGGTGTCGTATCTTCAGGCTAATAATCACTTCAAGCGGAAGGAGATCGCCCGGGGATTGACGTCAATGCGCCAGTGTGGAGGGCGAAGAGTCTTCCAAACCCCATTCTAGAATGGCATGTTACAGCCTAATCGCGCTTTCCAAGACTAACATAAGCCAGCCCCTCCGTTCTGCACACCATTCTCCCTGCTCACCTGAGCGTCTGAGATATTGCGGGGACTATTGACATGCCTTCAATGCCTACTGATCCAAGTGTCTTCATGACATATACAAGTATCAGTATCGACAAGAATGGGGTGGACGACGACGATGTCAGCCTGGACAAACCCACATGGGTCCACGATCCGGATCTGCAGCGTCCTTCTACCGCGACGGTTGCACATCACAGCTGTGATAAACTCGCCATGGACGTCGAGTACCGTCCTACGCATCTCATTGCAGGCTCCACCTCAAAGCGAGCCAGGAATTACTCCCACTCCGACCACCAGCGTGACAGCCAGACCTGCGCCCAGGAGCTCGCCAGGTTCAACGAGAGGCTCCTCTGCGAGGCCCGCAGCAGCGAGTCAACAGCCCCGGGGCCATCGTTTGGGCAGACCCTCCGGCACTGCCAGGACTTCCTCTCCGTCCTCCGGCGCTTTCGCGCATCCTCCTGCGGCGATAACTTTGACACCGCCACGGAATGGCCGTGCTCGCCTACACTTAGCACTGGTGGCTCGTCCGCCTACCAGAACTTCTCACGACTGTCCTCGGCGTCACCCTCGTTCGCTTCCCCCTCCACCCCCCTCGACATCCCCACCGTTCTATCAATCCTCTTCTGCTACACTTACATCCTCCAATCCTTCGACGACCTGTTCACCCCCATCCACGCCGCTGTCACACAGTCCAGCCCTGTCGTTCCCGCCACGCTCGTAGGCCTCCGCCTAGACGGCTTCAACCTCGACAGCCACCCGGCCCTCCAACTCGAATGCCTCATCAACATCAGCTGGAACCGACTCGAAAAGATCGAGAACACCCTCCTCGGCGGACCAGGCTACACGGGGATTCTCACCCAGGCTAGACGAGGAGTCCTTGGCGATAAGCTCTTCGCGGGACTCCTGGACGCGCTGTACGAGCCCAACGACCAGGGGGGTCTCATGAGGGGAAACGGCAAACGCGAGGTGCGCGCGAAGCGGCTTATTCGGGAGATCCAGGCTTCGTTGGAGAGTACTGATCTGTAATTTCCATTCATTCATTCTTTCATTCTTTTTTTTTTTTTCTTTGTTGACGGTGGGCGTGATGGTAGGCGTGATTTGATTAATGGTGGGGAATGTTTTGTTTTAGAGTGGACTTTGTTCTATAGTTTAGACATGCTAGCTTCTACGCGACAATGTGGTTATTAATGAGATAATGATATTGACTTCAATTTTTCAAGATTCTGTGAAACACTTCATCCTTTGAAACTTCTCAAATTTGGTGTCCTCCACAGACAGACATTCATCGACCATTTACGCTCAAAATACCAATCGCCTATCATTCAAATCCAACACCACTTGTAGAGAATAGACACACGAATCCTGCCATCCGAGCATTACAAACATACTCCCATATCCATCAAATCAACACGCCGTATGCCAATTATGAATATCCAAGAAATACACATAGCACATGGGCCAGATCAGTGAGGCGTAGCAATCGCGATCGAAGGCCCACGCAGGTCAAACACCACGTAGAATGCCTTCAGGAAGACATCACCCAAGATTTGCATTTTGCTTCCCTGGTTTGATTGTACGCCCCCGAAACAAACTGGATTTGTGTTAGTATATATATTTCTAGTACCTCACTGCGAAGAAGAAAAAAAAGAAAAAAAAAAGAATGAATGAGGAAGAGAACGTACCCGGTTCACCGGTGGTCTGGTTGGTGCCGATCTGCGAATACCCCAGAAGCTCGCCCGGGAGGTAAGCCAGGTGGCTGTCACCAAAGCCGACGGACAGATCGGGTAGCGTTTGATTGCAAGGGTAGGCATACCCGCCAACATTGAAGAGGTGGACAGCATTGGGGACCTGGGCGTAGTAGGCCTTGACGACCTCGTTGTCGAGAAGCATGAGCGTCGTGCCTGTGTCAGCGATGGCAGGGGTGGCGTTGTCGCGCTTGATCAGCGTGCCGTTCCCGATCTTGTAGTGGAGGGACGGGACCTGCCAAAAGCCATTGGACGGGTCAACGGTGATATTGACGAGCTCACCGCGGTACTTGTCGGGGTCGACGAAGCCGAACTCGTACTCGCCGACGGCCTTGGGCTTGAGAGAGGCGGTCAGCACAGGCTCGTCGAGATCCTTGGCTAGATTCTCCAGAAAATTCTTCTGCTGGCGAGGCCGCATGGTGCTGACTGTCGAGAAGGCAAACCCCGCCAGTCCGTTGTAGTGGGTGTCCTCGAGGAAGGAGCTGGACACGGTCGTAGGAATCCCAATGGCCTGGCCCGATACAACGGCGCCGCCGATGTCGACGGTATCGGTGCCGACGTAGCCCCATGCATAAGATCGGTCACCGTAGCTGATTCTGAAGGTCGCCTCGTCCATTTTCTGGAACGTGGTTGAATTGGAGACATTGAACACTTCACGGCCGGCCAGGTCGATGCCCGCCACATTGGGGTTCATCACCCAGCTGCGAATCCTGTCAGCTCGAACAGTTTACGAGGGGAGTTGGTTATACGTACAAGTCAGCGGAGCCCGTATCAAAATTCATCATGATCTTCTGGCCGCCGACGATCACGGGCGAGACAAATGCGGCGTCTTCCTGAACGGAGGCGGCACTGACGGCGCCGGCCGCCTCGGGCTCGGAGATGTTCTTGTTAGCAACGGCGTTCTTCACGACAACCGGTTCGAAATCGGGAAGCTCAACCCCAAGGTCTATCGGATTGATTCCATACTTTCGGTAGGCCTGGCGTAGAGCGATAGGGCCTTGAATGTCGTTATCGCGCAGAATGCTTTCCACCTTGAAGGACCGACGTTGATGGGTCTCCGGGGGGGCAGTGGGGGCTGAGAACGCCCCAAATCCTAGACAGGCGATCAACAGTAGAGACTGGACTAACATTCTGTCCCTTGACACGATTGGAAATGAAGATCGGGGATCGATCACGCGTGGGGAAAGAGTCAGGAAAGAGGAGTAGAAAGAACGCGTGGAGGCCTTGCCAGGAAGAAAGCTTGAAAGAGCATGAACAAGACCCGGGTCCTGAATTGGGTCCCTTATATATCTCTATATTCATAGAAGTGATAGAGGAAGAAAGGATGAATGTGCCGGTGAAAGGCTGTGCTGTCGAACAAAGGCCAGGGAAACGATGGAAATATCCCAATGATCATCGTCAGTGATAACCATAAGTCATAGCTCACTCATGAGTGAACGATGCCCAGAGAGACTGGTTATAGGCTTTTCAAATATCATCTGAGGGTTATCATCATATCATCATCCTGGTGACATGTTGCTGATAGGAGCACTGCGTTAGCCTGTATAAGAGCAGAGAGTTTCATGATGAAACTCGGGTGAATCTGGCACTCAGTGTTGATCAAACCAACAAAGGCTCATTGTGACAAAAGCGCGCGGGTAGGGAGTGATAGAGGGAACGAATCCTGCCTGATGGTCTCCATCCATAAAAGGCGCTATGGTCCTCATATTATCTATTAATGGTGAAACATCCCGGCGGGTTAGCGCCCAATCATGGTTCTGTCCGAAGTTTGGATGGGACTATATGTAACACGTAGGTGATAGTCATAGTGCGAGTGAAAAATGGAAGGAGTGAGCCGATGAACAAGCTGATCAATCCGAAGCTCTCGATGTCATATTTTGATATCTCGTTGACGTGAATGGCCAAGCGGCAGCAGTAGCCTCTCAAATGTGTTATCGTCCCCCGATCCGCAAATGGCGACATCGTGGATGCTGTGAAATTTGTCTTATGTAATTGTGAAATGACACTGAATGAATTTAACAGGAATAGTACAAGCATATCTATACAGTCGGCGGATTCAAGCTCGAGATTATACTTTTCGACAGTAATCCCGGCCCTGGCCCACCTGCCAGTCGCAAAGCCACACCTCAAACACCATACTAATGAACCCCGCAATGCAGATCCCCGCGGAATCGCTGACCGTCGTGGCACCCAGAGAGAACTCGCGGTCTTCTTTGGGCACACGATCCCCAATTTCAGCGAACGTGTTGACGTAGACGAGGCCGCCCAGCAGACCCTCCCAGAATATGATTGCGAAGACCAGGTAGACACTGGGGATGAAGTCGAACAGCGCGTGGAGGGTTAGGATCAGCAGGTTGAGGACCTGGAGAAGGGAGGGCAGGTAGATGTTGTGGACGCGAAAGAATGGAATCGACGACCGGGAGATGAATACCCCGATTTGGTAAGTGGCGTTGTAGGCCGGGTAGAAGGAGCGGAAGCGCTGGAATGGGGTCTCTTGGAGGGGAAAGAGCAGCGTGGGCGCGACCCCTTGGTTGATCGTGTACTCTGCGATGTATACCAGCAAGAGAGGGACCATGCTGCGTGCCGTTAGCGGGGAACCGGCTATTCTGGATGACATACTTACAATGGAATGAAGAGCCCCTGGACCCGCTGCAGGTTCGCCTTGACTTCTTGCCACAGAGCCGCTCCACGGCTTGCACTGCTGGCCTTTGAACTGGGAGTCGAGAGCATCGAGGAGCCGAGAAAGCTGTCCTCCTCATCCGGAATGTCCCCCGCATCGTCGGCATGTCGATCGCGCTGCCCGACAGGACGATAGCTGCCCTGGCTAGTAGCCAGGGCATTCCGAGACGATCGTGGCAAGATCACGAAGAAGCTAACCAGCATGATAGACGGGAGAAACGCCGATGCAAGTAATGCCTTTTGAACTGGCAGGCCCATAGAGGTCGTAGCCAGCGTGTACGCGGCGGCCCCGACCAAGCCCGCTGCCCCCGTCCCGCTGCCCCAGGCAGCCAGACTGAACGGTCCATAGTAGTGTGTCAAGCCCAAGAAGCTCATCTCCCCACCGCCGCTACTCAAACTCGCCAGGACGATGCCCGCCATTTTCGGGGCAATAGACTGTCCCTCCACGTACTCCGGAGTGAGCGCCACGAGCAGCATCCCCATCGCGGAGATCACGACGAAAAGTATAGTTCGCACCGAGTAGGGCACCACATGAATGAAGTACGGGGCCACCAACTTCATGGTAAACCCGGGGACGATATCGGCGAGGAGCACGACACCCTTGGGGACTTGGGGACCCACCAAGTCCAGGGCGGCCGCGAGGATAATCACATAAAGCACATTGTTGATCACACCTGTTGACGAAGTGTTAGCCCGGCTTCCATTGTTGATAGATATGGGAGACATCAAGTTCGCTCCACCCACCAAACAGCCAGAATGCGATGAACACTCGAGGGTCAGCGCCCCTAAAAGGAGAGACCAGTCTCTCTCGAAACCGAGCCCACGATGAAGACGGAGCACCTGGAAAAGGCAACATCGGTGATGCTTCGGGGGAATTGGCTCTTGTCATCACCGTTCAGGGGGGGCCCACTTGGGGAATGCTACAGGAGTCTGGACGGATGTCACGCGGCGCAAGGGATGATTCCGTCAGGACAACTCATTACGATCCAGCTGTAGACACAATGAGTGTGAGTATCTTGGATCGCATTTGTTGGAGGGAATCCAAACCTGTGAAGACGACGATTTCGAAGTTGATAGATGTGTTGGCCTGATGTCGCGTGACCAGGGCGGCCTGAGGCGACCGCTGCGTCATGGCCAAGCCCCGATAAGATAAGCGATAGCGATAGGCAGCTATGCTTATCGGGATCGACACTCATTCTTTGGTTCTGTCTATGGATGCCTGGTCGACATGTATCAATTGATATAACTGACTATTCTGACACTTTCCATCCACTCTGTAAATATCAAACCATTCCGACGCGCAACCAATGCTAGTGGCCAGGCAGCTGTGCTGCTGCCTGAGGCCATGTTTACCCTTGCCGGATCGCGCATTCTGATTGGACGCGTCACGCGTGGCCCCAGGCCGAGCATTTCCCCTTTGGGAAAATTCATAATAAACCCCCACAGTGTCCTGCCTGAAGCTCCATCAGGGATTCAGATGTCTCAAATTCTGTTATTTATTGATCTCGCGCCACTGGAGGCTAAACATGATCGACGGGGTTTGTTTGGGGACGTTATAAATTAACCCCGTGGACGATCTCTCTCCAACCGTGGGATCTCTTCCGCGATTTTTTAACCGATCATCCCATCCCCCTTCTACCCCTCCATCTCAGACCATGAAGACTAGACAAACCCGCCAGAAACGGCGTCACAGCTCGTATACGGAGTCTAATGGGGATACGGGCCAGACGGCTGGGATCCAAACCCCCCGTCGAACCCCTCGTCGGACTTCCAAGAGGGTCCGTTTCTCTGATCTCGGCCCTCAAGTCCACGATGGGCCGGACATGTCTACGGGCCTCACTCCAGCCCTGCATCGGACGTCGTTCGACGAATCTATGGACGAGGGAGCTGGTCCGCGGACCCCTAGTCGACGACGCTCGACTCCCCTGCTGCGCTCCCGTCGCTGGCTGGATCCCCTCGCGCCCGGTGACGGTTTCTCGCCGGACAGAGTGGTGCAGTTTGCGCCGCTGCGGCAGATATTGACCCCGAGGACGCAGCGCCGAATTAGAAGAGTCGGACTCAGTGAGGAAATCAACCATATAGAACGGGAGAAGAGGGAGGCGGCCCAGTATGAGAAGATGGTGCAGGCCCTGCGGCAGGAAAGGGACTCCCTCAAGCAAGACCTCGCGCGGGCGCAGCAGACTCGAGATACGCCAGACAGTCAATCGGCGGGTGAAGACACAACGTGGATGCTTCCTCGGGCGCAAATCGAGCATCTACAATCGGAGAACACCCGTCTGAGGGAGGAGATCTCCTTTTCCTCCGCCCGAAACTACGATCAACGAGCGACGACACCGAGCGAGACAGACACTGTCCTCGTCAACGACTCTGCATTTGAAGGAACCATGCTTGTGTCCGACTCCCCAGATATGCGTGGAATTGATGGTCTCCAGCTTCCCACCCCTGACGATTATTCTCTTCGTGATCAGCCCTCGCCTAATTACACGCAGGACGCGGAGCTTCTGACGCTGTCCCTTGACCTAGAATCTGCCAAGAAGGAGAAACGCAATCTGTTTGAAGCCTGTCGCTCGCGTCTATCGGCCTTGAATGGAACCCAAATTGCGCGTCATCTCCAGCAGCCGTCCCCCCCACCGGAGTTTCTTGATTCCATCGTGCCTACTTTAACGGAGGCTCTTTCCCGGGCATCCGATGCTGCGTCGGCCCTGGATTCAGTCAAAGAGGGAATCGCTAATATGGGATTCTCCGGGGATAGCGCACAGGACATGATCGCCGAGATGCGGGACCGCTTCCGGACGGCCCGTCTCGGTCTGGAGCGCGCAATTCCTGGAGAAACCCCAGGTGGCCTACAAGACGGCAACGCCACGCTTGGAGCATTGGTGAAACGAGTTGAGGTGCTCGTAGAGAGCCTCGATGACGAGCGATGCCTCCGCGAGGGGTCTATCGATCGGGAACGGGCGTTGCGCGGACAGTTCGACGACTTGCTCGCGCGATACGAGACCGCGTCGCGGAAGATCTGCGAGCTCGAGGAGTCCACCGCCACATCGGCCGGGGACATGCTGCACACCCGCATGCGCATGCAGGAGCTCGAGCGCGAAGGCCGGGAGCAAGCCGTTGGGATCGAGCGGCTGAATGAGGCGCTCCAGAAATATCGCGACGAAGTCAAAGGTCTGGAGTCGCTTGTGACAGAGCTTGAAGAGGACAAGCGCGTCTCCAACGACATGCACAAGAAAGAGGTCTGCCGCTTGGAACAGCGGGCGGTTACTGCCGAGACCACCATGGCAGAACGTGAAGCACACATTCAACAGCTGGAGGAGACTGTCGAGCAGAACCGCATCCGTGCCTGCGACCTGACCGCCCAAACGGAGCAGCTCGAGAAGGATCATCACACGGCGATGGAGACTTTAGAGCAGCGCACAGCCCAACAGCTCCACAGCGACCAGGAGATTGGACGCATGAACGTGCGGGTCTCCGAGCTCACCACCCAGCTGGAAGCAGCCCAAGCCGAAACCGCAAAGCTCCACCGCCACAACGCAGGCCTGGAAGACCAGTTGCGCATGGAGACGGATGCAAGGGATCATCTTCTCGACCGGTGGGCCGCGGACCAAGCGCGATCCTTCGCATACATGAAAGAGACTATCAGCAACCAGCGTCGGAGTGCCCGGGCGCGTGCCGCAAACTGGGAGATGAAGTCGGACGAGCTGCAATCTAGTCCCACTGCGGGGAGCGATCCTCTTACGCCCGTCAGCGCGACCCGGTTCGTGGATGTGGAGATGGGCCGGGGGAAACACCGTCGACGATTGGATAGTGGGATCGGGATTTTGACTGACGAGATGACTGGGAGTGATGATGGAACTATCTTGCCGTCGGATCCTGCGGATCTCTGATACACTCGCATATACTCATTTCGTTTGTATAACTTGTTGTGTAAGTATATTAGAAATTATATATCGATGACTGAGCTTGTTTGGCGTGACCTCTATATCTCAGCACTTCTGGGGTACATGTTGGTTTAGTGGTCATGTTATTTGAGAGTATATTTTGAACCAGTGTCAACATGGATATATTCATTATACAGAAGTGAAACGTAACAAAATGATAGGAGTACCGCATGCTATATTTAGTATCACAGTATAAACAAATATATGGGTTTGTGTTTACTGTACTCAAGATAAAAATTCAAGAATAGACACTCGAACACTGATAGAAGCTCCCTGCTGTTCACACTGAATATTTCATATACATTAAAGATTATTAATATATAAACAAACGAGTAAAGACATCCCAACTAAGTCTCCACCTCAAAATCCTTATTCAACTGCGCTTGAAACTTCCCCCATTGTCCCTGAACCTTACACGCCGAAGTCCAATAATTGCCCCTCTCATCCTTTCCAAAGATAAAGAAACCATCCGCAGGTTTAATCGGCCCATGATTCTCTTGAACATACGACGGCCTACACGGCCCACCACCACCACCACCATCACTCTTACCATCGAGGTCCACACGCGCAGGCGAGAAATCCAAATCAAACAACCCCGCCTTATTCCAATTAGAGAAGCCAATCTGCGCCATGCCGCCATCTCCGAAGATGACGATCGGCAGGCCGGCTCCCTTGCGCACGAGCGCGTAATATGCTTCGTGTTGGGCGCGCGTGCCTTGCTCATTGATCGCCTTCCGGACTTGTCGCGCGAGCCAGCTCAGTGGCTTGGAGGTGATGTCGCCTGCTGTGACTAGGACGTTGGCCCAGCCGAATGCGTTGCCCACGTAGGGGTGCTCGGCGGAGGCAGGGATCAGGTCGCCTTCGAAGGCTTTGCGGAGGGACATGGCGAGGGATGCTGCAACCTGGAGGATGTCAGAAGGGCGAGCAACGACAGCGAGAGAAATATGAAAGACTGGACAAAAAACAGGGGATGGGGAAAGAACACACCGTCCTGTTGGGAGCCATCTCCATCTGGCCCACAACGCAGCGCAGAATCCATGCCGTCAAAACATCATTCTCGGTCAAAAAAACTTTCGAGACGTCTTCACCCTGGGCGACTGCCTCGGCACGAAGCTCCTCTAAAGCCTTTTCCATTTGCGGGCGCCAAAAATTTTCAGGAACACAGACCATGCGGTTCTCCTTGGCTCGCACCAGCATGTCAAACCCATACCCGAGTCCCCACTTGAGCATGCCTCCCAGACCTACTCTCCGGTCTGCAAGAAGATGCTCTTCTGTGGCGGGACGAGAGCCTTGAGCCAGCGCGTCGAACGGGTCCGTGTCAACCTTGCATGGGACGGGGATGTCCTCGGACCTGCCCCAGAGCATGGCGCTCCAGCCTTCGACAACATACTGCAAGCCCAGGGCATCGAAGGCGACATGCTGCCACTGCAGGACGGCAATGGTCTTGTCCGTGAAGGAATGGACGCGCAGTCCCAAAACAGGCCGGTCAGACGTGAGATAGTCGCTGATTCCACCAGGCTTGTAGCCGGGTTCCCATGCTAGAGTCTCCAATTCGTCGGGGTCCCCGACAATGGCCGGCACTGGCTGGGGTTTCGGGATCCGAGAGGCTGCCGGATGAGAAGCTGCCGGCATACCATGGTCAACGTGGGCGAAGGAGATGGCAGGTCTTTCCGCGGAGAATTCCGCTGGAATGTGCCATTCGATCTTGCCCGCAGCCTATACCCAGCGTGAGAATTGCATACGATGCTCGCAGATAGGAAAAGGGACCTACATTCTTCCTCAGTCGCCCGCCCAGGCGCTGCCAACCATCCTGCCTGACCAAACCCTCGAGGGACGCTCGCAATCTTCCCGGATCCAGCACCGCGTCGAAAACAAGCGACACGGCCATGTTATTCCCCTGGACCAACGGGCTGTTCTCGAAGAAATGCAGCGGAAGCACCCGGTCTCCTGAAACGGGCTGTACCGCGGGCTTACGCCCGAAGAGGAAACTCATTTCGTCGGAACCGTTCCGTGGGGTGAATGCTGAATATCTCAGAGCTCTGATACTCTTGCAGCTCTGATACTTTCACACTTCTGATTCTGCTCGAGGAATCGTGATTGGGCGGGGTGGTCGTGCAACAGGAGCAATCTATCCCCTCTGACAGATTGGCCAGGGGAAAGAACCCGCAGTCGGGATCATATGAAACTGACATCTTCAACTCTGGCACCAGCGTGTCTAGTGACAGGAGTGGCGTCCTTGGCTTGTGCGGTTTCCTGGTCGCGAGAGGATCCGTCGCCGCATCGTCAGGTCACTAACGGCATCCTAGCCGAACCAAGCCTAGTCATGATCCTACCAAGGATTATAACCAGGCTAGTGGCTAATTGCGCGCATTTCAACGGTTGGAGCCAGATCCTGGACTCGGGGAAAACACATTTTGTGTCAGTCTGCGAGTTCTGGGCATAGGACATGTAAAATGACAGGAAGATCGGCATCGGGAGATTTCACGGTGGGTAAAAGATTTAGAAGGGGGAAATGCCCACCTCGATCATCGATCTCAGGAAGGTGTCTGTTTCGATCTGCCTCCACAGCGTTCCACTCTCGTTACCGTGCGCGAAAAACTGCTGTATCTCGCGACCATGGAGACCCCGGATCTTGCGACCACGCCGGGCATGCCTCCGCCGGCCGGGCAGGTGCCGCAGTTCGATTCGCCGTACAATTCTCTGCAGATCGGGACGTTCATTGCGTTTGGCATTACCATTTTTCTGGCAACGGTTGTGCTGGCGCTTCGCTATTTCCAGGCCGTCAAGCTGATCAAGAAGATCGAGATGGATTTGGGTAGGTGGCATGGTGGGCAAAACCAACACTTAGGGCTAACTGTTCACTTGGGTAGTCACCGTGACGATCTCGTACGGCGTGTCTGTGTATTATTTTGTGTCTATGCATGAGTGTTTGTCTTCCTGTGATCCGTCACAAAGCTCATTGACTAACTGGTGGTAGTGATGGGTTATGGCTGGGGCAAGCACACGTGGGATGTATCTCTGCTCAGCCTCATGAAATTCAACCAGGCAAGACACTTATCAACTGAATATAGTCGGAGAGCTACTAACTGACGCAGGCTCTCCTCCCCAATACCCTGAGCTATATTGTTTGTCCCTGCATCACCAAGATGGCCATCTTGTCCGTCCTATACCGCATCAACCCTGCATTCGCATACCGTGCCGCAGTGGTGAGCGTCGCCGTCATGATCTTCGCCTACACTTTGACGTTGTGCGTTATCACGGGCGGCCCCTGTAGTCCGTTGAAAGACGGGACCATCGAATGTCTCCAGAACGTGGCGCTGTCGCAAGCGGCGTTGAACATTGCGTCCGACTTCGCGGTCATGATCCTGCCTCTCCCCACGATCATGAATCTCCATTTTTCCCGGAAGAAGAAGATCACCGCCGGCTGTCTGTTGACTTTGGGCTCCGCGTATGCTTTCCTCTGCTCCATCTCGGCCCTTGATTTAGATAACCCGCTGACCCCGACCGTGCCAGTGTGACCGTCTGCTCGATCGCCCGCCTCCCATACGTCATCAAGCTCAGCAAAGACCCCGACGTCTCCTACACGGAAGCCATCCTGGGGATATGGTCCGTGGTGGAGGTCAACCTGGGGATCATCTGTGCCTGCTCGATGCGACTCAAGCAGTTGCTGAGGGTGTATCTGCCACAGTTGGGGCCCCCTTCGTCGAACCCGCCCAGTGGGAAATTGAGCACGTACGAGTCGTGGGGGAACCGTTTCCGGCCTGATGGAGGCAGCGCGCAACACTCATACCAGCTGCATAGCGTGCAAAACAGCAGTGTGGATCCGTGTGTTGGTAGCAAGGATATTGCTGTCTCTCGCACGTTCAATATGGATGTGGAAGATCGTGGAAGCACCGACAAGATCTTGCGGTGACTGCGGAGAAGTTAATGGATTTATGTCTACAGAAGTATTGACATCACAATTGCAGGGTTATGGCTTGGCCATGCTAGTTGACCATCTATTCGATCAGGGCAATGGCATAAAATGGAAAGCGTGCCAGGCAAGAGATCTGGACCTGTGCTGTCTTCAACAGATACTGTTAACGATTGGTATGCCTAGATCTTCTACACTATTATCGACAAACTAACCGACGACGAACTATCTCAAAATAATGATTAAATTTTAACTCAATTCATACATCCAGTAATTAAATCCCCGACCATGGACAACCAGTTCCGCAGCGACCCACGGATCTGGTTGATCAGCGATGACGTCGGTCGATCGAACAACATTAAAATCATCGCATAATCGTCATCGCGTTGAGCAGCAATCTCATCCCACCAATCTTCCAACATTACAATCTTGTAAAAAATGCCCACAGAATCCCAATCCCCTCAATACCGCCTCCATGTCACCGCCGGCCCCTCCTACGACCCCAAATCGCACCAGACAGTCCCCGTCAACCAGGATACGCCCCTGCACATTGAAAGCGACCAAGCGCTCGTGGACCTCTGCGTGCGCATACAAAACTACAATGGTACGATCCTCTCCCCTCAAAACACAGAACAAGGACCAGCCAAGCTAAGAAAATAAAACAGGCTACCCCGAAAACTCCCCCTCTAGCAACGCCTACTTCAAGCATCCCTCGCACGAAAACGACGCCTACAGCATCTCCTTCAGCATCATCTTCAAACACCCCGTCGACGGCAACGCCCTCCTTTTCGGCAACGACTTTGACCATCCCGTGCGCGATCGACTTCCTCCAGGGTTCGGGGCAGGCTTACGCCTCATGAAATGGGCCATCGACCCGTCCCTCGACGGCGACGCCTACGCCGACAAACCCTACCTGTACAGTCCTGCGCTCGCGACCTGGAACCAGTTTTTAATCGGGGGATTGCGCACAAAACACGATAGCGACACGAGCGGTTCGAACCCAGAGAAACCTACCGCACGAATCGTCGAAGAAGGCGCCGAAGACGACGGCGTGCCCGTGCGGCGCGGCCTCTGCATCCCCGATACGGCAAGCGAACGCAGACGCTTCTTCCAGGACGAGCCTGTGCGGAAGGAGTTTGTGTTCCAGCCTGGGAGGGCGTACTGGGTTGATTTTGGAAATCCGTATCTGGGGTTCAGTGGTTGGTTTCTCTTTTCTTTCTTGCTTTGTTTTGTTTTACTTGGGGTGGAGGAGGGATAGGGTGAGATGTGGCTGACTGGAATAGATTTCACGTTACGATTGCCTGGAATCACGCTCAATGGATTACCGTATATTGACGAGGTGAATAACTATTTGCGGTATGTGTTGAAGGATCGCGATACGGGGGTGGTGTATTTGGTGGTGGTGTTTACAATGGTTAAGCAGGGGGATGGGGGCGATGCTAAGGATGGTGATGGTGGGGATGATGATGAAGATGATGAGGAGGCGAAGAAGAGATTTGAGTGGGAGCCGGATCCGTCGCTGGATGATGTTGAATAGATTAACTTATTCTTCTAGCATGAGTATATATATATAGGTACATACACATCTATGGACGGCGTTTGTTGAAGCACGGGATATGGGTTGCCCCAAGTGTGGACGGTATCGTGGTAGAGTAGTAGATGCTGATCGAGGAGGGACTACATGTATACTTCATATTTTATACTGTTACTTGAGCATCTTCGACTACTAGTTGAGGTATATACCGCATATCATCCATTGCTAAACGGAGACCATACTTGACTTTTTATAGCTGATATACGATATAGACAGCGAACCGAAGGATCTAAGGATTCAATCCCAGGAGCAATCTCGGACAGACACGCGAGAACCAAGAATAGATCGAGCTATTCTATACTTCGTACTCGGGATATCTCTGTGACCTGCATACCGTAGCCAATGTTCAACCAGCAATCATCTCATGAACATGAGTCTTCAGCTATCGGCTCATTCACCTCAACGAAAAACGCCACCAAAGGGAATTGGGGCGAAAAATAGCCACACCAAAAAAGGAAGGCTAGCTTGGCACGAACAGCCAAAACGGCCCCCGCCAAAACGGGATACGAATGCCACTATACTGGAGGATTGTAGGAAAGTCAGGATAGATATGGTTTGCTGATGCTAGCAGTGTATGCGGCGTCGTAGTGTGCTCGGAATAGTATCATCGCGGGGTTTCTACAGGGGCGGCTCGTATGTCTGACACGAACGGGTGAGAGACTCGACTATAGGGTAGAGCATAGTAATTAGAGAGACGAAGGATAGGTCTTGTGATATCTTCAACATGGGAAAAAAGGGTATATAAAGGGCGTGGAATCCAGCAGGAAAAGTATCCAGACAGCAACAACAACAGCAGCATCAAAGCAAGCAAGCAGCAACAAAACAAACAACACTTCTAAACCCTCTATACTCTCCCATCGACCCCCAAAATGAAGATCATCATCTTCCTCCAAGCCCTCCTGATGGCCACCTACAGCCACACGGTTCTCGCATCGGTCACCGACAGGTCCATGCTAATCAAACGACAAGACAACAGCACCGTCACACCCGCAGACGGAGACGCCATAACCGCCATGTTTGAAAACGGCAATATCGTAAACTCACTCCTCGAGAACGGGAGACAGAAGGTGGAGTTCTTTGGCGATGATGGCCTGCTTGAAGTTACTGCTATTGAGACCGATGACGGGGGTGTGTTCCTTCTTCTGCTTCATCCATCGAGATGGACACATCCAGCTAACAAGTATTAAAAGCAATCTTCTACGACAACGAAGGCAACGAAGTCAACCTCGCCGATCTGGATCTGGACGACGACGACGACGAAGAAAGCGACGATACCGAGCAAACTCTGCAAAAGCGCGTCTCGAAGTGGAGAATCGCGATCCGGTTCGCGAAGCTGATCGCCAAGTACGGCAAGAAGGTGTGGCCTTATATCAAGTGTGTTGGGACTGCGCCTTTCTGGAAGTGCGGTACGAAGGTATGCTCTTCGCGTTTCTCATGGATCTTGTGCATAATTCGGGGTATATGCATGGTGCTGATCGTTTGGGTAGTTCCTACACTGCGCTGAGAGGGGCATTGCGCCGTGGAGTTGCGTTGAGGGCGGCTGGTGCATTGGGAGGAAGACTTATCTGCATTGCAAATAGATGGGTTATCTTTGCTGGTTCAAGTATCCGGCTCAACAAGCGATGGTGCTATGTCCGAAGGGCAAGGGGTGGGAGTGTCTAGAAAGTGAAGGTAGCTTCTTATATAGTACACTTCTTTGTTGAATTGAGTTGTTCTCTTTTCCATATATGGTCTTTCTGTACCTGAACATGATCATTTGATAAATGAGGTCATGCATGACTTACTGTCGGTTCGAGCTGAATTCGCATTATATTTGGTAACTTCTAACAGTCATTACGATTAGTCCCTCCTCCTCTCGTCAACTCGCCCCCAAACCTCATCCGCATTGGCCTTGTCCTTCGTCTCCGGGACCCATGCATAGATGAACCCCCCCATCAGACAAGCCATGACCGCAAAAACCCAGTAGACCCTACCCCGCCCGCCCAGGACATCATTCAACACGGGGAAGAACTGTGCAACCACAAATGTGGCGATCCAGTTGGCGCCCAGCGCCCAGCTCTGCGTCGCCCCCACGGCTTCCGGCCCGACCAGCTCCGAGGCGAGGATGAACGGCACGGGGCCTAGCCCCACGGCGAAGCACGAGACGAAGAGCAGCACTGCGATGGCGGACAGCGCCTTCTGGTTGTAGTAGATCCCCAGCGCCAGCAGCACGGAGTTGCATCCCATGCCGCTGATACTGAGGAGAAGACACGAGCGTCGGCCGATCTTGTCCGGAAGGGGAGAGCAGGCGAGGGTGATGACCAGATTGATGGCGGAGATGGCCACGGTCAACAAGGCGGCTGTCGTCGGCAGGATGGTCTGCAAGAGCGACACGCTGTACATGATAATGCTGTTGATGCCGGTGAACTGCTGCGCGACCATCACACCAATTACGGCGACGATGGCCGAGCGATACGCCGGGTTGGTTGCCGCGCCGAGCATTGTTACCGGCGGCTGCTTCGGCGGCAAATTGCCAGCCGGCGGTGCCAGCAGCGACTGCTCTTCTCCTGAGGCCGGAGCCGGATCCCTGGCATGACGCCATCCGTCCATCTCCGCTTCAATGTCCGCATCCTTCCCGCGGATGCGCTGCAGCACCTGTCGGGCCTCGTTACCACGCTGATGCTCCGCCAGCCACGTCGGACTCTCGGGGACAAGCGTCAGACCTAGAAGCTCCATGCAACCCACGAGACCGGCGATGACGAGGATGACCCGCCACATGCTCCCTTTGCTGAGGAAGTAGCCAATAGACTGGGTCAGCAAGATGCCCACATTGGTCATGATCTGCGTGAACGCGCCGAAGAGTCCTCTAGCTGTGGGCGGAGCGATCTCCGAGATGTAGATTGGACCGACCACGATGGCGGCACCGGCCCCGATCCCCGACACCAACCGACCCAGAACCAGCGTAGCAATATTAGGCGCAAAGGTGGCGGCCAGAGGGCCGACGATAAAGAAGGCGGTGGTGGATCGGAGGGTCAGGAGACGGCCGTGCTTGGTGGAGATGGGCCCTGCCAGCAGAGCACCGAGCAAGCCCCCGAGGGTATAGATGGACGAGACCAGCCCGAACTGGGAGGGGTTCATGGGGATGCATTGTGGTAGGTTTGAGTCGATGGTCTTTGCCTCTGCATGGATAGACTGGCGTTCGCATGTTATGACCGACTGAGGGGCATTAAGCTCTGCCTTTTGGGAGACGTTAGCTGGGAGATAGGACGAGGGTTGGAGTAGTGTTCCTGACGAGATGGTATCCAAACTGTAGGGGGCCTAGTGTGGTGATGAACACCAGATAGATTAGGTAGGGGGTGACCCGGGCAGGAGACGCTCCTAAGGCCATGTCTTCCACTTGATCCCTGATGATGGGTAGTCGGGATGTAGTTGAAGTGATGAAGCGATGAGGTGAGAATGAGGAAGAAGAGAGAGAGCCTGAGGAATGAGGATGATGTTTGGCTGTTTTGACGGTTGCGTCACTCTTCCCGATTGGGTTTAGTGCCTCATCATTTGTATAAGAGTCCAGGATGAGTGAGTCGACCATGTTGGGATTATTGAATTAAAATGAACTTGTTTGTGGAAAGATAGATATTGTTTTACTGCTATATACAATTCGCACTACATAATATGGTACAATAGTGAGCTTGCAGCCGACCAAGCGGCGATTCCCAAGTCCCACCATGAAGCCGGAGTGAACTCCAGCCATCATTAGATTATTGATAACATTCCATCGTCCATCGTAACTCGTCATGCCATGTACAGGTGTTATACTTTGAGTGATCGGCGTTTGGGCAAGGTCCACGGTTCAGGACATACCACCTAGCAATATCAAGTCAGTCTTCCATCCCCTCGCAATGATCCGTGAACAGGAACAGGAACATACCTCGCCCTCGCTATACGCCCAAAAATATACAATGATCCCGACCACATAATAAATAGCGGGATCTGTCCCCTGGTACAGCAGTGCAGCTAGAAGCGCACTGAGGGGGTATAGGATGAGACGGATCTCGATGCTGCGATGCGCCAGGCTCCCTGCGAAGAACTTCAACGGCCACTCCCAGGCGAGGCCGAGCAAGCCCATGATGAGGTTGAGAATTTGAAGAACGGGAATGGGCTGGACGGCGCCGTTGAGATTGTGGGATACAAAGTCCCAAAAGACCTTGGGCCAGATGAAGCCTTCGATGGCGCTGCCTATCTGGTCTGTTCGAAAGGTGGTTAGCGAGTTTGCGAGGGGATGGATGAGCGGCCGTGGGAAACATACAGGTTGCGGCGGTTAGGATGATGAGACGCCCCCAGTGGTTTTTAATCAACCTTCCCATGGTTGATGTATGTGAAGAATGTTGACGGTCGTGAGATTTAGGAATTGGGTTAACTTTCGTCCAGCGAAAGAAACGGCAGACGAAGTACTGATGCGACTCGATCGGCCGGTTTAGCCATCCACCGTGTCCAGAAGATGTGAGCGGAGTGGTATAGATATTGACATGGCCAGTAAAGGATATCTCTTGAACTGAAGTCCCTTTTTTTTTGTTCCTCTCGTATTGTGTTAATTGTGGCAGATGGGCTGGATGTCAACTAGATGATAAGGTTCAATCACATCACACGAAGATCCAAGCGTAAGAAGCCCGAGACCGACAGTCACGCCATATCAAGCCCGACAGATCCAGCAAGTCGGGGACCTGAAGGAAGGGAGGGGAAAGAGAGCCGATTATCTACGCTGTCCATCCACGTTGGATCGCTTATTTCCCCCAGCGGCAGACGGGACGTCCACGGACCCTGGGCGGGGACTGGGGGAGGGATTCATCCATAGGCCGGTTCGGATCGCTACGATGCGCTCGCTTCTCGACCAAATTTGAGCGACAGACCAATTAAAAACCATCAACGACCCTGTCGCTCTTGGCTTCTTCACAAGAGACCAGGTGAGAGAGGGGGAGGAAGCGATTCCCGGCGTAACAGTGAAAGTGGGTCCCAGTTAGGGTTGTGGTTGGACGGCGGGAGACCTCAGGCAGACCAATGTGACGAGAGCTGCAGCAAAATGGGCGGCAACTCGCTTTAGTCTCCGATCACGTCGGGCTTTTCCTGTTTGATTCGACGCTTCACTGACAGGAGCATAATATGGTTGAGAAAATGAGGAGATGGACGTCTTGTTGCTGTTTTTAGTTCTTTGCACGTTGTTGGGGTGTATCGTCACCACGAACGGGTCCTTTCTTCTGACTGATGCAGATACAGTTCCTCTATACTAGACGCTAGCCCTAATTACTACCCCGACGATTCCCCGCGTCGACAGAACGATCAGGACATTGACACTACTCTGGACGGCTCCATGCAAATATCGACTTCACCGTCTTTTCCGCTCCATGATATTGCCTAGAGTCAATCGGTCGATCGCTCACCAGTGTGCTTAAAGGGTCCACTAGTGGTGATGGGAGGTTAATCCTGCAGAGCCACCGAGCCCTGGAGCCCTGTGCGTCTGCCCCACTCGCGGTCCGTTCACCAACTCCACGATTGAGATTGCCAGGACGCAGTATTCCGGGAGGAGGATAAATATAGGTCTCCTCACGGAGATGGCTACCAGTTGAGGTTAGGGCCTGTCCAATTTCATCTTGGACTGGACAGGGCCCGGGCTATATTTGGCCATTTTCATGCAATATCCTGACATGACCGTTGGATTGTTGCAGAGAAATGGTGTGGTGCAGTCAAAGTAGCCTGACCCGTGTGATGATAGGCAGCGCGCTTGCAGAACGTCTCCTATAGGGTGTTCTCCGAAGGAGCGGTGGTGGCTCCACTTGGGAAAGCAAATCATTACACAGAACTAGGGGATTCATGGAGCTCCATTTCTATTCCCAACCATTCGTTCTGAACCCCAGGGCCACATGGTCCAGTGGATGGGATCACTAGGATGTGAGAATTTCAGAAGAAGCCTGGGGAAGAGACTTTGACATTCCACCATCAACCAATGACCAAATCGGGGTAGCGAGTGAGCTATGAGCCAAGGGTTTGTGAGATGATAGGTATGAACCTTCGCATTGGAAAGGAATCGCTGAATGGCAGGAGGGCACGAAGAGCAGGAAGGCTCGTTTGTCCTGGAGTGTGGTCTTTTTGACATAGGGATATCTTCCCATAGCTCGAGAAATACCCAGTCTGGATCAAATATGAATAGATCGTGATCATTATACACAACCAAATCCAAATTCTATACGGGGCCAAGGGTCAGGAGCCCTAAACGCAGGACGAGGTAAATATAGCAGCACACCAGCGCCAACTCTTTCTTCTGTCTATTTCCCCTCTTTTTCCCTGCACCCCGAATCCATCACTCTGGATACCAAGACGCCAACTCCATTGGCCTATACCCTAATGATCAAAGAATAATAATAATAAAAGAAAAAAGAGAAAAAAAAAAAAAAGGCACTAACCACTAACCCCACCACCAAATCTTTCCCTTCTGCGAACCGATGATAACATTGGTAAAAACCGCCGCCTCAACGCCCCTTTATCGTGTCTCTTGACGCCATTTCTCGGTCCACGTCGCGTGAACTCGCCTCGTTCGATGGCTGAACACCAAAAAAAAAAAATTCAAATTGAATCAAGATAGCGTCGTTGGACTCTTGGGTCCCTATGCCGCAATCGTACAGCAAACCGTCTCCCATCTGCCCATAATCTCGTCGGCCTAGACCTGGCTCTAATTTCAACACGGCCTAGACTGGGGAGATTACTGAAAGCAACTTCATGTTCTAGACTGCGAGACTTCGAACGGCATTTTTCTTGTCGTCGGCTTTTCTTTTACGTGTTTACAGGCGATTACGCGGAAAAAAATCTCAATAGTGCCCCGTATATCAATCATCGCAGGTCGATGGTTGATCGCCCGGGCTGTTGAGCATCATCGGTCAAAATGGCGTTTTCATGGGGATCGCAGTTCACCGGGTCCAAACTTTTGTTCTACTCCACCTTCTGGGCTTTTCACATTGCAATATTTGCGATCGGATGGTAAGTTGTCCTGTTATGGAGAGAAATCATGATCCAATCCCCGACTGATGTTGTGCAGGTGGCAGCAAGTGACAAACCCCAAGTTGTCAACACTCAACGCCCTGGGCTATTCCGTATGGATCTCCAGAGCCGCAGGGCTCGTTCTCACCTGCGATGGGGCCTTGATCTTATTTCCCATGTGCCGGAATATCATCAAGACAGTCCGACCACGCGTGCGATGGATGCCGCTCGATGAGACGGTCTGGTTCCATCGTCAAGTGGCATATGCGATGCTCCTCTTCACCATCCTCCACGTCGCCTCCCACTATGTCAAGTAAGTCACTGCCACGTTGAAACAGGCATCGTGCTTACGGGTGAACAGCTTTTTCAACATCGAAAAAGATCAACTCCGCCCGGTGACGGCCGTTCAGATCCACTTCACCCAGGCGGGTGGAATCACCGGTCATGTCATGCTTCTCTGTATGATGCTGATGTACACCACCGCGCACCGGCGCATCCGACAGCAGTCTTTCGAGACCTTCTGGTATACGCACCATCTGTTCATCCCATTCATGCTCGCCCTGTACACGCACGCCACGGGGTGCTTTGTCCGCGACACCGCCAATCCGATCTCGCCGTTCGCGGGGAAGGACTTTTGGGACCATTGCATTGGGTATGAGGGGTGGCGATGGGAGCTTGTGGGCGGTGGACTCTACCTTCTCGAGCGACTTTATCGCGAGATTAGGGCTCGTCGTGCCACCGTCATTACCAAAGTAATCCGTCATCCGTACGGTATGATATATGCGCATCATGCATGATTCCCCCATTGGTACCGTCTAACAATCACAGATGCAATGGAGGTCCAATTTTGCAAAGACAGCATGAAGTACAAGGCCGGGCAGTGGCTCTTCATCCAAGTCCCCGAGGTCTCCAGCAACCAGTGGCACCCGTTCACCATTACCTCGTGTCCCTTCGATCCGTACATCAGCATCCACGTCCGCCAGGTCGGGGATTTTACGCGGGCTCTTGGAGACGCTTTAGGATGCGGACCCGCGCAGGCCAGAGACCTCGAAGGGCTCGACCCCCTCGGCATGTATGAAGTCGCTCTCGAAAACGGACAGAAGATGCCCAAACTCCGCGTCGACGGGCCTTACGGAGCGCCCGCCGAAGACGTCTTCGAGAACGAAATTGCCGTCTTGATCGGCACCGGCATCGGAGTGACGCCGTGGGCGTCTATCTTGAAAAACATCTGGCACCTGCGGTCCGGTCCCAACCCTCCACGACGTCTGCGCCGTGTCGAGTTCATCTGGGTGTGCAAGGATACGTCGTCCTTTGAATGGTTCCAAGCACTGCTCTCCTCGCTAGAATCCCAGTCCGCGTCGACAGCCGCCAGTCAAGGCAGCGCCGAGTTCTTGCGCATCCACACATACCTCACGCAACGTCTGGACCCCGACACAGCCGCCAACATCTACCTCAACTCGGTGGGCCAGGAGGTCGACCCACTGACGGAGCTGCGCAGTCGCACCAACTTCGGTCGCCCGGATTTCACCCGCTTGTTCACGGCCATGCGAGACGGTTTGCACGATCAGACGTACATGTCTGGATTGCATGGGGCTTTGACTACCGAGATTGGAGTGTACTTTTGCGGGCCTAATTCGGCGGCTCGACAGATTCGTGAAGCTACCTCGAAAGCCTCAACGAGGGATGTGAAGTTCAAGTTCTGGAAGGAGCACTTTTGATGATTTACCATCTATTCTTTATGATTCACGATTTTCTAGTCTTTTCTTTCCTCTTGTTTTGTTCTTCTTTCCTGGATCTGCATGTGGGGTGTCCTGGGGAGTGTTTGTATGATGCGATATCTTGTACTATAAAATATGATTTATATATCTTCGTTTACTTGTTGGTCCTTGTCTATACAGTGTATCAACATTCGAATTTCAGGGTCCATACTAAATATTAACCAGTTGGCGACGTCGATCAGGGATAACGCTAACCGGATCGGGATGCACTACGTCAAGTCAACGCGACCTTCATTTGCTTCACTTTTTCTCTTCCATCGTTCTTGCGGTAGAGAACTTACACAATCAACCGTTCAATAGTGTCGTGTTAGCTGATTTTATCCATCGCTGGTTTATTCACCCCACACTGTACAGCGATTTGTTCTTCTTGGCATTCAGGGAAGCGCTCTCGAGGACGTCATACTGGCCTCCGCATGAGTCCACAGAATCGGAATATTTGCGCCTTGGCAGGCGTTTCTATCCAGTCGATCTTTCGAATCGTTTACTTGGCTTAGAATTAGTCTAGATTTCCCTTCCTCTTCGTTCTGTCAATGCTCTGTCCGGTCTATATCCTCCTCGCGTTATAAAGGGGTCAAGGACCCGCAACGTGGCTGATCTAACCCATGTCGCACCCACTGGATGCGCGAGTGCCAATTCGCCCACCGACATCACGATGAGTAGCGACACGCTTGATCAGGTCTCGACTGAGGCCTTCCCACCGCCGCCTCAGGACATCGAGGCCCATCCGCGGTCGCCCAATCGCCCAGTCTCCTCGCCCCGGGACGCAGATTCCCCGGATACGGTCACCCGAATTACCTCGAGAGAAACCGTGCGGAATCGAATGCGACGCAACACAGCGCGATCGTATCACGGCGAAGGCTATTCCCACGATAACAGCTGGCAGCCGGGGACGGAGCCGGGCATCGACCCGAACCAGCCGCTTCCCGCCTACGAAGCCGACTGGACCCCGAACATCCCGCCCCATCTGCACCGACAATGTGACATCATCGTGGTCGATTTCTCGCAGCATGAAATGCGACAGTATGAGCTCGACAATGACACGTTGGCGCCGTTCTTGGCTCGGAAGAAGGAGCCCTGGGTGCAGTGCCGATGGATCAATGTGAATGGTCTCAGCTGGGATGTCATCCGCATCCTAGGAAACCAGCAGTCGCTGCATCGGCTGGCGATCGAGGATCTGATTAACACGACGAACCGCACCAAGGTGGACTGGTACTCGGATCATGCATACGTCGTACTCACGCTGCAAAAGCTGGTCCGGGTCTTGGAAGATAAGAGCGACTCGAGCGATTCTGAGGACGAGGACAATGATCGGCACGAAGAGTGCGCCCACGGCCGTCGTGGCTCTTTTCAGAGTGCAAAAACGGTAGCCAACAAACGTTCCACGAGCATGGGGATCATCCTGGAGGCCTTGAAGGACATCCTCACACTGAAGTCCCCAAGGAGACGGAACAACGGCCGTCGCGTGGCGAACAGGACTTTTCCATCGTCAAGGGTTAAACCTTCGAACGGGGGCCGCATGCCATCAGAGGATTTGACGGACGCGAGGTGCACTGCCCGCACTATGCAGCGCTTTCGCGGGGGGCCCAACGAAGACCGGATCGCGTTCATGGAACGTCACGCGGTCCTCGCAGCCAAGGGTCTCTGCGTGACTCTCGAGCAGGTGTCGATCTTCCTGAACGCGGACAATAGCGTAACATCGTTCTTCGACAACAGCGCAGGGGATATCGAAGCCCCGATCGTCAAGCGACTCATGTCCCCGGAGACCATCCTCCGGCAATCATGCGACGCCAGCATGCTCCTGCAGGCCATTCTCGACGCAATCATCGATTTAGCTATCCCAGTCACCACCGCCTACCAGGACGTGATCGGAGACTTGGAGCTGGAGGTATTAACCGATCCCGACATCGATCAGTCCAAGAGCCTGTACATCCTGACCTCGGAGATCTCCATCCTGCGCAACTCCATGCAGCCGGTCGTGAACGTCATCAACGCGCTCCGCGACCATCGGTCGGAACCAGTCAATCCGCCGGGCTTGCCAGTCAAGGTCCCAGGCCGTAACACGTCGTCCGATGAAGACGCGTCGCAAATCGGTATCGCCATGCCTAATCTCAAGAGTTTGAGTGGCTCGAGCGTGTCCATAAGTCCTATGTGCCATACTTATCTGGGCGACGCGCTGGACCACTGTATTACGATGGTGGAGGGGTATGATCAGATGCGACGTGCTGCTGATAACATGATTGATTTGATTTTCAATACCATCGGTATTCCTTCATTTTCATTTTGTGGGGTTGGTGAATACAAGACTAACGATGTACAGGCGCATATCAGAACGAAAGCATGAAGCAGCTTACACTTGTAACCTGCTTTTATCTACCTTTAACATTTTTGACGGTATTTCTTCTCTTTTCTTGTTTGGTTCAAGCAATACTGACAATACAGGGCTACTTCGGAATGAACTTCGAAACCTTCTTCGGCATTCAGCACAGCGATTCGTATGTCTGATATTTCACTGGTTACTCCACCCATGCTAACATGAGCAGATACTTCTGGATCATTGCAATTCCATTTGTCTTTGCGACGACTGCATTCTTGATGTATGTTCTTCTATTCCCGTACCCGTGGTACACCTCGCTGACGATAGCAGGCGCGATAAACTACGCCGATACTTCGTGCGTCTCGCGCAGAAGCGCCTCATCATGAGCTCGCGGAAGCGACGACGGCAGAGAACGGACTAACATGTCTTGATCCTGTAATGATTTGGACTATTAACATGCCTCTATTCCACCTGCCCTTATTCTCAAGCACCTCATTTGAGAAACATACACTTCCACGCCGGTTAGCCGGTCTACCTCCGCCTCCACAGAGCTTATCCGTTGTGGCTTTCATGATTTGATTAACGTGCGAAAGCTCAACCGTCGCTAATACCAGTCCTAGAATGGACGATTATACAAATCCCCAGACTCTTCACACTCAGATATCCGGGTATCTGAGGTGTACACTTTTATATTATAGGATGCATCGAATCCTTATGTACTATAGATTAGCATAGATTATAAATCCGAGAAACACTCCAGGATACAATCATAAGATCAGGCAGACATACCTATCATCTAGAAGCATTAGATATATTGTCATCAGGTACCCTTAAAATTGAACACATACACCAGTCAGGGGCTACATCCACTTTAACAACACCAAATCAAAATCAAGCAGACACAAGATCATATTATCTCGTTCTTTCTTTCGCAATGACTCCTGTTCATGGCGGAGGTATAAGTGTCTATCATCTAACGCAGTGATACCTTAATATGCATGAAATTATATATCATTGAATAACACAGCCAGAGGCGATAGAATAAAAGTCTGTCTCACCGACTATTTACTAATTCCTTGACCTAACTTGAAATTTGACTGTAATTGATAGGCATGCAGACTCTATCTTCGAGATTAGACTGCTCATATGACCATATGCCAGGGAGGGACCATATTCTCCGAGGACATGTATTCCAAATATACTGGTACCTGTGTGAGAGGTCAGCAAAGCAAGTTTCTAACAGCCCCGAGAAGCATAATGCAATAATATCTCGATAGTATGACTGCATACGCAGTCCTAGAGCATAGACCCAGCAGGCGGCCACCACACTATATCTACCACGCCCATCCTCACTTCAATACCTCAAGCCACCTGTCCCCAAAACAAGCCTCTTCCAACAACCCAACGAATTGACAATGCTTCTCACCTACGTACTACTAGTATTCATACTAGGGATCGCACACGCCTTGCGCACCAATCCGCTCGCGTCTGTCAGCGGCCCGGCGTGGGACACATTTAACCAGAGCGTATCAGGGCGACTGTTCAACGGCTTGCCTGTGCTTGCACCATGCTTTAGCACCGTGAACGGCGCGCCGCAGAGTCCAGACACACAGGAGTGTAAGCGCGTGGTGGGTAATCAAGCGAATGCAGCATTCATATCTGATATGTTTGGGGGATATGCTACTGTACGAACCCTCTACGGACCCTACCTAGCTCCTGAGACCTCGTAGACTTACTCGGGCATAGGGAAACTGGGCCTCCTGCCAGGGAACGGGCGAGTCTTGTGTGTTTAATCTCACAGCAGGACCAAACCCACCAGGAGACTGTCACCAGGGAGCTGTGCCCGGGAAATACGTCGAAGTCCACACCGTATCGGACGTGCAGCGGACGATGGATTTCGCGCGCCGACACCGTCTTCGCTTGGTTATTAAGAATACGGGCCATGACTACAAGGGACGTAGTTCGGCACCGGATGCGCTTGCACTATGGTATATCATTGTTCCCTCTTGGTAGCAATATGAGATATAATAGAGCTAATCCAATAGGACACACAAGTATCAGCCGGCCATCAGGCTGGACCGGTCCTTTACCCCCGATGGATGTCATGACCCAGTCGGTGAAGTGATTACGTTCGGAGCGGGGCAGCAATTCGGGGGAATCTACGAGTTTGCGCACGCGCATGGTTATAGGGTTGTTGGGGGGATGTCGAAGACGGTGGGGGCTGCTGGAGGGTGGATTACGGGGGGAGGGCATAGTATGCTGTCTCCTGAGCTAGGTATGTCTCTCGATACATATTCCGCTCTGCAAATATAAGCAGACAGCAGACAGGTTGTCGAGTCACTAACAACTGCAGGCCTCGGCGTCGACAACGTCCAACAGCTCCGAGCAGTCCTTCCAAACGGCACATACGTAACCGCCAACCGATGCCACAACCAAGAAATCTTCTTCGCCCTGCGCGGCGGTGGAGGCGGGACCTTCGGGGTAATCATGGAGATGAGCGTGACAGCGCATGCGGAAAAGCTAATGGAGGTTTTCACGATGAACCTAGCCGGTTCTGACCCCTCTACCGCGGAGAGACTCCTCGCTGCCGTAGTCGCCAGTGCAAACCGCTGGGCGTCTGAAGGGTGGGGAGGCTACATCCTGCCTGGGGGGCGGGCAGAGCAGCCGTCGACGATGGTGATGGCCACTACACTGCTGGACCATGCGGCGGCGGAAGAATCCGTTCAGTCAATGATGGCATTGGCGGGCGAGGCGGCAGGCGAGGCCAAGTTAACCTCTGTAGGGGGCTTCTACGAGGTCGCCAGGGGGATACTGGACGACAAATCGCTAGAGCGGTCTCTATCCAGCGGAGCGGCGATGTCGTCCCGGATCATACCACGAGATACTTTTCTCGGAGAGAGCAATCAGAAAAGTCTGTCATCGATATTGAACGACATCCGGTTGGCAGGCCAGAGAAATGAGGCGTCGCAGATGCTGGTCCTGATGACGGCGCCAACTGTGTACTCACGTAACCTGCCCGCGTCCGATGAGCCAGACGGGCCGGGCGCAGCGTCTGTGACGCCGGCGTGGCGCAACGGTCTGTGGCATGTGATTCACGTACGCAGTTTCGACACTGTGGTAACAGGCCCTGGTGCCGTGGGAGAGGTGTTTCAGGATACCCACGAGGCAATGAACCCGCTGCGGGAGTTCACTCCTAGCGGAGGGGCGTACCAAAACGAGGCCGATGCATTTGAGCCGGACCCGGTGGGGGCGTTCTGGGGGAAGAAGAATTATGAGCGGTTGATGAGGATCAAGGAGAGTTTGGACCCGGAGAATTTGTTGACGGTGCATCAGGGGGTGGGATGGGATGGGGAGGATGCGAGGTACGGGTGTTATCCTGTATTTCAGTAGTAGTGGGCAAGGTCAGGTCGACGATAGGAATGACGCTCTAGATACTAATATACCATTGGGTCAAGCATATAAAGTCATGGATGGCACCAATCGAGCCAGTCCAGGTATCTATCTCTAATCAAACATAGTCCCCTAAAAGTACACGCTACAACGGCAACCAAAAGACACAAAAAGATGGTTATAATACAGGTCAAACTCTCTCGGAAATCTCAATCGCCCCCCGACACCCCGCACGAATCACCCCCACAAGCGGATCATACGGCGTCGCCATCTTGGCATCATGTTCCACCGCATGATCCAAATGCTCCAGCTCCTCATCGCGGATCCTCCTCAAAGAAGTCACCAAGCTCGCAACCTCCTCATCAAGCACCTCCCCCTTCGCCGCAGCATCCTTCTCCCAGGAGAGAATCTCCCTCACCTGGTCATTATAATGCGTCCCAATCTCCGTCTCGACAGCCTCCGTGCAAGCCATGGCAGCCTCCCGGCCGAGACAAGCCGTCGACCAACCGAGGAAGGAAGCGGCGGCGCGCCAGACGGGGGTCATGGCCGTGGGACGGACGCGGTGGGTGGCGATGAGGTTGTTGAAGGTGGACAGGTGGGCGGCTTCCTGGTCGTACATGTGTTTCATGAGGGGGCGGAGGTGGGGCTGGGACCGGGTGATGAGAGGCGATTGCGAGGCGTAGATGAGGGTGGCGGCTAGTTCGCCTGCTTGGTTGACGCGGAGGGCGCGATCGAGGAAGTTTTTTTGCTGGGGATTTAGTCGGTAGATTTTCTTGTCTGTGTTGGTGGTGTTGCCGGAGGTATTGCTTGAGGTGTCGCTGGCATTGTTCGTGGAGCTCCAAAAGAGGCGGCTGGGTCTTGGCTGGGTGACTCGCGGGGTGATTGATGTGCGCGCAGCACTGAGGATGGTAGATGTCGGCTGGAGGGGCTTCATTGTGTCTGTGTCTTGAATGTGCTGTGACTGGCGACTCTGCTGCAGAAGTTGAAGTCATTCGCGGTCCGAACTTCCGCGGTGGTGTCACGCTGAGTCAGCGGTATAGTTGTGTACATAGTCTTGCATAACTTTGCATAGGTCATGTCAGCTCTATGCGTGTGTATCTTGAAATGATAGGAAGTAGCATGAAATTGAACTGAATCTATTCTATGGTTCATTATCAAAGAATTAATATCGTGTTGTTGTTCTGCAACACTGCGGTTGTACCCATCGTCTGGAACAGCCGTATATACAGTTTGTATAAATATATCTATCTATAGATATAGTCGACAGAATACTCTACATATTCTTTGATATCGAAAGATTAACCACGGTTCAATAGATTGCTACTATTTGTACTACTCGATAGCCTACTATGTAGTTGTATAGTAATATGTCCCAATATATCATCAAATATGACATACTCGTCTACCCAATCTCGTCGGATCAACAACATATGGAGAGATGGTCATTAGGGGTGCGTTTTATTGAGGCTGGCTTACTCAGTGCACTCATCCCTTGCTCAATGATCACCTCAGGTTACTCAGGGCGTGGTCAGGGCGTGGTCAGATCTACTCAGGGAGCCAAAAGCGGCGAGGGGTGAGCACTAAAGCGGAAAGAGAAAGCCATTAAGCTGTCGAGAAAATCAAGTATATATGTCTTAACCTACTTCCTCCACGGCGCGGGAAGGATCCGCTATCTGCTTCTGATGGGCTGGGGCGGCGAGAGCGTGGCCCATACCACTCCGGATGAAACTATCCAGCGTGCGATCTCTTGGTCAGTGAAGAAGATCTGTTGATTCGGAGTTGTCCACCAGGATCTTCGCCCGGAAAACATCTTGTGGAATCCTGAGCTCCAGCGAGCTCTGATTATTGATTTTCATCGGTGCACCTTAGATTGTCGACCGCTGGACAGACGGCCAGGCGCACTCAAACGATTACGGTATGGTCTTATATTAGTGCCAACAGATGCTCATAGCTCATACAACTTCCCGTACTACCAAATCAAAAACTCCTCAAAGTTCGCTCCCTTGAGCTCACCAACCAGTGGAGTAGGCTGATCCTTCTGGTCCTCCGCAATGCCTTCGACAAACGCATTCCCAACCATCCTATAATGCACCACATCTGGGTTGGTGTGGAAGTTCCGGAACCCCGAGTCCCGCAAAGCAATCGGATTCGTCATCTTACCTGACAGAATCAACAGGTCCCCATCCCGGATGTTCCCAATGCCCACGCCGAACCCACCCGTCGCACAATCTGTCAGCTGAAAGACTGTCCTCCCCGCGAGGGGCGGCAAATTCCGCAGCAGCTGTTTCCCAACCGCCGACGATAGGGCCAAGTCAGACGGGTCCTCAGAACTGGACAGCTCTTCCAGCGCGTTGAGGATGTCGTTGACGGGGAACGTCTGTTGCATCCTGCCATGCGCAAGAAAGGCCCAGATGAGCCGTTCTGCCATGTTCGCCTCGTCGACACCGTTGCCCCATTCCGCGGGCGGCTCTTTGACAGCATGTAAAACCTGACGGGCGATTTCCACTGTCTCGCTCGGAAATTTGAACACGACTCGAGTCGTTCCCACCCTCCGGGCCCAGAACCGCAGCACGGACTTGCCCAGCAGCACCGACAAGTTTGTCATTTGCTCCTTCTGCTCCTTCTGCTCCCAGTCCTGGAGCGACTTGTCAAGGTCCTTGAATATGAACCTGGTCCTCGACGTCGCATCACGATAGTTCGGCACCCACGACGGGCTGCGATACCCCGCAACGTTCCCATGAGGCTCGTCGTAAAAATGGAACTGGTTGAACACGAAATCGACCCCCTCGTAGATCAGAATCCACAGCGTGATCTGAAACGCGACCTCGTCCGCCGTGTACTCATAGTCGACGGGGTACTTCTTCTGGACGCCGTCGACCATCGAGTACAGCGCGTAGAAGCGGTCGAGCGGGTTGAAGCACTCGCGCTGGGCGGTTAGATCGAGCACCTCCCCAAACGACGCCAGGCCCTTCCGGCTGGCGGCGATGTCCTGCGCAAAGTCCTGCATGGGGTTTGACTGCGCGAGGCGCTGGGTCGCCTCCTTGAGCCGGCCCTGCAGCTTGCGGTGGTTCTCGATGTCGGCGGCGTCGCCCGCGCGCGCGGCCACCTTGTCGAGATCGTCCATGAACGGGCGCAGGATCTCCGCAAAGTGCAGGCCTAGGTCGACGAGCGCGTGCAGCGTGAACGGCACGCGCCCGACCATGCACACGGGCAGCTTTGCGGGGAGGTAGTACTCCTGGAAGGTCCAGATGCGGCCCCAGTACGGCGCGGAGACGATGTCCAGGAAGCCCTGTATGGCGTCGAGGATCGAGCCGATGTCGTCGCGGCGGGCCTTCGGGCTCCACGAGCGGGCGGCCAGCCGCACGTCGTGGAGGAGCCCCGCCAGGCCGCCCTCGCGGCGCCTGATCATCGCCATGGTCTGTTCCGTGTTGGGGTTTATCGGCCCGAGCCAGGCGATGACCGCGGTGGCGCCTTTGTAGATGCGGCCCATGAGCGGCAGCTGGGTGTTCTTTTCTTTGAGGTTGTCTTGGTCGATGCAGATGAAGTCGATCCAGATGAGGTGTTTCTTCCGGGCGTGTCGGAGGCATTTGAGCGCCGCTTCGAGGTTCGTCGTCACCTGGAAGGGGATGTCGTCCAGGGTGATTCTGACCTTTTCCGTCACGCTCCCCCAGACATAGGAGAGGGCCTCAAACTCGGGTGGGTTGTTCAGTGAGATGGTCTTCAAGGTGCATTTCACTGGGCTCTTTTCATTTTTATCCGGTAGGATGGTGAGGAGGCGGATTTCCACCGCCTCGGGGTTGAGAGATGAGTAGGAGAAAGTGTCTGGATGGTCCATGGGACAGGCTTTAGGTTGTACACAGTACGATAGTGTTGAGATGTGAGATTGTTGTAGATGGGGTGTAGATGTTATATATCTAGCAGGGTCGCATTGACCCTGTGGCTTGCTGACGGATGGTGGAAGGATTAAAAGCCTCATATCTTGGGCTCACCCGACGGCGGCTGCAGAACCATACAAGTGCCGCCAGATGGTCTAGCGTTGTTTTAGTGCTGACGGGCGGAGTATGAGGACGGAAACTCCTATACTCCCTGGTATTTGTCAACCCTGAGGTACCTATAGTTTATAATAAATCAGAGTAATCAAAACACTGCTTATGCCAGTGATCTTACTTGGGGATAAAGACAAAAGAATCATGAATTTATAAAAATCAGATCGCATAAACCAAAGGCCAAAGAGAACCCGTAGGTACATGCAACATATCCTAGTCAAGGGTTGCGCTGAAGGCGCTAGTCGCTTCAGCGGCTTCGCAAATGCTGGGAGGCAAAGAAAGAGCCGACCAAAACCAAGGCCACCATTTCTCTCTTGAAAATATAACCTGATGGTTGCATCTATTTATGGTGGGCACCATACAACAATAGAGGTCTAAAGATGCATGGTCCTGCGAGAATATTAAGGGGAAATCTGTCCAAACCACCATTTCAGCCGCAGTCTTTTGGATCGTCGCGGTGGAGGTCTTGTGACGGCTGCATCCTGGGAGTCCAAGAGACGCGGGTCGATGTTTGCCGTCTCAGAGTTGAGAGATGAAAGGGGAGTATCAGCGCGCGACCCGTTGTCTGACTCCAAAGCCTCTGCGCTGCCAACGGATGAAGTATTGCCGCAGCTCGGCGTAGGTCTCTTAGGAAGATGTTGGAGTTTAATATGGACATTGTATGCGTGGACATTCACTTTGGACTCAATATATAGAACGACCTCATATAGCATCCAAAATTGCGAGAAATGGCTTGATTCGTTGCCCTGCAACCACGGACACAGAGTTGACGTTCATCTTCCGGTCATCAATTCTGTCATGGTGGCTGTCGGCAGTGTTGAAATAAACGCACCAGAAGAAGATGAGAAGGCAAATCAAGGTGTAGTGCGTGAAGATCTCAGACATGGACTGTTCTTGTAAGACATCTACAGCTAATGCTAAAGACGTCTTAGCTTCTCAAAATCCACCAGGAGAAATTGCTATGGCAGATTATCAAGAAATATATTGGCATGTATTGGCTAACTTTTGGTTTGATGTCCCAGATAGAAGGGGCTCTGGGCAACATGCGACGAACACAGCGACTCCTCATTCAAGAAGAGTACAACTTCTTCTCGTGGGTGTGCAGGCCGTGGACATTACCCTCAGTCTGCGCACTCGCACTTCTCATCTCAAAGCGAACAGATCCATTGTTGACCCCCTCACGCAGGGCATCAAGATTCTGGACACCAATATCCTGGAGAGAGTGCTGCACACCAGCAACAAGGTAAGGGACATACTGGGTAATAGAGCCACGATCAACCACGGACCCCGCAACACCCTGCGCAACCTTGACCTTATCATTCTCAGAAAAGTATCGCGAAGCACCGGCGTTCTTACCACCGCCACTCTTGCCCTTGTCCTCCATGACAGCAATACTGCCCATACCACGGAAGGACTTAACTAACTGGCCCGCACTGCTCACAAAGTATTCGCCAGGGGACTCAGTGGTGCCAGCAAGCAGGCTTCCCATCATAACTGCTGAGGCACCAAGCGCCAGTCCCTTAACGATGTGGCCTAGGTTCTGCACACCACCGTCGGCAATAGTAGGCACACCAAAGCGGGCGGCGAAGGCAGACACACTGCGCACAGCTGCCGCCTGAGGACGGCCAACAGCCATGACTTCTTGCGTGATGCACGCCGAGCCACTACCCATACCGATGCGCAGACCGTCGGCACCGGCAGAAATCAATGCCGCGGCTTGCTCCCGGGTGACAATATTACCCGCGATAACGTCAATATCAGGGAAGTTCTCCTTGATGTATTTGATCATGGCAATCTGGAACTTGCTGTTTCCCTGGCTGCTGTCCACGACAACGATATCCAGACCCGCGTCGACGAGCTTTTGGAGGCGGACCTTATCCGCGTCGTGGGTGCTCACGGCCGCGGCGCAGAGTAGCTGCTTGGATGGAAGCTTGGATGCAAGCGGGTAGTGAATGTTCTTCATCAAGTCACTCCGGGATAGCAGGGAGATCAGGGATCCATCCTTGTCCACAATGGGCAGCTTGCCCTTCTTCGAGCTCCGGAGGACTTCATTGGCTTCGACGAGAGTGGTGCCGGCTGGTGCAGTGACGAGGTCTGTTGCCATCACAGCCGTGACTGGATCTTCTGGTGTCTTGTGGAACTGGATGTCTCTGCTGGTAATGATACCGAGCAGCTTCGAATGGAGGGTTCCCTTTTCTGTGGACAAAAAGGTAAGGATCACCAAACGAAAAGACAAGGAAGAACCAAGGCGAGATCCAACTAACCAGTCACAGGAAACCCGCCGAATCCCCACTTAGTCTTCAGGGCCTTTGCCTCTCCCACTGTCGTGTCCGGAGACAGGACAATGGGGTCCTGGATGAAGCCATTTTCATAGCGTTTCACCTTCCTCACCATCTCGGCCTGTTGCTCTGCCGGGCAATTGTTGTGGATCACACCCAATCCACCCAGCAGCGCCATATGGATAGCCATGTTGTGTTCAGTCACGGTGTCCATGGGAGAAGAAAGGAGAGGGGCCTTGATGGTAAACCGCCGGGTGACTTTGGTCTCCAAAGAAACATCCGATGCGGGGAAGGCTGCCCGTACAATTAGCGATGACCACCTATGAAATGGGGTTGATTGCCTTACTGATAGAACCGGGCAAAATGAGGAAGTCATTATACGTCAAGGCTCCATGACTATCCGAGTCGAGGAGAGTATCAACGTGGAGGCCATCTCCAGAAGGATACTCCTTGAGCACCTCCAAAGCCTTGGTATAGTCCAGAACTTCGACCATGATGCTGGTGGAAAAAGATAAATAAAATAAAAAATAAAATAAAAAAACCTATAGGTAATGGGAATGGGGGGGTGATTCCCGAAGGAAGTCAGAGGGGCCGGGGAGCGGTGGCCTTTTAACAAGGCGCCGAGAGGGGCACGTTTGGCGAAAAACTTTTCCTTTTGATGATCTACGCCCCACAACCAGTTTATTCGATGTACTCCGAGTATTGTCTCAATTGTTACCTATTAGGAGTGGAGCACGGTGTTCTCCGTGATCAGTGTTGCCTACGGCGCACAAGGCTCAGAACTACATAGAACTTACCAATCATTGCGGAATCATGGGGATCTATAAATCGTTGGTGTATAGGTGCACGCGACGCAAGAGCAAAACGTTCAGACAAGCCTTACCAGACTGAGTACTAAGCATTGTAACGCTCGATGGTTTCTGTCGGGCTATTCACCCAACGCTAGGCAAACGCCGGATATTGCTAGGGACTGAAATCTACCACACACCATAATACGGCCCCATGGCCACCTCTCCACATGACATTCATGAGAAATCCAGATTTTCCAACGCAATATCGAGTCCGATTCCACTGTTGTCGAGGGGACTGGATGTACGGGCCCGCACCCGCATCCTTCGGTCCCACATTACCGAAGTTTCCAACGCGCTAAGATGGGCCTAAATTTCTTGATTGGCGGGAACACAATGTTGACTCACCCATCCTATTCTTATCGTCGGATAACACCGCCAAGGCCAATAAGCACTATCCTCGATCCTGCCACCGAGCTTCTACTATAGATCTGATCAAGCGGTGTATCACAACAGACAGAACTCGGATCGCGCGTGAGTGGCACAGTTAACAAAGGGCTGGGAGGAGTTTCTGATCGCTCGAGAGGGAAGTGGTAGTCAGTCGGCCTTTGACCTGTTTCGGTCAAGGGATAATTAGACAAATGAAGAATATAATGAGGGTAGAGCAGAGGTGGGCGCGGGGAAATGGAGAGGAGAGAAAGAAAGGAGAAGAATATAGAGGAGATATGAAAAGACAGTGATTGTCTAGTAACCAGCAAGTTCTTTTCCAAGGTCTAAATATTATGAAAGAAGAGCAGTCACTGCAATCCGAAATCAAAGCTTAATACAACAGCCAAAGCAAAATGAGACTCCCTGAAGAACATTAATTTCTATTACCACATTTGCAGTATCTTAAAGGCAAAACGTCTTGTCTCCCACGATCCGCAGCATTACTCGGAGGATCCAACGGACCTATAGTGCGCTAATTACTAGCCTATCCAGCTAATGGGCCACGGGGGGGACACCGGGTACCTGATAAGAATAAACCCTGTCATGAAGAGGGCAGAGATGGATAACATTACTCAGGAACAAGGGATCGGCCAGTGATGCTCTACTTACGTTCAACAAACAACACCACAACGTGGCCCAAAGATGGGTGTGCAGATGCCGTCTAGATGGCGGAATGGACCTCAATGCTACCTTGGTATGATATTATCATATTAGTAGATTATATACAGCTTTTAGTGTTTTGTACCCGCCACTTGCTGTAATGATTAATAGATATAATTCTTATTGGTTAGTAGGTTATTTATCTACAAGAGGGCTCTATTATATAGATCACTATTTTATCCCTAATAAGAGGCTGGTCAAATGCCTGATACTATAGAGCTTATAACATGAGTTTTAATCTGATAGACTTGATACTGATTTATTTATATTATAATTGATAAATCAAGTCAGGAGGACTAGTTATCGATTAGACAGTGATATATTCATTTTTCAGCTCCCTCCATTGCCATTCAATTCAATTAGGCGCGAGTATAAGAACAAGTAATAAAACCAACTTCAAGTAGCATTTTCCCGTCTAGTTAACAGACCATGGTGGAACAGTGATATTATAGGTAATATCAGTATTGCCCTATGTGCCAAAGGTTTCTACTCCTATTCTTATGATAGTCAGGGTTGTTCCTATGAACTACTGCGTAGTATATGTCCCCACGTAAATATTTGCCTAGTCAGGAATGTGTGATTGTTGAAGGATTTTTAAACTAGGAAAATAAGTTTCGCCGGTGGGATTATGACATTATTCCTGTTTAATTATTATTTTGTGATAAGAATAGCAGGCAAAAGTAGACTACATGCATACCAATGACATACCCTCAGCCTCCTACATTCCTGATTCCATACCCTGACGTAGACAACATTGTATTATCTTCAGACGAACATATATCAGGCCTAGCCCTCCATCCCATCATTCATACCTTTTCAACTTGAGTGTACTGTCAGTCATCCACCACGACACCAATTATATACCTCCGAACCAGATCCAAGCAGCAACCACCAAGTACCACCAGAAGGGAAAGACAATAAAATATCAAAAATGAAACCAACAACCTTCCTCCTCCCCCTGCTACCCCTCACCCTCGCCAAATCAACAATATTCAACATGGCCGCCGAGGACAAAACTTGCACTCCCAGCTTCGATTACTGCGCTGACGAGTTGATCAAATCCAAGGGTACTTACTATATACCGCCTCTCCCTCCCTCAGAAAACAAAAAACTATATGGCAAGCATACTGATCCTAATAATATATAAAAGGCTTCTCAAAATCCGACCTCAAAAACGCCCTCAAAGACAGCGACGTCAAAGAAGAAGACCTCAGCAAAATCCTCTTCCACTGTAAGAATCCCGGCGATGTGGGCCATCCGAAGGTGTGTCAGGGTGGGTGTAAGAAGGGGGAGGAGGAGGAGGAGAGTCATTCTTGTTGATCATTCTTCTTCATCTTTGTATTGTGTGTGGAGGGATTAAGGGAAGATGGCTTTGGGGATTAAGTGGGTAGAAGGAGGATACTTGGGTGTGGTGTATGTATTGGATAAATTGCTACGGTTTATAAGGATTAAGTACATGATAACCATAAAGATGAGTGCTGCAATAGTATAATAGTCAATGCTGCAAAGATAACATAACGATGATGCTGCGACGATTAAGTATAAACAGGGCGAACAATATAGACATCAACACTGCGACATAAGTATCAACACCACAAACAATAAGATTGACAAACAACCCAGCTATACCCCCTCCAGGTACCTCCGTATCCAAACAACCCTCCCCGCCCTTGGATCCATAACGGCCGCGAAATGCGTAACCTCATTAGTGATAGGATACGCCGTCGTCCAGCGAATGACCTCCCGCTGAGTAGCAGTGACCTTCGGCTCAACAGTGAGGTCCACAAACGGCGTCGGAAAAGACGTCGCTGCTTTTGACGAGCGCGTGCGTCGCAGACTGTCGTGTCGGTGCGTAGTACTGCCCCTACTACTACTCCGACTCCCACTACCCCTAGTGCCACTGTCACTCCTGCGAGCCAAGACCTTCTTATGCCACTGGAGTTGCATGTACGCGCGGCGCTCAGTGCTATCTTGTACTAAATCCTCCATGGTGACAGGCTCGCCGGAGATGAGAAACGACCCTGAGTGGTTACCAGCAGGGTTGGTGCCATGGGGTGTAGGCGTGAACTGGTCGCTGTTGGTGGCGACTATGAAAGTCGAGTCTGAGGCGACGTGCGCCGAGCGGTGGTCTTTCTCGAGGACGTACGCCGTGGTGCCGTCGCAGAGCACCAAGTATGCGGCTGTTGTCGGCGTGCGCAGGAGAACCGGCAGCGCCTGATGTAGCGGGGGTTTGGACTCAGCCTGCACACCCGGGACGAGACAGCCGCGGAGGACCGACGCGATGGAGGGACGCAGTCCCAGCAATACTAGCAGATGGCTACCATAGAAACGATAGTTCGCCCAACGACTACTAGCATCGTGAACAGGACGAAAGTTCAAGCTTAAACTGAGACCTTGGCGCACACCCGTCAACACACCCACGAACCCAACATAGGTGATGCTAGTCGCAAGGACGGTGTGCGTATCCGGCGAGCGGACAAACTCCAACCGGACAAGCAGTTTGCGCAGGGCGTCCATACCCCAGTCCAGCGTGCGGAAGTGCAGCATTCGCGGCCTGGCCCCCTCGTCGTCGTCATCTTGACACAAGGCCGCCCCGCTGGTACATCCCATGAGGGTGTCGAGTAAGACGTTGAGCGCGACAAGCAGGTACATATCTATACCAGTGACGCGACTAATACCTTTTAGCTCGGCCGTCTCGTCAGAGGTGTGCAGACGGCGGAGGAAGAGCCGAGAGACGCCCTTGATCCACGGGATGGCGTGAGTAGGAGCCACCAGGGCGAGGAGGTCGTCGAAGAGGCCTGTCAGAGCGACCATCTCGCGGCGGTAGATGGTGGCTAGGTGGACGTAGCGCTCTTCGGGAGGGAGGGATAGGTCGATTTGGTACACTGGGGGGATGTCCCCTTGCTGCTCGGAGGAAGGCATAGCGGTTGTACCGGTCTGTAAGACCGCGGAGAATTGATTGTTTACAGCATGATAGACGAGATGATGAGATGGGAGAACTAGGTAGAGTGAAGTGGATCGATAAGGAAGGTGAGGCGGAGTGGATAGGCAGCCATGCAGGGTGAGTCAGCAAACCGTCGACACCTGGTGTGGTAGGATGATGCCACGCATCCCACGGAGGATACTGTCCCTCACCATTTCAATTGGTGTGGAATGCATGATGAAACTACAGCTGGACATGGATATATTTAGATGAAAACACGTGAATGGAAGCACAACTCCTTCTATGGATAGACCCGACGCTAAGAACAGCAAAGTCCACATTTCCCGGTTGGTATCTCAACTTAACCCCGGCGCCTAGTACAGTAATTAAAAATCATAAAAAGGAAAAGAAATAGAATCAAGAAAGAAAGCAGAAGCCAGGGTCAACGCCCCAACTCGGCCAGCTCGCGCTCCTTGGCTCGCAGTTTCTCCCGCATCTCCTCCGCCTCGCGCTGCAGCTGCAGTCGTCGGTCGTCCCGGATGGGGTGGGACGCAGCGGGCGCCGGCATGCGGCCCATGGCGGCGAGGGCGGGATCCAGCGTGGATGGGGGCGCGCGCGCGTGGTTCAACAGGGTGGAGATCGAGCTGAGCCGGGCGGGCGGCGCATGAGGCGAAGCCATGATCGGGGGCAGCTGGTTGGAGCCCGCCTCCAGGGTGACGGGCCCCGACAGGGCCTCGGCCGAGGAGGCCGTCTCGGCCAAGGAGCGGGTAGGTACGGGCGCCACGTGGGGGGAGAGGGACCGGCGGCCGACCGGTGGCCCCGGAGAGTGACGGAGCGGGCTCATACGGTCCGGCTCCAGCAGGCGAGGCGGCGGGGGATGGTGCGGCAGGGTCCCGACGCCGGCGCCAAAGCCGGTGAAGTCGACGGGGGGCGGGGCGGCGGCGAAGGGTCGGTAATAATCCTCGTGGAGCGGCGCGGGGGCGGCCTCGGGCGAGGCGGATGAGCCGTAGGAGGAGTGGGGGGCCCCGGTGGGCGACTGTTCGCGGAGGGCGGGCACGACGCGCTTGCGGCGTTTGATGATGGTTTTCTTCATGGTGGTGGGTCGGTAGCAGCCGTGAAGTTTGTAGTAGAGACCTATCTTGAGTTAGTTGATGGGGCGCCGGAAGAGGCGGGAGAAGGTAACTGACCACAAGCATTGCAGATGGGATGGCCATGTTCGTCCCGGCGCCAGAGGGGAGTGACGGTGGTGCCGCAGTTCTGGCACGCGACCAGTAGATTCCCATCGGTCGGAGCGGGCCCAGCGGGCGTCTCGGCGTCGGGGACGAGGTGGTCGGTGTCAACAGGGGGAGCGCGGTTCCAGGCGTGGACGGGGACGGTGCCTCGCGGGGTGGACTTGTAGACGCGGTTATTATAAGCAGGGCAGCCATCGCAGCCCTCTGCGCCGCCGGTGCCGTTGCAATTACCGCCGCCGGGACAGGAGCCGTTGGAGGAACAGCTGCCGGCATTGGGGGCGGGAGAGTGCTCGTGGTCGGCCTCGTGCGGGGGGAGATCGTCGGGACTGGAGTGGGTGCGATGGCGTTTGGTGGGACGAGCGACGTTTCGAGCCTTGAGGTAGAGACCGCAGGCATTACAGATCATGGCGCCGTTGGGGGCACGACGCCAGAGGGGGGTACTTTTGGTGCCACAGTTACTACATGGGTTAGCCTGAGACAGACAGGGGGGATTATCAATCAGGGGGAGGGGGGAAAGTACCTGCAAGAGTGCCCGAGGAAGGAGGTATCTTTGGAGGGTTTGGGAGAGGTGGAGTGGTCGGAAGATGGCCCTTTCGGGCCTTCGACAGAGGGACGAGGGAGAGCATCCTGAGAGGTGGTGGTGGGTGGCGTGGAGCGGGCATCGTAGACTCTGGGGGCGAGATCGGGACGATAGACAAGATGTTCGCGACCACTTTGGGCGGAGGAGATCAACTGCTGGGCGGCATCAAGATCCTCGGCGGAGGGATGTCGGGAGACGTTGGCATTGTGGGGAAACGACCGTGCCAAATCCATGGGGGGTAAGGAAGCTAGCATTTCGTTTTGGAAAAGGAGGAGGAGAAGGAGGAGGAGGAGGAGGGAGAGAGATGGGAGGAAGGAGGGAAAGAAGGGGAGATAAAAGTCGGTGAGAACAATCAGGAGGAAGAAAGAGAGACAGGGAGGAAGAGAGAGGAAGAGAGAAGGATCCCTGACGGCGGAGATCTGCTGGTGGAGTCGCGTGTCTGGAAATAGAAACACGGATTGACGTCGAGTAGGGAGTAGGGGTAGGAGTAGGAGGATGAGGGGGGAATAGATGGAGAGAAGAAGACAAAGAACACTAAGAAGGACGACAGAAAGCGATGATAGAAGAAAGAAGGAAGAAGAAAGAGAAGATGTGGATCTGATATGATCCAAGTGAGAATCAGATAGAATCAGATGAGAATGATAAGAGAGAAAGAGAGGAGACTCCAGAATGGGGCAGAGACTGGTCAATCAGCAGGGGGCAATTATCAATCTCTTCCTTCTCTTTCCAAAGTCGGGTGGATCTTATCGATCAGGGATCTTCTTCTATCACTTGGCCAGACCTATCAGATTAGATCGGTCTTCTTTTTCTTTAGATGGTGATTTTCTTTGTTCTTTTCGTCTATTCTGTTCCACTCTGTTTTTTTTTTCTTCTGGATTTCCTCTTTCTTCCTGTCTTTCTTCTTCCTCCTTCTTCCTCCTTTTGTCTTTTTCTTCCTTATGATTCGTCTCCACCATATCCAACCTGGATCCAGTGGACCGGGGTCTCGTCGGTTCCACCGCTTGATTCTTTCTCGTTTATCCTGGTTCTGATTGGTGGTGGATGGAACTGGAGCAGTCAGCCTCTTTCTGCTCGTTCCCATTGGTCGGGGAGGAGGGTTCCCCTTCCCCCCCACCAATCAGGATACAGACAAATGCCATGTCAGCCTCTGGAGTCTGGAGTGCCAAGTGGATCACCTGAGCAGTCACGTGGATGGGCAGACCTCTTGTCTCCGTATGGAATAATCATGTGGAATATAGTAGTAGAACTATCATGATGTGGCAACCTACCTGAGAGTATCCTTACTCATCCGGTCTATCAGTCACAGATCGATAAGGTGCGTGTCGATAACAACTCTGTTCCTATCGCCACATCCCACACCTCCACTTCCATCATTCAATGCGTATCTCCATCTCAAACCGTCAACTCGTCAACTTCAACAATCCCATCCAAATATGACCGCCCCCCAGTCAGCCTCTACCCCCAAGTTCACCGTCTTGATTCGCCTTCCTTTTCCCAGAGGCGACTTTGTCGATCCCCCCCCGGTCCGTTCTCTCTCCCTCCCCGTATCAACTCCTAGCTTCCGACGCGACTGACTGACCGCAGGTCGACTGGAATGCCGCCAAGGATCAAGCTCTCTGGGATGTCCTGTCGCGGCCTTCCAAAGGGGACGATATCGACTGTACGTTCTTCATCCCCATCATACCTTTTAATAGACTCATACGAACTACTGATTACTACAGGGAAAGCCCTGTATGTTCCTCACCCTCCATCTGGCCCTCCATCCTCACTCCCTCCACTAACCCTTGCGATCTCCAGCGCCGATCGCTTCGATGTGACCCTCCAGTTCCTCCTCCAGCAGGCCGCCTGGCTCTATGATCGTCAACTCTCCCAGGTTCGCGCCCAGATGCGCAAGGTCGGCACCACCCAGTCGCATTCGCCTTCTCCCGTCCCGGGCTCCATCTCCGGCAGTACTGCCCTGCCCCGTCCCGCCTCCGGTTCTGGTATTCTTCCCCCTTTCGTCTTGATTTGTATAGATCCAAGCTAATCCACCCAGCCCCCCGCGTCCCCTCCCGGCTGGCCTCCCAGCAGAAGGATCCTCCTCCGCCCCGCGGTGAGTATGATGGTCGGTCTCATCGAATAGCTCAGGCTAATTCCCTAGCCCCGGCCCCACGCCGCACCAGCTCCGGCAACACCATCCCCCAGGTCCCCGCCTCCCGCGATCCTCTCCGGACCGAGACCCCCCCCACCAACCCTGAAGAGCCCAGATGGGACACTCAAGGCCGTCCCTCCACCGGTCGACGCGAACCTCCCGCCCCCGCCCCCCACTCACCCGCTGCCGACGGCCTGTCTTCAACTTCCTCCGTGTCCGAGTCCGAATCCGACGACTCCGACTCCGACTCCGAGATGCTCGCCAGCCGGAGGGGAATGGGAATCAAACGCTTCGGGAAGGCCTCGACCCATCGACCCGGACTTCGGGACGACGATGCCGACGACGACGACGACGAGCCCCCGCTGCTCCTGGCGCTGTCCTGCGACGCCGACGGCCCGGATCCCGCCGACCGCGAACTTGGGGAAACCCTCCGGTTGAACGCCCGTCCTCAAACGCACACCCCGCGGAGGTCCCTCGCGACCGAGTCATCTGCCAGCTCGGCCAGCTCGAGCGTCCCCGCCGTCCTGCCCAATCGCCGACGTTTGCACCAGAGCAGTCCGCGTCGTCCCCGACCGACGGCGGAGCTGGCCCGACTGAGCCCGCGACGCTCCGTTGCTTCTGGTCGGGAGACCAGCGACGGGACTCCTAGCATGGGGAGTAGCTTCAGTGATTTGGATGGTAGGCGTGTCTTCTCGCGACCACCCTTGATTTGTACTGATTGGATCCAGACGCGAGTGTGACTCAATCCGCCCTCGAAGAGGCCCTGCTGAGCAACATGCAACACGGCGGCATGGCCAGCCGGATGAGTACTATCAGCCAAGCCCTGCGCAGCCGCTACCTCTGATAGATGGTTTCAACTACATCCACTGCCTGGTGGAGACGGTTGTACGTGAGCGATAAGATACCTCGGTCGGCCCGGATGACATAAGCGGATCCCCGGGCCCCGCAGGCGGTGAGCGGGTGGACTGACGTCCCTCCTCATCCCACTCTCTCCTCCTTCACTCACCATCTCTCATCAACCGAATGGTATCTGAGCATTGCCTCGACTAATTGCCTCGAAGTGGCCTCTCCTCCGTTGTCTCATCGATCCATCGTGCCCACCTACAGACGGTCACCATGTCGTCCGCCCCCAGCAAGGACATGACCCCCGCCCAGGCGGAGTCGGCCTACTTCAACAACTACCCCCCACCCAAAGCCCTCCCAAAACACGAGTCCCTCGCGCGCGCCTTCGTTGACTACCACTGCGAGGCCAACCGACGGGTCGTCCTCGTCACCTCGGGCGGTACGACTGTCCCCCTCGAAAACCAGACCGTCCGGTTCATCGACAACTTCAGCGCGGGTACCCGCGGGGCCACCAGCGCCGAGTACTTCCTCGAGAACGGCTACGCGGTCATCTTCCTGCACCGGCAGTACAGCCTGCTCCCCTACTCCCGACACTACAGCCACTCGACCAACTGCTTCCTCGACTTCCTGGAGGAAGCCCCGGAGGAGGGGCCGATCGTCGTACGCGACGAGTACCAGGCAGAGATGCGCGACGTACTCCGACGGTACCGACACGCGAAGAAGAACAATCGACTGCTGCTTCTCCCGTTCACCACCGTCTCAGAGTACCTATTTGAGCTGCGCACACTCGCCAAGATCATGCGGCCCCTCGGCTCCAACGCCCTCTTCTACCTCGCCGCCGCAGTCAGCGACTTCTTCATCCCGCGCGACCGCATGGCCGAGCACAAGATCCAGTCGTCGGAGGTGCCCCGGGACCCCGAGCACGCGGTGGCCGACTCCGACCGCTACACGGGGGGACTGGAGCCCGACGAGAATGCGCCGTCCCAAAGCCGCAAGCTCGTCATCGACCTCGACCCGGTGCCTAAATTCCTGCACCAGCTGGTCGACGGTTGGGCACCGCCGGGGTCGATGGTGGTGTCGTTCAAGCTGGAGACGGATCCCAGCTTGTTGGTGCGCAAGGCGCGCACGGCCATCCAGCGCTACTCGCACCACCTGGTGATCGGCAACTTGCTGTCCACACGCAAATGGGAGGTTGTCTTCGTCACGCCCGACGCGCCGCACGAGCGCTGGATTCGGGTGCCCAAATCCAAGCGCAGCAAGAGTCTGTCGGGCGTCGAAGACCAGGTCGGACTGGCGGAGGCACGGCAGCGTCTGCGCGATGATCCGTCGGGAGAGAAGGGGGAGTCTGAGAGGCAGGCGGAGCAAGCGCGCCAGGAAGAGGCCAGCGCGGAAGGCGTCGAGATTGAGAGTTTGATTATTCCGGAGTTGGTGAAGTTGCATACGGGGATGATCGAGAAGACGGGTTGATTCTACATTTTACAACTATGTTTTTGATAGTGCGTGTAGGTTGGTGTACATAATACGTGTTGAATGGATGTGTTGCATTTTATTTGCCAAAGACCACTACATAGTGTTTTATATGTCATATTAGGTATATTATTTGGCTTATTGTATGTAGTGTGTAGTAGAGTAGGCAGTACTACCAGGTAGACAGATAGATGCCTATGTTCAAGGAAATGCCCAGACAGTAATAAATAAACGATTACAATGAAATAGTAGATGATTGAAGTAGTCTTCTGGTTTTCACAGCTATCTATATTAAGTCATCCATTCAATTAAAATGTCACTACTATCGTGACTACTGCTACTGCTACTACTACCACTACCACCCACAACCACTAGCTACACGGAAAAAACAAAACATATAAATCATCATTCATAAACCCACTCATTAGTTCACCACCTGTCTGCCTAACCACCTACATACTAGCCAGGCAAACACGTATATCTAAATAGCCACGCCCCAGCTAATCAACCCACCCACCAATACCACCATCCCAACATGCCAGAGACAGACAACAAAACAAGGTAAAAGAAACGAAAACAAAGTGAGAAAGATCCCATGAATAAGTTCTTCCCAGCAGGATAAGAACAATACAATGCCATCAAAGTGATAGAAAAATATCATCCCATCCAACTCCCATCCATCAACAAATCAGACATAGGCGTATCCTGCCAATAAAGCTGTCTCCACTCGTCCTCCAACTCGGGCAGACCCTCCATTGCGAGTGGCAAGACAGGCTGATCTACATCGCCGAACGAGAACAGCTGGCGCCAGTCGAGAGATTCACGCGGGTGGTCTATCGCGTCCACGGAGGAGATGTTGTGGGATGGGATCCAGGTGTCGAAGGGTTGGGGTGGGGCTGTTGCTGCTGATGATAGCTGGGGGGATTCGGGGGTGGGGACTTCGTAGGGTGCTGCTGTTGTTGTTGTTGTTGTTGTTGTTGTTGTTGTTGGCTGGGGTGGGGCGGGTTGTATGGGCATGGTATTGGGCTGGTTGATTGTGGTGGTGGTGTTGTTGTTGTTGTTGTTGATGATGGTAGTGGTGATAGAACCTTTGCTTGGGGTAGGCTCATTGGTACTGCTGAACCGACGGGGCCGGTCACTAGGCGCCAGATGGAGGTCCTCTCGCAGCCGGCGCGAGTCCTTAAACAGACGAAGGATGGTCCCAGCGTGAGACCAGTACCCGGCGAGCTCTCGCAGCGAGTACGACGCCGAGTCAAATCGGCGGAGGGCGCTGATGGCCAGCACCGGGTTTGAGAAGCGCAGCTCGACACGCACTTGGATCATTGCCGTGAACAGCGTGTGCACACCAGCGTACCAGAGATACTTGAGGCGATCATTAAGTCGCAGCTCTTCGAAGATGGAGGCGATGACTCCCGCCGCGGCGCTGCAGATCTCCGCGTCGTGCGGCCCGTAGTCATCCGAGTAGACGGACGCGCGCGGGTGCGGCCTGTGCAGGAGGATCAAGAAGTTATTGTATGTCAGATGGAGCATCGCCGACCAGGGGTCCATGTCAGACGCCCGGAGACGCAGCGTATCAGGCAGTTTCAGGGACCAGTTGGCGAGCGCTTCGTCGGCTTCTTGCAAGACAGCTGTGCGGCGCTCGGCGCTGACCCGCAGGCCGAACCGCTCGCGAACGATGTACGAGATCATGGTGCAGAGTTCCGAGAAGTTGATGGCGAATTCGGCCTGCACCCGCGGGCCGCATCCTTCGAAATCAGCCAGTGTTAGGGGGGAGACGTCTGAGTCTTCCAGGTTGCTGCATACGTCAGAATGGCACTCCGCCAGAGGAAAGATTGGGAGACGTACATCGCCTGCGGTCGACCGTAGGACAGAGAGACCATCACGTCAAACTGGACTAGAATGTACCACATGCGTCGCCACATGTGGCGGTCCCGGGACACGAAGCGACTAGACACCGGGTTGCGGTGCATGCCTAGCCCCGTGGCGATGCGGGCCGCCACGCCGACCCAGTAGTGGGCGTTGGCGGCGACGTCGTCGTCGGCGCTGTCCGAGTGCCAGGTCATGAGCAGCGCGGCCTGCACCATGATATCGCGGTTGCGCTCGATGCGACTGTCAAACAGCCACTTGGCGCGGCGGAAGAAGATCTCCTTGAGAGCGTCGCGCTCGGCCTTGGGCCGGGCGACGTGCGCGCCGACCAGCAAGATCGCCTGGACCAGCAGGATGGGCGGTGGGTCACTCGGATCGCGGTTGCGGTACTGTGCCATGAAGAGATCCTCCTCGATGATGGGGTAGCCCGTGTTGACGCGGGCGAAGTACGCCTCGACCAGCTCGTCCGCCAGCGCGGGCTCCGGCAGGGTGAGCGCGTCGACCATGAGCTGATCATGGCCGGTGCGGATCTGCCGCCGCGGGATCTCGTTTCCGGCAAAGTGGTAGACGTCGTCGTCCTTGTCGCGCTGCTGGCGGATCAAAAATGACATGTTGGACAGCTCGTGGCCGACGTAGATGGCGCGGACGCCGCGCTGGATCTCGCGACTGCCCGAGTCCTCCTCGTCGATGAGCTTCACTAGCCGTTTCTCGAGATCGGTGTGCGAGTCTGGATCGGCCACGCCTTCGGGTTCGGGGTGGGCCACATCTAGGGGCCCGGTCGCGGCGGCATCGCTGCCGATCCGTGGGCGCGGCGGATGCGCCGTCGTTCCTTCAGGCTGGACCCCGCGGAAGGTAGTGGTGAATGCCGACGGGGCAGCAGACGGCGGGGTCAGCGACTTGGGCGCCTCGTCTACCGCAGGGGTAGGACGACATCGGATGGGCACTGGATCGAGGATCGATCGCACAGCCAGGCGCTTCTTCTTCTCATGGATGCGGCAGTCGGCTTTGCCGGCGGAGCGACAATTGGAGCAGGGAAGACCGACGACGCGGGCATCGCATCGGACTTTGCGCCGATGACAGTGGATGCAGGCGGCGGAGCCTGACTCACATTAGCCTCGGAGTATTTACGGACTGGATGAGGGGATGTACCTGACTTGCGCTTGGTTACACCATTGCCAGTGGGCGGATGGGTGTTATGCAGGGCGGAGGACATAGCAGCATGGACAGTGGGGCGAGACAGGTTAGGGGGCGAGGGTTCGCAGCTTCATGGTAGGCAGGAGGATCGAAGCAGATTGAGACAGAGGAAGAGAGGGAAAGAGTAAGCGTAAAGAGGAGAAAAGAAGAGAAGTTGGTTGAGACTGGAGAAAGATGGAGGACGTTGTGGGGCTGATACGCGGGGGGTCACGTGGCGTGCGGAGACAATCCGCCCTGGTTTCAATTATCAATCGAAACGTTGCTGGATTTGACTGCCCTGGATCTATCTATTAGTTGGATAGCAGGCAGGCTGAATGGTGGAGCTATCCACTGCGTAATGGTCGATCCACGAGTAGAACTGTCTGGGGCTATCGTGCTCCACTGTAGCTTATCAGGCATGCGGTGTAGATGACTCCAACCAACACGGACCAGTAGATCCAACACTATGTACAACGACACCGAGATACAACAACCACTATATACAACAACCTCCTATATACAGCAGATGATAGAAATCAGATCAGACCATCCCCCCTCCCCCAAACCCTCGAATGTACCCGATCATGCCAACACCACATCACAGCGTTGATCGTCCTCACCAGGACACACAACCCCTCCGGCGCATGGCCCTCGGGATCCATATTCGCCGTCGTTTCGAGCACCCACTGCAGGAGTTTGTACAGAGGAAGCCAGAAAAGCAGAAAGAGCTGCGCTCCGAGCCATTGCCAGGGGGAGTGATCCCTGATTGGAGGATGATACGACGGGAGGGTGGAGAGATAGGCTTGATACGGGGGAGAGAGGTGTTGTTCTCCGGAGCCGGTTGTGATGAGGTCCTTTCCATATATCAGTATATATGTGTATATGTATAAGAAATAATAAGACAAACCATATACCGCCGACTCGGCACCCCAGCCGGCGTACGACTCTCACCCGTCACGAGTGTCACGACGGCCATCCCAGACGCATCTCCATCAGCCGGATATAGCGGCAACGCACGGAGCACCACCCGGCGATACGCATAGAGACCGCCCTCGGACGCCATGATGGAGCGCAATTGCGCAGGCGTCACGAGGTACGCGACGCCTTCGACCGTCGGAGCGATCGTCGACGCATCCTTTTCAACATCCCGCTTCTCGTCCGAGAGGACAGAACCAGGCTGGATAGAGGCAAATGCAGGCTCGATGTAGGGCAAACCGCCAATGTCAAAGACGAGTGTCCAGCCTGGAATGGAGACGGATTTGGTGGCTAGGGGGATGATCTTGCGGGTGCCGGTGAAGATGGAGTGGGCCAGATTCGACCCGTAGGCGAAGTACCAGATGGGTTGGTCTGGAGGGTTCCAGTGGTGGAGGGTCATGTTTGTCTATTGATTTGGTGACTTTGGAGCAGTTGGAGAAGGATAGAGTGAGGTGGATGGTTAGTCAGCTGTGTTCCTAACTATTTGCTACCTGGTGTCTACTCAATCTCTACGATTGATTTACAATGCATCCACCATGTATCTACTGTGTATACTATATAATCTGCTAGTCCCTAATGGTACGGGTTCACGGAAGCAACTATGACAGAAAACGATTACAATGGAGCGAAATCAATTATATTGGACCTACAGAAAGTACATCGTGAAACCCCATTTCCCAATCCAACCAACCAGTTCCTGCTGAAGAAAGAAAGAAAGAAAGAAAGCAATAAAAAAGAAAAAAGAAGAAGAAAGAAAGAAGAGAAATACAGTTAGGTATCGCTTTTGGCGTCTGGTGGATCGTCGTCGTCGTGAGCGAATACTGGTCAGGTCAATGGCGAAAAGATCAGCCGCACTAAGCGTCCAGGTCCATCCCCGTCCCCAGGGATGCCGGCTGGGCGCACATGGTCTGGAGGAGAGGCGGCTCGGCCGGGTTGGCGCCGAGGAGGTTCTGGTCGTGCGGGGCGTCTGCCAGAGGTCGGTCCGACGCGCCGAGGATTTGAGTGCCTTCAAAAGTGATTGGGCTCGCGCTCAAATGGCGCACGGCTGCCTCCCAGCTGGAGCCCACCAGCTGGGCCTGCGTGAGGTCATCGTTGAAGAGGTAGAAAGCGGGAGTGGTGCCAAGACCCAACGGAGCGGCCGGTCGCGCACTGACCAGGTACGCGTTAAGGGCGCGATTCTTCATGAGGATCTCGCACTCCCCAAGGTGGGTCGCGAATTGTCGGTCGATGTATTTTTTCCAGCCGCGCACGGCCGCGGCGATGTCGGAGTCATCCACCTGGATCCGTTGCCAGCTGATCCCCAGGAGGTGCGTGGTGTCGTCGACGGTCGGTTCTTGGGGAGAGCGATTGCGGGCTTCGGGGGCGGCGGCGTGGGGATCGTCTGCGAGAGGATGCGGCATGGATGCGAGGGTACTGTCCTGGAGACCCGGGGTCGTGGGACCCAAGCGCGTCGCCTTGCGGCCTCGAAGATGGTCCGCGCTGGCGTCCGAGGACCAGGACGCGACGGATGGGGTGTTGCTGACCGTTCCGCCGGAAGAGGAGCCAAAGATAGGTGGTTCTTGTCGCTGAGACGCCGGGGTGGGCATGATTATCGGAGGGTTTGGGTGGAGGGCCTCTTCGAAGGCCGCCTCGTCGCGGGATCTCTTGCGGGAGGGTTTGGACGGGGGCGGAGGAGCGGCCCCGAAGAGCATTGCGGGGGGAACGATGTCCCGCTTGGAAGCACGGGAGAAATTCAGGAAGGCATGATCCTGGGACGGGGAGAGGACCATGGCCGGGCCATCGGAGAAGTCGTTGGCGAGCATGGGACACATGGTGAGATGGGGGCGCGGGAGATGAATGGAGGAATCTAGGGAAGCGAACGGATCTGTCCTGTAGGGTGAGCTAATAGTCAATCAACAAGGGCACGCGTGGATGAGGATCCACGCCGTGTCGAGGCAGCGGCGGAGCCTGGGAGAGTCAAATGGATCGTAGGAGGTCCAAAGGGATGGACGAGATAGAGGATAATGGAGTGAAAAGGATGGGATGAAAGAAGGGCAGTCCAAAGATAGATGAGGTGAAATAAAAGGGAAGGGAATGGGAAGGATGAATGAGGCGATTGAGAGAAGACGAGAGAGTAGAGAGGAGGAAGAGTGAGTGAAGAAGAGAAAGAAGAAGAGAAGAAGAGAGGAAGAGAGGAAGAGAGAGAGAGAGAGAGAAAAGAAAGCACTGACGGAAGGGCTGGATGGATGGCGGATGCAGATGATGCGATGCAGTGGAGAGAAGGAAATGCGGAGATTATTACTGTTCTGACTGTGTATTTACCAATATGAAACGATTTGATTGCCGACAATACAGTGTAATGTAAGGTAATATGACAGTACATACCACCATCCACAGACCCACCGCAATCCGATCAACTGGCCAGTTGACCCCCGTGATTGGCCACTGCCTGAGGCCGACCCGGGGATCGCTCGGGTCAGGCAGAAAGATGATTGGCCTGAGAAGCAACGCCTTGTCCACGCGTCCAGGGAATTCTTCCGGCTGATTGGCGGAGGCTGTCATTGATGATCCTGGCTGGAGAGGATCTCTTTCTTCCGCCTTGGTGGCGGAGTCAATCTGACAGAGAGAATCCGACCACTACGCGACCACTGTCAACGAAACTAGCTGGATGCGTGCCTCAGGCGGGGAGGCCTCCGGTGGCTGCCTCAGGCCGTACTCCGGACCTTTCTTGTTTGGTCGACAGTTACTCTGACCTTTTGAGTAGTTCGGTAGTTACTCTCTCTCTGAGTAATCCAGGATCACTGTCAGTCTGACTACTTCGTACTGTAGTAAGCAGCATTCATCCCCAATACTTCCCTAATCGTACTCACCAGTACCTCTGTGTAGGATACTTATGTAGTTATGTACATGATGAGTCAGACACGTGCAGCTGACTCATTCCGCCGGCCAATCAGCGCGTGCGCCCGTGACGAACCTCATCTTGGCCTGAGGTGCCAAGGCCTCCTCTCTCTCTTTTCGACTCCAAACTCCATCCAGTCTTGTCTGTTCCATCTCATCTTCTTCTCTACATCCATATAGACTCTTTCTCTCTCTCTCCCTCTCTCTCTCTCTCCCCCCCCCTCTCTCTCTTCCTGGCTCCAATCCAGTGTCCATCTCTCCACGGTCTGGATTTGTCCCCCATCGGTTGCAATTCCCCTCAACCACCCACTTTTCTTCTTTGGTTCCCTTTTTCTTGGATTTTTTTTTTTCTGCCTCGCGACAACCACTCTACCACGCGCCGGATTCTCGTCCACATCGATCTCCATCCATCCGGGTTCACAAGGAAAACAGGGTTGGAAGGAGAAAAAAGAACGACTCTCGCCGCGTTCGTAACTCGGGTTGATTTTTTTAGCGTCCGCCGTCCCTCGTCGCGCTCCCATCATCAAGCCCCCGTCGTTCTCCTCGCCTATCGCCGTATCACGCGCTTTCGAGACTCCGACTGCTGCTCACAGCCCTTCCCTGGAGGCATAGAGTCAACCGAATATAAACCCCGGTCTGGAAATCGCGCCCCTTCGTCCTCCGGTGTCCCCGCGGTGCGGCCATCTTGGGCCCGGACAGTGGTTGCCCTGCGACTCCACACCCGCTGTCCAACTTTTCCCTCCCCATTTTTCCTTGCCATCCGAAGCGTTCGCATCGGTCGCCGGATCGTCTCACGGCTTCTACCAGCTCGACCCGACCCTGGGTCCCGTCGTCGGCGATGAGTCCCCAAGGCGTCACGCGCAAGAGGCCCGCCCCGGGCACCTCTCCCCTCCCCCATCCTCCTCAACCGCATATGGGCCCCATTCCCAACTTTCCCCAGTCCGCTGGTCCGCAGCTCTCCAACGATCAGTTCCTGCAGTGGGGCCAGAATCCCGCGCATGTCGCCAATCCACCGCCCTTTTCCGATCCTACCGCATACAACAACGCCGCATACGCCGCCGCCCAGGACATCCCCGCCTCGTCCACCCAGTTGGCGCGTCGCCAGGCCGCCCCCGCCCCGGTGCCAACCCGCGGCTCCAGATATGAATCCCCTTCCACCACCTCGGAGAATGGCAGTCAGCCAGCCGACCCGGGCCCCTGGGGCGAGAGTCTGGAGCATCTTTACCAACGCGCTGTCGTCGCCAAGCGGGACGCCCAGGCCAAGCGGAAGCAGATTCCCCCGTTTGTCCAAAAACTGAGCAGGTACCTTGACCCTTGACCCCTTCACCCTCATCTCCCCACCCCCACCCAGACGGAAGCCACTGACCCACCCAGTTTCCTCGACGAGTCCAAGAATACCGAACTAATCCGGTGGGCGGACGACGGAAATTCCTTCATCGTCCTGGATGAGGACGAGTTCGCCAAGACCCTCATCCCCGAGCTGTTCAAACACAACAACTACGCCTCCTTCGTCCGCCAGTTGAACATGTACGGCTTCCACAAGAAGGTTGGCCTGTCCGATAACTCGATGCGCGCCAGCGAGCGCAAGAACAAGAGCCCCAGCGAATACGCCAATCCCTACTTCCGCCGCGGCCACCCCGACCTGCTCTGGCTCATCTCCAAGCCCAAGAACTCCGGCGGTCAGGCCAACCGCCCCGCCAAGCCGCCCGTCCGCGTCAAGACCGAGGACGGCGACCCCGATGACGACGACACGGACGAGCCCGCGGGCCTCCACCATGATCGTGCCCGCGGTCGCCAGCTCTCCCTCATCACCAACAACGACGTCGCCAAGGACCAACTCTCCGGCGTCTACCGCGAGTTGCAGGCCATCCGCCAGCAGCAGCAGATCATCTCCACCACCATCACCAAGCTCCGCCGCGAGCACGAGCAGCTCTACGCCCAGGCCGCCAACTTCCAGGAGCAGCACAGTCGTCACGAGAACTCCATCAACGCCATCCTGACCTTCCTGGCCACCGTCTACAATCGCAGCCTGCAGGGGCAGGACGGCGGCCCGCAGAACCTGGCCAACTCCTTCGCCGGCGCCATCTCGCAGGACCCGGGCAACATCGTCGACGTCGGGGACGACTACTCCCTCAGCACCCTGGGCGCCTCCAATCTCCCCGGCCCCGCCGCCGCCGCCGCCGCCGCTGCCGCCGCCGCCCGCACCGCCAAGAAGCAGCCCCTCCTCTTGAAGGCGCCCCCGGCCCCCGGCGCCAATCGCGCCACCACCCTGTCCCCCGCCGCCAGTGCCTACGAACGCCCGCCGCCGCCGCCGCGCGCCCCCTCCCGGCACCAGCCCACGGCCCCGCCGACGGGTCAGGTCGAGGAGGTGTTCGACGCCAGCCCGCGGCCCAAGGCCCCCCTGCCCCCGAACCCGACGGCGCAGGGAGACGCGCCCCAGCGGGACATCATGTCCGTCATCGAGAACTCTAACGCCCGCAACGGCCTCCCGACCAGCCTCGCCGATTTCCCCAATGTCCTCTCGTCCCTGGAGACCTCGGGCGGGAACGTGCCGCTGACGCCGAACCAGCGCGCGGACATGCTGCGTCTGATGGCCCACGAGTCGCACCCGGGCGGCGACGACGTGCCCCTGTCCCACAACAACGCCCTGATGACCCCGACGCCCCCGCCCATGCCCCACAACTACTCGGGCCGCCTCGCCGACACGCGCGCCGAGATCGACAACCTCGTCAAGATGCAGGCCGAGCAGGACCGGTCCGTCCAGAACCTCACCAATCTGCTGCAGCCCCTCAGCCCCACCGGCGCCATCCCGGGCCTCGGCGCCGACGGCAGCGTGCCGCCGCCACCGCTCGACCTGGACCAGATCTTCAGCAACGACTACTTCACCGACCTGCACGACGCCGACCCGCACCACAAGTCGAATCTCGAGTACGGCGACCCCGCGTCGGGCCAGCACCCGCTCCCAGAGCCCCCGGTCCACCCGGGACCGGACGACAGCGGCCTCAAGGACGCGCACGATCTCTTCAACTTCGACCACGTCCCGGCGGACGACGACCCATTCGGCGCCAACCCGCCCCCGAACCAGTCCTACTACGGCGGATACGACGGCAGCAACGGCTACGGCGCACCGCCCGGTCTGGCTCCGAACCCGGGCCCCGTTCCAAACGACTCGGGCCGGATCGTCGAGACCCTGACCGACAGCGAAGGGACGAGCCCGGCCAACACCGTCGAAGAGGTGCCCACGTACGGCGAGGACAGCCAGCCCCCAGGCAGTGAGAGCAAACGACGGAAAAGGGCGTGATCTCGTAATCTTGTGATCTCGTGATGCTTGAGTTGTCACCAACGCGGGGGAACCACGTACAGTTCTTGGGTCCGACATATATATACCCGACCCATCATCCCCCCTCCCTGTCTCTACAGACGACTAGCCATATTCCACACCAACTCGGATAGAGAAAATGAGTCGACTACGGATCGACTGTCTACAGCATACTTCTTCCATCTTCCCATCATGTCCCTCCTTTCTCTCCGCTTCACCCAGGGTGATATCCGTCATTGTTACTGTCAGATAATTCTAAAAAAGAAGAAAGCCGCCGTGGGCGGAATAGCACGATTTAATGATAGCGAGATTTCTTTCCTTTTCCCGTTTGTGTTTGGTAGTGCGTAATTTAGAGGATCGTTTCGTACGGTAGACTTGTTTGTGTTGTAGTCTTGTCTACCGTAGACGCATCCGCGTGGCAGTACCGAGACAGCGCGATGTCAGCCTTCAACACGTCCATATCGTAGTATCTACACATCTCACATCTCACATCTATCGCTCGCTAACCCAGCCAAAAAGAAAAAAAAATATACCCTCAGCTAGATAGAGAGGAACGACCAACAAAAACAGTCAAAACAACAATGATAATGACGACCACGAAGAAGCGCCAATAGTGATTGCAAAAGCTTGCAAAGACATGAACAGTCAGAATGACAGTCTCTTATGTGAGAAAACAACGCATGTCAGCTGACGTTGGCTGATTGCATTTCTCATAATCTCACATGTATCACTAGTCTCTGGGGTTGTATATAGTTACTGATGGATCGTAGATACCAGCACGAGTACCGGACTGCAATACCGCCCACATATAGTACAAACAGACACACAAATAGAATATAATAAACAAGAAGTATATACTCAGAAATCATTACATATATCCTACACCAACTTCGTCCCCTCAACATCAGAAAAGACCCCTCCCCCACTAGCATCGGAGAAGCAGCGTCTCGCCTCGCGCGTCATCAGCCGACGAGGAGCCTTTCGCCCAGTGAGCAGCTCGAACTGCGCGATGGCCTGCTCGGAGACGTTGTCGAGGCCGTCGACGAGGACCCACGGACGGCCAGTTTCGGTGCGCAGACGGCGCATTTGTTTTAGCAGGGGGGTTTCGAGGGGTTTGTATGCGAACTATTATTTGGTATCAGCATTGTTGATAATAAATGGGGGGGTTTGTTGGGAATGCCAAGGGCCGGGTTATATGAAAGGGAATAATACATCTAATACAACGCCCCCGGTGGTACTACCCAACCACTGGGGTGGCATTTCGAAGTTGGCGGGTGGTTCGGTCCCCGCTGGGTCGGCGGGGACACACGAGGCGATGACACAAGGGGGATTGGCGTTGGCGGGCCAAGGCTCGTCTGGAGATTGGAGGACATGCACAACCGTCGAACCCGCCCACGAATTAAAGTGGTGGGCGACGGTGTCAGCTCGCGAGCGGGTGCGGTTAAAGATGAAAATGTTGCGGCAGCCGAGACGCAGCATGGCGTAGACGGCAGCGCGGCCCATACCGCCGGCGCCGATAACAAGGGCGGTGGTCTTGAGCGGGCTGATGGTGTTGCGCGGGGAGAGATTGCGGTTCACGCAGGTGACGATGCCGACCCAGTCGGTGTTTTCGCCGTACCAGCCGAGGATGGGGCCGGCCTGGTTGCGGCGCGTGGCCTGCTCGTGGAGCGGGAACATGGTGCCGTCGGGGCGCGCGCGCAGCGGCATGATGGTGTTGACGGCGCCGATGGCCTCGGCGTGGCGGCTTTTGTGGGCTAGTTTCTGCGACACCTGGACACGCCAGGGCTGGACGACGCTTGTGCCGCCGAAGTGGGGGTCGCGGCCGAAGCGGTCGAGCGCTGAGAGCGTCGCCGACTCGGGGATGCTGTACCGGTGTGCCATGCCGCAGTGTTTGAAGGCCGCGTTGTACATGGCGGGGGAGAGACTGTAGGCGACGCTGGCGCCGAGGATATAGAATTGAAGAGGATCGAGCACGTAGCTCTGGAAGAGAGCCTGGACAGCGTCGCGCGAGGTGATTTCCGGGTTGCGGCCCGTGTCGTTGGCGCGGTCAATGGCCGGGTGCGTGACCGACGTGAGGATCGAGTTGAAGACCTGCGACGTGCGGCCGAGACTGCCGACGTTGTAGGCGATGAGCGGAGGGTGCGCGCCTGGGAGGGACAGGATCTTGTTGGTGAACTTGGCCACCGCCGCATTGTCTTCGCGCTCGGTCGCCACGCGCAGGACGCGCACGATCTGGCAGCCCAGTTTCTCGGCTTCCAGGTAGAGAGAGACGCACTGGTCGTCATCCCAGGCCACGTTCTCCATCGGCTCGTAGGTGTGGTGTCCGATGATCTTGGTCATGCCGCGGTTGCCCACCACCCACTGCAAATGCACTGGATCTTGGACCAAGTCCACTGCGAGGTACTCGACGGCTAATCGCAAGCCGTGCTCCGCGACTTCGAAGTATACCTCGCGCACCTCCGCCGGGGAGCGGTCCCTGCCGAGCCCCGACGCTGTGCTGTCGATCGAAAAGATGATGGGAAGACGCGCATTTCGCCGCAGCACAGAAACCTGCTTGCTCACGGTGCTCGCCATGCCGGGGCCCCACCGGTCCACGCGCAGTTCGATGGCATCGCCGCCCGATTCCAGCTCGGGAAGGTTCACAGCGCCTTCGACTAGATCTGAGTAACGCACGAAGATAGCGTGGGTAAAGGACCGCTGCTCCGGTGGCGTCTCCAGGAGGACAAACGGCGAGTCATAGGCCGAGTCGTCCACCTCCGTGCCCGTCACCAGACACACGAAGCGCGTAAAGTCCTCCTTGGCCGCCTTGAGCTTGAAGGAGTAGTCGACCGACCGGCGATCGGGCGCATCCTCGTCGGTCGGGATCACCACACTCGACCGGTCCTCAATGTTGTAGAACTCGAAGTTGGAGCAGGTCCGATGCAACGGATCTCCCTCGCAGAGGCGCTTGACTGCCTGGTCCTCGAATCCCAGTAATCTCTGGATGCGCTCGATGTCGCGCAGGAGATATACGACCGGGTTTGTGGCGGAGTACTGGCGGAGGAATTCTTGTACCGGGCGCGTGAGACTCCCAAGTCCACACTCAATCACGCAGCGTGTGCGATGGTTCTCCAGCATGAGTTTCAGGACTTCGATGTCGCGGTGTTGGAACTGCTGGCTGCCATACTGCTGCAGATATTCGTGTCGCGAGATCCCGGTAACCTCCTTGAAATAGTGTTCTTCGGTGATGAAGCGGCGTTTCAAGGCGGTTGCGGCCACGAAGCCCATAGAGCGCTTGCCACAGCCGCGGATGCCGACAAGAACGAGGGAAGCTTCGGGGTCGACGGTGCGACTGGGGCGGGTCACAGGGAACGACGAGGGCACCATGGTGTGTACGTTGGCAGAGAATTATCGGTAACTCAGGATCTCGGAATCATGGTCTCATAGCCATGGCAATGGCGGGAGCTAAGATATGGGATGGATTCACGGTCTGGTGTAGCGGGGTGGGGCTGAGGTCATAGAAGTTACGCACGTAGTAGCTGAAGCTTAGAAGGAGGCCCCAAAATGAAAAAGCTTCTATGTATAATGGCTATAGAGTCAATTTAACAAAACAATATACGATATACTGATCAAGAAAAATGGAAGAAGAACAAAGGAATGAAAAGTGAGGAAGAGAGGATGAAATGAGGTGGATGAAGCTCAGGCAAATCATTTCCCCGGATAGCTCCTTCTGCCGCGTCATACCGCCTCAGCCTGCATGCGGGGAAAATCTCTTACCCGCAGTCACGTGGTCCATACAGATGGTGCCAAGAGCTGGTATCTTGCAGTGGATATAAACTGTCTTGTGTCAATAAGACTGTCTAGTGTCAAGCATAAGGGAGACGTGTGTACTCGTGAACAGGTGGACCTATGGTTGTGCCGCTGGATACGACCCGATTGTGGTGTCGGAATAGCATCGGTAACGTCACTCCTTGGGAAAGCCGGTGGCCTTGTGCCATCCATCTATTACTAAAAAGCAGAAAGGAAAAGAAATAGAAGGAGAGATATACCAGAACCTCTATATAACAGCCAATGTAATTTGCAGGACATGTCACCACACTTCTATACTCCATCCCAGAAGATCAGTCAAATAACAACCTCAACTCCTCAATACGGTCCTGGCGTTTCTCATCATCCCCCCCATCCCCACCAACCCGCAGTCCCAAACTCCCCGCAATGTTCATCTTGCGGTCCTGCACCCGCAGCATTCTTTCCTCGATCGAGTCCCGCACGATAAACCGCGTCACCGACACGTCCCGCAGCTGGCCCATGCGATGCACCCGGTCAATGGCCTGTGCCTCGACGGCAAAACTCCACCACGGGTCCATCATGAACACGTGGTTTGCGGCCGTCAGGTTCAGGCCGACGCCCCCTGCCCGCAGACTAATTAAGAGGACGCGCGGGGTGGAGGGTTTGAGATGGCGAGGGGGTGGTTTTCTTGTGGTTTCCCGGCCTGGCGTGTCGGTGTCGTCTTCTTCTTCGATCTCGTCGAGCTCATCTCGTGTGAATGTCTCCGTCTTGGTGAACTCTGCTAGGACTGCCGCGCGCGCCTTTTGCGGCATTGTGCCGTCTAGGCGCACGTGCGGAATCCCGGCCCGGTCAAGCTGCGGGGAAATGAGGTCAAGGAAGCTGGTGAACTGAGAGAAGACGACGGACTTCTGGTCGGGCGGGACGCGGTGAAGATGGTTGATGAGCGAGTGGATCTTGGCTGAGGTGTGCGCCGACGGTGATAGCGGGTTAATGCGTCGGAGGGAAATCCGCGGGGCGGCCTGGGAGCTGGTCGGCGGGGTGGAGGCGTGGGTATCGCTGTCGGCGGGCGTGGTCGAACCTGGGGACTGATGTCGCACGACCTCGAAAATATCCCGAGAGCTAATTGGCCCTCGGCAGGAGAAGCAGCGCGGAGCTTCGCCCTTGTCCGTTTGGTGGCGGATGTAGTCCTCGAGGCATTTCTTGCAGGCGCTGTGCCAGCAGGCCGTTACGGCGGGGTCGATCATGGGTTCTTCTGAGCAGATGGGACACTCGCCGCTGGATTCGTTCTGTATCTGTCTCAGCGCGTGGGTGGTAAATTTGATGGACGAGTCGGGCTGGGTTTCCGGATTTGCGGTCTGCGTTGTCGCAGTGAACCGGTTAATTAGCTCCTGGAGATCCATGTCATCTGTTAATCCCTTGGGATCCTCGACCGCTGCTGCGGCGTCCTCCTCATCGGCAACGATTGACTTGTTGCGTGTCAGAATGGGGTGACAGCACGTCTGGCGCAGGCGAAGGATTTGAGCGAAGATGGTCGAGTAAGACTTGAGTAAGGTACCGGCCTCCACGTTGGCATTGAAGGTTTGTTTGGCTCGGGTGAAGATCAGATCGTATATTTCCCGTTCCTGCTCTGGCAACCCAACATCTTCAATGGTGATCGTCCGCCGCGGGAGCGGCACCAAGGGCTCCCCGTCCGGCGTCTTCATCGTCTTGGTGCGGCGGAGTACCAACGGCTCTAGGACCGTCTGCACCACGTTGAGGGCACGCACATAGTCCTTGGACTCAAACGGTACCGTGATAAACGTCTTCCAGAAAGAGAAGTTATTCCACGGCTCGACCTTGAGGAATCGCACCAGACTGAACAGATCCTCCAGACGGTTTACAATGGGTGTACCCGTCAGGGCCCACCGGTGTTGTGCTTGCAGCTCATAGCAGGCCCGTGCAGTCTTGGACCGGCGGTTTTTAATGCCGTGGGCCTCATCCAAGATGATTCGAAAGAAGTTTACTGAGAATAGACCTTGGCTGGCTGGCGCCTGACGGTACTCGGAGAGAACCGTGCCATAGCTTGTAACAATCACGTTGGGTGCAGCTGCGTTGCCAGCAGAGCAGAGCCCCTTCAGGTTGACGCTCTTGTCGGTCCCGTAGTACACCAGTACCTTCATGGTCCCTGGCTTGGAGGCTTTGATGGCCTCACTTTCCCATTGCGAAAGCAGGGAGGTCGGCGCGATGACCAGCGTAGTGTATGGGGCACAAGCCACGCTGGACGGGCCAGGCAGCCTGGTCGGTGTACCAGAGCCCGACACATTGGCAGCCTGGCCCGGTGGAATGTTTCTATGGGCGTGTACAAGACTCATCATCTCAATGGTCTTGCCCAAGCCCATCTCGTCGGCCAAAATCCCGCCAAGGCATTGCTGATCTTGCGCGGGAAACTCGACGGAGAGATCGCCAGAATAGGGGTTAACGTAGAAATGCTCGAACCCAGGGTAGACCGGCAGGTCTTTGTCATCGACATCCTTTGTAGGGAAGGTATACTGCTCCCAGAGAGGATGCATGGATGTCGACCTTTCGGTCTTGGTGTCCTGCTCCTTTGACAACATCCAGTGCAGTGCCTGCTTCTGGTATGTACGAAGACTCATATTAAAAGACGGCGGAGGCTCCGTCTCGGGCATGTTAAAGTCAAACGACTGCGCCTTTTTGTAGAGTGTATCAAGCTGGTCTTCCTCCAGCTCGGCAGGCTCCTCCTCCTCCGAGTCATCGTGGCCTTTACTCTCTTTCTTGGCCCTATCATACTGCTCAGACATCTCCGCGGCGCGCAGCAAACCCTCCTTTTTGTGCTCTCTTGTCATGTCATTGGTGGAAGTCGGTGTCAGACCAATCTCATCAAACAGTTTGACTAGAGCCACCTGTCGCAGCCGCAAATTCTTCTCCTCGGTACTCTCCTGTTCTTCGAAAAGCGCAGTGGAGCGATTGTCGTCGGCCATGTCATCAACCCCCCGCGATTGAATTTCCCCAACACGAAGATAGCAGCGCAGCTGCAAGTAAATAGTGTCATTAACACGAATCCGATCAGGCGCAAACACGCACACCCCGTCTAATCGGCAGATGCGTTGATCAATCAGTGTGGAGACCCACTCGGCCGTCTCACGAGGCAGCCGCCCGATCTCCTGGCCGGCGCGGTTGGTGAACCGTGTTAGGACGTCCGCCTTTTGCGTCATGATGACCCTCCCCGCGCGACCCTTTCGGGCAATCGGCTGCGTCTTGGCCCGTTCAATGTTGACGTGTTCGCCATGCTGAACCAGCCCCGTACCGCTACGAGTCGCCCATGCGCCCACGCCAAACGCACCAATATACCTCGGGCCGGTCGGCATAGCATTGCGGGGTGCTGTCGGTGTGTTTGCGTGGCCTCTTGGCGTAGGGCTTCGGACAACGGGTGGGGACTGGGTGGAAAGGAGTCGATCTCGAGATGATGTTAAGGTCGTCTGGTTAACGGCACCGGTGCTGTTGACAGGGGTCTTCCACGACCCGTCGAAGTATATGTTCACCGCACGCTCAAGATCATCAGCGGCAGCGGTGCGAATTTTCCGAATCGAGTGTGGGGGCAACTCTTCGCCGACAATGGCTGTGAAGGTCGCCGTGTCGAACCCGTCTTCCGGGGCTGGGTGTGGGGGTTCATCCGGGGTGTTTGAATGCGTCCCGGTCGGTGGCGGACTCGGGGCAGCGGCATCTGTTGTAGACTCCTGCAATAACTCGTCTCCTTCTTGCAGTATCCCCCCTTCCTGTAAGTCCTCTGGTGGGGATATCACGTCGACTCCAGGAGATGGATGGTCGGACGCGCCCGGCGCTGCAGGATTTTCATCGACAAAAAAGCGCCTCTTTTTCAGCGGTCGATCGCTGTGGTCACCAAATTCCATATTCAAGTAATATTTGACAGGGACCGGCTGGGAATAGACAATCCCGGGCGTCACTTGCGGCGTCCGGTCTTTAGAGCATTTCGATATCGATGCGGAAGACGCGCCGCGAGACGCGCTCGGAGCGACGTCATGTGTCACTCATTAAAGTGCTGCATAGCTGAGTCAGCGTTGATTATACCTGCATTGCCCATGGCATCATGAATCAGATTGCTTGACCAAAAACACGAGAGTCTCGTTTGTCTCGCTTTTATTGTCTCTAATTCTCTATATTTAAGCTCTGCTCATGCGCTGGTCGCATTTATAGTCCCAGCCGGTTTACGTTTGGAGAACAGCGTAGGTTGAAACTCTATCTCAGACCCCCCTCTACATCGTACATTATAGTAGAGCTATTTCACTTTCTATTATAAATCTCGTCTATGGGGCACATGCAACAGAGATCTAGCTCTCCGTCTGTCCATGCTTGCTCCGCATTAACTCCTCGTAAGCGGGCCATTGGCTCAGTACCATCTCTCGCTCACGCGGGGATGCAGCTTCCCATTCCTCGAGGCCCTGCCGAATGCGCGATGAGACAATATAGCACTGTCGGTCGATGCCATAGCTCCGTTCAATGCGGCGGTGGATGCCGTTCAATGGGTAGCCGAAAAGCCCCCATAGACCTACCCCGTGTCAAACCAGCTTCCTCGTGGAGAATATAGACAGATACTGACCTGCTTGGGGCTTGAGCAGTAACCCACCGAGACCCTTTCCGACGCCCTTCGCCATCCCAATGAAGCCGCCTTCTTTCCATCCATACCGTGGTTGGGTCACGACCCCAGATATCCCATCATACCAGCTGTAGCTGAATTCCTGGAGAGAGTGAGCTTTGGGTCTCGTGCGTACAGCATGACAATGCCAGATTGAAGAACGACAGAGAGTGCGTAAATAGACAAACCTTCTTTGCAGCGTCGATCCCGGACCAAAAGCCTCTCACCTGGGGTGTTTCGCGCACAGTGCGGTCGTGATACCACCGGGGTACCTCATGAAATCCTTGCGATAAGCCGAGGGTCAAACCCATGGGTAACTCCACGATCCAGTTCAGTACCCGGCGTCCCGTATAGCTCGTGTTGGCGATCAACGTCCGTCCTTTACTCCGCTGCTTATTGCCCATGGCTGGTAGGTTCTGACTTTCGTTGCTCGCTGACGACTGGTCACTAGCCGAACCAGCCCTCTCTGACAGCGTTGTTTGATTCTCTGATGTCGGAACTACCGTAGTCGATGTTGAGTCTGCGCCGGTACACGCAGTCGAGGTCACTGATGCGCGGGCATCCCAGGTGGACAACCCATAACTGTCGGCAAAGCGAGCGGACAAGTCCTGGCTGAAGCTGTTGACGACGTCCATTGGAAACTCGGCCAACCCTGACAGAAAACTCGTCATAGATCCTGCCAACCCCTCGATCGCCTGAACGATTGGTCCTCGGGGATCGTGATTTACTTCGTAATGCGTGCTATGGTACCTGGTGCAGTCAGCCTCGACTCCGGTCGACGGGGGTAAAATCAGGAACACAGAAAGAAAGAGAGCCATACAGCCTGACGTCACATGGGTCTAATTTATTCTCCTGAACGAGAACCGCCGCCGCGAACGCACTGAGTAGAATTTTCGTCTTTCGCACGCGCCACACAGCTGGTCTGTCCTGACACAGGTTGCACTGCAATTTGGGGACATCTAGCTGACGATGGAAGCTGGCAACTCCATCTTCCGCACCCTGCTCGGACTGGATCTTGTCACTCAGTTGCTGTACACGTGCGATCATCCATGGCTCGAGACAGAAGTTGATAGCCTCTGCCAGCTTGTCCGCCGTCAGTTTAGTAAAAGTGATGGGCTGCGCTCCAGCCTTGTTCAGCGCCACCAGTGAGCCCCAGAACGGCTGATCCCCGAAGAACGGCACTATCGTCGTTGGACGACCCAGGGCGAGGCCAATAGCGGTTGTCCCTGCGCCGCCATGATGGACAACACAACTGACCCGCGGAAATAGCCAGTCGTGCGGAGTATTCCCAATGAACATCACGTCCTGATCCAACCCGTCCACCATGTGGGATCCGCCCAGCCCACCCCAGCCCTGCGATATCAGCGCGCGCTGGCCGGTCATGCGTATCGCGTTGAGCACCGTGCGAGTCAACGCGTCCGGGTCGTCGACGACGATCGATCCGAATCCAACGTATATGGGCGGAGGGCCGGTTTCGAGAAAGCGGGCGAGGTCTTGCGGAGGCTTGAAGGTACTATTTCCAGACAGGAAGTTGAACCCCGAGACATCGATGTGGGACTCCCAATCGCCCGGCTTAGGGAGCAGCGAGGGCGACCAGAAATAGGTAAAGGGAATGCGCAGCCGATGGAGGATGCTAGGCGCACGCAGAGCATCCAGCTGCTCCAGGCCCAGCTCGTACCGGCGAAAGTCGTTCTGCAGGTCACCCACACCCTGCCAGATGAGGATCTCCGTGATTGCGTACGATGCGAACTTTGCCACGGACGGCTTGATGTCGGTGGTGCGCACGTTGGCGAGTGGGTGCGGAAACGCTTGCGTCGGCGACCATGGCATCCTATATTCTCTCTATGAACCTGCCCACTTGCAATCCAAACAAGGGCATGGGGACGAACGTGAACATCATATGCAATGGAATCCCCATTTTCTCGGCACAGTGGATGTGCGCGAAGCTGGGAGGGTTCGCGATGATAGCGTCCGCTACGAACGGGCGTTCCTTGTTAGCCGCATCGCTAGTAGAGTCAATACCCTCGCCGGCCTCTATACAAGATCTCCAACAGCCCCCGATGATGGCCCGGATCTCTTTGCGCCGGCGGCCAATTGCACCCTGCAATAGGGAATTCATCTTGGGGATCAGTTTAGGATTCTTGACCATGAACGACATGAGCTCTGCGGGATCGCCGCCGATATTGAAGAACTCGAGACCGTTCTCGCGGACGAAATCTCGAAAGACGAGGTGAGTGGCTAACCGCACGCGGTGGCCGTGTCGCATGAGGGCTTTCCCCAACACGATGAACGGTTGGATGTCGCCGCGCGATCCCACGACATGGATGACCAGGTTCATCCTCATCGGGAACGGCTTGTCCGGCTCTCGCTTGTGTGTTGCATCTGGTTCTGTCTCGAATGTCGACTTCCGACGATTCAGCGCGGTTAGGAGATCTGCAACGCCGGAGTCGGCCTTGTTGACGTCCATCTCGACCCGACCACGCTCTGGGACCGTCAGACAGCTCTCGTCATCATTATTTGACATACGCACCGGTAAGATGGAGGTCCCTGTCCAGCCCATCCGCTGCGATCTTGCCCTCGTCACAACATTCGCCCTTCCCCGGGCTACACGCCATCGGCAGATTTGGGGCGACGCTTTTGTCCATGGTGATAGTGAACTGAATCATGCATGTTACACTGAGCGACGGCCTTCTTTGGTAGATATTACCGTTGGGTTCCGGACAATTGATCCGTCAACGTGGCGAAGGCGTGGTTGATGCCAATGACGTCGAAGACTCGTAACCTTGTTAGAAACTCGGCGGGCATTAGACAAGGTCAAATCGCTGAATGGGATTGATATCTTGGAATTAACCGAAAAGACATCTTTAGAAGCGAATGGATCTTAATAGGTCATGATCTTGTCTTACGTCTTGTAAATGTTGGCTATAAAACAAATGAGGATGAAAGAATAGATGGTGTTCCGCGGGGAATATATAGTGGAATACATCACTGGATGCGCTCGTCATCAAAATTACCAAGTCAAGGCCACACTACTATAGGATAAAGATCAAATACTGCAAGAATTATGACAAGTATAGATAATATGATTGTCCTTGTTGAAGAGAAAAAGGAAAACACCGAATGAAATGAATGTCGCTGGAATTCCGCATTGCACTGGCGAGGGGCATAAGGTGGGGTGACGATCGACCCGCAACAACTTCACAACGACAACAACCGCCCCAGTCCAACTCAGTCCACAGAAACCATGTCGAACCCTCCCAGCGACACCCTGGACTTCCCGGACTCCGATCGCCAATTCCTCGAACCTCATCTCCCGCCGCAAGATGCCGCCGTTCCTACCAGCGCCCGACCCTTCGTCACCTTGACTTTCGCGACCTCGCTGGACTCGTCGCTGGCCCTCTCCCCAGGCACTCGAACAGTGCTCTCCGGTCCCCAATCAAAGGCAATGACACACTATCTCCGCTCGCGCCACGATGCTATCCTCATCGGAGTAGGCACAGCGGTAGCCGACAACCCAGGATTGAACTGTCGCGTCCACGGCGTGGGGGGCTACGGCGGATCGGGACTCCAGGGTCAACCGCGACCGATTATAATCGACCCCACTGCGAGATGGGAGTTGAAAAAGGAGTCCAAGATTTTGCAGCTTGCGCGCGAAGGACGCGGACGCGCCCCCTACATCGTGACGGGGACGCGGTCGCCGCCACCGGCGACAAAGGCCGTGTTAGAGAAACACGGGGGAAAATACATTTGGATGGACGTTGCCACGACGGAGAGCGGAGAGCATCGGATAGACTGGGAAGTTGTGCTGCGGCAGCTGCGCGAAGAGGATCTGCATAGCGTTATGATCGAGGGGGGTGGCTCGATTATCAACTCGCTGTTGGCGCCGGCGTGTCAGAACCTTGTGGACTCGGTCATTGTCACGATTGCGCCGACGTGGCTGGGCCAGGGAGGCGTTGTGGTGTCGCCGGAGCGGACGAGAGACCAAGCGGGCGCTGTGGTGCCTGCTTCGCGGTTGACAGGGGTCAAGTGGTATCCATTTGGGGAGGATGTGGTGCTGTGTGGGCGGTTCAAGGCGTGATTGTGTCATGCGACACTACCAAAGACGATTTATACAATTGCAACAAACGGCGAACCAGCGACAATGCATTATGAACTATGGGATCAAATGGTATCTATCTAATTATAACACGAAGAAAATAATCTATGTGAACAATGCAGAAAGGGGGAGGACGGGGCCGGATTATTGCCTCTCTAACCGACTGGATTCGTCTGTCTCGCTTGAGCTCCGCGGCTCTTGGAGTTTGTTCATCTCTTCTTCCGCGCGATTGTAGCGCCGGAAGCAGAGGAAGAAGGCGATCGCTGTGACGAACATAACCGCGCTCAAGGAGATGAACTCTATCAAGACTGTGGGGTCGACTGAGACCGGGGAGAGTGTGATGCCCAGGGCAGCTCCGATGGCGGACATCAGCAGGAACAAGGCGGAGACGATACTGCGCATGGACTGGGGTGCTTTGGTATATGCGTATTCCATGCCGGACAAGACGGCAAAGAACTCAGACAGACCGATCATCGAATATACGGGCACTTGCAGAAAGATGCTGATTTTCTCGCCGCGGCGGGTCTCGCCACAGCCTTCTATTTCGGGACTACGTTGACAGGGGGATGCTCTATAAATGACTGGACCAGGAGCAGGCGATTAGTGGGTTGAATTCTCAGGGAGAGTGATCATACGTACGCTCCTGGAGGATCGCTGCGTATGCGATGGCGCAGGCTTTGATGAAGAACCCCGTCGTCATACGGCTGATGGGTTTGAAGCGTATGTTGAATCGACGCAGCATCGGAAAGATGACCGTCTCACTGGGACCGGTTAGGTTTATTAAACTTCGAAGCGGAGGGGAACTTACAAGAGCGGAACTGCGATGAGAATGGTCGCGGGATTGCAGAAACCCACTGCTTGGGTTAGCAAGATTCGTGGCAGGGATTGAGGTACATACTCATGTCGTTTGGGACGCCGTGGGTGTTCATCGACATCGCTTGGCTGACTAGGTTGCTCGTGGCCTGACCGTTACAGAGCCAGAAGATGGGACTGACACGTCAGATACGACGCGCATATAATCACGGGAGATGTATACATACAACATGAGGCTAGATGCTGATTAGCAGAGACAATATAAACAACGGAGGTCCAACTTACAACACTCGGCATGCGACCAGAGCGCGCTTCAATTCATCTACAAAGACATCGTCCCACGGTACAGGACTTCCACTTTTTTCCAAGGCATAAGGTCTGGCGGCATCGAGCTTTCCTCCGTTCCTTAAGCTGATCCAGAGAACGCGAATGGCGGTCGTGATGGCTGATCCTTGGGGCGGGCGAACAACTGCCGATTGCTGTCAGGACAAGCAATGGATAGAGTGGGGGGAGGAATGTACCATATCTCGTACGCCCGGCAATCAGAGCAACCATTGCCAAGACCCAGAAACAGAGGGGGAGCATAAAAGCCGCCCAGAAATCCACCTTGAGTTCAAGCCACTAGCATTGTTAGCGGACGTTTCCAGGAGCGGAGAATCAACATACCGATACTGGAATGACGGAGAGTCCACCAAGGTTGATCACCCTAACTTGATAAGCTACATTTCTTCCTAATATGGTCGGAGGGTTCCTACCAGAAGTAACGGGCATAGATCGTCTGGACGGTGATACTTGGATCCACCACTACCTTTTCTCCACTAGGTAGCGTCTTAACACGCTCAGGCCGTGCACCGTATTGCTCAGCAATGAGCGGCGCAACATTACTCTTGATCCCACCGACACTGTCCTAAGTTAGTCTTTATGCTTTCCAAGTGGATACAGTACATACCCTAATCCAACCAATATCAATGCAATCATCAGGCCGGGCATGCCGGCTCCACGATCAAGACTGCCCGGCAGTGACGTGACAAATAGAGTCATTACCCCCGATGCGGCAAAACTGGTGTTGTTAGCCCAATCCTGGCCCGACAGGAACATCCATCTCCTTACCCAGTGGCCAGTACGATGGTCTTGAATCTCCCAAGAAAGGTGTCTGCCACAACGGCACCCAGAATAGGTGCCATGTAGCACCAGCATACAAAGAAATAGTTGATTCCAGTGGCAGCTGTTTGGCCCTGCAGTATATCTGTCAGCCACCGTTGTTTATTTCCACTTTGCGCTACAGGGCAGCCATACCATGCCCAGCGCCCCTGGACGGAAAGGATCTTCACGAGGGTTCTGGATATAGTTTTCTGATGTCATGGTCAGCGCGGCTCAGTTTCCCGACAACGCGTGCTTACGCATAGGGGCCGTTATGGAGCGGTAAGTGAACCGCTCTGCCAGTTCGGCCACGGCTACGAGGAAAACATCCACCGATATATCGTCACAGACACGTCTTAGCTGGGCATACTCTTCTGGTGAGTCAACGAATTCGCATTCCTCGCTCAATTGTTTCTCCTTGTCGTAAGTCATGATGTATGTGATGTGCGCCTGGGAATCTGAACACAAATGAGATCACATCTCGGGGACACGATCTTTATATAAGACCCCTACAAGGTCCCACATCGGCACCGCCTCATCTGATCCAAGCAGACTTGTGTTAGACATACGCCATCTCAAAGACTGTACAACGAAATGGCAATCTCCCTACTGGGACGCATGAAATTCCTCCAGTGGCTGGACTGCACAAACCCGCAGGAGCACATGTAATTTCCAGACGATCTTTTCTCCGTTGGCGAGAAGCCACGCAAGCAGTACGACGCTTTTCCCCTTGATTTCGGCAAGAGTTCTCGAAGCTGCTTGGCGATCGCTGGCCCGGCAATCTGTTTCAGCCCTGTGGTGACGATTACAAGCATTTGGTACGGAATGAGGGAGTGATCTACGTGCATGAGGAGCAGATCCTTGCAGAGATGACTCGCTCTGATCTGCCCACTGATGTAATGGAGCTAAGAAGTATAGGTTGGGACTGCTTCAAACACTTGACGCAAGATACCAGCCATGCAGGGGATAGCAAGATTCCTAGTCTTGGCGAGGTTCTCTTCCTATCCCTTTCTTCCGTCGGAGGCTGACGATCTTGCAGTAGTCGATCAAAATCACTGTATCTCTTTCCTGAACTGAGCTGGCACATTCCTGACTGATGTAATAGGTGGCCATAACTGGGCACATGTTATTGTCCTGGGATCATCATGTATGACTTGCATTAATGAGCTTGAATAACTGACAGGCCGTTATTACGACAGTGATGACGACTCTCATTCTGATCAAACCGCCACCAGATGCAAGAGTCGTCATTTTCAACCAAATGGAGTCTTGATAGGCTACACATGGGCACGTTTAAACGACGAACGCAACGCATGGGCCAATGAGTGTTGAACCTGAGATGACCTTGATTTGCCTGACAGATGACCGACAAGACCGGTACTACTATTTTCAATTGCACCTGTACAAAATAGGATATTCTACACCAGGGATGTAAAATCTACACTAACTGCGAATCAAGTAGAATCAACAAAGGTGCCTCCAGAACAGACAATCCCGCAATTACTAACATCCTCATACGGAAACAACGCCGAGCCCCAAACTGTTTTAGCCAAGCAGGGAAAATCTATCAATTCTGTCCAGCACAGCCAACGCCATGACGAGTCAAGTTCCAGAACCTGGCGAAATCAAGGCTTGCTTCCGGGCCGTGCAGATTACCCTGCATTCCAGGAGTCCTCCGTGCGGCCCGGAATGCAGATCATCAATCTTGTCTCGCATACCGACGCAAGGCGGATGGATTTTCTTCATTTGTTGTGGCGGAAAATATCGGGTCGATCTTTCATACCTGCTTTTGTTGTAGGAGTATTATGGCCTATCGAGTAGGGATAGGCGTACTGGATTGGCTTTGGGGGTATTCTCGGAGGTGGCCAAGATGAACATCGCAATGGCGTCGTTGGGAAACTTCATGTGCACTGGCTAGCCAACCATGTAGTCCAACAATGCCAGAGACCAAGAACCTCAAGATACCCAGGTTCCTGGCTACAGTCTCCCACGCGAGGATTGGCTTCTATCTATCCGCTCCCATTCCAGATGCTGTATTCATTGAGATATCCCACTGGGGCATTAAGAGCAGTGATCTTCACTGCTATTGTTTCACATATGTCCTATGAGCCCGTCTAAGGATGTCTAGATTAGGTTAAATATAACATAAATTCGACACAGGACTTGAAATCTACATGTGTTCTGGCATCGCATACCGGCAAAACTACTGGAACGGACGTTGGTGTTGAATAGATCCAAGGATTTACTCTGCATGATGGACGAATGTCAAATAGATTATCACGACCAATAAAACTTCTATATGATGGGAAATATACTTGAATAAACCGTAGATATCTCGTTGAGAAAAGTGCAGAATTGTCTAGATAGTTAGGGCAGTCGCTGCATCTGTCCCATGAAGTCACAACCACGACACCCATTCCCAAAGCCATCATTACACACCAGACCACGTGAAGGACATAAACCCACTCAAAAGACAAAGGAAAGACAAGGCCGTCAACTAGAATCCAAGCCGTGTCATCTACCATACACATTATGATAAATTTCTTGGACCTGAAAACCGCCTCAAGGTGATGGTTGCGCGCAAGATGCTTGAAAATGATAACACTGGTTAGGCAGTGTTCCTATCATATAAAATAGATAACTATATATTAATACTTAGATTCTAGCTATAGTGAAAGTTAAATACGTTTTTAAAAATAATATAATATTCCTATTAATACCAATCAGTATTATTATCTATTTGTATAATTATTTTAAACTTCTTAAGCTTAGATATAAAGATCTAGAAAAGTTCTCACGATGCTATTATTTCACACCAAAGATGTAACTCCCAGCGAAACTTCCCAACCCGGTCGGAGACGGCCAGCGCTGCAGTATGAGGCGCAGCAGTGTTCATGCAGCCATCCATATGGCAATAAACGGAGACAAGGGTGTACGTGTCTATAGACAGTGAGATAGAAGCTTACAACCACTGTGGGTGGAATCCCAACGAGGAGCACACAATTGAAGTTGTTACGAATATCGCCAGACCATGAAACAGGCTGACGAAACTAATATTAGAAATGAACCCTATACAGCACGAGCGTGGGTTCGTACAGAGTAGGCCTCCCGACGCGTCAGCGATGTCTTCATCGGAGGATAATATCGTAGACAGACTCATAGAGAAAGAAAGCCTAGAGCGCGAGATGCGACAGGGCCAGGATCATCCGCGTCGCCTGGTGGCAATATGGGGAGTGTGGCAATAAAACTTGCAGGTCGGTTGGTGTTGACTCTGTTAGGGTTTGTGGCGTTGTTTTTTTCTCCGAGTGTTAAGTTGATCTGGATGTATCGTATATGTGAGTTATATTTATTTTTGTGTTGTCAGTGCAAGGGGGACTGGCTACTAGTTGGCATTATATCTCCGGCCTGCATGAATATCAATACGCTACATTGGTTTGAGGATTAGTTTGAGGATTAGATAATGCGTGTCAGGACAGTGAGACTCGCGCTTGGATCTGATAGGATCTGTAATTTGCATGGATAAAAATAGGACTGTTCTTTTAATAAGTTGAAATGGATATGTGATTATCTCAATTTAAACCCCACTGTCCCAATTACGACGGATGAGGGTGGAGCCGTAGAATTTGGATATTCGCATGAGTGATATGGTGGAAACAGCCGTAGGAAGCAGCCAGTAGATGTACAATTATTCTATCATACATTCGAGGTCTACCCTACGATCTGTAATACCGTACAAGAAACCATAGAAGAAGCTGTCTAAGCATAGATCGAGCAAACCAAGGCACAGATCCTAGACAGCATCATTGGCCCCCAAAACAGGCCTTAATCTCCTTCTCCCCAAAGCGCTTGGTTTTAGTCTGCAGCATGGCAGCCCTCTCCTCCATCGTCATGGAGATCTGATCGCCCATCGGCACAAGGCACTTAGCGAGGTGCATGTAATCCTTGGTCAAGACCTTGTACGTGATCATGATGTAGTCGATGTTGCGAAAGACAAGGGCGTGTTCATTGGCGTAACGGTCCTTCTGTTTTAGGAACGAGACGGGGTGATCGCGCCAGTGGCGGCGGGGGTTGAGGTGGTGGGAGGTGTGGTAGCCGTCGTTGAAGCAAAAACGGTTACTCTGCGATTGTTAGAGTTGATCCAAAAGGGAAAAGAAGACGCAAAGGCTGGATACTCACGGGTACGTCAATGAGGGTGATGCTGGAGCGAAAGTCCGAGTTTGGATCTGTCTCATCGACTAAGGCGTGCTGACCCCAGTTGCCGACCATGAGGCCGACGCGGAGGAGCGATACCGGGAGAATGAAGACAAAGACGGTGGCACGCGCGCTGGCATGGGTATACAGCGCGTAGATGGCGAAGTAGTTGCCTAGCTCCCAGAAGCCGGCCTTCAGACCTTGAAGTAGGTGCCCCTTGCGGATGAAATACAGGGGGAGTTCGAACCAGACGAAGAAGAAGAAGCGGCCGACGTAGCAGAGGAAGTTAGAGAGGTCGTCGCGTTGGTAGCGCACGGTGGAGGAGAGGTCACCGGGCCCGTTGCCCTCGACGTGGTGGTGCTTGACGTGGTGGTAGTAGTACGAGTTCCACGTGTGGCCCATCAGCGGATTGGTGATGTAGGGGAAGACCGAGTCGAAGAGCCAGAAGGGCTTGCTGAGGATCCCGCCCATGTGGATGTGCTGGTGCATCATGAGGGTGTAGGTGCCGACAAAGTAAGACTGCATGATCCAGTGGAGGACGCCATGGAGCCAAGTGAAGTGGTAGTAGAGGTAGAGAGCGCTAGGGACGAGAGTCGTGAAGTAGATAATGAGGTGATTGAGCATCACGACATCAGTCTCGACGCGGACCACCTTGCGGGCTACATTGAGATAAGGCTGCAGCAGCCATTTGTTTGCCCATGGCGGCAACCTGCGTTGCAGGTCGGGAGTGTCCCAGGTGAGCGTGACGGTGGGCTCAAACCCAACACGCCCCGGATCATTGAGAGTTTCCAATTGGTCTATGACCACTTTTTCTGGGGTATTGTTAGCTCAAGATGTTCGTTCCACATGCAAAGGAATAGGCGGTACCTTGACTAGTGCTATGATCACGGTCACCTGACTGCTGGGACCGATCTTGGATATCAGATAACAGGGTCTGCAACACCGCCGTGTCCGGTCGAGTCAGGTAGGGATCGACATATTTATCGGGTTCCATGCTCGCCGACTTACCAACGACTGCGATTGGGGCGAACTTAGGTGGTAGAGAAGGACAGAGAGAATGAGGAGGGGGGGAACAGAGGAAGAAATGACGGTGGAAAAGCTCTAGGGGGAAGTGGAGCGGGCATCCAGAGCTCCACCCGACATGGTCCCGGCCGGTCCTTAGTGCTGTTTTGTCTTCCACTAGATTGATTTCTATGAATAGACTGTCGTTGAAACCGTGGAACGCCCATGGGGATGGATCTGGGTAAGTGATGAGTTCGTCGCTGTATCTGACTGGGATATAGGAGATGCGAAGTTAAATGTTGAAGAGGGGGAAGTCAGTCAGAATGATCTCATTGGCTGGTGGACGAAAAAGCTAGTTACCGGATCGGGTTAGTCTGGCCAGCATAATATTCAGGGGCATATATGCTTATTCAGCGGGAACATGCATTGTATAAAGTTCCGTCGAGGATCTGATACTACTACGGACGAGTAAAACAAGTAAATATCTGACTGGATTGGATCACTCGGATTCTTAATTATAGTCTCCCTTCTCAGAATTAAGTACCCTGCCATATCATAACGTGCAATGCCCTTTGTATACTCCGAAAATACACATTGTGAGAAAATCAAGAAAGATGAAAAAAAAGACGAACAGGGACAAAGGGAGGATTTGTGGAGCCGTCCGACATCATAGCAATGTTGATTGGGAGGATTATGTCTATACCAACTGCAGCAAGTGCACCAAGTGCAGCGCCAAGCGGAGTCATTCTCGGGCAACAATCAAGCCAATAGTTATGACTGATCATACCATTTCATGACGATTCGTCTGGCTCGCACAGTCATCCTTCTCCATATAAATCTCATAGACAAAAACCCGGACAGAAATCTAGACAGCAACCGCGGGAGGAAGACTGCCGTGCAGAGCTTCGCCAGGCACATCGTCCTCTCTGCTACAGCCATCCATAGCAGTATAGAGACTCCGGGTAGCTCCAGTATCAGTGGCTACCTCTGGGACATTCACGTGGGCAGGCCAGATTTCGTGTCCAGCAACCTCCTCCTTCTGGTGATGTGCCGTGACGACCTCGCGCACGGTCTTCTGGAAATGAAGAGGTCCCTTCTCCATCTCAGGGTGGAGCTCGCCGTTGACGAAGACCCCCGCGTTGAGGTTCTTCTGGGTGTTGACACAAAGGACCTTGTCCTCGGACATGATACGCTTATACATGTCACTAATCAAGGTGAAGTCTTCGTCCGTGGCGTTTTTGTGGCGATAGACCTCGTAACGCATGACCGACTTGGTCGGGCTGACTGGGGTGAACCGCTGCATGAAGAAGAAATTGGGTCTGTTGGGTTAACCTAATTGGAAATTAATTTGCTTGGAAGGGATGTACTCACGAGATATTGAAGGACGCGTTAGGCCAGAAATACGTGGTGGCTATCCGGAACCCCTTTTCAACTTGTTCAGGTCGCTGGGCGCCAAAGTGTTGGATGTGGCCATCCTTGGTGTTCACATAGTAGGAGTTGAGGTCGGCGATGGTTGGGATGTCAGGATGGGCGACTCGGCAGTGGTAACACTCATTGTAATTATCGGCAAGAATCTTCCAGTTGAAGTCGCCCTCCATGTCCCAAGTGTGGTCAAAGACATAGTCTTCGAAGTTGTAGTGATCGAAGCGAGGTTGTTCGTCAACGCCGTCAAAGTCATCCTTCCAAGCCACTTCGGGCACGTCTCCAGCATCCAAATTGACCCAGATAAAGCCGTTTCGGTCAATATGGAGATGGACTGGGAGGTAGTTGTCTTTGTGGAAAGCGCTGAGGCTACCTCGATGGTCTCTATAAATCACGAATTGATAGCCAGCGACGTCGTAAGGCACCCAGTCACCGACATTGGGGACACGATGCTTGTGAGTTGTGAGAAGCCATTTCCGAGAGAAGATCGATCGTCGTTCAAGCTCGTAGAAGGCATGGGAGGTGTACCAGGAAGCCGGTAAAGCACGCACGGGCTGCTTATCGTCGACGTCCTTGGCAGAGGACGTACCAAAGAAGTTCCTCAAAAAGGACATTGTGAATGCAAGGCCAGCCTCGTTGTTTGTTGTGAAGAGTGAAAAGAGAACTAGGCTTTTTGAGGTTTGTGAATCTGGCAACTGATCTATGGGAGTTCCTATAGCAGGGACTGCTTCTCTTCTAAATAGCCATCGTCGCAATGACCTCCTCACGGGATACGGAGATCAGCACTCCATCCCCGATGGACCCATCGGTAGCAGATGATATCAGTCCGACATCAGTAGCATATTCAAATCATGACCAGAATGCGAAGGCTATCTCCTCCCGGAGCTGTACTTCAATACCGATCACCTGATCGGAGGGGGACCGGGTGGCGTCAAGTCATTAGACTTCACATGCCCTAACTCATGAACTCCCGCGCGTCGAACGGAAGCTTAGGTCCGTCTCTAGGTTGACGGAACTGAATTCCGTGCGTGCATGAGACCAGACGACATGGTTGATAATTAAGAGGGTCTAGATAATCACGGTGATAAGAATTCTGCTTGTGATAGGGTAACTGCCAACCCTTTATGCGCCACACTGAATTGCTTGATTGGGAAGGATTGGGTTCTCTATATCTCATGACGCCCATGGCGGTTTCTATAGGTGAAAACTGTTATTAGACTGACGTTATCAGCATCTGATCTAGAATTTCGGAAACTTCAGAGAGCAGCTATATGAATAAAATGAGAATAAAGCCAAGAACACCTGGACGACTATCATTCGGGGCAAGGAATGAACGGCATGAAACACTTCTACCAACACAGACGATGACTCCCGACACCGTCGTGGAACTAAAACACACTCATTTATCAGCTCTAGATTTTCTGAAGTTACAGATGAATAATAAAGCGATAGCGACCCCAAACAATATAGTAACAATCCAAAAAGTAAAGATACCCTCCCAAGCCATCGGCCCATGATGGACAAGGTGTGTCGCCAGATCCGCACTCATAGACACTGCAGACGCAGTACAAGCGATAGCAACCCAGCGGTGGAATGACGACGACGGTCGTGGATCAAGAGCGATTAGATACGAAATTACACACTCTTGAGTCATGAACGGAGGCACGGCGATGGAGAAAATCAACCAGGCGAGGTCACTAATCTCGCGGGTCTAGCGAGGGTCACGTTCATCAACTCAATAAATCAACCACGCGAAGAATACACCAATCGGCACCAGGGCAAATCCGGCGATGCAGCCGGAGATCAGCTGGAGTTGAAGAACTATGGGGTCTGCGCCTGGGATCTTTCTCAACTGCATGTTTACCCCCGCCGTGTATAATGGCCGGATAATTGACCCCAAAAGTATGAGCAGGACGGCCACTTCTGTACCAATATTTTGCTCCTTATAGTGATTGGCCGTCTCCTCAGCTGTGACGGAGGGCGCCGGAGGCGGAAAGGAACAGTCGGGATATCAGTCATATCAAGCCTGATAAAGTACTGATTCGCTATTTTGGTGCAGTGGCTGACATAAACTTGATATCCTGGTGTAGATGCAAGCAATCATCATATTAACCCAAGTACAACGCATGCAGAAGGTCCCATCAGGTTTTCGTATAAAAAAGCATGTTTACAGCTTCTTCAATCACTAGAGATACGACAACAGTACCATACTTCTCACGAGTGGGACTGTAGGGACGTGTCATGAGACATGGGAGGGGGTTTCTGCAAAAACACAGACAACTACATGCCCCAAGTCAGCTAACTACTGGGTGATGTCGCAACGTCTAATTTAACTACGGCGAATCATACCTCTGTATTGCAAAACTGTGGTACACCAGATGTTATCCGTGCTCCCTTCACGGAAGATTTCAGCCAGCCATGTAGATGTAGAGTTCCACGGTTTCTAGACATCAAAGTAGCCCCTCATTTCGCATAAAAGCTGTAATAAACAACAAATTGATGGATGTGAAGCCGTGGTCGATTTCAGCTACTTGATGAGATTGATAGTGGGTCGTCGAACAGTCTATTAAACGGTCTTATCAGCCAGTCGGATGAAACGAGCCCTCTATGCAGCAAGAACATAGACAATCATCACAATTTAGCTGACATTGTTTTGAGCCTTGGGACTCCGGGACGCATGTCTCACAATCCCAACTTCGGATATGCGGCTATGTTTGGTGGCCACGGCGTGCGATATAATTTCCGTGGTAGTGGAAGGAGTGCGTCACAAATAAAAAGCCAAGTCACACGGATAGGCACGCCCCCATCTATTGTTGACAAGATCAAAGATGGAACCTTGCTGATAGTACAGCTGCCTTGTTCGCTGAGACCAATTCCCGCCTACAATAAATACTGAGAATTGGACACTGACAGCGTAGACCAAGTCAGAATTACCCATTGATATATATGTCAAGCTAATATACCACTTCTATTCAATCATATACACGTCGGTTGGAGAGGTAAGAAGATGTCCCCATCACTTGAAATGACTACAAACGCCACTAGCTCGATTCAACTAGTAAATGGTAAGTCATAGGTATTTGTCCAAGCTCCCCGATCAAGAGATCTATTGTGCATGGGTAAGCTGATAGACATGTGGTGCACAGAGGGGCTGTCATCTCCAACCAACCGGGAATATCAGTTTCCTGTTAACTACTCCTATGATTACCTCAACGGTGGTATCAAGTATCTCAGGCTTCCAGTGCTTTTGCTCAATGACCAGTTGCAAAACCATGAGTTCTTCGGAATGGACGGCCAAGAATGTGGAGAGAACGGTCGTTCTGAGCATGCAATCGACATTTTCCCCAGCCAGGCAGGCCTGCCATGGGCCACTGCGATTTCATCGTGTCGCCAGAGCAAATACTGGCAAGTCACCGTGGATACTGCCCGAGTGTTTCTGTCACTTTTTGCAGCCGACGAATCCTCGCAGCAGATATTTAAGTCTCGACATTCGATTGCAGAGATTGCGCGCGCGGAGCTCGCGAATAATATGGAGGAGGGATGGGTCAAGTTTCCAGTCTATCTTTTCTCCGAGGGTGATAAACAGCGTACCCGGCTCCTTGCCGTAGTGAACGTTTTTATTTTTATATTCGATGGTACATGGTGTCCAAATGTTTTCATGTCCTCGGGGCTAAATGCTGACAATTCCAATTTTGTTAGACTTCTGGGAAATGCACAACATTGACTATGTGAGCGTCCAAGATTGCAAATTGTTTTTTCCTGCCCCACTCCGTTTTGCTGTTAAAATCCCTTGAGCTGTTTTACTTATGGCATTGTTAAGCTCCTTTGTCCATGCCGTCTAACTTGTTGATGGAATCAGTTCTCGGAGGTCAAGAGCCTATTCGTGGACCGCATGCGACCCGGATATCAGCCCAACGAACAGACAAGAACCCCACTACAACTCCTCATTGACAACGCCATGAATGAGATTCGGTCCCTGGATTGTGGGGCGGGAAACAACGCGGGTGAAGAGATGATAGATCTTATGGTCAGGTTCTTTGAGCGGCCACCCCCACCAAAAGACTTTCCCAATATGGAGGATTTTCTACTCTATCGGCATGAAGATGCTGCAGTTCCGTTGGTTCACACAATATCTCCCTCCATGAAAAGATCTGATCATCTCGCAGGTATGTCCTCGGCTGCACAAAGTTCGCCCTGAATTCTTCTGTCGATCTCAATAGCCCACGACTGGAGAAATACCTTCGGTTGTTGAAGGACCACGTCTCCGTGGCAAATGATTTGGGCTCGTGGGCAAAGGAGAAAAAGGCCTATGACACAGGCAAAGTAATCTACATGATCAACGCCGTAGACGTTGTGAAAGCCCTATTGTGTCTTCCCACCGACGAGTCGGCCGTGGCAATGACGCAGGCTTTCCAGCTGCAAATTGAGATAGGCATGGATGCTGAGATTCAACGGTTGCGGGCTGAAGAGAGCTTAACACTCGAGGAATGGCGGTTTATCGACGCTACTTTGCATGTTGCCAGTGGCAATGTCTTCGTTTCAACGGTCATGTCTCGGTATGGAGGGGAGGAGTTTCGCCTTTATTGATTAGTTATATATGGCTATTTTGGCTTATTATATTCGCTATTCATATTGCGCTTGGCTCGCAAGTACCGCAAGACTTTGGTCCCCTTTTTTTCGGGTTATCTTTAGGGTTTACGAATGTAGTTGAAATCGTGATAGTGTTCTAAGCTGCCTGCTGTTAGAGATGACAATGCATATTCAAGACCGTATCACTTTAGACAATACCTTAGACTTGACATGTCTTTATTGTTCCACTCGTTGTAATCTTTTATTGTCTCCATTTGCTTACCGTTTTCAATTCCTTGTTCCACACAATAGATAGTCGTTTCACCCCATTCTGGGAGTAGACGCTTGCTGCTGATCACACAGACGAATTATTTCGAGCCACATACTCAAGTTTCACACGAATTCCTGTATGTCTTAAGATCGCAGCCCGGTTAGGCTATGTCTCAGAGCCACTCGAGACCCTCCGCAGAGGAAAGAAACACTCGATATGACAAGCGAAGTCCTTCGTAGTTTGTGGTTCCGAATCTGTGTCACAGGTTATTTACGTCTAATTCTGACAGCTATCCCTTGCTCTGGTGACTTAATCAATAGATCTCAAGACAGCTACGCCAAAAGGTTGATTAGCGCTTGGTATAGGGCTTAACCTGACTGATATTCCAACAATAGATGGTTCTCGATCTTACCTTACTTCGCATCGATTATGGGAGTTTAGTATACCGATGGTAATAGAACTTCACCCAAGACAAGGCTGCATAGGGCATAGGTGAGCACCTAGCTGCTCAGACCAAGAAGGTGAATCCGATTAACATTGGTCCATGGTACTACGAGGGGCCAGTTCTACCCCGTGGAGACAGCAGCCAACGGGGCAATTTCTCTAGGGTTGGCGGCGGGGGGGCAGGGGGGTTACAGCCACTTGTATCCTCCGGCCGGTGGAAATTTTAGCCCTAGTTATTGATGTTCCACTGATCTCTTGTCGGCCCAACCTCTGAAATCAACAATCCACTAAACTAGGATTACGGAATACAGACGAAAAAGAACTTTGTTGCTTGTACCCATATTTGCAACACAATAGCCCGGTCCACAAGTTTGTATTCTTCTCGTAATACATAGAGTCCAACTACCCATCCAATGACGGTGCGTACTTTGCGTGGGAGTTTAAATTGCCGGGATCTGACATCGCAGCGGTGTGTTATGTCTTTTCTGTCGGCGGAAAGTACATAAACAGCGGACTCATGTGCCACGTCCAAACCGACCTCTCGCGAGTCATGCTTCCACATCTGCCGATAGATGGATATCGAAGGTGAGTACTATTTTGCATACCATTATTCGTATCACTACCTATGCCATGCTTTGAACGCGTTAGAAGAGATATCATAGCCTATATATGTGACAATTGGATATGTACTCTTTCCCTATACAGTTGCGAGATGCCACGGAAAAGCTGGCTAGCAGCTTTATTATCATCTGCAAGCAGGGTACCTGGTTTTTTCAGCCACCGCTCTAGACAAAACATTTCCGAATAGTGGGAATACAATGGCCATTAAACAATGGTGGCTGGGTGGCTGCTTCGTTGGTAATCTCGGACGCATTGCGATATGCGATCGGGATTCTGCTGGCTCCTAGAAGTCGGGGACCGAGGTATGCTCTCAGGGGATGGAAATAAACATTGTAGATGGTCGAGATTGCTTGTTGTCGTGAGCGGTTAGGGCTGTGACTCGGCTATTTGACACTGGTGTCTCAAAGGGCGCTCACAACAAAGAATGTTATTAGTACAGCGAGACCAGCGGCGTACGGATCAATTATGTCAACCTTGAAGAGAACCATCTTTACTTCGTTTCTGTTCGTCTTGGGGGCTCTTTGGAAATGAGAATTGTGGGACCATATAGCCTTGGTATCTTTAGTTTAACCAAGCTAGTATTGTTAAATTACTGACTTGCAATATGTTCGTGTCTTTATGCCGATTGCTCAAACACGTGTACATGCACTTGTCCTGTCAATTTCGCCATACGAGGATACTGAGATCTACACACACCATTTCTCGATTTATAGTAGAGGTATTACCCGATTGTAGCAGCGACACTTTGACAAAAAGAATGCCTCTATGAACGCTCTAGACTCCATAGGAAATGGAAAAATGACATATCTAGTCCACAGCCAAAGGAAAACCCTCTATCCACGATATATCTACATAGATCTAGATACCAGGACAATAGGACAGGGTGATAGTACCATCCATTTCGACTATGCTATATAAAATGAGACACAAATATCTGTCATCAAATTGACAAGTACAAAACAGTCTGCGCAGACATCGAGTTAAGGAATGAAATAATTGACTGTCCAGCAGCCAGCCCTACAGGCAAACACCTCCAGCCGCCACCGTTATCAAAGCCTGACCGGCCCAAACAATGGTACACATTTTGATCACCAGTACAGTAGCCGTATAGACAACATAACTTAGATGGGAACAACGTCAACCCAGAAGCGGGTGTCGTCAGTCTGGAACTTCTCATCGCTCTCAATCTGCTCCTGGATCCAAGTGATACCAGCCATGTAGTCTGTGTTGATTGATCAGTATCTGGACTCACACCCAAAACCGCGAGGTCAACACTAAGAGAAGAAACGTACTGTGGATATCGTCGGTGTCGGGGTTACCGAGACCAGTCTCGCCGTTGCGGTGACCACCGCACCACTTGTCGAAGCCGTAGAACTCCTCGCTGTCGTGGCGGGCCTGGATGTCCTTTCCGAGATCCTCGCTATTAAGTCATTAGTACACGCTCACTCTCATCTACCACGGCCGGGAAGAATCATACTTGAGAATGGCTCCCTCGTCAACCTCCTCGGCAGACATTCCCTTGAACTCGGACGCGGACAGGCGCAGCATCATCCAGTTTTGCTTGAAGATACCAAAGTTGGTGGCGTCACCGCTCTTGCCGTCTCCTATTAGCTGTTAATATCTGTGTGTGGACCATAGATTTCTGGGCCACCTACCATATTCGTAGTCGGTTCCCATGTTCTCGCTGGACACCAGTTGTTAGTGCGGTCAACAGACAGTACAGTCGGGGAGAGAAAGTTACGTCTCGAGCATGGCAATGGCCATGTCCATGGTGTTGGCGCCAGCGTCCAGCAGCTCCTGCTTGCGTGCACCCAAGCCCGGAGCAGCATAGCTGCCTCTGTCGGCACGGGGAATGACGCTGCCCAGAGCGAGGGGAAGGATGGTGGCAAGGATGGAAAGCTTCATTTTGGCGATTGAAGTTGTTGCGAATTGGTAATGACTGGAGTGTGCTGGGAGGTGCAAGGCTGTTGTGTCTGTTGCAAGATATCATGGCTTTGAACGATCTGTTGCTGTATTTATGCCTTTCGTCTCTATAGTGTGATACTATTGCCATCGCGATGCACGGACATTGTGGACGACGCTCCGTGTTAGGCTCCGTGGACAATCAGGAAATGACGATCGTTTTAGAAGCTATATGGAGCACCTGTTCGAGGTGAAACGACATCGAAGTCCACTACTGACGGTAGATGATGGAGCCATGTCTCGGTCTGCAACGACGATCGGAATCTGCCGATACCACGGGGTAGCTTGGCGCCGATCATTGCCGCCCTGATTCGGTGCGGGTATTTCCCCAGACAGAACGTCGAGGCCTAATGTATCACGGAACTACGATCCTGGTACGATCGGCCAGTGAACTGCCCCTGAAGAGGCGGACAGCCATGAGCAAAATCCGCGCGACGGATTCAACACGGATGATGCTTAACTGGAACGTTAATATAGCTCCGCATGGTTTATACACAGTCAATGTTTGCAACATGCTTTCATCTAGCTGCACCAACGTCACTTCCTAATGTTCTATGGCCATCAGAGTCTATCTACTGCAACCCATAGATGAAACCAAGCTGGTCAACCTCCTCCCCGTCTTGCCCAAAGGCCCCTACAATCTGCCACCCGTCCGCAGCCTCAAAGCTCTGACAATCGTCCGTTTCCGCACCGGCACTCACGGTCCTGCTAGCCGACGTGTCTGCTCGGAGGTAGAAGATTCTGGTGTGGTCGTTTTTCTTCCCCTGGCATAAGGTCGCCCGTGTCCAGAACTCGTCCTTCTCAAGTTGCAGCTCATCTAACTTCCCGCCCTTTCCGCCATGGGTGAAACTCTCGCCGGAGGAAAGTGTGACACCGACGGAGTCTACGCGCTCCTCGCCACGGAGGGAGATCTTTGTTAGTTTTGTTGTTGTGGTGGGAAGGGAAATAAGGTCGTTGAACCAGGTGCTTCTACTTGTCAGTATCTTTATTCAAGCTTACGGGACGAGAAGATACCTACCCATGCGGACCCCCAAACAGATCACTCTGTCTCAGCGACGCAGACCTCTCCCAGGTGAAATTAGCCGCGATGGGATTATGATCCGACAGTAGCTTCCCATCCTGCAGAAACCGGTCATCCTCATACCGCCACGACGTCGCACTCAAGTTGATCGTCCGACTGCCGCGATAGCTACACAAACCCTCAATGAGCTTCACTTCTTTCCCGTCTACAAAAATCGTGAGATCCAAAAGGAAATAAGAGGGGGACATACAAGATCTTATCCACAACCTCACAGGTCTGGTTCTTCGTGGGACTGTCGCACTTCCTCGCCGGCGTGCCCTGTACGGGCTCTTCGCCGCCGAGCACAATATCCACCCATGGATCTTTCATGCCCTGCTCCTGCGTAAACGCGCGCACGCTCTCCCCGGAAGAGGTATACCTGGCATTGGTGTCTCCGAAGACGATGACCGCGTTTCCGGCAGAGTCGGCACCGATCGCATCTGCTACCTGTTGCAGGTTGGCACTTCGCGCAGCGACATCTTTCTCTTCGGACCTATACTAGAGTTAACAAGCGCCGAAACAGACAAAATTAAAGCAGCGCCACAAATACAGGTGCAAAGGAAAGAGAAAAAAAGATGGCAAACAACTTACCCCGCATCAGCATGCAAATTATAGAAATCAACATAGACCCCCTCCTCAACCCTCATCCTCATCCGCGTATACCCCTTCGGTGTGAGACAATCAGCCCCACTAGCCTCGGAGCAAGTCTCCCACTTGACACGTTCAAAGTCCACCCAGGGATACCGAGCAAGGGTATTCAAGCCGGAGCCGATCCCCGCGCCGCCGGAAGTAGCCGTGCGGTGGGGGTGAGCATCGCCGTCCGATTCGTAGATAGCAGCGTGGTAGTTGAAGTCCTCCTGGACGTGGATGACATCGTAGTTGTACTGGGCGAAGCGGCGACCGAGTTCGTGCGAGTTGGCGGTTTTGTCGCCTTCGCCGTTGGGGTTGAGGAAGGCGGGGAGGCCGGCGACGTTTTGGGAGAGGATGTCGAGGGTAGGGGATGCGAGGAGGGGCGGTGCGAGGAGGGGGAGCAGGGCGGTGCGTCGCATGGTGTCTTGTTATGTTTTTATAATTTATGGCTTGGATACTTGACGATATTTAAGAGAAACACTTGAAGAGATCGTCACTATTTAATTCTGTCAATTTGGCACATGCCGATCGGCGTGTTGTGACAAAAAGGGGGAGGCTAAAATGGCGATGTGGGCTGGTGGAGACGCGATCTGATCAGATTGTGCTGCCTAGATAGTAGATACTGGCTAGTGATAACGATATCTAGGCTAAGAAAGAACGACATGCGACGTTACAGCATATGAGACTGATTCCTGCATAGGCTAACTAGGTACAAGGGTTGACAGAATATCCACCTATCAACAGTGTCATCCCGCGCATATATGCTTGATCTTGCCGACCCGTAGCGTGTCGGCCAACTTCCGAAGGCCGAAGGGTTCCAGAACTCCATGTAATATCACGCGACGGATCAGGATCAAAATGGCTCATGTATGTAATGGTGTGGTATCGTCATCATTGAAACATTTCATGTCGTAAGCTGACTGCCAACCCCACCTCTTCAGCTACCAAAGGGCTTTTCATCCGCCGAGATATGGCTCGGACGACGGCTGCCAAACGCCTGGCTGGCCCGTCGCTCCGCATGCCGCTGTCGGTCTGCCTCCAGCGTCTGCGCGAACTTGCTGCGCGCGCGGATCTCGGGGCCCTTCCAGTAGAACACGTAGATCGGGATCATGACCAGCACGCCCGCGCAGCCCAGGAGGGTACTAGCCCACTGCAGGTGGAAGCGTCCGCCAATGTTCTGGTACATCGGGGTGGAATACATGGTCGCGATACCGGCCAGGAAGTCACGGGCAAAGCCGTTACCTCCCGTCGCAGAGGCAGAGTAAGGTCCGTAAGCGGCCACCATGTAATCAATGGTGGCCATGTAGATGCCGTAATTCGCCATGGCGATTAAGCAAGCGAAAATGAGGGGAGCGATCCACGGGGTGTACGCGGGGCCCATGGTGGTCCAGGCAAAGCCCAACAAGCCGATGGGCTCGAGGGGGCAGATGAAGAGGAGGAGAAGAAGACGGCGTTCAGGTAGTCGCGCCCCACCGCCCTTCGCGTGGCGAACCGTCATCTGTCGCCACACGTCCGGCAGGAAGATGGCGTAGGCGATGATATACCCAAGGAGGATCGCGCCGAATGTCATACCGACGGCGAGGACGCTGAAGTCCCATTGTTGGAACACCAGGGGGAAGGAGGCGGTAAAAACGAAGATCAGGGCGTCTGAGAAACCCGACAGAAGCGACAGGAACAGGACGATCGGCTCGCGGATGAACATCTCGAACGGCCGGCGCCAGATGCGGAGTACCTCCTTGGCGTCCAACCCAGGACTCACCTCAGAAGGGCCATAGACGTCGGCTTCCCCAGACTTACGCCGCCGCTTGGCCTCGCGATCGATCAGGATGGTCGCTCGTGTCTCGGGGACCATAAAAAAGTGCATAACTTGGGTGACCACACCAAAAATCAACTGGATCCAGAACACCCAGTGCCAGTCGAGGTACTCGCCGATGAAGCCGCCAAAGAACGGGCCCACCGTCGAGCCACCAACTGAGGAGAGCACGACGAAGGCCACTGCAAAGCCTTGGTCTTCCGCCTCCCACATATCAGCGGTCATACCGAGAGTGACGGAGCCACCAGCCGAGCTGAGACCACCGAGGATGCGGCACACTACGATGGTTGCGTAGTTAGGAGCAACGGCGCAGGGAATCTGCCATATATTGACCAGAAACAAACTGAGCTGCATAATCGGCCAACGCCCCAGCTCCTCACTCCAGGGAGCCCAGAGTTCGCAACCGAATGCATATGCCACGAGGAAAACAGCCTGGCCCACGCGGGCAGCCTGTTCGCTAATGCCAAAATCCTCTGTAAGTCCCGGGATAGCGTTGGCGTAGACACCCGTGTTGAAATTCATGGACATCTGGACAACGAAAATAACAGAGAGAATCATCCACTTCTTCCACCAGGGGAAGCAGAAACCGAGTTTGTCGTAGCACTCGTCGTCTGTGAGTTCACGCCTCCCGCCATAATGGATCTCTTTGGTGGGTTCCCCCGAGCCGTCACTAGCGCTCGAAGAAACATTCTCAGCCAGCGTCTGGGTGGGATGGTCATTGGACAACACTCGAGGGGGCGGATCCTCGAGGCCTTCTATCTTGTCCTTTTCTTTTGCGTGGTCAGACATGTGGATAGCAGATGGGCTGGATGACAATGAAGAAATGGATAGATGCGCCGCGAAAAAAGCCCTTGTTCGTTCTTGTCGAGTGGGCTGTAGGAGAGAGGATAATGGATAGATGAATGATAGTGGTGCACTTAGGATTCCAAAAGAGAGGACGAGAGCATCATACCTATTTATTTGCATTTTCAATTCTACGTAGAGGCACCGGAGTGAGCCTGAAAACGGTGGGGACGTGGAGACGGAACCGGGCCACAGATGCTGTCATCGCCGACTCCACCCCCTCCCTGGTCCTATTCGATCATGACTGGGCGAGTAGGCTACCCATAAGAGAACCCCGGGGAAGCCGAGTCACGATGAGGAAAGCAGTAGAACGCGATGGCGCCATGACGTGACTGTCGGGGCCGGATGCGGAGTTGGGGGAAATGTCGGGTCGTCCAGCCGTCTCCTCTTTTTCGATGTCCCCCCGTATCTTTTCTAAGATAGCCGCTTCCCCACATGTAAACAGAATCACCCCGTGATCACGAGTTGCTCCAATGATACCCCAGCGGATATGCGCATGATAGTATGCCCAATCGCCCGATCGGTTCACAAGGATCTCATGATTCCGAAGCCGAGTCTCAGTGGCTGGTCGTGTCGGCCGTTAGTCGGTTTTGGGCAAGCCGGACCGGCTCACATGGCTGATCCGACGATTCGGGGAAGTTTGCGCAGGGCTGAATTTGGGCAACTCATGGGCCGGATGCAACATTCCCCAAGTCAGTCCATCATTACTCAGTCAGATCTCCCCAGCTTCGTTCGGAATTACCGAATCGGGAAGAGCATACCCGGGCACTGATTGGCGGAAAGACGAAATGACATCATCATGAATGGGCGATTGCTGGCATGAGCTCAATGAAAGTCTAACGTGATTGGTTCAATTGTTGCAAGATCAATGCCGCATCGGGTCCAGATTCGTCCAATCCGGCCGCCGTTCCCATCTCCGCGGGTAGTCACATGATACGCGGATATGGGGTAGAAGCCCGGGGTACAACGTCTCTGTGTATTACGCCTTGATATCTCCGAATAGTCATCATGTGTAATGTATAGCACAGGATTCCATGGTCCCAAGATACTACGCATGGTCGGCCATTCGAAAATCCCTCGGAATTTACACAGTACGCCCGACCGAAACCAATGAGGCGCAAGTATTTCTGCTCCTGATTTGCTTGTGTACACAGTCTTGTAAACTAACCGACCGGTGATATTGATTCACCCTCCTCGGACATCACCACTAGGAGGAACAAGCCCGGGACGGTTACATGGGTCCGCGGAGCTATAGTACAACCCGAAGTCGGCACACGAGTGCAACCCGACTACTCGGATCCCGGGGTCAAATCCGGTTTCTGTGGTTTTAAGCGGGGATAGCACTGATTGCGACTTGTATCAAGGCTCCCTGTTATTAGAACGTTGCTCCCGCGGTACTACCAGTATCTTGTTCTCTGTCCAGGTTATATATATAGTGGTCTTTGCCCAACGGCATGGTGCTCAGTAGGCACCAGTGACACGACCATCGGGCCATAGTTTGAGGCACTGAAAATTCCGGAGATGGAACTGATGATTAAGGTCATGTTACTTGTAACCGATACCGAGCTATCATCATTCGTTTACCTACCTGGTTCTTGACAGTCTGTCTCCCCCCACCTTCCTTGTCCATGTCCTCGTCGGACGTGGCCCATGGGCTATGTAGACAGGGTCAAATGTATTCACAAGGCATTAAACCCACGATGATGCATTAGAAGCAGATATTATGATCAACAAAGCTTTCTAAAACCACCCACTATCATACTTGATCCCGATCCCCACTACTCTAACCCAACATCCCATTCACTCATCCGGTACAAGAATCAAACCAGCTCCTTCCGGAAAAACACCCTCTCATATCCTCCATCCAACCTCCTCTCCAACTCCATAAAGCCCATCCGAGCATACATCCCCACATTCTCAACCATATGGACATTCGTAAACAGCTTCAATGCCGTACATCCCCTCTCCCGCGCCACGGCTTCAGCTTGCGCCATCAGCACACGCCCGCAGCCTTTCCCCTGCGCAGCAGGGTCAACAACCAGGTTATTGATGCTCAAAGCGTTATGATCGGGTGCAGCGTTTAGAACAATAGACCCTAATATCGTATTTCCGAGTCGAAGGACCCAGACCTCGTGGGTCTGCAAAAGTTGGTGGTAGTCGGCTGTCATTGGGCCGGGTGGCTTCCCGATGCGCGGGATGTATTTGGTGTATGCGGCGCATACCATGGCCTCGATGAATGGGATGTCATTGGGCTGGGCTAAAGCGAGGGTTGTTTCGGAAGGTAGTTGCATGGTGAAGAAGATAATGCAGGTGTTATAATTATGAGGCAGTTGTTGAGTGGCATCTGATGGGTGATTTATATTGGTATAGGATAGGTGAGTCATTCTAACTGTCACTAGTAAACATATAGTGAGTACTCGCCAAGAGTGATGATCATGCTTGGTAGATCTGTTTTGTTTTTCTCTAACCTCTGGTTCAAATAATCTTTGTTTATCCATTTAATCTCTTGGTAAATATAAAATTAGCTCTTCGGAAACTCTCTCGTGATCTACGGATGGTCACAGGTATGCATATTGATCCTCACCATCTTGACTGGGGAATGGAAAACAACCCAGCAATCCTTTTTTCCTTAGAACCATGTAGTAATAGTGGTTTCTGATATTAACCCACCCGAGCTTCTTCATATTCTGCCAGTATTAACCTCGTGATACTGTTGCAGGGCCTCGCTGATCATTAGGTGGATGTAGTCGAATAGGCTGTCAAACCCAGCCGGGACTTCGGAGACAGTCCCATCTGGCTCGCTCTTGACTAAAGAGAGCATCTCTTTTGCATAGCCGGCTGCAACCCCTGCAGCATATCTCCGCCAGGTATCGTCCTTGTGGGAGTCGGCATAGTCGCACACTCCGCGGATAGCAATGCCAGGAAAGCAGCTCATCAACGCCGCTCCTTCCATTTCCACGCAGAGCGCGTTGTATTTTCTGGCTAAGCGATTTCGCGCTTTGGGGTCCTTGATTACCTGGTTTCCGGATGCAATCAAACCGTGATGAACGACCGGGTTGTGATTTGGGCGAGGCGGTCGCTCCACGATTGTCGCTCCGTTATATAGATTATCGCTCCGCTCCGCCATCCAACCATACCCTGATTCTCTCATCCGTGGGTACTGCTGTATCATTTTCTCGATATGATCATTCACTCTGCTCCAGTCACCCTGGTTCCGCTGCCGTAATGCATCGACCGCTCGCAACAAAACATCAGGCGGCTCTGGCACATATCCCATAATTTGGATATCCTCTTCACCTTCTACCACCTTGCCTAAATCATGACAGAAGATACCAGAATGCTGACGAGATGGGTAGCTAACCACCACATCCCCAAGACGAACATCATTCTCGCGACTAGGCACCCCGCCCCCAATGCCCACCATGAGGCCGAGGCGAATGCTTGTGAATGTGCGCAGCATGTTGGTCGCCACCCGCGTTGCCGAAGTAAGGCCTGGTACCCCCGAGAGCATGCCACAGAGCACAATATTATGGCCGCTCATACGCCCTAGTACGTATGTGTTGATGTCGCCGGGGATGCGGTGTTTAGGGCGCTCGTGAAATTCGTCGAACATGAATCGGACCGCGGCCAATTCTTCTTTGAGCGCGCACACAATGGCAACTGTGTATTTCTCTGTTGGTAGAGTGGGCATTCGTCCTTGCTGTCGGTCGGGTTGATTGCACGCATTGCAGGTCGTAGCAGCAGAGTTGGATTCGATTATTCTTGTCATTTCAGAATATAAGTATAGAAGTTGGATCATGTAGTGGTAAAGTTGATCGTGAGTCTTTCATAGAACGTAGACACGCATGCCCGTTAAATCTGCCCTCTTATATACGATCGAATGCCGCGTCTCTAATGCCAATCGACATTCTGGCGACCAACGCAAGCCGTCTGCATGGCGCAGGAACATAGACGGCAAGACCTCAAGCCAAGCGATGAGTTGGTCCTGTAAGCGCCAGGATCGATGGATCGATGGATCGACCAAAGCCTATCATTTAGCGTCTACCATCGTAAACACCTTCAATGGTGGAGTACTTTTCTACCTATCAAAGACGTACCAAATATAAAAATAGGAGATGGCAGTAGAGCCCCCAATCATTGGGTCTAGAAAGGCGCTTAGTGGTGCGGTTAGATCACCTTCGCACGAAGCATCGGCAGCAAACATGATATAGAACCGATGGGAATGTTCAACTTAAACATATGTAGAAAGACGAAAAGAGGAAAGTGCAAACTATCTACAGAAATGTAAATCTATGCGTAGATAATAATAATATTTCTGAATATGTAGCGACAGTCATTGGTGGTTGTGGTACTGGCTCCTGGTTTCAAAAATGTTTCATCCCTAGCCGATGCAAATCCTAGCGGTAAATAACTGAGGTAGTATCAATGGTAGTTATCTATCTTTAAGACCTTGCTCTGGTAGAGATAGTGAATATGCTTGTTGATTTCATATATGTATGTTCTAAATATTTCACTTGCCACGGGCCTTATGTTGTCCTTATGAAAATATATATCATTATTCATTACATCTCCATAAACCTTTTATTAATGCACATACTAATTATTTAGCTCTTATCAACTGGAGAATTGCTAATATCATGACACCCAATACATCCAAATCAAGTAGATCACCATTCTAGAGAACAGAATCAGTCATCTGTCCCCGATCAAGCAAGTCTGCTTCCTGGCGCAGCACATCCGCCCGGAACTTCCGGAACGCGGCCTCAATGCGCCTCCTCTGCTCCGGGTCCTTAGTGATACTACGGCTCCCACTGGCCGCTCCACCGAGGAATCCTGTCATAGTCATTAGCTTTCCGCGCGTAGTAGCTCTTCGCTGTGCATAGCAAACAAAACAACAACGAAGAAGGCCGATCAAAAAAGGAGAGCAGAGTTGATCACATACCAAGTTCCCCACCCAAGAATAATCCACCAGCCGAGGCGAAAAAGTACGTCGCAAAGTCACCAAGGGTTGTCGGTTTTAACAGCGGCGTAAGATCGGGGATAGACTCTGCTCGCAAGTCAGTCACTCATGTACAGACCGAAGAAAAAATAAAGTGAAAAAGGGAAATTTACCCTGGCGGCCGTCCGCAAAAAGTAGATGCGTCGGCTTCTCCTTTGCGCGGAACGCCTGGAAAAAGGCTGTTCGCGCGCTGCGGAGCCGAAAAGCGACGTATAGGCCGAGACCAACGCCTGCGGCGGATCCGATGGCCGTCCAGAGTGAGACGGTCGAAGCAGCAGATTTGAGAGTCTCGCGATCTTCGGCCCGGAGGTCTTTCTGCATGTGTTCGTTTGCGAGCCGGGTGAGGTCGTCGGCGCGGCGGCGGCGCAGGAGGGCGATTGATTCGGACATGCTTAATCAATTGGTTGATTGAGTATGATAGATTAGAATAACTTGTGATTGTTGAACTTAGAAAGCAATCAAAATCCAAAGTGAGAGATGTGGAAATTTATAGTTCTAGCAAGAAAGTGGTAATGATGTCATTGGGTGGGTGGGTCGGTAGAACAAGGCTAAGTTGTTTAGCTATGGGGCCTGATGACGGAGTCTGATTGTCGAGGAATACTTCATTACACATGAAGCTTTTCTTTTTTATATTCATGAAGGGACAATTTCTCTGCTCCGACGTTGTGTGCAACCTATATGCCAAGAGAAGAAATACTCAAAAGAGGAACAAAATGGGTAAAAGGAAATAATATTTATTTACTATCCAAACAGCGCCTAATCATGATTAAAACCTTATTCGGACTTAGATCATAGTGTTTATCGCTACAGGACACAGTGAGATCTAGGATACTGTGATTATCTTACTACTGATACTATCCTCACAGTTGACACTCCAATCAAAGTTTTGAGAAAACCAGTTGCATAGTTCGGAGAGTTTCGAATATTGGAATAGCCTAGAACAATTGAATGGCCGTCTGCCTAGTAATAACACCCATTTACATATGCCAGCTTCTTATTCTGTAGTGATGGCAAAACGAAACAAGAGAGTATATATCAAAAGCTGTGCTAATAGTTCCGTGGCCAAGAAAAGGTGCCGTACCCTTTAAAGGCCTCATTTGATTAATGGGAAATAACAAGGTCTGCCCCGTTCCAGGTTGCTGCAACTCGGCGTGGCTCCGAAAGAGCTTCATGTAGGCCAGATCATTATACTTTGATTTAGCTGAATATAGGCTTAGTGTGGGCTGATGACCATTCACGTTGATATGCACTAATTCGTTATATTATATACAAGCTGTTAGCTCTTGCTTTCTCGATATCTGACTACCACCCACCTGGGTTCAAATGAAAACACATATAGGGTTTCTATAAGCACCTGCGAAAAGCCGTCTAGGCAAAGATGATCGAGGCTCACAACGTAAGTCATCTTCAGGCCTACGAGTATCTTCTTCCTGTGCCGACTCTGAAAGGCCGAGCTTTCTCCGGGATAAACCAAGTTGTACTCCGTAAGCTCGCGGTTGTGGGCTCTAACCCCCTTTGGACATTCAGTTTGATTCAACCCATCTTGAACCCACCTCATCCTTCCAGATCAGTGGTGGGGCAGTCATTGCGCATAGCTTGGTTGTCTGATCTGATAAATTGGTCGACCCTATCAGATACTAGTCAATTACGGTCCAACTTATATTTACAATCTCTGTCGTTTCTGTGCACCTGATTATCCTTCATTACTAAGAACAAAGTATCAAAGATGATGGGAACAACAGGAAATAAAACGTTGTTTTAGCTCTTCGTACCTGAAACCCGGGGCCAAGCCTCGAGCGGGGAAAGCGACGCTCTTCCCCTCTCGTCGAGATAGGAGGAGATAGAGCAGCCTGTCGCGTGGCCTGCATAAGTTTATCAGCAAGTAGACCACTACAAAAAAAGAAAGCAAAAAAGATGGTGCCCGAAGCGGCAGGTATAACAAACCTAACGTGGATGAAGAAATCGGGTTGTCGATCCCCGACGGGCGTAGCCCCGCATGGTTTTATCCTCGAGGGTTGTGATGCAGGAACTGTCCCGGCTGATGGTACAATCCCCCTTACCGTCCGGAAAGCCGGTGGCTTGATATTGGTCTGTAGTTAGTTGTACGTTACATTGGCCAATCCCAAGATCGCACTGTCCCTTGTGTTTGCTCCCAAGACAGCACCGTCATCTTGATGTTGCCTCACTCGTATAGTATAGCCCCAATGAGATGGGGAGGGTGGGGTCCCGCGCAGGAAAGATAAGACTTTGCTGTTATAGTGGATATGAGGCAGAATAATCTGCCTCTGCCGGAGGTAACGGTCGATTCCATAAGATCTTCAAACACGAATTGCCAGGTCCACTCCCCTGCAGAAACGACAGGCTGCATTGGAGGTATATGGCTAGCCACTAAATTCAGGCGATGTCACCGAGGAGCGGGGGGCTCTTGGCCGTGCGATGGTCATTTGCAACAATACAACACCAATTGCGCAAGGTGGAATCATGGAAGGTATAAAGTCGGGTCGATCGCGCAGGACGGTGTATACAGGGAGAGGTGGACTGCTCAACTAAAATTCGAAGCACGAGTAAAAAAGATGGTGTTCTTTTCTAGGATTTCGCTGTTCGGCCTTCTGGCGGCTGGGGCTTGGGCTGCTCCCAGCAAAATCGCCCGTCGGGGTAAGTTGTTCTATCCTAGTCGTTTCTGCAGATGCTCACATCACTAGCTATCGACGAGGCGACATTCGCCAAGCTCGAGCTCTTTGGCCAGTACAGCTCTGCTTCATACTGCAGCAACAACTTTAACTCCACGGGCGATAAGATTACCTGCGATGGTGGGAATTGCCCGTTGGTGGAGGCTGCCGGTGCCACCTCGGTTCATGAGTTCGAGAAGTGAGTAGTTCTTCGCGCATCGACCATAGGATATTGACTCACTGATCCAAATCAGCTCCGAAGCGTACGGCGGCGTCACGGGGTACATCGCGGTAGATACAACCAACAAAGCCATCGTCTTGGCCTTCCGGGGTAGTTCGAATCTCAAGAATTGGCTAGCGAACCTCAACTTCCCCTTGATCGATTTCACCGACATCTGCGAGGGATGCCAAGTCCACCGTGGCTTCTTGGAAGCGTGGAACGCGGTAGCGGAGGACGTCACTGCGAAGGTGAAGGAAACCCAGGAAAGCAACCCTGACTTCTCTCTTGTCTTCACGGGACACAGCCACGGCGCTGCACTGGCTGCTGTCGGGGCGACCATCTTCCGCAAGGCCGGCGATGCCGTCGAGCTGGTAAATTTTCCCATTGTCCTCTTCTTTTGACCATATACTGACAGTTGTCACAAGGTCAACTACGGCCAGCCTCGGATCGGGAATATGGAGTTGATGGAGTACATCACCAAGGAGTCGGCCGATTCCACCTTCCGTGTCACCCACACCAACGACATTGTTTGCAAGGTCCCACCCAAGGCATTGGGATTCCATCATTTCGCCCCTGAGTACTTTATCACTAGCGGGGACAACACGACCGTGACGACAGCGGATGTTGAAGCGATTACCGAGATTGACTCCGATAAGGGCAACGCTGGGGCTGACGGGACGACCACTGAGGCCCACCGTTGGTATTTCGTTACCATGAGTGGATGTGACTAATTTTGGATTACGCTCAGTGAGCGTGTATATTTTAAATTTTCTTTCTTTGCCTTCACTAGCCAGGATGCTGGTGGTAAGACAACTTTGGGGATTCTTATCGGAGTAGGTTCTGTAAATGAACTTTTTTGTACATAGGATAGCTCATTATTGTGAGAATTTACATTTTCCTCCTACAAGATACGTAGACGGGAGATATCCACTGACGAACTTGGAAGGGGTATATCTTTTTTGTATCTTGTATTATACTCTCGTCCCCAACAAGTGAGGTCCTAGCCATCAATCACCACGAGTTTCGTACATCATTCATTTCATAGGTAGTTTTTTGGGTGTAGGGGTACCGTAGATAATCTGTGAATCTTTATAGATTGTTATTATTTTTCTGAATCAAACTTCATAACCAGCCATCCCCAGGTCTATTCTATATACAGAGCCATGATAAACATTATATATACATAACAACTTGATGCAAGACATTAATCCATAAATTCCAGCTCGAAACGGTTTGAACCTTGTACAAACACAACCCTCACACCCCCAGCGCAATAGCCAACAACCCAGCAGCACCCACCAACCCTACCGCGACAGGTCCAGTAGGCGCCGCTGCACCACCAGTGCTCGTTTTATTCGGATCATTGGAGCCACCGACACCATTATTGCTGCGATTTGAACCGTGGCCGGAGGCACGCTTAACTGGGTTGTTGCCAACCGATGTAGGAATGGGGGAAGCAAAGGCGGCGGAAGCCCATTCTTGAACACTGGAAGGTAAGCTGTGAAACCAGACGGGGTTGGAAAGAGCTAGTTCGTGAATGGCAGATTCTGCGGTCTCCGGGCTGTTGCAGATGGCGCTGAAGTCGGCTGAGGGGATGGATGACTCCAGGATGGACATCACTGTGGATGGTACTGTGAGGGTGCTGTCTGTGGGTTGTGGCAGGGATTGTGGTGCTGCTAGGGTAGTGTAGGTGAATAGGAGGAGCGTGAGGCATGTGTATTGCATGGTGGATTGGTTTGATTGATTGAGGAGGGTTCTTAAACAATGTACATTCGTGTTTGGGTCGATATTGCTTGAAGCTGAGATTGCAGGATGAATAGACTGGGATAAATATCACCGAGATGGGTGACACGATAGGACTCCGCACAAGGACCTTTTGAGTATCCGCAATAATCCAAGTCTGGCAAATAAACTTGCATAGCCGCAAAATGGTCCGGGTTAGACTGCGGCTGTGATCGAAAGCTCTTGTAAACAGACCAATCACTGCCCCAATAAACCCCCTATTCCTGCCGGCCCGAGTTGCGCTTAGGCTGTTTAGGGCTTAGAGGACCCCATAGTTTGGCCCCCAACAAGGGCCCGCTAGGCTGTGTCCACTATTGACTACACCGTGTTCTAGCTTCACGATGCTCTCATTGGGTTATTACTAGGCATTATAGGTGGATTATTCTATCCTTATTATAATCTTGTGTTTTTCTATTATATCAAAACACATAAAGTATAGCTATAAGCGCCAATTCTTTAGATATGATGCTCCATTAATGCCGTGATCGCCTGACTCGTAGGAGCATTGATAATGACTCAGTCACGCAGTTGTTTGTACACATATTTAGCTCATACTAGTCAGTTGAGGTGTTCACAATGATAAGAAAACACTTAATGACATTTGGCTCTATAGAAGGAACCCCTTGTCAGAACCGATTCTACAATTCTGTTCGAGAACGGGTTAAGAAACGAATGGACACAGTCTGCCGCTAGGAATAATCAATAACCTTTTTAAGCGTTACATCCAGAATAAGCACATTTCCGTCCACCGTGAGTCCAACAACAATAGACAATCCCTGATATCTAGTCAAGTGGTGTGCCAAATATCCGATTTGTACTATGAATTTCATGGTGTTATATAGCATAGAGTATTGATCAATTACGATAGTGCGATCGACTCCCAGCTAATCTAGGAACTTAGATATGTATATTGTGATACTTAAACTCAGTCACCCAGTACAGGACAATCAATTGTTCAAAGGCAGGTGTATTCTTGGGCTATATATATGAATTGATGATGAATACTGAGTATAAGTATCTTACTGGTCAGTGGTTACACTTGTGTTCTAGTAAAAGTGCAAGTTCGCCAAGTGACTAGCAGACTATTCACTACTTACGGCTCACGACACTGGAAGTGGGGCCTGAAGAATCTTTGGGAGTGTTAAAGAAGCAATCTTGTGTATTCTCCTTTCGGTTTAGAATATTACTCTCTGATGTTCCGTTTTATAGCGAACACTAGCGGCCCTGTGGGTTTATTTTCTGTTTGTTTATGTCATATTTCCACCACTTAAAAGGGTCATCCTATTAATAGCGATCCTTTGCAACACAGCGGCCAGAAGCCAATAGTCACCCCCTTTCCAATGAAGACACCGGTCTGTCCTTGTAATATAGTATTCAATACCGGGGGGACCAAAATACCACATCCCTATTAACAACCATTGTCACCGAGTATTGGTGAAGGATCCTCCGTAGTTCTAGGCAACCTCATAACAACCAAGAAGAAGCCACCCCGGCCTGTCTCAGCCCTATGAGAGCGGGGCTGGGGCCCACTCGCCAAGTAGCCACTAACAGTAATGTAACGAACCAGACACCCATACAACACATCATATGCACACGTCGCAGGACAGCGCCCCGGATCGGTGCGGATGGATTTGAAATCTGACGTAGGTATAGTCTACAACGCCTTTTGTACCCCCACCCACCACTGAATGACTCCAACCAGGAACCGCTCCCCCCACAGCCGGAACGGCATGGGCAACACCCTTTGGAACCCTGTCCATCCCAGCCCCTCCCGGATCTGCATCTCTACAAGACGGCGCCAGTCGACTGCGTGGGCGAAGTGAAAGGGGAAGTGGTGCTGGCTGACGGTGCGAATGGTGCAGTCCATTCGAGGCTGTTCGTGCAGTTCAACCTGTGGAGGGTGCAGGGCGGGTTCGGGGCCCGAGAAGTCGACTTCGAGGCGGAGGACGCCGGTTGTGGTGAAGGTTCGGACTTTGACGGAGAGGTCGTGCTCTTTTTTCTTTTTTGTGGAGGGGTCTCGCTTGTGGGTGATCGTTAGGTCGAGGAGAGGTTCGTCGTCTGCGGTAGTGGTGTTGTCCGGGGCTGTAAGCTCGAGTAGAGTGAGGTAGTGGTTGTAGAGAAAGCTGTGTTCTGGGGGGAGGAGAGATACGACGAAATCTCCTTCGAGGATGATGTTTGGAGATCCTGGTTTGGACTTCGTGGTGACTTTTGTGAGGCGGAGAGGCTGGGCGATGGACCGCCATGACTTCAAGATTACTGCCTCGGCGGGAGAGTCATTCCCTTGGCGGGCGAGATTGCTGTTTATATAGCGGATGATACGCTGGCAAATGGCTTGTTCGTATTGATGCCACACTCGGCCGAGGAGGACGTTCAGCCAGAGGACAGTCTCGCCGCGTTCGTGGGCGTTTTTCTGTGCATGATGTCGTCTTAGCTCGTCGCGTATCGCATGCTGTATTCTCCGGAGGGTTACTCTTTGTTGCGTGCGGCAGAAGGCTAGGAGGACGATGATCCAGACAAATCCGAGGTTCAATCGACGAATAGCCCATGCAGTGAGACAGACAATTACGATTATCTTGGACTCGCGATAAGTTTGTTCAACGGCTTCCAAGACATGGCGCAAATCTGGATATTGGGTAGGGGGGTATGGTTTCCCCATGGTGGACAATGTTCATACAGAGAAATGGTGTTACTGTGCATGGGTAAGATTTGTAGCCATGGCACAGCCATGTTGAGTTTCAATTCAACAGTGAAGCAGCGGGAGTAAGGCGGGCAACCTTGCCTTATAAGTTGGAGAACCATTGATGATGCTGCAGTCGCCTGCAGAATCAATGCATCTCGACACTAGTGGCAATGGAAGGGATGTTTTCCCTCCGAGTATTGTAATTAATTACAATGATACTGGGTGTTCTAATTACAATTGTATTAAAGTAGAACGGAGTTGCCTAGAAGTGACGTTGGCCGAATCGGCAGGTCTATAACAACCCCTTGCCAAGTCCGAGTCTATCGGTATCTTCCGAGAAGGAGCCCGGCAATTTCCCATCTTTTTAAAGATTGTGATACATTACATGTTTTTTCTGCTCTTTTAGTAGATGCTATATAAGGCAATGTTTGTATCACTTATCAGATCAAGGTTTTAGTATATTTGTAGCGTGGTAGTAGATGGTGTCTGGACATGGGCGTTGCGATAATATCTCGGCCGTTACGCCAAAGTGTTGACCAGCACTTGGTATAGGGCTTGACCTGACTGATATCCCCACATAGTATCTTAGATTTGTTGTTTACAGACCTGCCTATCAGAACCCACATCAAGTAACAGGTAACACTGATGAGGTCGAATATTGAGGGACTGATGAGGTCGAATATTGAGGGTATTCATAGTGTCTCGCGTCGGGTCTAGATACTAGGAGTATTAAGCCCTATGCTTCTGACATGCAGAAGAATGCCTCAACTTTGTAAATTTCGTTTGTTATATACCAAGCAAGATATTCGGCTAAATATGGTCCGCTTCCCATAACTGGATGTCTTGATTATATAATGCATTTCGTCCCCGATGTATACACTAGGCATCACTATGATTCATATCTTCAATGTAGCTCCTTTGACAAGAAGATGCTAGCTTATCAGTTCAATTGCCAATATGCATGTTGCATTGGTTGAATAGTACTGCGCACAGTAAATTATAGTATATTATTGCTAACGGTGTTTTTGAAACCCACTCGGTATTATGGGCTCTAGGGTATTCCGGCGTGTACTTTGGAGCTGGTCTTTCTGCATATGGTAATGAATATATCCCTCTAGGGTACAGGAATTGTAAGTCTGTGGGAAATATAGTGCATATTTTAGGCTCTACCGATTGAAAGAGGCTTGCTTATTGGTGGGAAAATCTAAGATGTCCCAAAGTTGGCAGACTACGCTATGGCGTTGTCTAGTGTTGTATTTGATAGCAATTGTTAGGCTGAGATTGGCGACTGGCATCCTGAGGCTTGGGGTCTGGCGGCAACAAGTTGGCTGGGCTGGTTGACAACCGCCAGGAAGCGCCAGGGCGCCAACAGAGCCTGAAGCGGTGACGCTCAGGATCGTGGCATCCCGCTAGTATCTCTCTGTCTTAAAGTAGTTGGGGATGATGTGTGTCAAATCAAAGCTCCCAGCTTGGTACCTAACTTAGCTTCTTGGGTGTCGATCGAAGAATCCCCGCAGACCAGACACCGTCCCCGTTGTCGCTCCCAGACACTCTTCGTTCGACCATGGCATCGGAGTAAACGCCTAGAGTAAAATTATGAGAAAGGATCCACGAGGATATACATGTCAGGCCCGCGAGCAACCCTCAATGGATCTAGAAAATCTTGAATTCGTCGCTCATTCTATGATAACAAAAATATGCCACAGATGATACATTATAAGCATAGCTGATCAATCAACACTCGCTTGTACCTCGCCACCCACTTTGTTCTTCCAAGAGCCAGCATAATGATGCGTAACGAATGCAGGGCCGGTGTTATTTGTTTCGTAGGTATTCATCGACCGTGCTAGCGAATAGCCAGGCAGTATCAAGACATCACCAACCAGCATTGGTTCAAGCAGATGCGAAATTTCCTTGTTGTCAATAGTTTTCTGGAGACTGGATTCCAAGCTCTTAATTACTCCGGTAGTCAATCGTCGAGGCCCGGTAAAATCGACAACGTCCGGAATTATGTCCGTTGTCAGGTCGGGGATAGTGATTTGGCGTTCTTCGGTGATCTGATGCACAGCATCAAGGATATCATCGATCACCATCATTAAGTGCGGGGACTTGGGCTTTGCCATGACCGTCCAGGTTGCAAACTGGCGCATGATGTTATCTCCCCAGCCGACATCAAACTCCCAGCCCACGACAAGATTGACGTCTTTTTTTAGTTCTTGCGGGATCCAGTCCCGGATGGGGGTGTCTTCGCAAGAGACATCGAGATCGTTCCAGACGCCGCCCTTTGAGTAAAGCAGGAGGTAACGGAGGAAGTCGGCCTTGAGGATTGGGATGGGGAGCGCGAGAAAAGTGTCAACGATGTCGGGACGAAAGGCGAAGTTCTCTTGGACGAATAAGTCCCCTGATGAATCTGTCAAGACCTCAGATCGGAAGGTGGGGTTTTTTCGCAGGCAGTCATCCCCCCATTTTCGCGCATCGTCACTTAGTCCATTCGGACCAACTTTATACCAGATAGTCTCCGGTACCCCAGCTGCGACTGAGGTTCCTGGCCATGTGGACCCTGATGCGCCAAGGCCGACCGACAAACTTTTCAAGTCGGCGAAACTTGAGGGGCGGTAGTACAGATAAAGAAAAATAGTAAACAGAACAAACGAGACTGCAATGGATAACTTCAAGATAGGGAGCGACCGATATGAGACCAACATGACTGTGGCTCAAACGCAGAAAAGGATAGGGGAGATTAGCCCGCTTTTAGAGGGCTAAAATTTATGGCGATTACATGTGGGAAAAGAGATGGGCTGGTTGGGGGTCTTTATTTGTCATAAATCGCCCCACCGATGACCAGGAACTAGTCCTGGACCTTATTTATATCACAAGGCGGCCACAGCGTATCTTTGTTGGAGGAGCTAAGAGAACTCGAGTCCATTGGCGCGACTATGGTCAAGCTAAATCGTAGGCTGCATCGGGGGTCGGGGTTGGCCTATCATGACGCTACCGTAACCGCTTCCCCGACATTAGCTCCCGCCTCAAGATCATGGCGAACGTGCGCAGCCGCCGGTTTACTGCCTTAGGGCAAGGCACGTTTACTGGCCCTTTCCTTTGTTTTCTCGCTTGGGCGTCTCCATGACTGACATTTCAATCTGTTCTATCGTCTGTTCTGCCCTTTGCAGCTGCATGCTTCTCTCAGTGACACAGCCGTGGGTGATCGGACAAGATGCTTCACTCGTCGTTTCTTTTGCTTCTAGCAGTTCCGGGTGCCCTTGGAGCATTCAAGTTTATCAATCCACCACCTTTCGAAAAGACGCACGATTTCTCCCTGAACCCAATCTACCCTGAGGGATCAATCCTAAACATAAAATGGAGCGATCAAACGGAAGAGAATACATCGCTCACCCTCTGGCAACTGAACGGAACCCAGTTTATGGAGCCATTTGAGTATCTTACTCGTACGTTGTCATTCCTTCTGCCCAGAAATATTGGCATGAAACTGACTATGCTCTAGAGGATGTGTCGGGTAGTGTGACTTCGTTGAACTGGAAAGTACAGACGACCAAGGACCTTTCTTTCTCGAGCATGTTCTACCTCTCCATCTTTCCCGAGGGGACGACCTCTCCACTGGCAAACAGCCACTATTTCAACATAACCAGCACGAAAAAAGACGATGAACCTAAAGATAAGAGCTCTTCCACCAACTCTCAAAGTGCGACAACGACGGCGACTACCACCACTGCCTCCGCCCCGTTCATAACCGCCGCTCCAACTAGAGCGCCCTCGGGCTCAGCACCGACCCCGGAAGTCAACAACAAAGATGAACATGACGAACCACCGCCCCCTGACCCCCCAAAAGAACCAAAAGAAATGAGCGTTGGAACAAAAGCTGCCATTGGAGTTGGAGCATCTGTCGGTGCCCTCATTCTAATTTGCGTGGCGTGGTTCATTCTCCGCAGAAGGAGACGGGCAAGTGCATCTGCCGCCACATGCAATCACTATTACGAGGGCGAAAAATACGCGCAAAATCTCACGCCTGATCACAGGAGGCTCTCACATCCTGTCGAACTGAGTGGCAGGCCAAGGGTGGCACCACCCACGGTTTTCGAACTCCCAGCGAACTCTTCATTATAACCTTACTTATTCCAGGCAACTGTGTTGTAAATATTCGGAAGGGCTGCGCCCTCGGGATAACCCTAATTCTTGGTTGGCTAGCATGGCTTTTTTCGCATTGCCTGTTTTCTGTTGACTGCTGTAACTAACGAGCGATGATATTCCTTACTGTGCATCTCCCTTTTTCTTTTCTTTTCTCCCATAAGAGTACCATGCTGGTCCATTTAATTTGCCTTGGCAATTGTATTTATATCCTGATCCAAGTGCTCAAATACTGATCCCACAATACTGAGCTTCTAATCTTTATCAACAGAGTGATTTTGAGTGCCACATACATCAACATCCAGCAAAAACCACTAGATCTTATACCATGATACTTATTGAAGATTTTTTATCTAAGTGACAGGTTGTGGGGTCACGCCGGCTCACGATTTCCGGCGTGCCGGCGGACGTGACTTAGGGCTGGGTCAAAGGCTTTCGGGATGAACCATCGCCCACTGGGTTCGACAATACAACTAGTCTTTTCGAAACATACATCGAGATCAACTGAAAATGGATCAACTATATCTTTCCCTGATGAAGATAACTGACCTGCGTTTTTACACCCGATTGACTCGGGATTCTGGAGGTCGGTGAGTCTTGACCCTGACATGAGACTTCATGCCACCAATTAGCTCCTACTGTGAACTGCTCTACCACATCCAAGAGATGCTTCTTTCCATGAACTTGCGCAATAAGCCAATGATGCTGCATTTTGTGCCGGTGATATTCAGATGATGAGTATTGTGTGGTCAAACATTCAAGTGTCCGTAGGCAAGGTCTACCCACACCATATCATCGATCAATGCCACCGTTGTTTGTCTGATATTCCTTGCATGCGATCCCATGCCCGTGCCTTGTCATTATAATGATATTGCCCATCGCATTCGAGATATGAGTGATTCACGTTGATGATTAAACGGTGATGAGTCATCAACCCCGCAAAAGCGGAGGATCATCCGATGGACAAGGAACCACTACAACACCACAACCCCGTTGCCTTATGGGTAGTACCGCCTGTGTTAAGGAGTATATCATGCCCCAATTTGGACCATACTTATGATACACAATGTATTACACACACAGTAGCAATGCCATCTTCGCTACACTCCTAATCCTTGCGACACCACTCTTCTCACATCCATCCCTAACCCGAAGACAGGCCCCATACCATGCTCCTAGCATCCTGGACCACGTCAACCCCCGGGTTGGAACGTATGGGGTCACCCCCAACGGTAACGGGGGTATGATCCCCTCCGTGGCTCCCCCGTTTGCCATGACGCGATGGACACCGCAGACACGCGAGAACTTTATTTCGCAGGTGCCATACGGGGATGCAGATCGTCTGATACACGGGTTCCAAGCTACTCATCAACCGGCCATTTGGATGGGAGAGGCAGGACAGGTCGTGCTGATGCCTGGTGTTGGGGATGTGCGCCCGCTATTTGAGGATCGTGGTCTGATATTCAAAAAAGACGATGAGGTGTCCACGCCTTATGTCTATGAGGTTGAGTTGGATGCTACGTCAAGGCTAGGGAGAGACTGGAATGCGACTGCGGAGGCGGTGGGCGATGGTCCTGATCCAGGCGGTGTTGGGAAAGTTCCGGAGGATGTACAGGATGGGGCTAATGGGCGGGTAAAGAGACAGCATCAGGCTGCGATGCAGACAGATAATGAAGGTGACGAGATGGAAGACACTAGCAATGGAGATACAATCCATGTGAGTATTTTATCTGATCACGAAGTCTGTCTCTGACAAAATACCAGGCCGCCATGTCCGCCGACGCACATACCGGCCATCTTCGCTTCACCTTCAACACCCGTGACCATGCCCGGCCCTACATCTTCATCCAAGCCACCCGCCGCAACTGGACCGGCGAGGTGTCTATCAACCCCGACGCGCGCGAGATCACGGGTTACAACCCTGAACGTCAAGACTATGGAATTGGCCCAGACAAAGCTGCGTCTTTTCGGGGCTACTTCGTCGCGCGATTCTCGCAGCCGTTTGCATCCCACGGCACAACCGCAGGAAACACCACCCACGACGGCGCGAAACACTACCAAGGCAACTTCAGCGGCGCGTACGCTCGCTTCGCGCCCTCCACCAACAAAGTGGAAGTCCGGATCGGGGTCTCGTACGTAAGTATCGACCAGGCACGCACGAATCTCGACCTCGAGATTCCAAACTCGCAGTCTTTCGAGGACACCGTCGAACGCGTCAAAGCCGCATGGCTCGACAAACTCGGTCGCATACGTATATCGGGAGTCAACCGCACAGACGCGGACCACGACCCGCGCACAATCTTCTACACGGCCCTCTTCCACACCTTACAATACCCAAGTGACTTCTCCGAGCCTCTCCCTCCACCATCGAACAACCGCACCTTCTACTCAGGCTACACCGACAGCATTCACACAGCCCCAGACTCCTACTACCAGTCGTGGTCAATATGGGACACCTACCGTGCAGAACATGCACTGCTCACGCTGCTAGCGCCAGAACGCGTAAACAGCATGATGCGCTCCCTGCTCCAGATCTTCACCTGGAGCGGCCGACTCCCCATATGGGCCAACATCGTCGAAACCAACATCATGATAGCGACGCACGTAGACGCTGTTTTAGCTAACGCGCTTACTCGCGGGTTTCGCGGGTTTAATACCACCCTAGCATGGCAAGCCGTTCGAAAGGACGCGTTTGTCCCCCCTCAAGACGATACATCCCTGCTTTACTACGATCGCCAGCCTAATACGTCCTACGAAGCTCGCGCGGGCCTCACTTCCTACGCGAAGCAAGGCTGGGTTTCAAACGATAGGTGGTCCGAGTCTGCCAGTCGCACGCTGGACTATGCGTTTGACGACTACGCGTGTGCTATTGTCGGCGAGCATGTCTCTGGTGCTGACAAAGGGGAGCTTGAAGAGTTACGGGCGCGGAGCAAAAATTATGCGCATGTCTGGAACAACGAGACGCAGTTTATGCGCGCGCGGAATGACAACGGATCTTGGGCACGCGACGCGGACTGGGGCTGGACGGAGGGCGATTCCTGGGTGTACACCTTCGATGTGATGCACGATGTACCGGGTTTGGTTCGGCTGTTCGGCGACAGGGAGGCGCTGTTGGGGAAGCTGGACGAGCATTTTGAAGACGGACATAACGACCACACTAACGAGCCCAGTCACCATGTGCCATACCTCTACTCTGGGCTTGGGGCGCCAAGTCGGGCGGCGGAGAAGATCCGAGCGATCGCGTGGGAGAACCACAACGCGACCAGTGGGGGGCTGAGTGGGAACGAGGATCTGGGCCAGATGAGCGCGTGGTATGTTTTCTCGGCACTGGGGTTCTACCCTGTTGACCCCGCTGGGGATGACTATGTGGTCGGGTCGCCCTTTTTCGAAAGCATCGAGATCATGTGGCCGGATGGGGTTGCGACAGGGGGTGATACTCCCGGCGGAGACACGGATAGAGTTTTGCATATTACTGCGCCTGGGGCTCCGTCGATGCCGTATGTGAGGGGTTTGAGGGTGGATGGGAAGGAAGTCACCGTGCCGATTTTGAAGCATGGCGATATCGTGCAGGCTGCGCGCATTGAGTTTGCGATGAGTGATACTCCGACTTCATGGGGGAATAACGCTGTGTGGTAATGCGTGTCGATGATGTCTTCGCACTGCAAATTATCCCTTCAATGATATATCTCGGGTCCGACCCATGTCCAGTCGGTCACTCCGTGTCTGAGAGCACGGATGTGGATATCCCCCCAGCGTTGGTCTGGACTGTGGCTTGTGGAAAGGATCTTGGCTATCCGATAATTTCCCTCCTGTCAGAGGTATTAATAGCGGACATGAGCCGAAGGCAGCCTTCATGCAGGATATCATAATCCATATCCTGAATCGTCCGGTGGAGCTGCTGGGCGAATTACGGGCTCACGCTTGCATCGGCTTGTCGATCATTACCTGATTCTTTCCTCTCCTTAGCACAGGTCTGAGACACCGGCACAACGGACGTCTCTGGCTCGAATAACAAGGATCGACAAGGTCCTTGTCTCATGTCTCAGTATGACCTTCCATCAATCAAAAGCACTCCCGAAGTTGTACCCAAGAGGGAGCTAAACTCATGATCGACAAGGATAAGCTACGCAGTAGGCAAAACATGGCTGAATAAAACGTGCCAAGCCGCGCCACACCGTTTCACCATACGATTGACCCCATCATTCTGCGACAACCTCCGATGGGGAGGCCATTGCACATAGTCGATTCTCGGGGCAGTTATGCAAATTAGCCGTTTATTTTGGGACCAACGAGCCATGGAGTATATAATTACCAGGGCTTTCTGCGTTCGCCGCAGTTGCAGACAAGGCATTTGTTTCTCGTTTTTGTCCACTCCGTTCTCTCATTTGAAATACTTTCCATTCTTTTTTTGCTAAGGCTGCTGGTTCAGTCAATTTGGTCTGCATCACAAGTCTGCCGATCGTTCCGTTCTTTCTCTTCCTTTCTTTTTACCCCCTAGTCTCTTGACGACCGTGTGCCACTATGGCGTTCTTGCTGGCTCTTGTCGCTGGAACTTCCTTGTTCGGTGCCTCAGTGCAGGCTGCTCAAGGAGTCAGTGGTGCGCCTTTCGGCTTTGCCAACCAAGCAACCGGCGGTGGCGATGCTGTGCCCGCGGCACCGAGCGATATCGCTGAGTTGAAGGAGTGGCTGTCCGATAGCACTCCGCGTGTGATCCTTATCGACAAGGAGTTCGATTTTATTGGCAGCGAAGATACCTGCACAGACTGCGAATGCTGCATTCCCGAGTCCAACACTTGCGGCGATAAAGGTCAGAATGCCATCAAGACCGAGGGATCCGACTGGTGCGGTAGCTATCCGAGCATCAAGTGCACGTATGATAACGCCGGCCTCGCGGGCATGGAGGTTGCCTCGGACAAGTCTATTGTGGGTGTGGGCAGCGAGGGTGTGCTTAAGGGCAAGGGTCTGCGTCTGGTCAATGGTGCCGAAAACGTCATCATCCAGAACATCCACATCACGAACCTGAACCCTCAGTATATCTGGGGCGGCGATGCCATCTCGTTGGATGGCACTGACAACATCTGGATCGATCACGTCAAGGTGTCCCTGGTTGGTCGCCAGATGTTCGTGTCTGGTTTCAAGTCCAGTATGTATTGCCGATGCTTAGTCCAAGCCTTATGGCCTCAAAGAGTGCTAACCCGGTGAACCCACAGGCGGCAGCGTGACTATCTCTAACAGCGAATTCGACGGCCAAACCGAGTGGTCATCTTCGTGCGATGGCAACCATTACTGGACAGTGTAAGTTTCCATGCCTCAGGTTTATCTTGATTATCATGTCTCACATTCACAACAGGCTTGGTCTTGGAAAAGGAGACAAGGTCACCTTTGCCAACAACTTCATCCACCACACCTCCGGCCGTTCCCCCAAGCTCGAGTACGACAGCCACTGGCACGCTTACAACAACTACTGGTCCAGCAACACTGGCCACGCTTTCGACGTCGGCGAGGGTGCCAATGTTCTCATTGAGGGCAACGTCTTCGAACAGGTCGACACTCCCTTCCAGGATGAGAGCAAGCCGGGCGCCAGCTTTGCTGTCGGTTCGAGCGAACAGTCATCTGCCTGCGAGTCTGCTCTAGGCCGGGCTTGTGTTGCCAACGTCCTCACTCAGTCAGGTGAATTGTCTGCCAGTGATGACTCTGTTCTCTCCAACTGGCCATCCGGCGAGGGTGAGATCACTGTTGCCGATGTCAGCGAGGTGAAGTCGCTGGTCAAAGCCAATGCTGGCGTTGGAAAGCTGGCATCGTCGGCCAACCTTGCCAAGCGCGTTCTCCCCCCGGGCGGTCCGAACTTTCTTCCTCCCTCGGAGGGTGGCCTAGGAGCTGACGGATTCCCCGTTCCGCCAACCTCAACTTGGACGACCGTCACCAGAACCCCCACTCCCACGCCTACTAGAACTCCTACTCCCACCCGCACCCCGACCCCCACCAGCACGCCCACCCCCTCTGGCAAGCCCACCTCAGGAGCGTTGCCCGGTTTCAGCTGGGTTGGTTGGTAAAGGGAGTTGGAATATAGTAGATCAGTTCTCTCTTTCCCACTGGGAATCATATCCGATGTATGAATAATCAACCTTCCAGCGGCAAATTCCTTGAGTGTTGATACTTCCATTCAATGTATATCACTTCCTTGGCCAATTTTTAGGTTGTTAGAAGCTCACAATATATAATAATCTACTCAAGTGGATATTAAGTGGCGTGAGATCAAGCCTCGAAATCAGGGGTTATTCTGTCGTAGTCCTCAAAGAATATATATCTCGGATGTACTGGATAACTAAACAAGTCGGGTGGACGGAGCTGTCATGTACGCGCGATGCCGTTGTCTAGTATCGCGAGAAGAAAGTGGGAGAAGAGAGAAAAAGAGAGGCAAGTCATAAAGTGAAATAGGAGATTATTGCCTGTCAAAGAACTCCGAGCAGGTGACCACCCCGTGATCACAGATCAACCTACTTCGACTTCCATTTTCCTCCATTTTCCTCCATCTTTCTTCCACTCACTTCCATAATCCGTGATAAACCTACAACTCGGTCTTTCGCCCTTCTGATCTTTCTTTTCTTGACTTCATTTCGTTCTTTTTTGTCCACCATGTACATGTCCCAATTCTTCCAAGGGGACCGACGCATAGAGCGTTAGGCAATGAGTTAACAGTACTAACGTTGATTGAACTATGCGATTCCCAGAGCCCCTCCCCATATCACCCAGTCTCTCAGCCACATGACCTCTGGTGTACAGAGTAAGGCTCGTGGAACGGGGGATCTCCTTTCGGGCGGACCATTGGGTAATCAGCCAATTCAAGGTGCAGCAGCCACATATCGATAAACGGCGCATAACCCAATCACAGCCCTGGGGTCGATCGGGCTCAGCTCGAACTACCATTGAAGCGGCTGTATTTAGACACCGTTACATCCCGTTGGACTATTGTGGGGCAGTTAATGCACTGGACCGAGGAACTGCTGATGTTGACGAAAGACTGGATGGCATGTGGTTCTTCTTGTGCGCGTCCAATGTTGGGACAACCACGCTCACGCCGGCCACGCGGCTCTCTGTAAGGGGAGAGCTTTTTGGTTGCCCTACACTGACGAAAGTCAGGGTCTCTCCTATCCCTCAGGCGTGGTTACTAGTGGAGCTGATCACCTTCTACCCAATTGGAAGGGCAGGTCTCTCATACCGCCATTTGCGACGATCTCATGCCCGACCTGGCAAAAGGGTTCGTAGATCCCTGCAAGCTCCCAACCTGGCGAGGCGAGGGGAAAACAGTCTTACGATGCCTTTCAAAAACACACCTTTTTGATCCTTCAATCCCAGCTGGCAGCAGAAAAGCGTGATTGAATGGCAGAAGGTTATGGGTCTTAATTCCGACATCTGGATTTTCACCCTTGTACAAGACCATCCAGTGGTTGGTCCGCGTCCGAGACAAATGACGCTTTGACAGGCGCCGGCCTCGACCTTGGCGAGACAGAGAGTGGGCACGTTTGACCTATCACAAGTGGGTCCCACATTCCCCACGACCTAGCGATCTGCCGGAGGACTCTGTGCGGCTAGCCCCTGTCATGCGCTTTGAAAAATCAAAGAATGGGCAGTGGTCAGACCAGCGGGACAATGGGTAGGGCTCATCCAGAATTTGGCCATTCTTTGGAAATGGAACTCCTCGAGCAGACAAGGGAGGGAAATGGCCATTTTCATGGCCGCTGGATAGTCCAATCCTTTGGAGCCTTGGTGCAATCCCAACGACCATCATCTGTGGGTACTAGGCAGTCACCAGCCGCCATGCATAACGGACTCGCAACTAGTGTGACCGGGGCCAAAATTTCTTTGTTTTTTCTTTGGTGCAACAGGCACCCGCTTCTGTCAGCTACATAGGCTCTGACTGGACACCCACAATAAACTTTGTGTGGCCACCGGCCGTGCTGCAGCTGGCTGTCAGCTTTAGGATTATTATTATCCTTCTTTCCTAACATTTGGCACTAGTCTCAAGCCCCCCTCACCCAAGAAACCTCGCCTTCACGTCCTTAATCCCCCTCCAAAGTTATCAGCGAACAACACCGAGAATGAGCGATCACCAAGATGCGGACCCTCAACACAAAGATCCGCCAGGTATCACTGCAGCTAAGCCTGGTACACGAAAGAAAATTCGACCCACATATTCATGTTTAAATTGTCATAAACGCAAAGTCAAGGTACTTTACCCACTACCCGCGCGGGTGCCATCACGACCGTCCGCTTGGGCGCGTTCCTGGATCGAACTACGCACTGACGCTGCGATTCTTCATAGTGCGACCGAGTCAAGCCATGCGGAGCATGTTGTTTACGGGGAACACCCTCCGAGTGCGAATATGGCACCAGCAAGCGGGACCGCCATTATATCCAGCAATCCACCCTGATCGAAAACCTAGTGGAAACTTGCGAGTCCCTGAAAGACCAGCTCGCGGAGGCTCGAAAGCTTGCCAACCTCCCGCCAATCAAATATGAGGACGTCGCGACGGGGGAACGCTCGATCTATCAGATTAAGCGGATCGATGAGGACAATGCTCTGGAAGGTGACGACCTTGCAGACAACCATACGAGCTGCCAGGAACAAAGTTATTCGGATACAACACCCGATGTTGAGACTTCCGTCGAGCTATCGAGACAAAGTAGGTGGTGTCCTCATCATCAACATGCCTCCTTTGGTCCCGACCTGCCATTTGATCTTGTCATGCGTCCTCTCCTGGCGGACTGGTTTTCCGCTGACACGTTGTAGCCAAGGAGTCTTCCCCACCGATGTTGAAAGAAAAAAAACATTTGGTTGACCCGACACTGGCCGGCTCAGTGATGGAATTATTTGTCGAGCGTCTGATAACCACCTTTAGTCCGGAAGACCACACCAAATATGGCGGAACCATCGCCCTGCGCGAAGCCTCAGGGATGCGAGTCTTTTCTCCCTTTCTATGCAATGCTTTCGAGGCAGCCTCCCTCACAGTCGCCGGGCGACGGAGTCAAAATCGAAGCATCGAGGTTGCGGGACATTCACGCTACGTCCGAACTCTTCGGCAGCTGCAAAAAGCCTTGTATGATCCTAAGGATAGCAAATCCACCGAGGTTCTCGTTGTAGTGTTGCTGGCAACCATTGTTGAGGTATGTGTATCGATTGCTTTTCTCGCGTCCCTGCTAATACGGCCTAGGCATTCAAGCAAACGGCGAAAGACTCAATCTTTCGACATCAGGTGGGCGGTTTGGCACTACTCCGCAGTCGCACGCCATTCCGACATCGCTATGGACTCGAGCGATCGTTATTTGTGGACCTTCGATTATACTGGGTATGGATCTTTTGGCTGGTTTTCTTCTTCAAGAACCACACAACGGACTGACCAAAAACGCAGGTCACTGCTGCACTCGTCCAACGGCAGCCGACGTTTATGGCCTCGAAAGAATGGTTGACAGTCCCTTGGGCCGGGAATGCGCCCGCAAAGGATATCTTACATCGACTCTTAGACGTCGCAGTTGACATTCCGGAGTATCTATCCCGAGTCGATGAATTCTCAACACGGTTACTGTCGGGTGACATCCCATCCGCGGACCTTGCAGTCAGCCAAAGCCAACTTTGGGAGCAAGCTTCGGAACTGCAAAACCGACTCCACGCCTGGAAGACTGTATACGCCGATACCTACCCGCCGGGAACGCCGCTCGAGGATTTTGACAGTCCCTCTCCTGACGAATTCCCGGTTTTCCGCTGGCGCAACCCGCTTACGCTGCAAACCCTACCAGCAAAGATTCTCATCTTCCCCGACATCCTTATGGCCACCTCTCTCTGCTTCTATTGGGCCTTGAGCCTGGTTGTCTCCGGCACCGATGGCGGCCTTATCAGCGTTCTTAGCCTGCAAGAGCGCTACCAGTTCGGGTGTAACATCTGCCGCAGCATGAAGTACTACATTCAAAGCATCCCGGGGTGTCTCGTTTCGCGCATCATGTTCGTTCTGCGCGCCGCATTTGACAGCTTCGCCGACGGTATGGTAGAGAAGGAGTTCATGAGAGACTTGTTCCAGCATATTGGGAAAAGGTTCAACTTTCCAGTGTTCACGAACGAATGTACCTCTTCGTCGGTGCAAGCGGTGCCCGAATGACATCAACCTTTCTTCTCGTTTTTACTTTTTCCTAATTGGCTTTTTGCTTTTTTTCATCTCATTCAATTTCGTTCTATTCCCGTTCGAAGCGATCCACTTGCGGGCCCGGTCTGTGCTGTCCTTGGTGAATGCGGAGTTTTTTATCATTGGTGTATAAACCTTGATCTACCGTCCGAGGCGATCATCCCATTAATGTCCATTTTATTACCTACGTCACTAATCAATGCTGTCACAAGATCGGTCTCTTGGTAGACTGTTGTGTATTATCTACTTGTACATACTCATATTTTCGGTTTCTGATGCCATTAACAAGCGAATCCCACGCGTCATTAATGTATCGGTAGTGTTTCTACTCGCCAGGAGAATCGGCTATGTACAGGGAAAACCATGATCTAAGTTTCCGTTCCTCTAATCCTTCATCTCATGTCGATCGGTACCCGACCGTTTAGAGCATCCATGCCAGCTGTCATCTGGACCTGACTAGGCAATCCAACCCGTATTCCCGGTAAGTGTCCAAATCTAGACTGCCTCCCAAACCGCCTATCACCGGTGTCCCGGCGCGCGCGAAATGGAGTGTATCCGACTGTCTCTGTCGCAGCGACCATGGCATAGAAGAGCCACGTGGTAGATATGTCCAACGATGCGATCGACGTCTACCGACCCCAGGACAGTCAGATGGAGCGAGTTGCAGGTCATTAATCACCAAATCCAAGGAAGCAGGCTGGAGCTTTCAGCGGGGAGTTGGACTTGGCAGTCTACCACTCTTGGACGATAAATCTCAGTTTACCTCTGTTGTGTTGGACATTTGCACAGCGTAGTAGACGACAAGCGTCACCGAGATTGTGGGATCTTCTTCGGGGAGCAGTAGTAGTGATTTTCTCAACCGAGATAATTGTATCGGCGTAAATGGTAATACCCCGAGGGTAGTGAGTGATTGATGAACCAAATCAAGCACCAGCTTTGCGGGCATATCGCGGGACGTCGATCGTGAACCCGACCTCGGGGTCAACGGGGAGCCAGTTCGCTGTTAGACGGGTGCTTCCGTCTGGCATTTCGAGAAGGTTATCGTTGTTGTTGTTGTTGTTGTTGGCATTACTTTGAGCCGGCAGTAGCGGATGACCCAGAGACTGGGAATTAGAAAGCGAAGCAACGGCCACATCCGACATGGGAAACGGCTCGCCGGGAACACCGTAATAAATGTCGTCGTAACCAGGGTACGAGAAATGGCTTGTGTCGGGGGAGCTGCAGGGGTCGAGATCGTCAAACGCGAGAAGAGGAGGCGGGGAGTGGTGTAGCGTCGTGTGCGACTGTACTTGTGCTGTGGGGCTACCCGTATTGTTGTTGCTGCCGTCGATGTTAGGATTGGTGGCGGTGCTCATGAACAACGCACGCTCGGCAGCTAGCGGGGAGGCTGATTGTAGTAGGTCGTTCAAGCCCTGCTCATTTGGAAAGGTGGGGAGGTCTGTGAAACTGTGGAATAGTTAGTGGGGGTCTGGGTGTTGTTGGTGACCAAGTTGGCGGTTACGTACAGTGGTGGTGGTGGTTGCTGATGATGGTATTTACCCGAGTCGGCACTTGCGACTCCCATCATCTCCAGTGTGGGAAATATGTTGCCCTCGTTTGATGGTAACTTCCCCATTCCATGGCTCTGCGAGTTCAACAATTGCAACACGTCTAGGTCCAGCCCGCTCATCAAGCCATCGTTGAGAAAGTCTTCATCGTTCGGGAAGCCGGCCTCCAGATGGAGCGTGTGGTCGTTCATCGGGTCGGGGAAGTGTCCGTTGGGGACACCGTATGGTAGATTTGTGTAGTTCATGGTGTTGTTAGAGGTGTTAGGTCGCGAGAGTATTGCTTCCTGTATCAGGACAATATCATGATAGCGCTGTTGGGAAGCGTCGATTTGCGCGATGCGACTCATGTAGCAGATTTCGCGAGTATGTGTGTTGAATCTACACAGAAAGAAAAAAATTGAATGCGGTTCAACCAAGCTATGAAGGGAGAGGGGTCTTAAATATAACATCTACCTAGTCGACAACAATCCCCATCAGTATTTTCTGCACTCCGTCCAACCGAAGGGTAATATGATGACGATCCGAGCTGCAGCTCCAAATTAAGCCAACCGACCGCCCAAAGCATCACATACTCCGAGTGGAGAATTGAGATGCGTCGGCAGATGTGATGGTGAGATATTTACCGATCAGATGACACTGGTGTTTTACCTTGTCGGGCGGTTATTTCCGCGACGAACTTTAAGCCTGGCCTATACGAGCATCCTGCGCGCCATGTGGAGAAGCTCGCCAATTTAACCGAACCCCGGATTTTGCCCACGATGCTCGCCTGTATGCGCCTGGGCATGTGAGAAATTAACCGACGTCGATGACTCGGCCCGATCTAGGCGTCGGCAACAAGCACCTTGTCCACATTAATCTCCAGCTTGATTAACAGGTGGCAAACCTGCATCTGGTCATTGTGATAGACATCCTGTAATTAATAAGGGATTACTCTACGGGGGGATAAATACTGAACGTGGTGATCAACAATATAATTCAAACGAAGCTAGTCGACCATAATGCGTTTGCCATCGTATGCCCGGCAACCTTGAGGCAAGTACTGGTCCAGAAGAGACACCAGTTCTTCATGGACACATTGACGAACCCATTATAGCCTAGTAATCTCGGCAAGTTGGTCAGCTGTGCCGGCATGGGATCCGGGGTCATCGGGATCGAACTCCGCGGGGAAGCTGCTCGACTAGGACTAAGCGCGGTGGAGTGGTAGATACCGTTCAACTTTATTCTGATCGACGAATACACAAGACATCTAGATGGGGTTGAACCGAGTGGGCTTGTCAAGGTTATGTCTGGCCCCGCTTATTCGGAGTATTGCCTTGATCCTCTAGTGCCCGAGCACTTTGAGAACCAAATCTCATGAGCGTGTGGTTAGAAGCAGGGAGATGAAGAAATTGATAATATGCTTGATATAGATGCACCTGCCAAGGCAATATCCACAGATCAGCTCCAGCACTAGTACTGCGTAAGTAGCTTCCTAGTGATCTATGGTTCCTCCTATGAGCTTATTGCGATTTCCACCCCCCCAGCACTTTCTTGTCACTCGGCTGGATGGCACCCTTTTCTACAGTGGATTCCACTACTGATTTACCCTTCGGTGGGTCTATACAAGGCTTCTGAGTCCCTATGTTGAGACTTGGACGTTTACTACTGTCTATCCACTCGCTATGGCTTAAGCAGTTGCTTCGATATCTACTTCCCGAAAGGCCCTAGTAATTATGGGAGAGTGAAACATGATTCGCTTTTTGCATAATAATGCCCAACCACACCAGGTCAGCGTCTGATCGCAGAACTAGCTTAATGAACACAAATTGACCATGATCCAGCTTGTCGTCATTACATAATGCTGACGACAAGAGCTGCTCCTGCGACCCACCACCCGGCTACTGAAAAAGCTCCCTCGAAATCACCCTTGAAGACCGCCCAGAATATTGCAAACGACAAACTTGGAAGAAAGACCACGAGGCCGACGATAAACCACATTTTGGACTTATTCCAGCCTTCTGTCAAGTAGATCCCCCACGCTTCTCTCGGCGGGCCACCCTTTGGCTTGAGGGCTCCGTGGGCCCTTTTGGGTAGCCCCTCAAAGGCCCACGTATGGCCAGGTTTCAACTTCTCGGGATATCGAAACATACTCACTAAAAGATTGGATCCGATAGGCGGCGCGAGCTTGGGTGGTATCGGGTAGTATCGATATTCTGGATTTGGGTCTGCAGTGTCAATCGCTGGTATGCATCTACAGGGTATTCCGATTTCGCAGATCTCCCCGTGGTCTCGGATGTCAAGACACCCATCGTCACAATACAGAAACTTATTGTTAAGATAATCAGTGTTGTGAAACAGAAACGCTGTCAATGATTCAACTCACTTTGACAAACCGGATGCTGACGACTCGTCTCAGATACCAGAATGAGCCGAATCCCGTTTTATGCCCGTCATAAATGCGTTGCAAAGCTTGAAACAACTGTCTGTTATCCATGACAAGTGGTAGAGCCTCTTGGTGAAGTTGGACATGGTACCACCCCCTTTCCAGGCACATGAACAGGTGAAGAATGCTATTTGGCGATCCAGCAGGCTCCATGTCGAGAGTAACATCTTGAACCCCGAAATTTCCGCCAGTGTTGTCCAGCTCATCGACAGTGCCTCGAGGATATGAGGCTTGGGATGAGACTAGACCGAAATTGTGGCGGAAAATATTGGAAATGTGAGAAAGTACGTAGCGCCCGATGCCCCCAGGGGCATCATTCCTGTCATATGTCGATTGATCTAGGCGCTCTTTCAAAGCATCCAAGGCACCCGGTTCGAGTTCCACATAGTCGTCATAGAGCCATCTGCCGCTTGACTTTATACCACATATAAATTAGTCTTCGAATTCCTGATAAAAAGTTACAGTAGAAAGACTCACATCTTGCCATCGAATTCTTTTATGGTTCGCAGGAATGGGTCGCTCTAGTAAACCCAGCATTCTGAGAATCGTGCTCCTAATTTGATAAAGTCTTGCTGGAAAATGTTAATAGACTGGTATCATAAGCTGGGGATTGGCTTCATTACTTAAAATCTCCTCTTCTCTCTCCGAGCAGGGCTGGTCACTGGGGTTGCTGGTGATTTGAAAGCAGCTGTATAAGACACCAGGCAACATCTTCATCAACAAGATGTTTGGATATCAATATGGGTACTGATAGATGGTTTCCTCGCAAGTAATATCTAGTTACCTAGTAAACAGTAAACTGATTCGTGGTGAGAGGTGGGGCGGAAGTGAGAGGTGGGGCAGAAGTGAGAGATGGACTGAGACGGGAGGCAGGACCCAACCAGACACGGAAAGATCTACCAACACCAAGTGCCATCACGTGATTCTACAGTGACGGTAGGATGTCGACATACTGATGACACGGAATGTTGAGGTCGGATGTATGATACTAAAATATCAGTCATATCATTCCTGACCAAATTGCCAAACCTTATCCTTTTAATCGAGTGGTCATCTTCTTCGATAGTCACTGCATACATCGAAACATCCATTTATAACTCTTCCTAAAACAACCAACACCAAACCAATACAAACCCAAGCGTAGACACGTCTAAAAGGGTAAATTACCCATCTACAAGATACCTATTCTACTAGGATACAGCAGTTCGCCCCCGATCGGCGAACGCGGAGAAGCTATACAAGGGTTCAATCTTGGCAGGCGAGAGGCGAGGTGTTTCAGTTAAGTATATTCACGAGCCACAAGGCTGTCAAACAGGCTTACTTTTCGTAAGCGAAGTTTGAGAATCAAACCAAACCCTGATCTGAGGTTAGTGGGGGAAAAAGGTAGATCGGCTATCCTCATCTGCCGACGTGTGGTTTAATTTCGGTTTATGCGGGGTGATAGGAGGAGCATGTATGCCGCTAGTTCGTAGATAAATCGATCGGTGTGTCAGGTTCGTTGATCTGGACTCCTTGGTTAATATACTACTGCTTGTTTTGGTCATGCTGTGCTCGCTTGGGGTGTTAGTGTCTATGTTATACTTCGTAGTGCAGGGTAACTTCGGATCATGTTGATTATAATACACTAATATACAAGTTATACCGAGGCGATATATCCAGTCCGGCGGGGACAAGTCAAAGCGCCAGTCCCGTCCCTTTTCGCGTCCATCGGTACAGAGCAAGAACAGCCTTGCGACGATGGCGAATCTCGCTGTGATTGACAGGCCGACCGCGCGCCTGGGCGACGGCACTGCGCATGACTTGGCGGAAATTGCGCTGGTACTCTGTGTTAAGCGTGACGACGCACGATTCAGTCGCGCGGATCATGACCTCGCATGCGTTGAGGATGCCCTCGCCTGCTTCCTTTTGGAGACGCTCGACGATTAGGAGGAGGAGAAAGCTGCCTTGGAGGAGTTGGATGCCAAAGAAATACGGCATGAAGCTGATGTCTGGATCGTAGCGGAGGATCTGGTCGACGGAGTCGGCTGCGTCGAGCGCGTGTGAGATTGTGGATGCGAAGGCTGGAGAGGAGGTCCAGAAGTCTTTGTCTTCGATTAGGGAGACGGGGTCCCATTTGCCGACGAGGAGGATGTGGAGGACGTGGACTAGGTATGAGGCGTAGGAGATGACGGTTTGCGTGTGCCAGGAGTAGGCCTGCGCCAGGGCTGGGTCGACTGGCAGGGCGTCTGGCTTGGATGTGGGGTATGTGGCTGGGAGTAAGGTTGAGGTATCGACTGTGGTGGCTGCGAAGGTGGTCAGACTTGCTTTGTAGATCTCGAGCTGGCCCAGGACTTCGTTGAGGTGCACGTCCCAGGCGTCTTTGCCGTGTAGGCGGACGCCGAGCATTGGGTGGTTGCGCGCTTGGTTGAGGTCGATCAGTTCTCCGGTGATTGTCATCAGAGGCAGGAAAAATCCGAAGATCGAGTGGTCGTGGCAGATGAAGTTGGGGAACACGCGACGCCTGTTTTTGACGCCTGAAAGCGCACACTGCGGTCCGTCCGGTTTGGGACTGTTGCTGTGGATGTTTCCCGCCTGCCATGACCCTTCGTCGAGCGGCAGGAGGAGGTCCTCGCTCTCGGCGTCTAGCAGAGCCAGTGGTCGATTATAACACAAAGCTAGATGGCGGTCCATTATGTATAAAAGCCACCATGCCCGACGACGCTCCTCGCGGTATTCCTCGTTGATGGTCGCACCGGACGCAGTGGTGCGGTCGCACACGCAGTTAAGGCACGATCGGGCTGGGTTGGCATGGTCGAAAAAGGGACCGGTATCGACCCCGTCCCATCCAGAGAGCGAATAATCGACCGACGGGCTGGAGTCCTCGGGGTGGTTGTCAACACTGGGCATGACATCAATCTCCTGGTTGAGTTTGAGCTCCCGAGCCAACGTGAAGGCCGCATGCCACCTATTCCCGTTAGTCTAACCGTCAAGACGAAACGCTGGGTCGTACTCACCAGCGCATGCTGGCTGCCTTTTGTTCGCTCGATGAGATGATCGATGCCACATGAACATAGGTAATCACATCGTCTAGAGAGCCGGCGGGACCAACTAAGCCCCAGTCATCACCACGGCCTTCGAACGAGTGGTGCACGGTGGGAGGCGGGCCTTCCGGCGCCACTCCCGCAGCAGCACCCGGAGTACTCGTGCTATTTCCGGCCTGATCCTTGAAGGAGACGTGAATCAACGGCCGGAGCAAATGGATCGTCAGCGCGCAGAGGAACTGGCATATTTTCTTGCGTTGCGGAGGGGAAATCGGGAGCGCGAAGGCCCGATCGTCGAGCGCGGCCACCCAGAGCATACTCGCCAGGAGCGCTGGACTGCTGGCGCGATAATTTTCGCGAGTCAGAAAAGACGCCTTTCGTAGCACATAACAGTGTATATGGTGGCACACGGGGTGCATGTAGGTTGAAAACGCGCTGGTAAAATAAAGTTCGAGGAGGTCGAACACTAACCGCCGGGGCAGGTTCGCCTCCACGTAGGGCATGAGGGGCTGCAGCACAGGGTACTTGAGGGAGGTGGCCTGCCCTCCCGCCGACTGACTCGTCTTTGATTTGTTCGAAGTGGGAGCGCCGCCGGCTGCCAGATCGACCCCATTCCACATCTCCAGCACTCGGTGCGGCGCGTCGTCCAGAAGCCCCGAAGCTCTCAAATCTTCGTAGGCTCCAGGAGATACATGAGCCCCGGACAGCCATTCCTCCGTCACATTACCACGCACTCTAGGCCGAGTGGAAGGTAAGGACGTGCTTGCCTGGGAGCGTCGCTCGTCGACGCTCTGGACAGACATGGTCACATCGTTCGTGACGGGCGAGCGATGATGGAAGCTCAGCGACGGGGAGTTTACATTCGCTGCCGGTGTAGCCACCGCGTCGGCACCGACAACTGCCGGTATCCTATCATTTCTCATCGGAGCCGCGGAAGGCTCTGGAGGTGGCGCCTTTTCCACTCTCACCTCTGTCTGTGCTATCTTCGGCCGTGCAATACGTCCGCGCTTGCGACGTTCGCGAGTAAACTGGCAGTGAACATCGCTTCGAAGGCACCGAGAACACGGGAAAGCGCGATCGCATCTTACCCGTCGCGAGTGGCAGGAATCACAGGCAATTCGATTGCGCCTCCACCGTCGCTTGCCGACCGCGCTCGGAGAGTCGTCCGTGGGGCTTTCGGCAGTAACGCCGGCGGGTTCGTCCCCGGGCTGGGTTAAATCCATTTCAGGTCGGCATTGGCAGGATTTCGCGGCGAAAAGAAGAGAGATAGGTGAATCGAATAAAATAGAGAACACCAACGAATGAGCGAGACTACGAAGCAGTATCGACGATATAGGACGACCGATTAATGCGCCAGACCGACCGCGGGTCTAGAACCGTAGCAATTCAAGCCGTAGTCCGTGTCGCACAGGGAAGGCTGTCTTCGGCAGAGGAGTTTATCCAATGATGGACCAGGGTAGATGTCAGAAAATAGACCATAAGACCGGACGTAAGGAAGATCATCAAAGCGACAGCCAGGAGGGAAGGACGAAAGCTATATACGGGTTGTTCGATGGAGAAAGAATCAGGAATGGTGGGGAACCGCCGGACGGGCTCAATGGGGATTAGCGGGGGATGCCTGAGCACACCCGCTGGAGATAAAATTCTCCGTAAGTCCGTCTCCTGGGGGGAAATAACTACTGCTACTTCGATCCTTTTCCTGGAACACAATAGCTAATATGGATGTCCGATGAATAGACTCCATGCTGTGGGGTTCAAATTGCTCATTCTAACAATAGGTCTTGTCTATACATAGGACACGACTTTCATAGGTGACCCCATGATGTATTGTTTTGGCTGTCCAAACGATCATCTTCTCACAGCTCATGGTCATACTGCCACTCATCAGACTCTCCAAACGATTTCAGTTTGGGCTGAGGCAAGTTGTTCTTGTACAGACAGGGTACTTCCTCCACCTTGAACGGAATGCACTGGCGAGGATTGTCGCTATCACCCACGGCTTGTTGGCCCGGGCAAACACCACGGATACCCTGGGAATCCGCTGCAAGGCAAATGCCACAACCTTCCGATGTGCACCATTTCTTCGCGGTGAAGAATTTGACATGTTTTGCGTCCTTGCACGGTTGGTAATGACCTCCGGTGCAAACGAACCATGGGCCGTTGTCCTTCCAATTGAGCCACCCGATCACGTCATGGAGCACAAACTTCCCATCGGACTTGACGGTTCCGCCTGGTGAGCAGTCGGTGGTGCTGTGGCACACGCGGAACTGCCACACAGGAGACTGGTCGGACTTGGCGATGCGGTAATCCTTGTTGTCGTACAGGGCCAGCGGGAAGCCCGTGAGGGCGCTGATCAAACGGTAACATTTGCCGTACTCGATGCCCATGTCGTGTTCATCCGGAGGGCAGACCTGGCGTGCGCACTCTTTGGGATCCGGCTTGGGTGGGTTGGGTCCTGGACTGGGACGTGGGCCGGGGCCGGGGCATGGGCCAGGACTCGGCTTGGGGTCTGGGTTGGGTCCTGGGCCGGGGCCGGGGCAGGGACAAGGGCTAGGGCTGGGGCTCGGCTTGGGGTCCGGCATGTGACACACCCCATCCCAGAAGCCAATGGCAGTGGCCTCGCAGCAGGAGGACTTGCCGGAGTTGGGGTCGACGAACAAGTCGTGCTTGGGTTCTCCTTTCGGGCAGCAGTCGACGGCGTTGAAGGTGGCATTCACGCTGAGGAACTTGTTGTCGCCGCAGCACATGCCCTTCTTTACTTTCTCGCTGTATTCAAAGTGGGTGTCGGCCGGGCAGCATTCCATGATGCCTGTGAGAGGGTCCCGGTACGGGGTTTCCTTTCGCGTCATGCATCTGAAGTTCGCACACCCCCTGCACTCCTGGGAGTCGGCGATGTATTGCTTGCAAAGCCATCCTTTTCCCCACTCCTCCTCGCACATCTTGTCGCACTGCTCTTCTGTTCCACAATTTGTGGACGATTGCGAAGCCGCTCGCGCGGCAAGGAGGGCCGCGCACCAGATGGCCACACGCATTATGAAAGACGGTATCAACAAATGGGAGAGTGTAGAGTGCAGGTCGACTTCTAGTCGTATTCGACTTGGAAGATTCTTGCCGATTGAGTTGAGGTGAACGGGCTGCTGGGCTGGTATTTATACCTTCGTGGCAAGTCTATCTCGCTCGATCCGGCGAATTCAATGCCTAGAACGATGGAGTATCAATGAGCATCGCCTTTGCACTTCATCTGATGTCACTGCACGGCGGAAGCTCGGGATGGATTACGGCCGTTGCTTCGCTAAACTCGGAACGCAACAACCACACTTGCCGACGATCAATTCATTGGCAGTGGGCTGAAGATCCACGATACCTCGAATAATACCCTGGAAAGTGGATGAAGAGGGGCTCGACCGTGAAGATTACGTATGGGTTGGAGATGTTCTCCGCTCTTTCGGGACATACTACGTTTAATTGACTCAATTGTGGAATTCGTTCTGCTCGAGGACCATTGCAGTTGGTACTCAAGAAGTATTATGAGTGGAAATTGAGGTACTCTACCACCTGTTACGAACATATTCAGGGACATGCTCCATCGCGGCTCGGCCAATCGGAAATCCCGCTGGGTCGATGGATCCTTGCAACTGTTGCAATGAGAGTTCGGCCGAAATGCTAGATCTATAACGAACACTTCATACACAACAAAAGAATCTCCGCGAAATTCAAAAAGAATCAGTCCCGTTTTCTATAGAGCTGCTGGTATGTCACCTATGACGACACTGGGCTCCGGAATAGAAACGTTTGTGTCGGGAAGTCCAAAACACACCCTGGAGGGCGACCCTCCCAGCTCATGTAAACATATGGGACGAAAGAAAAGAGGCCATGAAATGGCATCCAATAACGCACTGAAGATATAAAGATATTAACAGCCAAGAGCCCAGCTAGATGTGCAACCTTTGAAGTATTCTCACCACCTCATTCACCGACCGATCAACTGTTGGTCTACACCTGCATCGAAATGTCAAGCATCTCCCGCTGAACACGAACACCGACAATCATCTCAGGGCCCCTCGGAAGTATGTTCCAAACGGTAATCTCATTCAAATTACAACGGAAAGCCTTGAGCCTGGTCAAAGTAACACGACAACTGTAGGTTACATGTGGCCACTTCACACGTGACATCTGAAATGAGTGGACTTCAAACAAGGCAGAGTTGCGTAGATAGAGTTACTAAGAAATTCTGACACCAGAATCAGTCAGAAATGTCCTTCCCCGCACATTCGCAGATACGAATCTGAATCTGCATCAAAACTCCATCCACACCCACACACAGCTACGCACTATAGAATGATCGGCAGCCAGATCTCCTCGTTTCCCCCCGCTTCCGGCCAGGTCCGCTTCCAACCAGATGGGCGGAGTCCCTTAGCGCGGGCGGTAAGAGTGGATCCCATTCCCCAGTGGAGCTGACCCATTAAGGTTAACACAAGAATGAGCTCTGGTCTTGAGTGAGAGTCAGGAAATTTCTCAAAATTCTACCAGTCAATTGAGTTACTAAATGCTCATCCCACAAGGTTGAATAAACTAAATCCATACCTGGTTTCGAAATAAACAACAAGCTATCAGGAATCGTCCGGCCTCATTTCCTTCCATCTCGAATAAACAAACATGCCCGCAATTTACTCTTGTTTCTCGCTGAGCTCCTTGACAACAGACGATTCATATCCTGCAGAAGTTGACGTCGACGCCCAGGAAGTAGACCAGACGAATGACTGCTTGGTTTCTCCTTTATCTTCAACTGAGATCAGGAGATCTATAACAGCGATAAAGATATATGCCCCTGTTCCAGTACATATATGCACCTATCGCGATGAATTAGTGTTATGACAGAAAAACGTGGCGCGTAAGTGTTACGAAACATATCATCCGTGAAGCTCCAATACAAAAGCCCGGGGAAGACCTATTGCTTCTCTCGTCCTAGTTAAAAAGCTGCAGGCCAACTGATCAGCCAGCCAAAGGCAATATCCAAGATTTGAAATTTCTATTCACACCAGTTAGTTGTATGAAATGCTATCGTACAATCGGATTACCAACCCATTCCAAATCTAGCCATTCCCCACGTCTGTCGCCGGGCAGGTGAGTCCGGCAGCGTCCGGCTATTGAATAGCCGGATAGTATAAACTCCAATGAAAGTCACCGTGCCGACAAATGACACGGAGTGAAGGACCAGCTCATCCGTAATCATATGAAACGATATCAGAAGGAGCAAGATAGAACCAAGCACTATAGTATCAATGATGAAGTTTCAACGATTAGAATTGGTTGTCAGGGCACGATGTAAGACCGGGGTTGTGGCTAAGTGCATCGAGAGGTCGTCCACTGATAGGAAACAATCTGCCGTACAGTAGCTGTTTTTGGAAAGACGCAACACATACTCATCTGTGTGTGGTATTAAGGCTGACATGGAATGCAAAAGAGCATAATCCGACCGCTATCAATCCCCAAGACCGACAATCATGAGGTGGGGTGTGTATTCAATATTTTTAATCATGAAACCGGTTTGTCTGTGGCTTGGGCGAGGATAATAATCTGATGTTTTCTCGCTTGAGGATCGTAGACTCGGTGTGGGAGGATTTGTTTATGTTGTAAGTAGGACTAGTACATTATTTGTGGTGTAGGTAGAGAAGAGAAGAGAAGACATGAGGTACAACATGAGAGGTTCCATCCACGTTGATTTCATCCACAAGTCTTTTCTATTAATTGCGTTCATATGTTGGGACTATATCATGGCAAGTGTGGTAGAAACACCATTCTCAATAGACTATATGAGGAATGTCCCCAAACTTTCCACAAAAAACCCACCATATCCAATCTTGATGCTCGGGTCAAGTACCATCACACAAAGGAAGATTCACAGATTAGACATTGATACTCCACGTTGAATTGCCCGTCGAAACAGTCAACGCCCCATTACGCGAGTTATTCCGATCCCTTCCCCACCCGCCCCGTCCCCCAGTAGTAGTACTACCGCCCGGAACACCCATCAACCCCCGAGCAACACCCATAACCGCCTGCGTGCGCTCCACCCACTCGTTCCCCCCAGTCTGCGCACGCGCCCTCCTCTCCTCATCCCTCGCCTTCAGCGCTGAAATCTCATCCTTCACCAACGTACACCCACCCAACTTCTTCTCCCACGCCGCCTGGCGCACGACGGGCGCCCACATCTCCGCAACACCCATCTCATCTTTCCCAGCAGCATACTCCGTGTGACGGATCACCCTCACGCTGTGCTCACTGATCCGCTCGCCGGTGTGCTCGAAAGACGTGCGAGAAAAGAGCCACTGCGTCCGGACGACCTCGTACCGCTTCTCGAGCAGCCAAATCACAGGCCACGTCAAGATCCACAGCTGCAGGATGATGCACGCCCAGAAGGCGAAGGCGTTGTTGCGCAGCTTGTTGATCCAGTGCGGCGAGTACACCGTCACGCGGGACCCGAGCAATACAGGCTCGATCGTTATCGTGCCCTCGTAGTTCAGACTGCGCAGGTGCCCGGTTAGCTCGCGACGCAGAACTTCATAGTCGAAGTCGTTGACGCTGCGGGTGAAGGTGAAGGATTTGACGCTCGCGGGGTCGTTGCAGAACCGCGCGCTCCACATTTTGATCTCCGCCTCGCTTGTTGTCTCTGTGTCGTTGTTGCCGGACTCGAGGTCCGTGTCGGCGGGGAGCTCGGTATCGTCTGTTGGGAGGGCGATGCGGCCGCTGGGGGCGGACGGGCCGGACGAGCGCCAGCGCCCGCCACGGTAGGCTTTTTGGCCGTCGTTGTCGGAGATGCAGGAGGTGTAGGTCCAGCGGGAGGCGGAGTCGCCGTGGCGGATGACGGAGCGGGTGAGGTCGATCTGGAAGTCGAAGTCGACGACTTTGGATTTGTTGTTCTTGGAGCCGCCGCTGTCGGAGTGTTCGCCGTGGATGGAGATGTGGGGCCGTGGGGGCAGCTCGGTGTGTTCCGTGACGAAATCCGCTAGAACTGAAGCATCCTGCGAATATTCGGGCCATAAGGTCACGGTGGACGTGGCACGGGTGGCGCTGGAGAGACTGTGGTAGGGTCTGCCGCCGAGAATGGAGTCGTAGCTGGCTGTGGGGCGAAGGAGATCGTCCTCATTTTGAGATTGAGTCTGGGCGGGAACGGTGGGTGGGGAATAGGCCGGGGGGAGGTCATTCTCGGGGGAGAGGATCTGTTTGCCCATGGTGATGGTGATGGTGATGGTGGATGTTGGAGAAAGAAAAAACAAAGAGGCTGAGGCGCATGTTACTTATATATGGGAGGCGAGAGAGAATTTAGTCGATAAGGCTTGTCTAGATCCGGCTAGACATGAGGCTATCCAGGATATTTATAGGCTGGAGCCTGGTGGTGCCTTGTTTAGCGCCTGGATCAACCAGGAAGGGGAGGGGTCAAGGAACACATTCTTGAAACAGGCTGTGCTTATGGTCTTGGCAGATATGAGACATAACAATATCACCATTCCTCCTCTTATCACAATCCTTACAAAAATCTGCGATGGTTGTCTCGAATGAAATTGTTGAAATTTCAATATCACAGGAAGAATATCCGAAATAATAGTCATCTCCCCATCATTGTTGTATATGATTCTCCATCTCCCTGCAAGCACGCGACAAATTGACAAGAAAATCCAAAACAACTCCCACAGTCCAACCCCTATCAATGCCCTTGTTTCTCTCAAATGGGCTTCATTTATTGCCAGGGCATTGCATCTCAACATCGATAATTCCATAACTCCCGCATGGTGTCCCGTCTCCTGCGCCGCTCTGGACGGTGCACTAAACCCAGTCAGTACCCACAACTTCCTCTAGAAAACATATGCAAGGGACATTGTTCATCTTACACTTCCAGTGGCACATTTCCTTAATTTATACCGTGTTAGTCGTTCATAGCGTCCGAAAAGTCAAGTCCGTATGGGCTAAACTTACCGATTTGAACCCAGTACCTTGCAAGAGGTACCATTACACTTCTGTTCATCGTTGTTAAATATATTTTCCTCCAGTTGACGTGATGGTTGAGCATAGACCGTTCATTCAGGCTATTATCTCATGTATGAAGAGCATGACTTACACCGCACTGTGCCCATCCGTTGGGACATCTCGCCCGAGCTTCGAGGCTGTCATTGCCTCCAGGGGCCGGGGCCGCTATAACAACGGCTGCGCCGGTCATAAAGGCGAGAATAATGTTGGAGATCTGCATTTTCAACGAGCTGATGCTTATAAAGTCTTATCTGAAGACGTTGATGGGATGGCAGGCTTGATATGGAGCTTCAATGCTGAGATAAAAGGAAATGTTCGGACTGCAATCTGAATGAATGAGAGGAAAGGGCTTTTATAGACAATCGCGTGCAATCTGCAGGATCACTTTGCAAGGCTTTCTCTGTCTACACTGCTAATAACTTCTACAGGATCATGATCCAAGTCTCCTGGCTGTGCAAATGGGATCACAGCTGAGCCGGTAGGGTCAGAAACTGAGCTAGTATGAGTAGGATCTGGGCACATGTTGAGCCGGTATCAACTCCTTTTATACCCGCTCAGCTTATCTTTTCAACACATTCTCTGTATGTATACTATTGGGAGTTCTGTCAAGAGCTTTATCAAGACGCCTATCCAGTGTCCTACCCAGCGACCGTGCAGACTCATCAAAAGCAATCGCGTAGAGTCTATGGAGTGAGTATCCGTTGGTTATATGGATTTCAACTACATTTTCCTGTTCCATACCGACTGTTCTCTTGTCCTAGCAAATATTTGAATGGCTCCGCCGTGTCCTTGGTGAAGATAGGCCTAGAATACGGTGATCTTACAGTTAAGGTCATGATATAGCTATTCTCCTGTATATTATTATGTGGGTATATGGTGGGTGAAAAAGTGAAGGGCAGTGTCATGTCCTTGTCCAGGAAGTCAATCCTGGTTGAATATAAAACCATCACTAACCACAATGGATCTAACAACCCCGCATGTATTTTGGGGCCAGATCAGCAATGATATTGCTCCCCCACTCATCCAAGGACCAAATTGGATTGGATCTACACGGTTTTTGCTGCTAGACAGCGAGAAATATCAATTCTGCCTTGACATGTCCGATGTATAGCCTCGCACTTTCTTGGCGTATGACCACATTCCCAATTCGTCCTTAGATACGCGAGTTGCATGTTGATATATCTTGAGTTGTGGGCATTCTAGACCGAGTCATAGGAACGCAGTGGGCTCAAAAGCCTTGTCAAATTGTAAAACATACGTAATGGCTACAATCTCGACATATACAGAAACATCCGTGATCTACTCTGTGATCAGGTCCTAAGCAAGGATCTGTGAAGCATACTGACTACCCCCGATGTTTAGGGATGCTAACAGTATTTTCAAGCTCAGCTTACCTTACCAATATTGTACCAAGACCTGCCACTTGCCAATTGGAGTGTCCAGCTGATCAGTCCACACAAAAGACTTGCTGATATCAACTGCTGACATCCAAACTAGCAGCATTGCCACTCGTATGATGACACTCCGATTTGGACGCAACTTCCACATTGGGTTCAATAGAAATTTGCGCGGTTTGCTTCAAACCATTATATTTGTTCTATGCGACACTTCAATCAATATTTCTGTCTTGGAATAGAGTGTACGAAAATACATGAACAAAATACTAATGAATATGAAAACATATATTCTATTGTTCTTTCCGTCTTCCATCTATATGCCGTTCATGATCATCCAGGGGAGGGATTTCAGCTATCATGTATGATCCATGGGTCTTTGAACTGTTACATTACCCCTAGTAGTAAAGTCACACACTGTTCCTAGTTTCGAATTGGGAAGACATGTGATGTTGAATCGAATTACCTTGGCACTGGCCACAGTCAGATCGACAGATAACAAGCTAATGGGGCTATCTAATTTACCGTATACAATATCTTGGTAATGGAATTAATTAGATATAAATGATTCACAAATGTGGTCTTCCCGCCACATCTAATTTATCTTAATCAACCTTGAGATAACCCAACTCAATCAACTGCTTATCATTGGCTGGGCTATAAAAAGGCAGCTTCAAACAATGGCCTTAGCGAAGGTCGTTGTGAAAGTCGCCTTCGCTATCGCATCCCCCAGCCATTGGACTCGGACCCCAGCTCCACCATGGCTTTTTGACCGTCTCCCGCGGCGGACAGATATCCTCGAAATCAAAGCTTAGCTTAATATTGAATCTATCCTTGACCTCGCGCAATATCTTCAGTGCTTTACAGCAGTCCGATGCGGTGGATGATGTAGAGGAGAGGACATGTCTGGTGCCCACTGCTGATGGTCCCCGCTCCTCATCGCGGTAGAATGTACTCAGAGTACCTACCTCTGAGAGCGCGAGGTTGGCATCACCGAAGACGTAGTCCGTCTCGAATTTCAGAGTATCTTTGACCGCCCAGTAATTGACGACATGCGTCTTGCAGCCCATCTCGGTGCACTCGATTTTCTCCGAGTATTCATACCAGACGTAGTCGGGTGAATCGGGACGACTATGAGAGTAGTCGGTCTCTGGCGAGGCACCTAGCCACCTGATGGTTTTCAATGACCCAATCCTTTGAGTGTGACTTCATTGTAAAGAGATGTATGCCGCAGGGGTTCGGAGTCCATGCCAGCCGAAGCTCAAATAGCCCTTCTCGGTAGCATAGCAGAAGAAGTTCTCGCCTTCCATGGTGGCATCTCGGGGCTGCTGCGTGTTCCAGTTGGGATAATTGAACACCGCGACTCCATTGAAAACAAAGGGGAATAAATTAGGGTTGTCCAGGGCCGCGACACTCGCATGGGCGACCTTGGCGAGACAAGCAATGCCAAGAATGGACGAGATGAATAGCTTTCTTGGCGGTCGCTATCAACAGCAGAATCACCTCGCACCTGTGCAGTACCACGGGCTGACTCCTACATCTCCTGTTGTTTGGATCTCGTTTCAGGTGATTTTGATGAGTTTCAGGGGTGCCGCAAGCGGACCGATTAGTTACTCCACAGCGGTTGAGTTTCTGACCACATTCTTTTTTGGTGAGGAGCGCACCAGGCAAGTTTTGAATACCCCGGAGTTAGTGTTCCACCGGTCATTGATCCATGCGCCTAATGCTACCGACGCGTTCATCCAATTGACTACAGATTTGGGTTACCGATGTAGCAGCGAGGTCTATGCGGGGCTTCTGGAGAGGCATAACCGCGATGTGTGGGAAGTATCGTGGGATATCGGTCTGCCGCAACCTCTTGGGGGGTTGATCTGTGGCAATGGCACAAAGTGTGCTTGGTCTCCTTCTTGCTGCTGTTCAATGTCCGGTAATGGTCCTGGCACCCCTAATTGGATACTGGAAAGACCGCTGGGGATCGCGAATCCCAACAACAATTGCTTTCTTCTCCACGGCACCCTTTTCCCTACTCTCAGGAACAGCGGGTGACGAGCGCTTTCCGTGGTTTGCTGGAGGAAATAAAGGCAAGGTCACTTATGTTTGCTCCTTGGTCACGGCTGGGTGTCTTATATCTTTGCTGAAGTGGAGTAGGGGCAATGGAGGTGACTGGTGAGTTACCTGCGACCTCCTTGGGCTCCAAAACCATAGTGTTAATCGAAGCTTGTGCTACTCCTTAGAAGCGGTTGATAAGCTAGAAAAAAGTCACCCGGGCATTTTTGGAAAGTATGGAGGCTACTCTCGGGCTGTCGCCATCACTAGCATGAGTTGGACAATGGGTCTGATAGTTCGGCCCGTCTTAGGAGGATTCATGGTGGAGAGATTTGGTTACTTTGAATTACAGTGTGTTCAGGGTATGCCTTTTCCTCGAGCTCACCCTCATTCCTAGATATACCGCTAATGCCATATAGCGACTTTGTCTATCGCCTGTGGCATAGGGGCCGCCGCTTACCTCAGTCCCGCTCCTCCCTTGGAGGTTACCGAGGGAAATGAGGCGAATAGCGGCAGCGCCCCCTACAATCCGGCCCAACCCGCCCCGAAGACAACACTACTTCCTGCTACTAGAGAGATCTAATCTTACCTTTTATTTGTATTGATATAAATTTCTTATTGATTGATATTATTATTAAAAAAAATCGAGTATATAGTTCTTTTTGTATTCTAAGCAATCTTATAAATTTTTCTAAAGAAAGTACGTAAGTAATAAGATGTTGGGGATATCGGTCAGGTTAAGCCCTATACCAAACATTGGTCGCGTAGTGGTCATTATAAGATACTATTATTATGATGATGATCAGAAAGAATACTAAGCAATTTATGCATATTCTTTTTTTACCAAGAATCTAGAAATGTATACTGATTATAGACTAGTTCTCATAGGTCTTGAAAGAGTCTATATAATCAATGGCTACTCTGTATGTTTCAAGACAAGAAAGAGAAAGAATACTCTATCCTTAAGACACTATTCAACTTAGATACATATATACTTCCCATACAAGAAAGATGTGGGAGACTTGACAAATCCCAACTACTATTTTGTTGAAGTGCCCATCGTAGGGTGTTAAAGGCACTTGTTAGCTTTGGGTTGTAACCCAAGGGTTGAAGATGCGAGGGAAATTTGAGCTCGGTGAGTACTTTTTTATAGTCAATTTATTTTCCAACGAGATACTTACTTGGCTTTTGCCTTTCTCGGGCACCAATATGTATCATCGAGTTTTGGCAGAGATAATACTGATATTCACTGATTTATCACATCTAGGCTCTTGAGCTTATCTCCGTGACAGCGCCTCGATTTATATAGTTGAAGGTTGAGACATCGGTGACAGGGCTTTCAACCGTCACTGCATTTTCATATCTTGAGTAACAGCTTCCTGGTCACTCACTGTCTCGTGCGCACTTGTATAATTAGACTTCTATGCATGAATAGGGATCTCTAAAAACCGAATTTCCAAGTCAACGTATGTAACAACACTTATCTAATACCTAGTTGCTATGCGGAACTCACTAGACACCAACACTATATCAAAAACGCAAACACAGCATATATTCAAGAAAACCGATAAGTACAAAACAGAAAACACACATAACTATTCATGGTAAAGCCTCCTTACTGTTATATCATCAAACCGCACATTGATGTCCCTTTGATAATTCACTCTTCCCACTAGCCTACCTAACCAGACTTGCCAGGGCAGATCATCTTGACGGCAAAAGGATCAGGATTGCCGCAAATGGTTCCGTCTCCGGCACCGCTTTGCGAGGTGCACTAGAAGGGTTGTCAGGTCAGTACCATGTGGTCTACTTAGGTGTTACCAGTGTCAACTTACACTTCCCTCCTCACAAACCCTATAAAACAATGTCAGTTGATAAGTCTTTGGTGAGGGGAGTTTCACGGCGAACTTACCGGTCCGTGCCTGCCACCTTGCAGGAGGTGCCATTGCACTCCTGATCATGGTTGTTAGACTGGCAGTCTTTCAGGTGCGTTTAGAAGGGGACTTACACCGCACACAGACCAGCCATTGGGGCAGTCGACCCGACGCGCGAGGGTATTCTCGCCGGCGGCAGGAGCGGCCACGGCGACGGTGGTGGCCATGAGAGCAAGGATGATGTTGGTGAACTGCATTGTGATGGAAGATTTTAGAAATGAAGTCTTGCAGGAGGCAGAGGTTTCTGGTAAATTGGGTATTCGGAGAATGGTTGTATAGTGAAGAGATGAGAGTGTTGCTTGGATTTCAACAGGAAGAGGAGGAAAGAAGAAGCCTTTTATATGTTTCTTCGTCGTGATATCTGTCGCTGGCTATCCAAGTCTTGCGGCTGAAAGGTAGACCTGGACGATTCTGTTGCCATCAGTATCATGGTCTTGATTCTCCACCGCGCTCGATCCCATAGTTCTCTCTATGTTACTATTTTCTCTCATGCAAGGCCACCAACGCTTTTACAGATGAGCCACTGAGGTCCTTTTTCTTGTCCGGCATCAGATTATAGCGCTGGCCAGCGCGGCCGCGTATGCTCATTAGCCTGAAGGACTCACATCCTGGATAGATGACAGTAACAAGGCAGGTCTATGCGTGTTTTTAGTTGACTGGACTCTGTAGTTCGAATAAGTATAATCAGCCACCCGAAGCCACCCGAAGCCACCCGTCTGACTACATAATTCAGATGAGCCATGTTGGATTGATAGCCTCCAAAGTTCCGTTCGATTCAGTTCGCACCTGTCCATTGAATCAGTACGCATGAGAACCTAGTACATCAAGATAGTCTATTCACTTCTATCCAGATACCTTCATCCAAAGCCCTAGGACTCACTAGTGTTTGTAGCCTGATGGGGGAACTAGTGCAACTGGACATACGGCTGCTCATGTAGACAATGAATAGAGCCTTAGTCTACAAATGGGCAGCTCATACCACAGGCCCCGCATCCTTCAGGGGGCCTGATCGACAACGAACCCCTCCAAAATCGTGATGATTTCCGCAGAATCGAATCAACTCCAGGGACGATGTGGTCCTCTGTAGTCAGGCAGCAACGTGTGCCCACTAGGTCGTCCCGATCGGTTCAGCTACCAGCCTCAAACTCCATGCGCGTGCTCCACACTCAGAAGCTGATTCCATACGGTTGGCTGGATTTTCAGTAGGCGTGGCGATCCTTCCGACAAGGTCATAGTTTGCTTTCTATGGCTACTAAGCCTCATAATTACGAGGAATGAAATGTCAAAGATATCTCCGGTACCTCTCTATGCTCACATCGCCTATATCTTTCTAGCACTAGTTATGGTGGAGCTAAGAGGAACAAAATTGCTGGTATGTGGTACCCTCCGTCAGCTTGGCGCGAGATCCTATAGATTCAAGCTGTCGAGAAAAATCCGCACTTGATCAAACAGAACAGCCAAATGGAGGATGGTTAGGTCTGAGGGTTATTTTCAGCCCCCAGGTGTGCCATTTAATCCTTTTTTGGCAAGCCTGAGAATGACCGAGGTGGCCAAATATCAAGTAGTCTCATGCGATGGAATCCTTCCGAAATCCGGCTAGCCTTGTAGTAGAAGGATTGCCGAATCTCACCATGCTCCACCACACAATCGTGAATGCGACTCGATATTGAGATATCACACAGTCAGACGCTGGCTTCCAATCAAGTACTAGACCGTCACCACCCGTTGCTTTCTATGTTGCCCAGTTCTGACCACCATCATCAGACTTCCAGCAGATGAGCTATAGGACCGGATAGACTCCATCGGCTGCTCATAGGCCAATCCCTAGGTTCTAAGATTAGCCAGATCTAGCGGCGGACTTGAGCGTTCCAATTCTCGAGTAGCTGACGTACTAGCCGGTTTGCTATACTAGGTTAGGTTTGGGAAGTGAAAAGTCTCCAGGACCTACTATGCTCCTAACCAGAATCAGCCCCCGTACCCTGGCGGCATGTCCCACCGTGCATAAACGCTCACGATCGTCCAAATCCAGCCAATCCACATTCGGGAACCAAGACAAATACCAATAGTCTAACTCCTTGAAGCATCAATCGTCAGCGGTAAATAGATTCCGACTTCCTTGACTCAGGCTGACCTTTGTGTCCGTCATGTGGCATCGGAATGGCAGGCTGTGTTGCTTCACCCGAGGATGCGTTGATGGACCGGACTTTCATTATTGGATATTGCGGTCGTATCGAGATCAGCAGAATTGCACAAATCCAGTCTAGTAAGCGGCTTTTCGGAATGATCCCACAGCTCTCTACCATCTTCTGGAAGTGACCCTTGTGATGGCTCCATTAGACATATACAAGACAGACCGTGAAGCTACTCTCCTCGGTGAGCGCCGATGTCCCCATCGACCCTGTTTGGGGGCATACGATGTCGCCTAACGGCTGTCTGAGGGTTGTGCATCGTAAACGTGGAATCATAATAACTAACACTGCTGGGTTATTTCGGAAGATGGATTGGATTGAAAAGGGCTTCGTTGGATGAGATGACAGTGTTTTCTGGCTCAGCTGTCGAGCGTCTTGTTCAACGTAATCAAGTCTGCATCATTCCAGGCTGTAGTTGGTGGTCGATCTTATACCCTTGTCCTTTGGAGACCTATCACACCTCGACCACGGTCTCAATATCGTCTATTACTTTGATAAATCCTTCTTCCCATTGCGCTAATGCTTATAGTGTCTCGGTCTGGCATCATATGTGAGATATCTCACACTTAGGGTTGGTCGGCACCTGTGACCTGGCTATACCCCCGCATTCTGCCTTATGACGCTTACAACTCCAACGCCCAACCCCGCAAACCTCATCTCCTCTCCTCTATCTCCTCCATCCAGCCACTTCACTCCATCGATCAGGCCACTTCACTCAATCAATCAAGAGTCTTGAACAAGATACAGAACAAAACAAACATGCCCTTCCCCCCACCCCCCACCCCAACCATAGACTGGTCCAATGTCGGCTTCAAAGTCCGCGACGGTATAAACCATCCAATACAATCCCCACCTCACATACCCTCAGATTAACCAACAACATGGCTAACAAAACCTCCGACAGTAAACGGCCACATCGAATCCCACTTCTCCCCCAGTACGAACCAATGGAGTCCCCCAAAATTCGTCCGCTCCCCCTACCTCCGCCTGCACGGCATGTCCCCCGCCCTCAACTACGGCCAACAAGCCTACGAAGGCCTCAAAGCCTTCCGACACTCCACTGCCACCTCCGCCTCCCCCAATGACACCCCCACTACGGAAGAAAAACCCAGCAAAATCACCGTATTCCGCCCCGACCTCAACGCAGCCCGCCTCGCCCACTCCGCGCAATACGTCTCCATCCCGCCCGTCCCAGCCTCCATCTTCACCCAAGCCGTCCAACTCGCCGTCTCCACCAACGCAGAGTTCGTGCCCCCCGCAGGCACACTCAACTCCGCCCTGTACATCCGCCCGCTCATCTTCGGCAGCTCCGCCCAGCTGGGCCTCTCCCCGCCTGAAGAGTACACCTTCGCGGTATTCGTCACTCCCACGGGTGTATACCATGGCGCGAAGGCCGTAGACGCGCTCATCGTGGAGGACTTCGACCGGGCTGCGCCGCGGGGGACAGGGAGCGCCAAGGTGGGGGGCAACTATGCGCCTGTGCTGAGGCATAGTGGGCGGGCGGGCGCGGAGGGGTTCGGCATCACGTTGCATTTGGATAGTGCTACTAGAGGCGATGTAGAGGAGTTCTCGACGAGTGCGTTTGTGGGTGTGCTGAAAGATGGGGATGGGAAGGTGACGCTTGTGCGGCCGGACAGTACGAGTGTTATTGAGAGTGTGACGGCGGCGAGTGTGTGTGAGATTGGGGAGAAGTTGTTCGGGTATCGGGTTGAGAAGAGGCGCGTGCCCTATGAGGAGATTGCGCTGTTTAAGGAGGTGTTCGCTGCGGGGACGGCTGCGGCGCTGGTGCCTGTTAGGAGTATTACGGCGAGGGAGAGGGGGGATAAGTGGGAGTTTGAGTGTGGGGGGGAGGGTGAGGGGGGTGAGGTTTGCGTTAAGTTGTTGCAGGCGTTGAAAGGCATTCAGGCCGGGACGGTGGAGGATCCGTTTGGGTGGAATGTGGAGGTTGGGGCGCCGCCTGAGGGGTATAAGGATGGGGAGGAAGATGACTGAATCAATGCTTATAGGTAGATGGGGTGTGGAATGGTAGACCATGTCTGATTCTAGTTTTGAGTACGTAAGGATAGAACATCAATAGACATCCAATCACCATATCCAGATCCTATCATTCATGCAGTATCCAGACCTTTTTCATGCATGCAGACAGTTCAATTCAAGCCCTCTTCCGAGCCTGCCGCAGCTTAGATACATGCCCGCTCGACATGATATCTCCTCCGTCGTTGGAGCTGTCGCTGTCGCTCTCGCTCTCGCTTTCACTCTCGCTCTCGTCCTCGCTCTCGCTGTCCGACGGACCCGAGAAGATATTCTTGCGATCCGCCCGCTGCGCCGCTTGTGACTGCGTCCGCGCTTGCTGCTCGTTCTTCTGGTCGCGGATCAGACTCTTCAACGAGAGCCGGTTGGGCTGTGACTGTCTCGCCGACTGCGATCCCGCAGGCTGCGACGACGGGGGCTGTGAGGGCGCGCTCGCCCGGCGGGGCGGTTCCGGTTTGCTCGGGGGTGCTGCTACTTCTTCTTCTTCGGACTCGCTGTCGGCTTCGGATTCGGATTCCGACTCGGTTTCCGACGCTGAATCAGTTGATTCCTGGTCTTGTTGCGTTTCTTGTTTCTCTTTTTGGCTCTGGTTCTGGGTTTGGTTTTGATTCTGGGCCGGGGTTGGAGTCGGGTTTTCTTTGGGTTCTTGGGCCGGTTGACCCTCCTCCTGGTGCTCGTCGTCGGAGAAAAGGTTCAGCAGATCGCGTGAAGTCTTCTGTCCCCGTCCCTGGGACTGACTACCATTCGGCCGGGGTGCTCCTGGGCGGTGGGGTGATTGCGTGGGCCGCAGCTCAAACTCGTCATCGGAGCCTTGGGACCGCGTGGTACCTGTCGACTGACGGGTCTTCCTCGCGGGAGCTTGGGCAGAGGTCGGTGCAGACGTCGGTGCCTCAGGCTGTCCCTGAGACTTCTGCGACTGAGGTTCTGGCTGAGACTGGGTTTCTGACTGGGACCGGGGAGTGCTCGTGGCAGAATTGCTGGCCGCGCGACGAGCCGCCGCCGCGTACCGGCTCTCCGTGTTGTTTACAGCCGCCCAAATGGGCTGCTTGGGAATCGGGCGCCATTCACCTTCGGAACTTTCATCCGCCAATGGGCCTGGGGACCGGCGCCGGGACCGAGCTGAGTTCTTGGAATCCGAACCCTTGGAAGATGACCTCTTCGAGGCTGGTTTCTTAGGGGCCGGGTCCTCTGGGCCTGAATCGTCCAGATCCACGCCACTTGGAATCGCCGCCGCCAGTTCTGCCCGCAGACTGTTGATGTTTTTCATGGACGTTTCGAAACGGGTCTTGTTTCTGACCCGGTTTGAATATTCATTGTTAATTGAAACATTCAGTGCTGCCCGCAGTTTCTTGAGTATTTTTACCACGTTCCCAAGATGTCGTTTTGTGGCCCGGTCCACTTGAGCATCAATCCCAGCCAGCTCCTGCAACCTCTTCTCTCTGTCGGGGTTCGTAGGCTCGTCTTTATTTTCGGGTTGGTGTTCGCCGTCTGATTGGGATGGAGGCGCTCCGTTCTTGGCCGCGGCAGTGCCATTCCGGTTGTCCTCTGGCTCTTTGCGGTTGCCATCCGAGGGTTTTGCAGAATCGGCTTGTTGAGACGACATAGGCGTTGACTTCGGCGCCGAAGCGGCAATAATGTCCTCGCCCTCTGCGAATGACACGGATCGGCGTTCGGGCGGTCGGTGGGCCTCTTTGCGCAGCGCCGAATGTGGTGCCCTGGGGGTTTCCGGGCTAAGGGCTCCGTTCGGGGTCGCATGGATATGGGGCTCTGTCGTATACTGATTAATGTCATGCCCTAACGACTGAAACGGACGGGAAAATATGGGCTTCATGCGGGGTGGGGTCCTTGTTATTCCCAAACCAAGACCTTTTCCGGGCTCCGGCCGCTGCTCTGAGAAGTTCAAGCGTCGGCACAAGCCCGAAAAGGATGGAATGCGTTCTTTTCTCCGGGACGGAGAGGGGGTAATAAATGGAGTGTTTGCCCATGGGCGGGGGTTCTCCTTGCTGGTGTCCTTGAACTTACCCGATGTAGGGATGGAGGTTGGCTCCAATCGACGCTCCTTGTTGGGAGGGAGGCTTTCGTCACTCTTCTTTCGCTTGCGCGACTCTGCGCCGCGCTGCGGAGTACTCGTATCCGCCGTGGGTTCGGCATGGGGAATGGCGGTGACACTGGCTTTTGCGGATGAATCGTTGTTCGTCTGGGGGGCATCGGTCATAGGGACATCTTCCTGGGGCTCCGTTTCGCTTTCTTCTGCGTCACTTCCTTCTTCCTCACTTCCTTCCGCACTACGTTCCTCTTCGCTTCCCTCCTCTTCACTAACCTCTTCTCCACTGCTCTCTTCCCCACTGCCCTCTTCCTCGCTGCCATCTTCTTCGCTGCCTTCTTCCTCGCTGCCCTCTTCGTCCTCGTCATCACTCTCCGCAGCCGCGGTATCCAGGAGATCCGAGGTTTTCGGCTGCGGTTGGGACGCCGATTTGCGCGTAGTTAACGGCGACACTGAACCATTCGCCGTCTGCTGCGACTGCGACTGTAGATCCAATTTAGCATGTTTGTCAGTAGACTTTCTCGCATGCTCCGACCGCTGCGGTGCAACAGCCTTCGAACCAGGACGCGTGGCACTGCGCGTCGCTGTGGGCGAAGGTCGAGGCCAGTCGCCGAGTTCCTGGCTCTCCATGCGATGACGCTCCGGTGTAGGCGCAACCGTGCGCCCCTGGTTGTCCCCGGGAGCAGTAGATTGAGTACCCCAGCGAGGAAGAGACCTCGAGGCGTCCTCTCGCTCCACAGACGACATCGGGACCTCACGGGCGTCATGGTCTGGGATACGTTCGTCGATTGCACTGCCAGACTCAAGGTCTGGGTCTTCGTGGATGGTCTTCAGATTCATCATCTTCGCCATTGTCTCCTGCTTGACCTGCGCTTGGCGTTCATAGTCCTGCGCCGCGGCGTCCCAGTCCAGCGACACAGACGGGAATCGGACGGGCGCCTGAGAGGCGGGTCTCTGGATGACGCGGACAGTGCGACGCTGATCCAGCTTGTCCGATGCGCCCTTCCCATGGTCGACAAATACGTCCGCGACGGTGAGGTCTGGGTCAAGGTCTTCGGAATCGTGGTCGTCGTCGAGGAGTTTCTTGATTTCTAACGGTCTAGTCCTCACCATTAGCCCATCGGTCCGCCAAACAAGTAGTCACGCCCGCGTAGACATCACAGCTATCCCTTCGAGTGTATTCAAACAGCGCGGGGCTAACTCGGGGCAGATACTCACTCAGCTTCCGGCCGTAGCTTTCTCCATTTTTCCTGGATCCTCCCCGCCAACCCTCCAAGGGTAATCTCCTCCGGGTCCGGCAGCACCAGCAAAAAGCTAGCCGGTTTCTTGGCCGCGCCGTTGGCTGCCGAATCATTGTTGTCGCGCTCTCCAATCAAGTGCCGGAAGAACGAACCGGAGGATTGGGTCTGCTCGCGCGGATAGACCTTGACGGTCAGCCGCAGGAAGACCATACTGAGTAAGTGATAGTAGAGGACGTTCAGCCACAAGTGCAATTATGTAAAATTATGAGTACAGAGGTAGGTCCGGTAAGGCAGCGGATATCATCATGGAATCGCAGGCCCAAGCGACACGCCTTGCAGACGAAACGCAGTAGAGAGAGCAACCAGGTTCAAGGAAAAGTAGAAATACGAAACAGAAGCAACAATGGGGGAAGAAAGGAAAAGTTGAGGACCGAGACGAGTCACTCGCCAGGCGCGAAGGGAAGAAGCTTGAAAAAGTGACAGAGCAAGAAATTGAAAATGCCCCAGCAGAATACCGCTCGTTGATTGGTGGTTGGGTGGAACGCGGTGCCGACGCGTCTCACCGCCTTGTGGATAGACCATACATAAAATGGATAAAAATATGACAGGAAATGTGAAGTATAAAATGATATCTATGATTCGCCTGAGATATCATGAATGATTCTCTCACGCATAACCAGGCCTACTCGAAGAATAGCTTGAAAGGATCACCACCATCATGGCCTTCCGCTTTGTTGAACAGAGCCCCAGTCGAATCGGCGGCTCTGACATATATAGCATTCGCTGCGCCATGCAACACAAGAATGCAAACAGTCAGAGGTGCCTACTACGAAGAAGACATGTCATTCGAGGGGATGTTTTATGTAAATCAAACCCCATCAATAGATTGAAACCAGGTATCATCCAAACGCCGTCACAAGTGTAGTAGTACAACATCGTCCCAATGCAGGGAACCGAGGCCAACAAGGCCATAGAACAGAAAAGAAATGAGACCAAGAGAGGGAAGAAAAGAAAGAAAAGAAAAAAAAGAGACAGACCACGGTCAGACAGCGCCTTCAATGGGTAATAATCGAGGCGTCCGGCGCCAATGATAACACTCCTGCAAACGACAGACAGCTCTCATAGCCCGTACAGCAACCAAGCTACCGCTCCGACCCATCCGCCCGCGAACACGGCCGTCAGGATCCCCGCCCCGGCTTTATCACCCGTCGTGATCGGCTCCAGCTTGTCGTCCGAGCCATCGTTGGTGCTGCCGGTACCAGCGTGTGGGTCTCCCTTACTCTTACCCCCCGAGTCCGAGGTGAATGGGCCATTGCCACCTTTGCCTCCGTCGCTGGTCTTCCTGTGCGCAATCATCGCCGACGACATGATGCTCAGGGCACTCATGTCCGACTCCAGCGACGTTGACCCGTCCCACTTGGGTTGGTACCATCGCCGACCGCAGGCGCTGCCGGATTTGCCACCTGAGCACTGCTTGGCGGCTGCTTCGGCGGAGGCTTGGATCTTAGGGATGATCCGGTCGCTGGTGTAGGGGGCGATGGTGGTCATGAAGGTGAGCCAGGCGGCCAAGAACCCCTTGAAGCAGTCTTGGTTTCGATCGCACTTCATGTTGGGCTCACAGGCGACCTCGGAGAGGATATTGCTTCCATGCGTCTTGGGGAAGAAAGTCTTCTCCACGGACTTGAGCAGCCCGTCCACGCGATGCTTCCATTTACCGTCGCCATCGGTCTGCAGTCATCAGGTGTTAGCTGCCACGTTCTGCGCTGAGGCCGCCGGCTGATATAGCTGGTGAACATACCAGGTTATACATATATGCAGACCCGCTGAGGTACATGCCGTAGTTGTAGGTCCACTGGAGGTTGCCGGCGTTCTTGCAATTCGTGTCCAGATCGGTGGTATCGGCGACGAACCAGCGGTCCGGCTGCACCAGCGGGCTTTTCGAGCTCCAATCCCAAATCTTGTCGGCCCACTCCGAGTACGTCTCGTTGTTGGTGTACCGGGCCAGCCGCGCGGCCAACTGGAACAGGCCGCCGTTGGAGACCGAGTTCTTGGTCCCGTATCCCTCCTGGTAAGGGTAGATCTGCCAGCGCAAGCCACCGCCGCAGGCGGTGGTATCCCACCGCGGCACCTGGGTGTTGAACACACCCTGCGCCAGGGACAGCCAGGACGGCTCGCCCTCGTCCTCCGGGTAGTTCAGCTCCGCGGCGGTCATGGCAGCCAGGCCCCAGAAGACCTGATCGTCATTCCCCAGGTAGTTGCTGTAGTTGGAGGGGAAGTAATCGTCGTTCCCCTTTTGCCAGTACATGCCCTGCGAGACGGGCCCGTTGTACGAGTCATCGCCGGTCCAGTACCAGTATTGGATCAGGGTCATGAACATGGCGCCACCTTCCCACCACGTGCCGCCGAGCTTTCCGGGAACCTGGCCGGTCTCGTTTCCGCTATATTGGCTCATCATATTGTAGGCCGTCGTCGCGGCCGCTTCTTTGATTGAGTCTATGGGCGCAACGGCAGTGAGTACAGTTTCGCGTCACCTGCGAAGGTGGAATTCCATACCTTCATCATCGGCCTTGAGCTGAAGGCCCATCGCTCCCCGACCCGCCACGAAGACGGTCAGGCATACTGCCCATAACCACTGCGGGAGGATCATCTTAAAAGAAAACAGGATGGATCATGGAAACGAAAGTCGCAGACAGCGCCAGACACAAAGAGAGAAAGAGTCAGGCGTAGCTATACAGTGGGAGGGTGGGAGAAATGAGGTAGAGGGAAAGAAAGGAAGAAAAGGGAAGAGTCCACAGCGACGGAAGAATAGATCACGAATAAGACCAAGAGGGGGGAAATGGTACCATCGTCCGACAAGGTAATGATGTGTGGCCATAGGTATGATCCCATGGCTGCGCTTCCCAATTCGCTCCTGATATTCCTCCTTAGCACGGTGTTTCTATCTGAGATCGTTGTTCATCCTCGGCATCAGAATCACCCCTGTCTGTCCACCAATCCTAGTATCAAATTAACCAAATCCCCATCATCCCATCAATACTACTCCATGATCACAAGTTTCACAAAAGAACCATACTCTACCAGGAACAAATTGAACGAAAAGACGAAAAATCCAGGGTCCTCTCCACCTCAACCAGAACCACAGTCCCATCTCCAACGGCAATAATGCGAGACGAGCGCGAGAAAAAGCCCCTCTTCTTTGGTTCGTCCCCAGAAACGCGCAATGCGGTTTTCAAGAGACATCGTCACTGGTCGAGTATTCCGATCTGCAACACGCGGGAGAAGAAACGCCCCACTCCACACGCTGCGCCAACATGTAGAGCGAAATGATCCCCTGAACATCACTGACATCATTTGCGTCCCAATCATGTCCAGCGGTATTTTTCTCGCCCCCTCTTCGCTCAGAATTAAGCTATGGCCAAGGCCCCAGGATGAGAACACCTCCGAAGCTCCTTGGCGGAATTGCTTGGTATTGACTTCATGTTGACGGGTGTTGCAGGATTTAAGGATTTAATGGATGGGAGATTATGTATGGATCTTAGTCATTAATCTGTCGGTTCAGTGGGACTTTGGATGTATCCGGAACTCCCGTTGGAGGTTGATTGGACGATACCCCTATACACTCTCAGCGATCTTTAGGGAGTTCTGGGTTGATTACACCGTAGGTGGACAGTGAACCGTGGATAAGTAACTTGTCATTGTAGTTGGCGTCGTTGACAATATCCTCGTTCCCCACACGGTGATAGGCATTGTCCGCAATATATTTAGAGGCGAGATTGTACCGCTGTCAAAAAAAAAAAAAACACATACAACAATATCGGTTGCGAAGCTGACGACGTCGATCTGGCCTTATTAGCAATGAACTTATTCTGCGATCGATCTGCAAAGATCTTAGTATTTCGCCATGATACATTCCTAAATCAAGTTTCGTTTGTTAGTAATATACAACGTCGACTCATGACATTGTGTGTCGACTCCAGTGGCTTTTGCATTGAAGAAACTCATGAAGACGATGGATCTACGGAGTTGATGATGATAATGAAGGTGTCGAGATGATCAGATGTTGCTGTGTAGTCAGGTGACGCTTCACGTGCAGGTCATGGCTGATTGTTTCCCATTGCTACAAGACCAGGATGGGCATGCATGGTTTTAGTAGAGGACAACCAAGTGGTGTATAGTGTATAGATATAAGTGTATCAATCGAGGGATTGGCAGATGTACAGTCTAATTTGGTTGGAATGGTAAAATCACCAGGGCACAGAATCATCAGATGCTTTTAATGTATCATATCATGGATCTATCACGGTTATTACGCTCGAAGAGCACGTCCATATCCACCCAGTACCCTCAATCCCCAACCGCCACCAGTCCAACCGCAATCTACACCTTACATGCGATCACGTCGGCGGGGAGCGGAACGGATGATGTTGTCCACACGGAGAAGCAGCTGATATATAGATTAGCATGTGTCAAAAAAGGGATGGAGGGAACGAAAAAAAACATACCTCTGCAGCTTCCGAGGCAGAGGACACCACAGCCTTCTTCAGCTTGTAGCTTTCCACCACGCCCAGCTCCCGCATGTCGGCGATGCCACCACCGGGAGTGGCCAGATCCAACCCGGAGTTCGTCATGCCGCTGTTGATCGCCTGTCGGAGTCGGGTCACCAGGTCGCTGGAGTCCAGACCGGCGTTATCGGCCAGAATGGTCGGCAGCTGCTTCAGGGCGTACGCGAACGAATCGACGGCCATCTGCTTCTTGCCGGTGGTGTTCTGAGCGGCCTGCTCGACGGCCTTGGACATGTTCATCTCTCCGCAGCCACCGCCCAGGGTGACGCGGGGCTCCTTGACCGTCTGCGAGATGACGGCCAGGGCGTCGTGCAGCGAGCGCTCCGCTTCGTCGAGCAGCTGCTCCGTGGCACCACGCAGCACGATGGTGCATGCCTGCCCGGCGGCAACACCGGAGAACTTAATCAGGGTATCTTCACCGATGATCACCTCCTCAATCACATCGCACGAGCCCAGCTTGACCTGCTCCGGGTCATCGAAGGTCGAGGCGATCTCACCACCCGTGACCAGGGCCAGACGCTCGATGCCGTCGAAGTCGGCGTGCTCGATGGACATGATTCCGGCCTCGGTGAACAGCTGCTCGGGCCAGTTGTAGATCAACTGTCGGTTGACGAAGCAGTTGATGCCGTGGGACTTGATGCGATCGACCTTGGCCTTCATCTTCTCACGCTCCGCCTTCTCCAGCTCGGCCAGCTTGCCCGTCGACTCGACCTTGACCCGGGCACCGAAGATCTTCACCTTGTCCGTGTCCATGGCCGTGTTGGCGACCAGGATCTTGGCGTTCTCCAGGCGCTTGGGCTGGTTGACACCGATCTTCTTGTCCAGAATGAAACCCTCGTCCAGGTAAGAGTCGCTAAGCTTTCCACCAGCCTTCTTGATGATCTGGATCTGACTCAGGTCGGTGGATCCGCGAAGACGGAGGACGGCATCACAGGCGAGAGAGGCGAAGTGCTCACGATCCTGCGCCAGGACCTTGGAGCTGAGGGTGGTGCGGGCGATGGAGTGGAGGTCTCTCCGGAACCACTCCTGATCCGAGCTGCGGTCGACCGCGATCTTGTCCAGGGCTTCCAGGGCGGCCTTGCTGGCTATGCGGTAGCCGTCGATGATGGTCTGGGGGTGGATCTTGCGGTTCACCAGTTTCTCGGCCTCCCGCAGCAGCTCCGCCGCCAAAACGGTAACCGACGTCGTTCCGTCACCGACTTCATCATCCTGAACCTTGGAAATGTTCACCAACACCTTGGCGGCGGCGTTATCAAGAGCAATCGCCTTCAGAATCGTCGCACCGTCATTCGTCACGAGGATTTCACCGGTCGATCTAGTAAAGAAAAAAAAAATCCCGATGTCAGTGTCAATCCACGGCCAGCCCCGCAGTCAGAATTCATCACACATACGCTGACTGCAAAATCTTATCCATGCCCTTGGGGCCCAATGTGCTCTTCACCAAATCTCCGACCGCAATGGCTCCCACGAAGGCAGAGAGACGTGCGTTCTCGCCTTTCTCCTCGATAACATCGTCTGCGAAGATCTGGGTCGGATTGCCGAAAGACGCCTATTGGGGGATTAGTACGGGAAGAAATAAGGCAAAATCCTCAGCAAACGACTGACCATGATGAATGAATATTAAGTAAAATGAACTACCGTCGAGATGGTGGACGGACAGCTCAATGAAAAGGAGGATGGGAGATGGAAGAGGGGGGAGGGGCGGAGGTCGGGCAGAGTAACGATAATACGGTTTGATAGCATCGGCCACCGCTGCGGGACAGAAAAGTTCGCGATGGTGGCCCACGCAGGGGAGCTGCTCACCGCCTGCCCTTTCCGCGCCGGGTTGATCCTCTTCCAGCTTCATGGATTCTTCTCGACGGCCCCAGGTCTTGGTGGGTACGGATTCATCCTACGGTTTACAATTACATTCAATCGCACCAGAATGGCTGCAGACGAGGAGAGATCGCAACCCCTTTCCCACAAGCGCCCTCATGCGGCGGTGGATGGGGCTGAAGACAACGGTGTGTATCTTCTCTCGGCATCCATGGCCCACCCGCCCAAGAAGCATTGCGGTTACTAACTGACAGGAATCTAGATGACGACTCGTCGGACGATGATTTCGGTCCAGCGTTGCCCTCCGCCGATGCACCCAAGAAGAAACGACGCAAGCTTCCTTTCGAGAATGTATACGTTAAAGCGCTGCCGGCGTCGGCGCGCTACTCCAAGTCGCTGATGCACAAGGACCAACTGTGCTATGTGACGGTAACGCCGCACACTGACTTTCTGATTACGTCCTCCATCGATGGTGTGGTCAAGTTCTGGAAGAAGACGGCCGAAGGGTTAGAGTTTGTCAAGGAATTCCGGGCGCACACTGGGGAAGTGAAAGGGGTCAGCGTCAGCGCAGACGGGAGGAGTTTTGCGACAACCGGCACGGACAAGACGATTAAGATATTCGATGTGATTACGTTTGGTATGTGCTCAGTGCCCTTTCGGCGGTTCATTGCTGACAGTAGAAGATCTTTTGGCCATGATACCTCTCGACTTCGTGCCGCGATATGTCTGCTGGGTCCACCCGAGGGGCGCGTCCTTGCCGTTGGTCGCGGTCACCGACGATGAAACGAGCACAATACGAATCTACGACGGTCGGGGGGAGAACCACAGTCCTTTACATACGGTGAAGAGCATCCACCGGACACCGGTAGCTGCGATCGCTTTCAACGACGCCTATGACTGTGCGATCTCCGCGGACGAGTCGGGCATGATCGAATACTGGCGCGCATCGGATGGGTCGTTTGAAAAGCCCGATAATGTGTTCGAATTGAAGTCGTCCACCAACCTTTTTGAGTTTAAAAAGGCCAAGTCGACTCCGGCATCCCTCACGGTTTCGCCGTCGGGTGAGCAGTTCGCCACTGTTTCCTTCCCCGACCGCCAGGTGCGCGTGTTTGACTTTGCGACGGGGAAGCTGTACCGCAAATACGACGAGTCGCTGTCCACCATCACGGACATGCAGCAGGCCGGCACAGCTATCTACCCACTGGACGAAGTCGAGTTCGGGCGGCGATTGGCCGTGGAACGGGAACTGGAGAACCCTGTCACGCAGCCACGGATCAACGTGCTGTTTGACGAGTCGGGCCACTTCATCCTGTACGGGTCGCTCTACGGCATCAAGTGCATCAACACCTACACCAACCGCGTTGTGCGTGTGTACGCGCGGGACGAACCGTTCCGGGGGCTGAACCTTGCCGTGTACCAAGGCCAGCCGCAGAAGAAGGGGTTCATGACGGTCTCGATGGCCGCGAGCGCCAACCCGCTCCTGCAGGAGGCCGAGGAGCGCGACCCCTTCCTGGTGAGCACCGGGTTCGGCAAAGTCCGGTTCTACATCTTCAACAATGAGACGGAGATCTCCAAGTCCTCGCGAGACGTGCAGAACGAGCGGCCGACACAGGCGGCTTCGGGCGGTGAGACGGCCACCCAAAAGGCCAAGGAGACCGGAACGTCGGCCATCCTGCACACGACCATGGGAGACATCCACCTCCGCCTGTTCCCGTCCGCGGCACCCAAGGCCGTGGAGAATTTCGTCACGCACGCCCGCCACGGCTACTACAACAACACCATTTTCCACAGAGTGATCCGCAAGTTCATGATCCAGGGCGGTGATCCGCTGGGCGACGGTACCGGCGGCGAGTCGATCTGGGGCGGGGAGTTCCCAGACGAGTTTTCCACGCTGAAGCACGACAAGCCTTACACGCTATCGATGGCCAACGCGGGGCCCAACACCAACGGCAGCCAGTTCTTCATCACCACGGAGAAGACGCCATGGTTAGACGGCAAGCATACGATTTTCGGGCGGGCGGTGCAAGGTCTCGACGTGGTGCATAAGATCGAGAATGCTCGGACGCTCAAGGACCGGGAGAAGCCCGAGGTAGACATCAAGATTGTGAGCATCACGGTCAATTAGGGGGTGTGGTATGGTCTGTTTCGAGCGATTTAGCCATCTATCTATCCCAGTTTGTTATTGGGTGTAGAATACATATATGATATTATGCTGCACGACTGAATTTTGCCTCTTCTCTAGGTCGGTCTAGACGTAAGGTCCAGTCTGTCACTTGTCAGGTGGGCAAGGTCAGTTACTTCTCACTTAGTAGTTATATTGAGCTTCGTTGTTATGGAGTATGAGAAGGTGATACTATACTACTACAGTCTGCCACCAGCCGCTTCACCTCTGTGTTTGTCCGGTCTTTGATATAATTTCTTTCACCTTTAACAGTACTCTCAATATTGACTCTTGCATGGTGATTGAATGTTTGTCAGGTCAATAGGACTGCTGTCACTACGTCACAACCTGCTCAGATGCAGTGACAGGGTGTAGTCCCTGGCCTGAGTATTCACTGACCACGACCAGCGACGTGACCTGCCCAAAACAGGCGTCTGCCCCAGGCAGCCCCAGGCAGCCCTCAGATATAAATCACTCTCATCTCTCACTTCCTCTTCCTCACCGCCTTTCTCTTCTCACCGCATCCTTTCTGCCATCCGTTTCCATCACGTAACTGCATGACTTCCTAATATGGAAGGTGAAGCTGAAGTCCTGGTGGTTGAGGCTTCGGTCAGAACCACTCGGGTCCAGCCGGTGATTGTGCCTGTGCTTATATTCTTGTGTATCTACTTTGCCTTTTACCGCAACCGGGAGATCCGTCAGATTATTCTCAACGGCCCAATCCTGTACCGCGCGTACTTGAATGAGCTCCGTCGCCTGAGAGAGGAGGAACGCCGTCGTCGCGCCGAAAGACGCGCCCAGCGTCTCCAGGAAAGACACGACGGTGCCGGTCCGGACAACGAGCATGATCCTGACGGCGTCATGGCGAATCCCCAGACTGACTGGGTGCTGCTCGATGACTGGGGAGATGTGATTGATTTCCCGGCCATGGAGCCCCAATCCTCCAACAAAAAACCTCCTCCGGCTCATGATGACTCGGACATATCGATGGAATTGCTAGGTGATACTTTGGAGACTCTGGACATCCCCGTCCTGCAACCTGAGGTGAGTTTATCTTTTCATTTGGTCCTATCTGACGTTGTAGCCCTAGTTTCCTAACAAATGTCTGGTTGCGTTAGCTTTCGAATGATCACCCTTACAATAACACCAAATTCCAATTGAACACTGCTGCCCCTTCCATCACTGTCCCTTGGGATGGGAAGATCCACTGGGTCATGAAAAACAGCTTGCCATTCGCCGACAGAACATCCGTCAGACCTCTCACGGCCCCCGGGCGCTACGAGCCCGGACCCGGGACCAAAGATGCCTACCGCTGTGTCGTCATCGAGAACCTCCCGGTGGCTGTTAGTATGGAAGAAATCCTCCCTCTTCTGGGCGGAGAGACCGACTCAGCTTTCTTACTCGACACCGCGCCTATCACGGGATTCCAGTCAGCCCTAGTGATCTTTCTGCAGCAGAGCGATGCGGAGAATTTCGCGTGTACCTTCAAAGACGGACTTCCCCTGGGGCCGGTGCGTGCCAAAGTTGTCCCGGTGCCTACCCCCACCTCGCCGCTGTCCGTTCTCCACCAACGTCTTGTCGACAAGATGGGCTACACCCGCACCGTGCGCGTCTCGGGCACCAGTCCAGCCCTCACGAGGATGGTGAGACATTACCTCAGCCGTGACTGCTACTATCTGTTGGTCGAAAACATCGCAGAGGTGATTGGCGCAGACGAGGTCCACATCCGTTTTAGATCCATCAAAGGGTGCGTGCAGGCGTACAGCGACTTGCGCACGCATCCCCGATTCATGGATTGTCAGTTCGACTTCCTGAAGCACTGGCAGTTCGAGACCGTCTCTGTGGCGTCTACGTCCTCCGACCATGCCAATGGGCACTTGCCGGGGTTCGTGAATGTAGATTGAGCTGGTTCCATCGGGCCGTTCTGCTTACGAGGCGCAACATGGCAGGACTTTCCTGTCCGATCGCTACGGACGAACGGAGCAGCAAAGGACTTAACCTAAAATCAGGAGGAGAAACGCCGTATCTAAACTAGATAAATGAATCAGTGGAGTAGTCTTTTCAATCTCCGTCCAGTGTTTCGCCCGTATATCTTAGACTACCACCGTAGCGGCATTCTCTACCGAGGCCTCAGCCCCCAACCGACCCCGTTGGCGTCACAGCAGACCCCAGACCCCACGAGGAGAGCCGATGATCTCGCGCTAAACCCTCCAAATGAGGCTTTTTCCTCCTTAGCTGCATAATTATCGCCATCTCGGCCGACTCATGCAGGGGGTTCCACAGAGCTAAAGCCGCAGGATTCAAATGGCGATATCGCAACATCACACCACTCGTCGCAGCCAGTGGAGCGAGCAGACGAGCTCCCCATCAACGCAGAATCTAAGCGAAGGCCAAGAGAGGGCCAAGAAGCGGGGGAGGCGGGAATGGACCATGTGGGGATGGGACAAGAATGTCAGACCTTAAGGAGGTTAAGAATTAATAGAGTTAGTCTTAGATTCGGCTCTTAGGGGGTTTTTTCCCCCATGGGGTGAGATTTCTTGGCTGCTCCACTCTCTTTCTCTGTCCCTTTCTGTTCGTTTCTGGAGATAAGACAGGTTTATTACTGACTGCTCACCAATTACCTAGCATGGTTAGGTGTCACAATTGGCCATTACTCGATAATCGAGGTTGAGTCCCTGCATGGATGATGATCCCTCTTGCGGTCTGGATCCTCCATTCCAGGGTTGGGTTTTAAAACTCCGATGACCCCCCTTCTCCCTGGGAGTTTTTTCCTCCCTTGCGCATTTCCTCCTGCTGGCAGTGATCGGATTCATTTTTACTCCTTTTTTGTTTCGACAGACTTGATCCATTGACTGGTGTTTGATTGTGTTCAGGAAGCCAATCTCGCCAAAATGGGCTCCCTCGATGAGAAACCCGCCCACGTGGAAGAGTCCCCCAACGACATCGAGAGATGTTCCACCGCGTACGAGTATCCCGCCAAATCCAAACTCGATCAATTCGAGGACCCGGATGCGGGATTGAGTGCGGAAGAGCGCGCTAAGATCGTACGTTGTGATCCGTTGCTGTCGTCGGTGGATGCTAACAGCCCTGGCTAGGACCGCGCCTTGTTATGGAAGCTCGACCTGAAACTCGTCCCTTGGCTCAGTCTTCTCTATCTGATTTCGTTCCTCGATCGGTAAGGCGTCTGGAGATACATTCTGGTGTGGAATATACTGATCACTGGGCAGAACGAACATCGGAAATGCGAAGCTGGCGAACTTGCAGGAGGACCTCAACATGTCGGACAATCAGTACAATAATGCGTTGACCATCTTCTTCGTCTCGTACTCCGTCTTCGAGCCCTTGACCAATGTCTTGCTGAAGCGGATGCGGCCGAGCGTCTTCATCCCGATCATCATGGTGCTATGGGTATGTGCATGAACACGGTATAGAGAGTGTCTGCTAACGCTCTACAGGGCATCAGCATGGCGTGCATGGGTCTCGTGCATAATTACGGCGGTCTCATGACGGTACGTCGACTCGTCCTTCCATTATACTTCCACAGCTAATAAATGATAGGTGCGCTGGTTCCTCGGCCTGACCGAAGCCGGACTCTTCCCCGGTATTGGATACTTCCTGTCCTGCTGGTACAAGCGGTCCGAGTTCGGCGTGCGCATGGCCATTTTCTTCTCGGCCGCAGCACTAGCCGGCTCCTTTGGCGGCCTCCTCGCGGCAGCCATCGCCAAGATGGACAAAGTCGGCGGCAAGGCAGGCTGGTCGTGGATCTTCATCATCGAAGGCCTGGCCACCATCGTGGTCGGCATCGCCTCCTTCTGGATGGTATACGACTTCCCCGACGAGGCCAAGTTCCTATCAGACGCCGACCGCAAGCGGGTCCTGCGCCGTCTAGCCGAAGACCAGCAGGCCAGTGCGGAGCACGAGCAGTTCAAGATGAGCTATTTCTGGGCCAGTCTCAAAGACTGGAAGACGTACACGGGGGCGGTCATCTACATGGGCGCCGACGGCTGCTTGTACGCCTTCTCGCTGTTCGTGCCGACCATCATCGCGCAGCTGGGCTACGACTCGTTGGAGGCGCAGCTCATGAGCGTGCCTCCCTACGCGGCAGCCGCCGTCGTCACGGTCGCGGTTGGGTTCATCGCCGATAAGACGCGCCAGCGCGGCCTCTGCAACATCTTCGTCTCCATCCTGGCGATCGTGGGGTTCGCGATGCTCCTCGGTGCGAAGTCAGCGGGGGCGCGCTACGCAGGGACATTCCTAGGAGCGATGGGCATCTACCCGTGCGTGGCCAACACGATCTCCTGGGCGAGTAACAACACCGAAGGTATGTCCTCCCTTGTAATTGAAGTTCCCACATGCACATGCTAACAATAAAGGACAGGTGTCTACAAACGCGGCGTCACCATCGGCTTCGTCATCGGCTGGGGCAACCTCAACGGGATCGTCTCGTCCAACATCTACCGCGGGGCCGACAAGCCGCACTTTTACCCCGGCCACGGCACCGTGCTCGCCTACCTGGTTCTCTTCCTGTTCGGCGGGTCCATCCTGCAGTATTTCCTGCTGCGACGGGAGAACGCCAAGCGTCGTCGTGGAGAGCGCGATCACTGGGTGGAGGGGCTGGACGAGACCGAGATCCGCATGTTGGGGGATATGCGGCCGGATTTTATCTACACTCTGTAGTTTATCAACCACCAATATGATGAATACGTCAAGTACAAACAATGTATATACATGTAGATATAATATCCAGATTAAGCCATCTCCCGCGTATAATAATTAACAATATCTTGATCCTTCTTCGGCCCCCGCACAACATGCCTACTCGCCCAACTGAGCACATCGCCAGAGTCCCGCCCCACCCGGAACGCATACGCCGTGCGATACATATCGTTAATACAGAGGTGATTTCCGCGCGCCACAACAGTCGTTGTATCATCGGTGTTCTGATTGTCCGCAGGGGGCACAGGCGGCGTCACGAACGTATCATCATCCAAAATAGCAGACGATAAGGCCTTCCCGTCGAGGACTTCGAACTCGTGGAAGAGGTAGTCTGCTTCGACCTTTTCTTTCTGGGTGTTTGTGTCCCCTGGGGCTGTGGAGTTGGTGGAGGAAGGTTTAACGAACCAGACGCTCACCCCTTCGGTTGGTTCCCCATTAGTGTTGCTACCATGGGGCGCAGGGGTTGAGGTAAACCGCCAAATGTACTTCTTGCCGAAGCGGAGACCGGCTAAGGGGCCTGTCGGGACGCTGCCTTCTTCGGAGTAGAGGATGTCTTGCTTATTATTGTCGTTTTGATTATCATCATGATTGGCGTTGTGGGTGTGATTGGCATTGATATTGTTACTCCTGGCCAAAGGCGTAAAAGAAGCCGTCCCGCGAAGTGAACCCTGGATATCTTGCGGGTTGGCGCTTTTGAGAGTGCGGTGGAGGGTCCAGCGGGGGGTGTCGCGGAGGGAGGAGAAGATTTGGGGGATGGATGGCATTTTCCCCTTTTTTCTTGCTTTTTTGAACTATTTCCTTTATTGGTTGTTTTTGGTTTTAGGGTTGGTATTGTGTGGGTGTAGATTGGATTGGATTGGATGGATGGATCAAATGAGGTTGACTGAGGTGTAAGTTGAATGTTGAGTTGAGAGTGGGCTGGGTGGGTGAGCCTGGGGAATCAATCTCCTTACCGGATGGGGTTAGTCTATCTATATACTGTATAGCTTCACCATAGATCTATGTATTCTGGGCAAGGCCGCCACGACAACCTCGACTACAGCGTCGACGACATCATTCTATCCCTCTCTCGCTTTATATATATGTATATAAAAAAAAGAGAAAGGTTCCACAGGCTAGCGCGATGGCTAATGTAATAGGTACTGTAACGTGATACATCATATCAAAGGGAGTCAGTTTGGGCCGTGTACGGAGAAGAGATGGTTGACTTGTTGGACTTCCAGGCTGTAGTCACACAATAACATTGTACTCCAGAATATCAATACTATTCCAGAATACAAATACTATATCCGCAGACAGTTTAACTCAATCCCAGGCAAATCTACTCTTTCCCAAACCCAAGAAATATCACGCTCCCCCAATCATACCCCAACGTCAGAATCCCATCGCGGTAAGCCGACGCCTCGGGACGCCGGTATCTATCAGGCAGACGCATCTCACGTCTCCCCTGGTACATTATCCACGGATCCTGCAGATACACCTCGGGGTAAGGCGACGCATCGCCAGGCAACCAGCGTCCGATGTCCACACACCCGACGTCGGTCTCGATGTAGGAGCTGCGGCCGGACGCCCCCCCAATCAAGAGGGTATTTTCCACCAGGCCCCACGGCACCGTGTGTAGCAATTTCCCCGAGCCAGCATCCCAGAGATACAGGCAGCCGTCCTCCCCCCCGAGCGCCACCAGCCGCCCGTCCGAGGAGAATCCGACGGCTTGGGGCTGGGGCAGGTTGGCGCAGTCGCGCAACGTCCGCTGGAGCGCGCCGGTCTCCGTGTCCCACAGCCGCACTGTGACGTCGCCCCCCACGGAGACGAGGCGGCGCCCGTCGCGCGAGAACGCCACGTCGATTACGCAGATCTCGTGGCCCTGCAGCGTCTTCTGCAGAGCCCCCGTCGCGACGTCCCACATCTGGATCGAGTGGTCCTTCGAGCCCGACGTCACCCGCTGGCCATCCGGCGAGAAGGCCAGGGCCCGGCTCTCACCGTCGTGGCAGTCGACCGTCAGCCGCAGGACCCCCGTCACCACGTCCCACAGCCACACCCGGTCATCGCAGATCTCGACGGCCAGGGTCCGCCCGTCGGGCGAGAACACCACACGGGCCAGGCCGCCGTCGTATGGGTCGTCCGGGGCCCGCGGTCTGCCCGTGCCAAGGAGGGTATGCCGCGGGCGCCCCGTGCGGGTGTCCCACAGCACAATAGACTGGTCCTGCGCCCCGGATGCCAAGAGCAGGCCATCGGGTGAGAACGCCACGCAACGGACGATTGAGCCGTGGCCGCGCAGCTTATGTCTGAGTGCGCCCGTCCTGGTGTCCCACAGCGCGGCGGTTCCGTTCCACGAGGCCGAGGCCACGAGCCGGCCATCGGGAGAGAAGGTCAGCGCAGACACAGTGGATGCGTAGCCCGCGGTGAAGGGGTCGTCAAAGTTGTCGAGAGCGGTCCGGCGTGGATCCTCCATCCTCGGCGCGAGATCAAGCCAGCAGGGGAGGTCGGCGACCAGGGCGCGTTTGATGAGCGACGAGTCCGGCTCAAAGACCAGCGCCGATGCATACAATTGCAGCGGGTAGTAGCCGGTGACCTCCCAGCCCGGCTCCATGAAGTCTCTCGCCGCGTGGAGGAACTGCATTAGGGGGGACCCTTCGTTGTCCTACATCAGATCGGGAGGTGAGCATGATGAGAGCATCCTCCCACCGCCAAGTCGGAAACGCCTACCGCGAAGGTTTCGAGCAGTGCATGTAGCATGGTCACAGCACCGGGCCCTCCACCCTCCAGGATGATCACAGTCTCCGCCAGGTGCAGGAAGTGCTGTTCCAAGAACCGCAGAAGCTGGTCCATCCACCCCGCGGGATCTGCGATCTGCCGCAGGTGAAACGCCAAAAACTGACACGCATACGCGAGCCCGGATGGGATCGACCGCTCGATCGTCTTGGGGGGGATGTGAGCCACGTTCGTTCCGTAGCTCTCTAGGTGGCATATGTTCTTATGAAGACCACCCATCACGCGCAGGCAATGGGCAACTATCTTGCTATCTACCTGCGCATCGTAAATGGGGGGTTCGATGCCCGCATCGGAGACCCGACAATAGTGGGGTCTCTGTCCAGTCTGGAGGGGGCTGTTAGGATCATCCGGGACCAGGACGAGGGGGTCCAAGAGACGTAGGGAGTCTCTGATAGAATCGTTGCTCTGCCCTATCAGCTGGGACAAGGCTGTGGTGGAGAGGGGTTGGTGGACGTTGAACACGGTGCCAACGATCTCATCAAATTCATGCCGCCCCTCTTTCTCGGCTTGCGTCTTTGCGGCGAGAAGCCGGTCGGTGATCTGCTGCCGTGAAACCATCGCACTGGATGACGGAGCGTAGAGTACTATCCTCCGGTCTGCCGTTCTTTTACGTGTCTGCTGCTAGGCTGCTGCACAGCCACGGTGTGTCCACGCCGGAGCCAACCATGTTGCCGAGATCGTCTTGCTACTTGGCATTTCATGATCAGCAGGATGATCGACTGGTAGATCGCGTTACTTACCCGATATCTTCTCCAGTGTCTTCATCTACATTGAGAGAGGGGCGGTCGGAAGACGCACAAAGAGGGAGAAAGACGGAGAGATGGAGAGGATGACATGTGACCAGGATGAGGCCTCAATCAGGCCGAACTTCATCCCCCCAATCGGGTTAGACCGGTTCCAAACCTCAGGCTGTGATTGGCGATCGCGTGACTTTCCCCCTCATTGAACCCTTCAATCAATCCAGATTAAAGAGTCTGATTCATCTATATAGATTAGATGATGGAACCCGGGGGTATCCGGGGATTGCCTCGTCCATACGGGGTCAATACATGAATACAGCTTCAAGGACACGGATATCCGGCCAACGTGCCTGAATGGAACCGGTCGATCACATCGATCAGTGGAGCCACGGATCGCTCCCAAAAGATAAACTCTGGCAGGAAAAGGGACCGATAGGAACAGGGGAACAATACCTAGGAACGGTAGACGATTAGATCAGGACCACGAGATGAGGATCGGTATGGAGGTAAGGTTGTTACAGTGGTGGATTATTAGATAATAAAGGGATGCAGGGCTCACGCATCCGGGGGGGGAATAAAAATAGAACAGTCGAGTTCTTAAACGATCTGTATCCTGGTAGGGGACGGAATACGGAAAAGGGATCCAACCCGATGGATATCCTGATTAAGATACTCTCAGCAACATCATTCAACATACCTGGGGTTCTTGTATAGTCGTCTGGAGTGAGGAAGAATCGCATGCGGATCCGAGTTGGTCTAGACTACGCCCAACCCGGCCTCAGGCAGATTAACCCGAGGATTTTATTCTATTTTTTCCACTCCGCTTTCTCTCTCTTCTCTTCTCCTTCTCTTCTTCTCTTCCCGTCTCTCTCTCTCGGCTTCTTCCTCTCTTCTCCTATTCTTCCTCCTCCCTCCTCATTGTCCATTCAGATTATCATATTATACTTTTCTACTGGTGACCTCCCACCGTCAACTCCACCATGGCCCTCGGGCCTTTCTCCCCCTCGCTCTACCGCTTCTTCCTCCTCTTCTCCGTCATTCTCTCCGTTCTCGCCGCCGATGACACCCAACTAATCCCCGCCACCGGCTCCAAGATCTTCCCGCAATGTGCCACCACCTGCAATAACCTCAAACAAGCCCAGACGCTATGTGTGCCCCCGACCGCCCCCGCTACTGGTAAAACCGGCTACGTGAGCTGCTTCTGCCAGTCCAACCTCCTCGTCGGCCTCAAAAACTCCGCCGACGGAATCTGCGACGACACTTGCTCCAGTCCCGCGGATAAAACCACCTTGAAGAAATGGTACAGCGACTACTGTTCCTCGGGCGGTGACATCCCGGAGAATTCCGGCGATAAGAACGACGACAACAAAGACGATAACAAGAAAGACACCGACAACAAGGACAACAAGGACAACAATAATGACGATGAAGGCTCGAACAAAGCCGACTCCGACACCGGGTCCCAAGGAAAGAAAATCGAGGACCCGCCCTCGCAGAGCTGGTCAGTCATGAGAACCAGGAATGCGCCCCCTCCGTCCCCTTGCTGACTCCCCCGCAGGATTGCCGGTCATTACCAGTGGGTCATCATGGTCGTCGTTCTGATCGTCGGCTTCGCCGCCCTCGCCGTCTTCGGAGTGTGGCTCAAACGCCGCCACGATGCCAAGTATCCCGGTCTCTACCACGCCGCAGCCACCGGCGCCAGCGATAGCGGAATCCTCCGACCTGGGCAGGGCCCGAGTCCGGTGCCGAGCCCACCGGTCGCGTGGATGGCCGGTCAGGACCCCTCCACCTCGGGCGCCAGCAGCAGCTCACGAACCGACGTCGTCCCAACCGCCGCAGGGGCACCCAAGTCTGGCTCCAGCGGACGACTGCAAAAGTCCGGTCCCTCGCAACCGACGGATGATATCGAGATCCGCGAAGTCCCGCGATGAACAACTCGCACCTATCAGTCCAATTGTCTGAGTCTAATTCACCATCTCCTTCCCATGACCGTGTCAGAGTCGCGATGGATGTCTTGCATAATGTGTTTTGCCTAACGTATGATTCGGGAGAACCGACTCTTCTTTGTTCTAACTTTACATTTTCCTTCTTTCTTATATTTTTTGTATTTGGCATGCATATATTGGCGTTAACGTGTCGGTGTTGAGGTTTGAGGCTGATAATCTTCCTTCACTACTGTTTATGGCCTGGCCGATCCAACCCAAGCTCGGAATTATCTCCCGTACTTACCTACTTACCTTCATGTCGATATGTTTGAACTATTACTATACTTATATGTTGATAATATGATCACTCTGCACTAACTGATCTACTATAGTATCGATTCATATACCATTATCTGTACTATAGCCACCACGTGTATCCATTCCGTCAGCCTTAATCTTAAATACTCCGTACAGTACCTTTGATCTCCTCAAGACCACAATCACAAGACAACCTGCCTATCTATAATATACAGCATAAAATCAACCAAGTACGCAAGTATAAAAAAAGAAAGCGATAAACCCCATATGTAAGATAGTAATAGTGGTGGAAGTAGTAGTAACAGTGTAGTAGTAGTGACAAACTGTACCGATAGATATTAAAAAGATTAATACCAGACAACGTCAACCCCTGATGGTGTAGTTGGTTTATCACGTCTGACTGTAATGGAAATACCTGTCATCAGAAGGTCGCTGGCTCGATTCCGGCTCGGGGGATAATGTTGACTCTTTTTTTTCTTTTTTGTTTTTGATTTTCCTGACCTCACTTTTTATAGAGTGCACCTTCATTTTTTTTTGGAATTATGATTTTTTATTTTTTATTTTGTAATACTTGAGTTTTCTTTTGTTGGTCTCAGTTATTCACTACCATTGAGCTATCCATTATGTTCTTTGTCTAGATCCTCTTGTGTGTCTCGGCTACCACCTATTGATGTCGAACATATCGGTCTGCAAGTCATTTAATCTATTTTTCTATCTGTACTACCTAGGTCATTCTTACAGATAATGTCATAAACTTGGATGAATGAGACATCCTCGTGTTGTGGTTTCAGTTTGTTACCAAAGATAGGGTTGGCGCGCGATATATATAATGCCAGTTCAGTTACAACATTCATACAACACTATCAATATGTACGGAAACATAATAATGTACTGGTGTATGAAACAAAAGAAAACAATATCAGAAAGAGAAGAAAAAGAAGAAGGAGAATCACCCCACAAACTCCCCCTGCGCCAACGCTATCCACGGCAGATTCTCATTCCAACACAGCTGCATCAACGCGCGCGCATTCTGGATCTACCCTCGTTAGTTAGTACGTCTTTATATATACTAGGTATATTAGGTAGGGAAATACCTGCTTCATCCCCGTCTGCTCAATCACTTCAAACCGCTCATTAATAGCCGCCCGCTGCTCCGCGTCCTGCGCCTCGCACCCCGCCGTGAAGAGCGGGAACAGCGCCCCGGAGTCGGCTGCGACGCCGGGGCGGATTTGGGACAGCGCGCGGATTAGTTCTGTGAGGGCGGCGCCAACGGGCGGGGCGGAGGCAGGCGTGTTCAGTACCCGTCGGTGGAGGTGGATGAGGCCCGCGGAGCGGACGGCGCGGTCGATGGCGAAGATGTCGGAGGAGTCGGTTGCGACGAGGTGTTCGCCGTGGGCGTGCGCGTGGGTTTCCAGCACGGCGGAATCGGCAAGGAGGGAGTCTGCTTCGTGCAGGACGGCCGCTGAGGGTTGCCAGTCTGGGAGGAAAGTGCCGAAGTCGTCGAAGCGTTCGTTGTCGCATTGGTGGACGAGGCGGCCGAGTCGGGTGAGGAAGAGTCCCGTGCGCGGCGTGAAGCCTGTGAAGCAGTCGACGCCGAATTCGTCCTCGCCGACGCTTGTCGAGCAGGTACTGAGCACGGAGTAGTAGGCGAGGAGCGGCGGGTCGCTGTGGCGGCAGGACAGCGCGCCCATGATGTCTAGGTATCCTAGCCAGCGCGTGAGGAACGCCCCGACCTCGTTTCCGCGGTATGCTAGGTGGGTTTGGCGCGCGACGAACAGGTCCCGGGCGAGTTTGAGGTGGCTTTGCCAGGGGATGGGCACCTCGAAGGTGCTCGGGGAGACGATCTTCAGGGATAGTAGCATGATGGCGGCGGCTAGATGGCTGTCGGTGACGTTCTCGTGCGAATCCTCGAGGGCGACCCGGAGCGTGGGGAAGACGTTGCTCACCCAGTGTGCGATCCGGTTGGAGGGCTCGGGGTGTCCGAGGTAGCGTGCGCGGTGGCTGGCCGAGTATGCCAGCAGCAGATTCAAGAGGTTGGAATCGCCAATGGCCACTGCGATCTGTCAGTTCAGTTCTCGCGGGTCGGGGTTTGGTACGTACTGGTCGGTAGAACAGAAACAAACGGGTTGTCGGCGCAGTCATGCGGGACCAGCATTCTGGCCGTATGGTGGAGAAAATGGTGAAAGTACATCAGGTTGATGGGCGTCCTCACCAGGGACGGTGGCAGCGGTGACAGATATCGTGGAATGTTGATCGGCACTGGTGATGCATAATAATCGTACCTTGCGTGGTCCGGGCCGTGGTTGGAGCCAGTCCCCGTCGAACGGCTGGCGGGCGCCGATGACGTGTCTGCCCGGCCGCCCTGGTCGAGGGCGTAGTTGATATCAATCGCCGAATGGTCGTCGTTCTTATTGAGATCCAGGTCTGGACGTCCACAGTCGAGGCCGTAGTTGTCCGTCACGCTGGTCAGGTAGGCGTGCCACTTCTTTTCCGAGTGGGTCAGATCGATCGGCCCGTCTACGGCGGGGGGCATGTGGCCACAGTCGGAATAGGATAGACGATCGGAAGCTTGCGGGCGGTCCGTGACTTTGGCTAAAGAGCTCTCCTGCGTGGTGGTGGTCTGCACGGGCGACACATCTCGCAGGTCATGAGACGAGAAGATGGACGATCTCCTTCGATCGGACCCGACGGGATCATGCCGATACTCCGCGTATACATTCCCTATGCTCGCCGACACCGCGAGGTCAATGGAATGGGTAGAATGGCCGGGGGACTCGTGCTCCGACGGGGATCCGTGTGCGACCCCGTGCGATGGGTCGGCCGTCTGCCGCAGGAAGGAAATTGGGCGGGTGACCGGGTCGGGCGAAAAGTTCAGGGCCGCCAAAGAGCCAATGCTGGAACTTGTATCGGCGGGAGAAGGATAGGGAACGCCGTCGAGGGCGTGTGGGATGGGGGGCGCATAGCACGGGGCGCTGTGGGACAGGACGGCGGTCATCTGCGGCGACAGTTGCGGCCACGGACTGGCCGCGTCCGGCCCTTGCGACGGCGGACTCATGTCTACTGACGCACTGTCGCTAGTACAGCTGGGATTTACGGGCGGGCCTGTGGGGGAAGACTCGTGGATGTCATGCGATCCTCTAGGAGAAGACGTTGCTAAAGCCATATTCCCCACCAGTCCACCGTCCCACAGGAAATGCTCCGCCAGCTCGGGTGCCGGCCTTCCATCCGCGCCGTTCGGAGATTTGTGGTCTGTCGCGGGGGAGAACAGATCGAGGGTCATAAACTGCCCATGCGCGGAGTGACCGCTCGACTGGGAGTTGGGCGAGTCGACGGCGGACGGTCTCCTCGCGCGTCCGCCCCAGTTCAACCGGATACTGTAGTCGCACTTTTCGTTCTGACGTCGACAATTCAAGCAGGCCGGCTTTTCCTCCCCACTGCGATGGTTAGCGATGTTAGCGACTGGGGTGTGGAATAGTGTGGAGACCCACCATTTTACTTTCCGAGCCTTACAGGGCCTGGGGATGGGTTAGCGGACACCGACCAGGGGGGGTATGCAGGGGATACACACCAACAGCCTTTGCGCGACCGGCGTTTCGGGTCCGGCGCACCGGGTCTCCTGGGGCGAGGCATTGACGTTCACCGGGAAGAGACCGGGTCGAGAGAACCGGAGAGAAGGAGGCGCAATGGCACAAAGGCCGTTTGGTTCGAGACCTGATGTATTCCCGCACGACTGAACCCAGACTGTTCGCCATGCAGGAGAGCCGGACACGGGAGTTTTTTGCGTCTCGAGGGATGTTTGACCCAGGAGGACCAGAAACGATAATCGACGAGGCAACCACACTTGGTAATCGAACTCATCGAGGGAGGGCGTCGAGAATGGATGGAAGTAAACCCCACAGGAGAATGGTAGCGGTGGAGCTGATGGCGATCGACCGGTCAGATCTATATTATGAATCTGACGTATAGTTGTACGATTGACAGGTTGTTGTAGGAATTGTGGGAGTTGTCGGAGTAGTCTTAAGAGTAGTCTTTGGCGTGGTCGTAGTCGTAGTCGTAGTAATACAGTTGAAGTAATTCGAGTGAAACACCCAAATTCACCGTTGCAACCACCCAGTAGTTACGCGGGAATCGAGTCCGGCATCAAGAACAGGGACATGGAAGATGGAAGGGTTCTCGAAGGGGGAATTGCAGGTGATGATAGGAAGAGAAAAATATCGCAGAGAGCAGAGGCAAATCGGCTGGGGGAGAGAGAGTACTAGTAGTGACTAGGTTAGTAGTAAAAGTTGGGACAGAAGCGAAGCTGATAAGTTGATCATCGCCGGGCTTTCTCTTTCCAGTTCTTCTCTTCTCTTATTGATTGAGACAGCCGAAGTGTTGGGCTTGTCTCCGCTTTGGTTTTACGGGGTTAGCGGGGAATTAGTGGGAGATAAGCCATCTTGGTGCCAATCTAGGATCTTTACGATTGGGTGTAGAATATCTATAGTCTCTCTTCTATCTTCTATTGAAATTCATATTTATATTTATATTTAGATTTATCGATATTTTTATAGATATATTTATATTTTATACCTTCTGTTTGTATATCTATAGTTTCATGTGTTGGAATGATATACCATGATATACTTGAATTATCAGGGATCGGAACAACTCCGCCTGGTTCCGCTTTCTCTTGGCATCGAGAACACTCCTCCATCTACACTTCACCCCTCCTTACTGACCGACTGTATCATCATGTCTTTCAAACTTGTCCAGTCTGTCATGGGTGCTGCACTGAGATCTATGTGGGTTCTCGTTATACTCATGGACCATGTGAGTGATAATTAGATCCTCAGCCTTGCTATTCTCGATTGTATAGATTATCATGGATCGACTTGTCCGTGATGACTGTTCAGAGTCTCAAGGATTCAACCAGTCAAGGGATAAGACTGCATGATCGGCTTGGTTGTGCTTGGCAGCCTTGATCTCAAGAAACCAAATCAAAAAGAAAACAAGAGGAACGTCACCCAAGAGAGTCAAGGGATCTGGGGGATTCTCATTAATTGACAGTATTTCTTGATGATATACTCACAGTGTTAAGCCTCTGAGAATCATCAACCTTGCTAAGGACGATTAGCTCGCTGAGATCATGATGATCGACCGATGTCGTGAACTCCGCCCCAAAAGGGGGATGATGCAGCCTATCCTGTTCCTGATTATAGCGATCATTCCTTAGCCTGATTCCTTAGTCCATAGAGCCTGATCCGGGCTAAATTTTACCGTGATGAAGATTATTTTCTTCACTCAAGGGACTCTGCTGGAAATCTTGACTTCAATGACTTCGGTATAGTAGTCTGGGGCAGTATGGGTCCTACCAACATCATGGTAGCGCGAGACCCTGCAAGCGCCTGCGCAGAACCGCCTTGCAAGTATACCTCCGTGGCCAAGGATGAGAATAGCCAGCCCACCGTGACGCCGTGGACACCTTTTTTCTTACGTCGTTTGACCCTCATTGCATTCTTGTGTGGTTTTCTATCTGTTCTAGCCGCGCTGATTGCACTCTATGTCTATACGGAGCGGGAGGGTCGCAGTCTTGGAATCGTGACCGAGGGCGATAAGTATTATTATCTCTGGGCATATGGGCCGACCGCAGGTATGCACGATGTTTCTGCTACCGCCCGCTAACGAAACTTCTAACATGACTCAGTATTCACGATTCTAACTGCCGGCTGGACCCAAGTTGAATACCGTGCCGTGCAGCTCATGCCGTAGATTTTGATGCGTCAGGGCCCAACGCCTTCTTCAGAGAGCGTATTTCTGGACTACATATCCGCGTGGAATGTTATATCGCTCTACAAGTCCCTGAGAAAGAAGAATTTTCTTGTGTCACTCTGCGTATCAGGGTCGCTGCTTCTGCATGGCGTGACAGTCTTTTCCACCCAGCCCCCCGCAGCCATCTGAAGTGTGAAAGGTCTCGGGTTCCCTGTGAAGGTAAACGTGAAAAAGCGGGTAACTTAACTCTCACATGCGGGGCTGGTGATCTTTGCTATGGTAATTATGGACTCTTGGAATCCAGTTCAGCGAGCAAATACTTCTATGCAGCCCTTGGACTTCCCGGGTTTACCCTCCGCCCATTTCTATACGGCAAGTGGGGTGACGATATCGAGTCGACAGAATATAATTGGTACAACTGCAACGCGACAATTGAGGAAATAGACGTTGACACAAGATTGCAAATACCATCTCTCACCATCGATTCCGATGTTCCACCTCGAGGCGTACCCAATTCCGGCAAAGAAGTCTTCAAAACAGGCGCATGGGCCTTCCCTGGCCTCGATGAACTGGACAACTACGTATAAAATGGTATCCAAGATGCCCTGATTAATGGCGCGAACGGTGTCTCCGCCGAGGCGCTTTTGAATCCGAACGTCATCATCAAGCGCCTCGGATCCGTATGGGGCATCATCACGGCGCAACTATTCGCATCTAATGGCCGTGAAACCTTTCCAGAATCATTGAACTCCAGCTGGTTCGTTCATCCTGCTAAAAGCCAAGCACCTGTCTTCAAAGGCACCTTCCACGACGGGCGGGATTATCTCGTGCAGAACGGAATTTCGACGCGGATTCTAGACGGCCTACTAGGCGGCATGGTCATCTGCGCATTAATCGCTTTGTTTTCAATGCGGACAGACAAAGTTCTCCCCAAGAGTCCGTGCAGTATTGCTTCCGTTGTGAATTTTGTTGCGGGGTCGACGTTTCTAGAAACAATGAGAGATGCAGACCTGCGAAAGGACCTACCCCAACAACGCTTCTTAATGGGCTGGTGGACAGTGGATAGGGTGGTATCCAGTACCTCTTCCATTGATAAAACCTCACGATCTTCTGGTATATTAGAATGGGGAGGTTCCATGCCAGGAGAGACCAGAGACCAGCAGTCAAAGTGATGAGATGGTGCATGACCATTCCATCCAGCTAGATTCAGGGTCGTCGAGAGCGTCGGACCTGCGGAACGAAGAAAGAGCCGGGGAGATTCCACACCAGGAGGGGAGATTGGAACTCAGCATTCAAAGTGATCACAGTCAGAATGATCAGATAACAGATGGTTGTTCCATCCGGCCAGGATCAACTCCGCCGAGTCTGTTAAGCCCCGGGGACGAAGAAATCGAGGAAAGAAGACCAAGCTCGACCGCGGCGAGAATTGAAGAAACGGCTACGGCTCACAGTATTGAGCCCATCAATCCAACTTTGGGCTCGAGAGCTTCGGCTCTGTCTGTTACAGAAGAGAGAGAGGCTGAGGTGGAGAATGCTGAGGTACTGACTAGATTTGGGATTGACGTTGATGAATATAGGCCTTTGCTAGATAATATAGACTGATTCTTGGGTCCTAAACTAATGCTAATCTAATATATACTTTGCTGTACTCTTATTAGTCAAGTGTCCTTAATTCTTACTCACTACCTGTGTATAGTTCTACTACTCTATTCTATAATTTTTTATATTTTGATACCTTTTTATACATTTTACTGCTGTCTAATATATTTATATTGATGTACTCAAATACCCATACAATTTAAATAAAATATCTATTAACATATTAATGGATTCTGGGATTATATACTATGATTCTACGATATATCAGGTACTGATCGGAACCTGTCGCCTGGGTTCCGCTTTTCTCTTGGCATCGTCATCCCATCTTCGTCATCTTTCTTTCTCCTCATCTTACACCTCTTCACTGACGGACTCTCCGACTACACTGTATATCATCATGTCTTTTGTGAAACACCCTTTACAACGCTTGTCCAGTCCGTCATGGGGCGTTTCTGCCTTGATCCACGTGGGTTCTCGTCATACCTATTAACCGTGCGGGACTGATCGCTTTTACCTGCAGGTTCTAGGTCTCGCCAGTTTTGTCTGGTCTTTCAAATTGTATGACCGTCTAAAATACTTACTGGCTTTGTATCATGAACTGACGACAGCAGCATGCACGAGAACCCCAACCAAGCGTATGCCCCCATCCCTCGGGAGATCAACGAGTCAGACAAATAATGACTTGAACGGCAGCAACGAAGCCTATGGTTGGCACTTCCAGTATCTGACCGTCATCGGCCTATCGCTGGCTACTCTCACCTTCGCCGCCGGCCTTCTCGCCGATCTGACCCTTTCTCCGCGCATCTTCCTGGTCAAGAACCTCCTGTCCATCTGCAGCACCCCGTTGGAGGTGCTGATCGGCTTTCTCTACTGGGGTCTCCGACTGGTGGGTTCCAATCTATCTTCCCTGTCGATCAACTACTGACGTTAATCGAATGGTATAGATCGATGAACGACTCGTCGTCCCGGAGTGGGTATACATCCCCATGAACGCTGGTAACGACCGCCTCCCACTCCGAGCTTTACCACCCACTCACATACAAAACCGATGAAACGGATAGACCTCAGCTTTCACGCCGCTCCCGCCATTGTCCTGTTGATTGACTTGCTCTTTCTCTCCCCACCTTGGACCGTCAGCATTCTTCCCGCTCTGGGAATCTCCAGCTCCATCGCTGTCGGTTACTGGTTTTGGATTGAACACTGTCATGCCCATAATGGCTGGTATGTCCCCCCCCCCCTCGCTGTCCTTGTGGCCACTCACTCACGGACCAGGTACCCATATCCCATCTTCGAGCAGTTCGATTTAGAAGGCCGCGTCGCGCTGTTCATCCTGAGCGCCATCGTCATGGCCCTGAGCACGGCGACCCTACAGGCTTTGTACGGTCGGGTCAACGGCTATGGAACGGGTGTCAAGCCCAGAGCGCGCCCTGGAGCTGTCACGCAGAACGGGAATATCTAACCACCATCATCTTTAGTCAAGAGCAGAAAGAAAGAGGGAGAGACGACAGGGTTTAGACTTGGGCATTGCAATAAGACTAGACGTAGACAATTGATACACAAGATGCATAGTGAGGACTAAGCAAGCAAGTCATCGGCAGTCCTTCAGACGAGATAACACCACTAGATCACCGAAATATCATGACAGTTTTGTATATACAGAGCTTGATCTTGCGATAGAAATATATGTAATAGGACGACCCCTCATTAGAAAAGAACCTCGGCGTTCCCCGCATTCCATAGCCGAACCCCAGATTTAGACTCTCACATATAGCTTATAGATGCGCCACTAGATCATACTGCTGCCGTGGTTAAGCAATTGATCAGTCTACCTAGAATAGACTTTACATTTCAATATATATCTTATACTCTTTTTTTGCAGGAAAATGCAGTACCTCCCCGAAAGGGACTATGACGTCCCTGATATTGACCTGTTGAGTTTGATATTTGGTATTCCCCTCCTCATACAATGAACTACAGTGAAGTCCCCCTAACCAAGCAAAAACAGACTCCCCCCTCTCAACCTCCACCGACTCAACAATCCTCCACGCCGAAGCCGCCTTTCCCAAAAACAACCTCACCAAAGCCTCCGCCCGCACCTACACCAAGCGCCTCGCCCACATCTTCCGCACGCACTTCTCCATCGGCGCCCACGGACCCGGCAGAGACACCGTCCTCTGCATCTCCTCCAACCAGGTCCTCCTGCCAGCAGCCTTCTACGGCATCATCGCCGCAGGCGGAGTCTACGCTGCTGCGTCTGCAGCACTGACTGTGTCGGAGCTAGCGAAGCAGATTACGCTGTCGCGGAGTACGCTTGTTGTTGCTAGTGCCGAGTTTGCGGAGAAGGCCGTGCAGGCGGCGAGGCGGTGTGGGTTGTCTGATGGGAGGGTGGTTGTGCTGGAGAGCATGGGGTTGAAGAGGGTTTTGCGCCCTGCGGTTGGGGAGGGGTCGGTGGGGGTGAATTATCTAGCTGGGGGTGAGGACGAGCTAGACTGGGAGCGCGTGACGGATGCTGCCACGCTCGAGTCCCGACTTATCATCCTGCTGTATTCGAGTGGGACGACCGGCCCGCCGAAGGGCGTTATGCTGTCTCATCGGAATCTCGTCGCTGAGGCGCTTCTTCCACAGCTGATGCTGCGCGATTCGCGGAGACGCGTTGGCGCGGTGGCGCCGCCGTACCGCACGGTGGGCCATCTGCCGACGGCGCATATCGCTGGTTGCCAGGGGTACTTTGTTACGCCTGCCGTTGCAGGCGGGACAGTGTACTGGATGGAGCGGTTTGAGGTGGGTGCGTTTGCGGAGTACTGTCGGCTGTACGGGGTGACGTACTTGTCGACGGCGCCGCCGGTGTATCTGAGCATTGCGGAGAGTGAGCGCGCGGGGCGGGAGCATTTCCGTGCGCTAGTGCGTGCTGAGTCCGGCGCTGCGCCGTTGAGTTTGGAGGTGCAGCGCAGAGCGGAGGAGAAGCTGGGGTGTGTGATTACGCAGCGGTGGGGACTGACGGAGTCGACGGGGAGTGTTACTTCTATGCCTTGGGGACAGGAGGATCCTACAGGGAGTATTTCGCCGCTGATGCCGAATACGCGGTTGAGGATTGTGGGTGGGGATGGGAGAGATGTGGAGGAGGGAGGGGAGGGGGAGTTGCTGGTGAAAGGGCCGATGGTCAGTCGGGGGTATTTTGAGAATGATGATGCCACTGCGGCGGCGTTTATGGGGGGTGGGTGGTTTCGCACGGGGGATATTGGGGTGTGGCGTGAGGGACGGATCTACATGGTTGATCGGATGAAGGTGAGTTGGGTGATGGGGAGGGTTTGAGGATGTCTGCTAATGGATGCAGGAACTCATCAAGTATAAGGGTTTGCAGGTCTCCCCGGTTGAAGTCGAGGCGCATCTCTTGACGCATGATGCTGTGGCCGATGTGGCTGTCGTCGGGGTGTCTGATCCTGCTGCTCCGGGGAATGAATTGCCGCGGGCGTATGTTGTCAGAAAAGCGGGAAAGGATGTCTCAGAGGAGGAGCTGAAGGAGTATGTCAAGTCTGGCATGTCGTCTCACAAACAGCTCCGGGGAGGGGTTGTGTTTGTTGAGGCGATTCCCAAGAATGGGTCTGGTAAGATATTGCGGAGAGTTCTCCGGGACGAGGCCAATATGCGACAGTCCATAGGACAGGCGAAGCTATAATATTAGATATATAGAGATTGAGTAGACCAAGAGGATATAACATTGGATACAAACTCAACAATGAGCAGCAACGATGGAGATACAGATAGTGGAGAAAGAAGTGGAGGATGATGTAGTTCGCTGACTAACCGCCAAGACGCCCGGACCTTTCCTTGCCGGACCTTCTTTACTTCTCCATCTCCATCTCCATCTCGAACCACTTGCATCTTCACCACCACCTCGACCCCCCAAAGATGCACGTCACCTCGCTCTCTAGTCCAATGCGGACTTTCGTCCTGGGTAGCCGTCTCGGCATGACCCCCCGATGCCACAACGCAATCACCCCCTTCCACGCTGCCATCACCCGCCCAGCCAGCACCTCGGCCACACAATTCCAGCCCAAGACAACTTCAACAACAACGACACCATCCCGACGACCCCAGCTCAAGCTCACCTCCTCCCCCACCTCTACCGCTCTCACCCGGGCAAACTCCACCACCTCCGACCCCGTAGCCCGCGAGATCTCCAAGCAACTCGACTGGAACTCGTTCTTCAAGCTGCGCGCCTCGCGCCGCCGGTACTCGCTCGCCTCGTCCGTCGCTACCTCCCTGGCTAGCACCGTTGTCGGCGTGCAGTTCCTTTCCACTCAGGATCTGGAGTCGCTCGGCGCCCAGGTCATGGGTCTCGACCCGTTCATCGTGCTGGGTATGGCGACCGCTGCGTGCGGCGCTGCCGGCTGGCTGGCTGGGCCGTTTGTGGGGAATGGCGTTTGGGGGTTGGTGAATCGGCGGTTTAAGCAGTCTTTTACCATTGTATGTCCTTCAATCTCTTTCTCCTTCGACTGTTGGAGTGTGGGTTGTATATGCTAACTGCTACTGTAGAAAGAGAAAGAATTCTTCGACCGCATCAAGCGCTTCCGCGTCGACCCGTCGTCCAACTCCATTGCGAACCCGGTGCCGGATTACTACGGGGAGAAGATTGGCAGTGTGCAGGGGTACAGACAGTGGTTGAAGGACCAGCGGGTGTACAACCGCAAGAGGCGCAACTTTATCATTTAGCTTGATATCTTTTTTGCAGCATACATTTTCTTGTACGAGTATCTCCTCTTATTGTAGTGTCTAGTTGGTTTAGCGGACACTTGAATTGATTTATTGGCATTTCTCTTGGGATTAACAGAGTAGAGTATTGTTTCCACGAAACTTCTATGAAGGAAGATCACAGCTTCGAAAACTTCTTGGCAATCTTGACATTGTCGACGTTGGCATCAGACCAATACTGATACACAGCAGGGGCATCGTCAACGGTACTATTGAAGTTCGGCTTGCGTTTCTCGAGAAGCGCATTGACGCCTTCAATATGATCACTATCTTCATCAGCATCACACCCATCACGCAACAATAACAAAAAAGAAAAGAGAGAAATACCTAGACCCAATAAACCCCCCAAACACCTCTCCCTCCAACGCATAACTCTCCTCCACCGTCCTCGGACCCCTCCACATCAAGGCACGGTTGACCGCACTCGCCAACACACTCACATGTTCCACCATATCAGCCGCCAGCTCCAGCGCGCGCGGCAGCACCGCCTCCTGCTCCGCCAGAGTCTCAGCAAAAAGACCATCAAAGTGCGACGCCGTGCCGGGGAAGACACCACCGGTAGAGACGAGGTACATCGCGCGGGAGTAGCCGATCAGTCGGGGGAGGAAGTATGAGGAGCCGGATTCCATGGTGACGCCGCGGCGGGCGAAGACGAGGCCATATTTGCTTGTTTGGTGGGCGATTCTATATCATTAGTATTGTATTATATCATTGTTGCCGTTGTGGGTGTATATGAATGGTGTGTGGGGTACGTACCTTATTGTTGCAGGAAGTGTCAGTGTCAGGCCTATGCCTACGGCGGAGCCCTGAATGGCAGCGATGGTCGGCTTGCGACAGTGGTGGATGGCTAGGGCGACGTCATGTTCGCTGTAACTGTCAGTTTATCCCCACCTCATCTCCCTACATATGAGAGAAAGAGAAAGAGAGAGAAAACAAACCTAACTCTCCTCCCCGTCTCCTCCCCCCGCCCAATCTCCAAATCCGCCCCAACGCAAAACGTATCCCCAGCACCAGTCAAAACGATAGCCTTAACCCGGTGGTCGACATCGAACAAAGTGAAGACACGGTGCAGGTCTTCGCCCATGGCTGGGGTAAAGGCATTGCGCTTTTCGGGCCGGTTCAGCGTCACGATCACGATGGGGGTTGTGGTGGGCGTGCCGGGTGGGTGGTGGGAGAGGTTGATGTGGGTTGTTGGGAGGGTTTCGTAGGAGGGTGGAACTGAGATTGTAGTATCTGGCATTTTGGTGTTGTAGATGTTGGATGGATAGGTTGGTGGTAAGAAGTGGGATAGGAAGAGAAGAGGATGGATGAGAGGAGAGAGGTAGAGGGAGGGGTTTTATACTCAGCAAAGAATATTCCTGCGGTGGATTGCTTGGTGAATTGGCTGGTAGGTATCCTTTGAAGTGGATTAACAGTGAATTAGCAATGAAGAGTGATTGATTGACAGTCTACCGATTATTTCGAGCCCGATACGTAGGCAGTTATCCGTCACACCTTTATATACTGGTATACATACCACATCTTACTCTAATGCACTCTAGCCCAGCTAGTTGCTTGATAGAAGATATTTATTCACTATTACCAGTCTGACCTACCATATTTGTATTATATCCATATATAACCAGCTTGACATGAAGAAAAGAAGAAAAGAAAGAGATCACTTCCACTCATCCCTCCCCAGCTTGACAATATCAGCCATCTCCAAGACCCAGTATTTCTCCGGCGCCTTGCCCTCTTCGACCATCCGCGCAGCCGCAACAGCAGCTCTTCCGATAGTAGCTTGATCCTGGCCTGCCTTTCAATCAGTATCTGAACCCAGAATGTAGAATATAGAATGAACATACCAATCCGATCCTGCACTCCCTGCCCCAACACACTCAAACACTCCACAGCCTTCTCCAACAACGGAGCCTTGGATGTCTCCCGCCCGATAATCATCCCCGGTCTCAAAATAACCGCATGCTCAAACCCCAACTCCCGAATCGCATCCTCCACCCCGACCTTCATCTTCGAATACGGCACATAACCCGACAAGAGACCCCTCGTTCCCGCAGAAGACACAAACACATACGTCTGGACTCCCGCCTCCTTAGCAGCCCGCGCGTTCTCAATCACCAGATCATGGTCGATCTTCCACTGATTCTGAACTCCACCCGCTGCGGCCCTGGTGGTGCCGATAGCGTTGAAGACGGATGATGGTTTGGGAGAGAGGGTCGAGATCATGGATCCCCATTTTGTGGTGTCGCTCTCTTTGAGCGCTTCGAGCTTGGGGGATGTAGCTGTTGGGAGGCGTCTGGAGATGGTCTTGATGTGGCTGTAGGTGTCTGTTGCGAGAAGGGCGGCTAGGATTTGGGAGCCGACGGCTCCGGTCGAGCCGAATACTGCTGCTGTTGCCATGGGGATTATTAGTTTCGAGGATGATGGATTGGAAATGTGATGGTAGGATGCGGTGCTGCTGGTGTGGAGGTGAGATAAGACTGATTAGGCCGCCATTGTCCACGCGGTGTCGCTGACGTCATCCATGCAGGAACGCTTTGCAGTAGATGACTGTGTATACTATAATTCCAATAAAGATGTGAGTTGAATATATACTACATGCTGATATCTTATAGAAACAACATTACAGTGACGGACTAGCTTGTTATCCACTCTGATGATCCAGTGGGTCCAGCTGAACCGTGCTGGCTCAGACGATTTAACCTCAATTTAGCCTTGGCAGTATCATTAGGATGAACAGGTCCTGGTGGATCGCTGCATTTCACTGCAGGGGGGATGCAGCATGGTAAACATTTGTATGTATGACACACGTGTACCTTCAATAATGCCCATGACCAGTACCACTGTGCATCCATAGATACCGCACTGAAGACGCGCGTGGCTCCACTCCACACGCCAATAAGAAACAAATTGCAGATAGGGCAGGGTTCTAAGATTATCGTCAGCAATCCACAGTATGGAAGGATGAAAAAGCTTGTTTTGGAATGGTCCTGCCGTGCATCCCTTGACTGGGATACCCCAGCTTACTGGACAAGGCAGTTGGAACTCATCTCCGCTCGGTATCTCACCTCCAGAATGCGTGGCCGCCATGCGTCTAGCGCTTGAGTTCACTCGAAAACAGAGACAGTTGATAGCCTCCTTCGTGGTGGTTTATCTACTCTTGCTCTTTTTCTGCCATTCCAACTCTGCACGCGACCCGACGTCTATCTTCTTCCAGCCGGACGTCGGCTACCGACCACAGCGCAGTCTCCAGCGAATCGACGAGTCCATTCAGTACCTCTCCACATACAACCACTCGTTCACCCCCCATTCCACGGCAGACCTGACCGCGCCGATCAACAATGTCGATATCTGCATCGGGATCGTGACAGTCAAGCGCCCCCTCCAGCAAAACCTCGACCAAACCGTAGGCTCCCTCCTCGACGGGCTCTCCCCGGCGCAGCGTCGCAGAATCGCCCTCCATCTGCTCATCGCCGAACCCAACCCCGCTGACCACCCGACCTACCACCACCCCTGGGTATCAAACGTCGTCGACCGCGTCCTCACCTACGACGACGTAGATGCCCCGCAGTCAACCATCCGTCGCCTCGTGCGAAACAAGCTCATCAACAAGAAGTCACTCATCGACTACAAGCTCTCCCTCGACGCATGCTACGACCACACCGACGCCCCGTGGGTCATGATGCTCGAAGACGACGTCGTGACCCAGAAGAATTGGTACGAGCCGACCATGCGCAGCCTAGACCTGATCACAGAGTGGGACGAGCGCGACGTGGTCAACGACTGGCTGTACCTGCGCCTGTTCTACACAGAGAAGTTCCTCGGCTGGAACGCCGAGGACTGGCGGACGTATCTAGGCTGGAGCGTAGCCGCCGTGCTCTCCGCCGCCGTAGCAGGCATTACCGCCCGCAGCCGGCGGTCCTCGCTGCGCGCAGTCCTCACAAACCGCTTCCTCGCCGTGATCTGCCTCGGCGCCGTGCCCGCGCTTATCGCACTCTACTTCCTAAGCGGTCGTGTGACCATGCATCCGATGCGACCGGGGATTCACCTCATGAACCGCCACGGCTGCTGCTCGCAGGGACTGGTCTTCCCGCGGCAGAAGGTGCCGCTGCTGTCGGAGTATATGCAGGAGTGGGCGGACGTGCGGCACTCCAAGCCGGTGGACACGGTCATTGAGCGATGGGCCAACGAGAACCGGTTTGATCGGCTGGCGGTGTCGCCGTCGCTGATGCAGCATGTTGGGGCGGCGTCGTATAAGGAGAAGAAAAAGGCGTTTGCGTGGGAGGGGTCACATCGGGTTTATGGGGCGCATGGGGTGTGGAGTATGAGTTTTGAGGAATAATATGGGTGCGTTGTTCTATTGTGTGTATTATGAAGCTGCATGGTTATTGTATGATAATTGCAGCTCGATGATCTGGATGAGTGATAAGGGGGATCGCCATAAGAGTCGCTCTTATCACGAACGGTGCAGGGTCCACTGGGCTGGAACTGAAATTTTCATCCCAGTATCATACTCTATGTTATCGAATAGATCTGGTCTCCAACTATAACCGAAATACATGACAATATCCATTTATTTATTCTATATCAAGCTAATGATCAATCTGAATGACCAATATTTAAAAACCATACCTTATCATAGCTAAGAAAGTGGATAACAAACGTGATCCACTTCGCCCAGTAAGACTAAGAGCTCGACTAGACCTTTTTCTAATCCACTGCGGGATCAACTCGGTCTTGTCCTTTCCTTCCACTTCCTTTCATTCACCTGTCTATTTGCGCATTGTCGGACCTGGTTCTATCTATTCTCTGCCGTACCTTACTGGCAGGATTCCCCTTTGCCACATCGCGGCATTCCTCCGAGCCAAGATTCTTTCCCTTTTCTTCCTTTCTTTCTTCGGCGCAAACCTTGACTCCTCATCCACCTTACTCACACCAACAAATCCAACTCACAATGGGTCGCATCATCTCCCACGGCCGCGGAGGCGCAGGTACTCTCCCACAAGATCCTAATCAACCTCCGAATTGTTACATACATCAAGCTAACGCATCATCGCAATGCAGGAAACATGTTCACAGCCGAATCCTCAGCCCCGCCCCCCGACCTCGTCACCCCCACCATCAAACAAGAAGTCTACACCACCGGCCGCGGCGGTTCCGGAAACATGGTGCATAACGATCCGGACCATCCCGAGCTTGCGCGCGAGAGTCAGGACGTCGAGTCGCCGCCGTTGCGCGTGGAAGAGGCGGCTCATCATACTGGGCGGGGTACGTCCCTTCTCTACTATCTTCGTCCATGAAACGTTGGACGGGATATCTATGAGAATAGTGTGGCTAATGTGATATCCACAGGCGGCGCAGCAAACATGTACATCCCCTCCGCCGAAGAAGAGAAGCGAGTGCGCGAACAAGAGGAACAGCTACGACGGGTGCGCACACAGGAGGAACAGCGCCTCCGCGAGCAAGACGAGTATCTGCACCGTGTCAAGACGGAGAGTAAGGAGCGGGTGACGAAGGAGGAGACCGGCAGTCGGGATTCGTCGAGTTGAATTTTCCCCTTTCTTTCTCTTGTCTTTTTTGTGGGGTCGTGAGATGTTAGATAAGTAAGTGCTGCTGGCGGTGCTTTTGCAGTTATTATTTATATTCCCTGTTTCTTTGTGTTGAATAGGGAGGTGGTCTGTTGTTGGTTGGTATGGTCTGGTTTGTTTATCTGTATTTTTCACTGCTTCTTTCATCTTCTTGAGGGTTATGTCTTCAGTGTTAGGTGTCTTTGTTTATCGGGATATGCTAGAGGTCCATCTCTAGACTGAATTCTAATGCTGTTAGGGTATTGCTGAAATATGTCCTAATGACCAGATAAACTCTTGCTCAAGTCTAGTAACAGATGATATGGTCGATGAAATAGCACAATAGATTAGAGCTAAGAAGTATAATACCTAGTACAATATTAGAAACTCCATCATCAGACATAACTCGTATACTCTATCCACATCACATTGCATGATTTGAGTATAGTTAGTACCGCCAATCGAGACCAGCTCAACCTCCTAAACAGAAGCCCAACAAAAAAAAAAAAAAGAAAAAAAAAATCAAGACAGGTCAATAAAAACCCCCGTCGCATCAACCACCCACCCCAACGCCCCCTTCCACTCACCCCCCAAAGCCAACCCGCACTCCCGAATGATCCGCTCCCCCCACTCACCCACCCACCAAGACGCGCGCATCGCATGCAGTATCACGGCATAATGCGCGAGTAGTACTAGCGCGAATGGCCGTCTCTGGCGCGCGAGGGGGAGAAAGGCCGCCGGGACGTGGTAGGTCCATTGCATGGTTGACAGGGGGGTTTCCTCGTTGCCGCCACTGTGGAGTAGGGTTTTGAGAGAGGAAGCGAGGTGGATTATTGTGGTGGTGTAGGTTGATACTGGGTGGGAGGGGTCTTGGTCGGATAGGGTGTTGTTTAGTCTTGTGAGGGCGATTATTGCTAGCTGGGAGGTGTTGGGCATGTGGGTTTCGTGGGTGGATGGCGAGTGGGGTGAGGGGGGGCTGAGGGGGTTGTCTTGTGTGATGGGTGATGAGGTTTGGATGTGGGTGATGATGTGGCAGAGGTTGTCGATGGGGTTGTTGCTAGATAGCTCGATCGTCAACGGCAAGGCGAAAGAGTATACAAGGTCGATATGGCACATGGCGAATACGGCGTCGCATGTAGACTTGTCAAGACTTTGGACTGCTTTTCGGAATCCACACACGGTCTGGCTATGGTGACTCTGCGCCGTCTTGATGTATTCCTCTCGAGAGTGATGATCGCTGGTAGAGGCGATGTGGAGAGCCGACAGCGCCAGGAGCCCGTGTGTCAGAAAAGGGTGGGGGATGGCCTCTTGGGGAATGACAGTCTGCCCGATCTTCTCGAAGGAGGTGCCTGTGGCGATGGAGCGATAGGTTGCTGTGCTCCATTGGACGGTGAGCTCCAGGTCTTGCGTATTGGGTGATCCGGGGGCATCTACGGCGTCGCTATACTTCGACGGGGAAGTGCCAGATGGTGTCGACGGAGAGTTGATCATGATGGTGGATGTCAGATATTTGACCTTCGCGCTGCGAGGTGGAGAGTAGCGCTGCACAGGTCAACCAGTGTAATGGTAGGAAGAAAGACAGGAGTCAGTAGGCTCATCCTGTGTCATACCTTGATGTGTCTCTCGTCGCATTCTAGACACACATACTGCGACAGCCTACGCGATGGCTGTATAGGCATTATAAGTAGTTGATTCTGCTTTCAAACCAAAATCGACCAACACCAGCAGAACCGAACAGGTATAAGTAGTCTGCAGACAAGCTAGCCGTACAATCAACGGCGCTATGCTCGGGCGCTTGATTTATCAGACATGAGTGCCTCGCAATTGACCGCAGTGCGCATTGATAGCGTGCATGCATATGTATATAGGAGCGAGATGACCAAACCAGTAAATGCAGTAAATGGGTAAACCGGTAAATGCAGCGCTTGGACCACTGAATCCATCCCCACCGGACATACATGGGATAAGCAACTGATTGGAGAAAGACACCAACTGCATTGTCCTATCTAGGAAAAAGACAACAGAGATCCGGTGGCCAACATACTTTGAACATCCCTGTCTGTCAGTCGGGATTCCAGAAAGATTGGCAAGGAATCCTGACCTGAACGGGATAACCGATGGGACTATTGATAATTAATTATAGCAGCCAGTCCAATCTGCTGCTCCTGATCATTGACCCATCGGGGTTAGGATTGTTACTAGCTGTGGGGCAGACTAGCGAGATGAATTGATCTTCTCGTCATGCCCGGTTGGGACAATCCTTTTACTCTTTTGGGTAATACTACTTCTTGGATCTTTAATCAACCATGTCTGCTTGGCTGTCAGATCTCTCTACTCCACAATTCGATCTTTTTTGCCAGTTGACGCTATGACTGACATCACGACCAGTCGAAAGAAACCCTATCTTTATGATGGATGACCTATGATTATACATTATCAGCAGTCCGGCACTGAAAACCCCGTCGCAAGAAGACACAAAGAATATTCCACCATGCGCCCACCAGCCTACATGGCCCCAGGATCACGATCCTCCAGGATCTAGTACCGTGACTACAATCTATCGCTCTTCTTCCACGGCGTGTCTCATTAGAGCATTGCAGGGTTGTGATGATACTGTTGGCAGCTAACTAAATAATAGGCAAGCACGAGTCATTTATGCCAGCCAGCCAGCATCTCACTGGCAAACCCTAGAATATGCACGAGCCTGCATTGTCTTGATGAGGAACCGCTGCCTGCAGGATGCAACACAATATGGCGTTGATTATCATAGGATGATGCTTTTACTCGATTCGTCCTGGTATATGCAGAGCAGCCGATAAAAGCACACCAAGCTACCCCAACAAGGTAAATGCACATCTCACATCAGCTGGCTGTCGATATCCGAGCTAGTGAAGTATATGAGAGTACCGCCACTACGGTCTGTGTGCAGCCTGACACAGTGCGCGAATTATTCTTTCTACTTTGTTGTAGTGAGCGGTTCTCATCCAGGATAGTACCGACATATGCACTCTTCCTTCTGGTCTACTCTTTTCATTATTTCATGTCCACTTTATTTCTCATGGTGTCTATCATCTAATCGCTCCTGAAATTGTCAGCGAAATCATTGAGAAGATAGACCTTGGACTTGCGACAGGTAATAAGTGATGGATAACCAACAATGTATCAATTTCGGCACTGTCGTACAACGATCGGCATTGCATCTCGGCAACTGGCATTTGCCTTTCCTTAAGTAAGTGTAACCTGGGAAGAAAATAAAAAATCGGCAGGAAGGTGATTGCTGTGGATTACTGCTATAAAAGAGTTTGTTACAGGTCTGTGCTATCATCTGTTTCTCAATTGAGTCAAACACGATATAAGCTAGTCCACTAATTCCAAACGCGCTAAAAGATAAACCACACAGATAAGGTCTCAATCAACCAGTCCACAAATTCTTCCCATACAACGCCAAAAGCGCAAAGTGGCTGCCCAGAGCCGGTCTCGCGCGGAACGCGTAGTAATCCCCCGCCTCTCCCTCATCATTATCCGCCACCCAATACCGATCGGAGAATGGTGCGCGGTTGCGCCCGTTGGAGATGTACGCGTGCATGTCCGAGATGAACATCTCGCGGGTCGCTCCGTCCACCAGCGCCGCCCCGTACCCCTGCCAGTTGGTCTGGCCCCAGTTGAGGTCGCCGTTGAGAGCCAGCCCCGCTTCTTTGCGGACCGTCGGGTAGAAGTCCGTGGTGATGTTGTACACCTCTTCCGGGAAGACGTTCAGGCGGAAGAGCCGGTCAGGATAGTGGTTGTAGACGAGGAACCAGGTGTCGCTGCCGTATTGCATGACGAAGAACTTGCCCTCCGGGTCGGTACCCAGGCGCTCGCTGTACAAGGCCTCTGCGATCTCCTTGCCGTACTCGATGTAGTCGTTCTCGCCCGTGAGATGGCTGTATAGCGCCAGCCCGCTGGCGGCTTTCATGGCCAGGTTGGTCTGGTTGGCCATCGCGCCGAGCGCATCGTTGAGGGACTGCTGCTTTTCCGGATACTTGCCGTGGACCTGCAAGTAATCGGCGTACTGCTTCAGCAGGTCGGCGTACTGGGTTGACATGTCTTTCTTGCCAGTAGCGTCCTGGTAGCCGTAGATCATGATGATGACGTTTCCGGTCTCTTCCACGGGCATGTACTGTCCCTCGGGGTCGTGGCCAGTTGCATTGGGATAGTGCCGGCCCAGATCGTGCACCGCAAACTCATCCGGATACGCGTCGCTGACCATGTACTCGAGGACGGGCTTCATGAGGAGACGGATGTAGTCGGGGGTCAGCGCGTAGAACACCGGAAACGCGGCGTACATCACGTCGACCGTGTTGATGTTGCCGTTGCTGGAGATCTCTTTGATGAACGCGCTGGCTTCGGCCGTATCCATGGTATCGTGCGGCACCACGATCTCAATGCCTCCGTAGATCTGAGGGACGGACAAGGCGAGAATGTCCGAGTAGTTGGCGCCGTAGGATTTCACGCCCCACTCCTGAATCATGCGGTCGAATTTGACCGACTCCTGGGCCGCATCTTCGTAGTCGTCCAAGAAATATGTCACAGCCGAAATGGCCGTTGGATATCTTGCCCGATAGTATCCAGTCCGGAGACCTCCGATGTAGTTGATGGCTTTCTCGCGGAAATGACCAATGGCAAATCTGACGGAAGTCTCTCCTTCAGCTTCACCGAGGTCGTGCGCGAAAGCGACGGCACCATCGGCAGACCAATCAGCGACGGTATCCTTGAGAACCCCGTTCTTCACGAACTGCGATCGGACAGCAGCCGTGGGTCCCGCCTGTGTTGACAATTTGCTCTTTCCTGATGGACGGCTAGCATATACCGTTTCGCCCCACAAGGCCTGGTTCTCTTCATTCTGCGAAAAGGTGGCTCCCCCTACCGGATTGACATGAAACGCAGATGTCGTGCCATTGTGGGAGGACCGCCAGTCCGCCTTGTTGGGCTGACCCGTCCACGAGGAATCGATATCAGAATATATCTGAACCTTACCCTTGCCCTCACCGACAGTAACAGTGAGGTAGGCAAAAGGCAGGGACTGGCGTAGAAGATTCTTCGGGGAGATTGGAGAGAAAAAGTCCAGCGTGATGGTGCGCGACCCTGCCGTGAGGGTGAACTTGCTGTGAGTAGATGTGTAACTTCCCCTGGTGACAGTGGCTGGCTTGACACCCTCCAAGTCATCAGTCACTCCAAACAAACTGTACGCTTCTCCATCTACCCGGGCAATGATTGACCATGTCAGATCATTTCCGAACCAAAACTGCGGGGAGCTGGATGGTAAATTGGGCGCAAATTCCCCCGGAATCCAGACTACCAAGGGTCAGCACATCACAACCCAACCAATCACACTGTAAGCTGTGACTTCAGAACAGGTGAAAAGGTAGAAGGAATCGAGCGTGTAGAAAAAAAAAAATTAAATAAAGAAAAAAAAAAAAACTAACCAGACAGGTACGGAGTACGGACAGCCAATGGATATGATGGAGGCGTTAGAGGCGTAAAGGATGGAGCAGCCGTCGTGATAGACAAAAGAGCAGCCACCACGACTGCCCATTGGGCCGTCAACTTGGCGAAGTAACCCATAGTATATTGTGGGCAATGTGAGGGTCAACAAAATCCAAAATTACGACCAAAAAAATTCGGTCGCTGCGACTCTCTACCCAAACAGCAACGTTTGAAGGTCGATCCTTCCAAGGGGCTGGGGTGATACAAATACCTTTCCCCTCAACCCCCGTCCCAGACATGCGGGCTGCATTCTTGCGAGGGGATCTTCATCAGGCCCAACAACATCTCGGCAGCATGAATCTCACATCCAGCGGACGGCAGGGGAAATATGGAGCAACGGCATGGGATGGACCAATGGTCTCTTGTGATGCGCGAGGGGGGAGGGACCATGCGGGTCATGAGGCGCAGTCAATGCGATGATAGAGGGAGGAAGGAGGAAGAAGAGGAAGTCTCGGAGGTGAGAGAGGAGCTGGTTTGTTTGTTTCTCACTAGTTGCATCTTTCAAGGCTTACAAGTATCATCCATTTGATCCATCTGCCCAGCGGAGTCTCCACACTACTCTCACTAACTCGGTCAAGCGGCGATGCAAGTGCAGATCACACAAATCATAAGGACCCAGCACCTCCACCCCTCCAAGAGCTAAAATCTTATATATTAACTATTATCAGCACGCCATTCCTTGGGTGACATGCGACTCCGACTTTTGCTCGATTCACCTATCAGAATGTTTATGAGTCAAGGTAACACCGGGCAGTCTTGAGACTCTCCCAATAAGGAGGGTGCATCCCGAGAAGATGCATGGAGTCGACTCTTAGTACATGTATCGAGATCAACTCCCCGCAAGGGATACACCGTTATATTGACGGGATGTGTCCCGCCCAGACTAGGCTCACAAAATATCATCGTTGGAGTGTCGTGTCTGTCGGAATATACCGTCGTGTGTCTTTTTTAGGAGGTTGATCCGGTGGGTTCAGATGATGTCTGCCGTGGATGCATCTATTTAACCAGACAATACGGGTACTAGTGCACTCGCGTGCATTCCAATTTTGAACTCTGAATCAACTGAGGGTCGTTGGCGATTATCAGCGGAGTGATGGATCAAAAGGCACCATGCAGGTACTCTTCGGAAGATTCTCTGGTGGAGGCCGTCTGCCAAAACGATCCGACTGTGCTACCTTGCGTCTCCCAGAGCCATTCGATGGTGATGATGTGATCCTACTGATAAATGGTGTTTGCGCGGCTGCAACGCATAAGGCGCGAGATCCTCAACGGGTGGACATGGGGCTCACTTCCCGAGCAAGCACTATCATACCAAACCTCACTAATTTCTCGTCCGTGACACCACATCGACCAGCCAAGAGACCAATATTCAATACCATCAGGCGACCCGTCTCCCCCGCACAGTCTCGGACCATTCTGGCTCTTGTATAGCACGCCAAGTCTTCCCACAAGGCCAGACACAAAGTCCCCGACCGCAAAGGCTCAGGTCGCCGGGACAATTCAGCAGAGACCTTGATTTGGAAAGCTAGTGGCCGTGGGGGTTGGGCAGCGATACAGAGTCCACCTTGTGACAAGCTCACCGACAGCCGAAGTGCTCTCTGGACTCTCCAATAAGAACCCCGCAGTATACATCATACGAGAGCTCCCTCATGGACGCTATTCTTAGCGCCCTGCACGTCTGCCGTCATACTTGGCGCTGGCGGGACTTGTGTGTGCGGGGTAGACAGCCGCAGTCAAGATCTTATCAAGCGATCTACCTCCCTGGAGCTTTTGACTCAATGTCACAAGTGGGCTGCAACCGTAGGATTTGCATAGTCTTGGAAGTCACCGGACGGCATCAGTCTACCGTGCACTTTCAAGCGGGGTTCTTTAGAGTTCCGGTGTCCTAAGAGACTCATATGACTTGGTCAAGAAAAACAACAAGGCTCGAAGCACTACTGTTGCGCTAGCTTATGAGATGTACGGAGTAGGCAGACGGTACAAAAACCAAGAGACTATACGAGATCAGGTGTTACTTATGAAGTCATTTCGACTATCTCCTCGGACATGTTCGCTGCAGTTATACAGTTGACAGTTTGAGATACGACTCGCGGATTAATTTTACCGTAGATATGTGGTAGACGTTCTAGACAATCCAGATGTCTCTTTGTACACACCGCTGATTCAACTAGGAAACTGGGTAGTATTGGTTATATCCAGCGCGCTGCTAACCGGTGGGTTAGTTGTATGGATTCCTACGCTACTCGCATATCTATCCTATAAAGACCGTCCCCGAAATATGCGTTATTTGGATCTTTTTAGTAATGCCAATTGATATTATATGAAAACAGTGTGATTGGTACTGACTATGCCTGAGTCTGGGCCTTCCTGTACTTGTCTATGAGTGCACTCCTACTTTTGCTTAAAATCCGAGTAGCAGTGACAAGCAAGACTGTTATACCAAGAGAATGCTTTGTGCCTTTATTAAACCTCTCACCCTTTGCCAAGTTGTCTCCTCACCACCTCTGTCTAATTCTCCCGTCTCTCTAACCGCTAATGTGTATCTCCTTCCCCCCTGGTACACCTAAGGTGGGTTACATCTTACGGATACTATAATGCCACGCTACCAACCCTGCGACTCTGCAGAATATTGTATCTGGTCGCACAATAGATGACACCCCTACAGTACACAGAATCATCATGACATCTGTGTAGACAAATGTATATGTCCATCTGTATTGCCCTCGGCTCTCTACCATGGAGACGGATGCGGCTTGACTTTCCCGTTGGGCTTATACTCTAGCCCAGGGTGGAACAGGAACTGCCTCATCTTCGGGGTTTGTTTGATAGGTGGTTATGCTCTGTTGACCTTTGCTTTTTCCAAATACTGCAGAATTCCACCGTCACGATAGTTGAGAGCACGACAAGGATAACCGCTTGTTGTTAGGACAGTCATCTAGTTGGTTGAAACCCACCATCACCAGCTGGGAGTGTCATTCATCTAGTCTATTCCATTCTGGAGCCCTTACCGAATGTCCCACCCAGTTTGTAGCTTGTCGAGATGACCCATGGATGCTCAACTTCCTGGTTCATGTCTCCCTCATCCAGGGAAATGAGTCAGGAGCGACTCTAAAAAGATAGCAGACCAATTAAAACCAACATGCAGTGGTATAACCAAGTCGCATAACAAGCCCTGGTTTTTTCCCTACCCTTTTACTCCATAGTCACAGCTGAACTCATCAGCTCTCTTCAACCGTTCTCCCCCATGGACCCTCTGATCTACAAGAGCATTAACCCGCCAACGGTCTTGAGTCCCCTTTCTCTTCTGGCGGCATCTCGGCACAGCTAGTACCTTCTTCCCAATAGACTCTCCCGGATCGACAGTAAATAAAAGCCATGTATTCGCATAAAGGCCTTGATCATCCTCAATTTCAATAATGTTAATCTGTAACGCTTCCAGGTTGGGATCATCAGCAGGGACGAGATGGTCGAATATTACGCCATAGTAGTCGATCAACTTAGTTGAATTAAGGGATACCAGGAATAGCTCAATTTGAATCCACTAGAAAGCAGACAAACGTACTGCTCCGGACGCTTTTCCAGCATCCAGCCGAAGTACTCACCCCGCACCACCAGATCACTTCGAACGTCCTGACAAGCATTGCGTTCGTATAGTTCTTGATATGTCAACCGTGCGAGCTCTGGGCCTGCTGGCTGCGGGAATGGCCGGTCTAGAAGATCTAGATGCCACGGGATATGAGGCAGGAGCCGTTGGATGGCGATCAGAGGACCTTCAATTTGGATCCGGAGTGGCTGGTCAGGTGGTGAAAAGTGATGCTGATGGCTGGGAGTGTGAATGCACGGTGGGATGTACAGTGGGAGTGCCATTCGTAAGAATGAGCCGCCTAATTACCTCGCTGGAGTTGATTGGGGAGTTGTGGTAGATCAACCCAATTGTTCTCATAGAAGCAGGATACTGGATCATTGGAAATTTGAGAGCGGTTTCATGTGTCCGGTGAAGAGAACTAAGGTGCCCAGAGCCGTATGATGTACATATTTGTATCTTCATTCAATCTTCGCGTGGAAACCAGGCGCGATTAAGATGCAGCGGTTGGAATAGACACGGTTCGATAACCAGGCTGAATGTAGTCTTATTGAAAAGAGCCACCTTGGTATTTCGATAAGATGAACTAGAAAGGGAAGAAAAAACCATACGAACAAACAAACCTTTCAATGACATTGTCCAAAGATCTCAACCCCGGAGTCAACCACTGGATAACAACATATCGATCGCAAACCATGCCGTGTTTCCGCCTCCCTTGGAACTCCGCACCATGGCAACTTTGTCCCTTCTCTCCACTTGTCCCTTCCTGCCCCCTTTTTCCAAATGATTGGTCATTTATCTCCCTTATTCCCTGCAGAATAAGCGGACCTGTCTCATTTCCCCCGAGAATGACAGATCATGGCATCCACGCAGCCGACATGCGCAACACCCAATTGACATATGCCACCTGCCGCTCCGTCATGCACGCCGCTCGTTCCGGTAGGCTGCGTTGTCCTGGGGGGCATTCTGCATTGCATGACTTAATGGAATTCCACAGTTGGGCTACTTTCGGTTTGATGATAAGGACTTTTTGCCCTCATTCTCAATTATATTTATTCTACGGAGTGTTTAACAAGCAATGCTGTTCCAAGTTGGACGCGATTGATTGACTGACAATGAGACTCACCGCCCGGCTTACTAAGTGACCACCAGATTATCTACAGAGTATACGATCTACAGAGTATACGAACACGGAATACAGCAGGATGATCCCTCAAAAGAGCTGAAAGACATCAGAGCTTGGACCATCGGGCGCAAGAATAATTTGTCATGAAGCCCCATCCAATGTTGCTGCAAACGGGGGACGATAGTGTTAAGTTGCAGGTCAACCCAAAACGGGTCCGAGGGGACCCAACCGAAAGGTTCAACGGTGCGACCATTGGTCGAGTCATCTTGTCTTCCCCACGTCGTAGTCAGTCTTCAATCATTTTTTTCTCACTTGTTGCCCCCAAGTCTAACTTAGTACTTCTAGTCTCCTTCTATTTTAGAGATAGGCTAGGGAGCTTGTCTTGCCGGAAAGAAACCCGGTGGGTGGGTGAGTGGGGGGGAAGACGGTTACATTGCTGGAGCCCCACGGGTATTGCATGTTTTCGAGTTGAGTGAACGAAGGATGGGGAGGAGGAGTGATCCTGAAGGATGATCAGGATGAATTGAGAAGGTAAGAGAGGAAGTCGTAACTTGTTGTGTCGAACAGAGGATGACGGTCAGCGTCAGCAATGAGCAGTCATGACACTGATTCAGGGGCTTTGACTAGGACCCTTGCGATTAGTTCGACCAAGTCAGCAGCCAATATGGATTCGTGGACAACCGTCCGAACCCGACGGTCTGGGTCGCGGAGGTTCCTGCGCCGCGTTGATCGACTGATGGGAATTGGTCAGAAAAGGGAAACAGTTCCAAGTTAAAGGACAATTGAAGATGATGAAGATACCGATAGAATTATAAAATTCAGTTGTCTTGTAGAACCAAGATCATGACACGTATAAAAATCCGTAGACATGACCTAATAATGTCGAGGATCGGGGTCGTGAGTAGTGAGTGAGAAAAGAGAGTAAACGAATCGAATGAGCTCATCATCCCCGACGGATTCTCCCACCGTCACGGTCTGGTCTCGACCCTTTTTCTCAATCGTCACTGCTCTTCGTCACTTCCACTTCTCTCTTCTCTTTCTTCCCCACCTTACTGCTCTTCTCCTCTCCCTCTTCTCTCCTCTCTCGTCGCTTCTCTTTCTCTTCCTCCCCCTCTCCCTCTACATAACCGCCAACCGACCGACCGTCCTGCTTCTCCCGGCATCCTGCAGCTTCCCCTCATCCTGACGTCGTCCGTTCCCTCCCCCACCATCCTTTCGCCGGATCCGCACAACAGACTCGCGCTTTGTTGGAACTTTCCGACCTTGGAACCTCTGGATTGCCGTGGTGGGTGAACCCAACGTACTGTACGGTTGACCCGTGGGAGGCGCAGTCAATCTCCCGCGCTTGACACTGACAGCTTTCCGCTTACCCAGACGATCAACCCTTATTTTCTATCGGGAGCTCTTCCACTTGACTAGCGCACACCTTCACCTCGCCCTCTTCCACCCCTGCTCCTGAAGCTTCAATCGTGATCGAAACGCGGAACTCGACGGCTTCTCGACAGCTTCCTGCGCCGTGTGTCCCGGTCCATTCGCGCTTTTTGGGTCGCCCCTCCTTTCGCCACACCATAATTTCGTCACCCTCGCCTAGGGAGAGTCTCGGAAAAAAAAAAAAAAAAATCACGAAGAAGGGCAAATAAGGGCAATTGCATCTCGCAGTCACCGTCCGATATCTGGTCGACCTCGTGAGCACTCGATTTCCGCCGCAGGTCGCGCGGTTCTGCTATCGTTGAAGCAGACTGGTCAGGCTCGATTTGCGCAACCCCTCCGGTCGCTGAACCCGATGCTGCGTCGGTGACGGTCAAATCCATCTCTTATTATTCTGTCTATCCGCACGCTCTCTACCAACCCACCTATATCCGTTTATTGAAGCGACCAATCACTGAGGGAGCATTCCCCTATCCACTACTACCGTCCTTGTCTTCTAGTGATATAAAAAAAATATGTACGGGGTAGAAGAAAGACACCCCGGGCCGCCGCAACCCCCTCCGCTCTCTATGGATCGCATTCCTCCTCCTTCCTCCTCCTACCCGACCCCCGGGTCGGCCGGTCCGATGGGATCGGCCGGTCCACCGCATATGCCGAGTCTGGCACCGGTTTCGACCATCCATGAAGGTCGAATCTGGTCGCTGCAGGTCGTACAGCAGCCCATTCGGGCTCGGATGTGCGGTTTCGGTGATAAGGTGCGTAGTCGCCTCGCCACAATCGGTGCCTCGAGGATGTCCCATTATGCTCACATATTCGCTGCCTAGGATCGACGACCCATCACCCCGCCCCCATGCATCCGGCTCATCGTTCGGGATGAGCAGACCGAAAAAGAGATCGATATCAAGTATGTCCCCGGTTGATCTATGTTTGCGCGGGGAATACCGTTACTGACGCCGGGCAGCGAAATCGACACGTCATTTTATGTGCTGATGGTAGATCTGTGGAATGCCGACGGGACCGGGGAAGTGAACCTGGTGAAGCACTCGGCCACCTCCCCCTCGATATCGACGGCCATGTCCTCATCCTACCCCCCGCCCCCGCAAACCATGTCCCCCTACTCGGGGTACGGACCGAACCCCTACGGGCAACCGATGGGGTACCCCTCGCAGATGAACAGTTACTACGGCAACCCGCAGCTACAGTATGGATACGGGGCCAGTCCCCAGGCGCACTACTACCAACAAGCACAGGCCCCCTACTACGGGAATCCCGTCAATGCGGCCAACCTCTCGTCAGCCCAGCCTGTGTCCTCGGGCCCGGGCGGGATGTTTACGCGCAATCTGATCGGCAGTCTGAGCGCCAGTGCATTCCGGCTGACCGACCCGGAGAACAAGATTGGCGTGTGGTTTATCCTCCAGGATTTGAGTGTGCGGACAGAGGGCGTGTTCCGGTATGCCCCCTGCTGCTTTTTGGGGGGTTTTTGGTGTTGTCTCGAGCTAACGTAGTGTGCAGATTGAAGATGAGCTTCGTCAACGTGGGCACCCAATCGAATGATATGCCGTCCGGCATGACGGTGATCAATCATGGATCGGCACCGGTGCTGGCCTCCGTCTTCTCGGAGCCGTTCCAGGTCTTCTCGGCCAAGAAGTTCCCCGGGGTGATCGAGAGCACGCCGCTGAGTAAATGCTTCGCCCTGCAGGGGATCAAGATTCCAATCCGCAAGGACGGAGTGAAAGGGAGTCGCGGTCGCAACAACGACGATGATGGGGATGACGATGACTATTAGGCGTAAGGAAGGGATAGAGGGTGGCGGGAATGGACGAACGAATAAAAATGGGGAGGGATATACATTCTCATTCCGTCGACTGGTCTTGACGCATTTACGGGCCTCGGATTTGGTTAGTGGTGTTTGGCCGGGTCTTTCTTTTCTTCTTTTTCTTTCTATTTTTATATTTTTCCTTACTTCTTTCTTTCTTCCTTTTTTTTAACGGTTTATCTTGATATTCTATTGTTTGAATGGGTTGGGGTGTTGTCTGTATCGATGTTTGGGTTGGGGTTAAAAGGCTGTTCTTGTTTGTTTCCTTCTCTGGAATCAATTTCATTCAATCCTCTTTTCTATCTCTTCAATCTTTTTCGATGTATCTCTTATGGTCTTTATTTAGATCGGTCCCATTACCGGTTTGCCCGCAGGACCTGCATGACACTAACACCGAAGAGGTTTCGGCCCCGACGGTTCACCTCGGAGGTGCATCGACTGGAATATCCTCTCCTCCGGTCTAACCGTGCTCAATTCTTCAGCCGGAACCCGGAAGGCCATGTCCTTGGGTTGTGGGGATGGTCAGGTGGTGGTGGTGGGGGGGGGGAGGCACTCTTGGCCTGTTATTGTCGCTATGATTGCTCTTATGGGAATGGATCGAACAATGTCCAGCAAACGAACACGAGAGCTGAACTGAGACTGAACTGAGACTGAACTGAGACACCATGCGGAAAATTCCCCGCTTCACTTCATTTCTCATGGAACGTCATATCAATATCATGTTTCCTTGCGTATCTTCGGCATCTGCCCGCCTCACCGGCGCGGTTGGGGTGGCACCCGGGTTTATATAGGCTAAAATGCCAATATAAATACCGTCTCCTTCCCCATCTTCAGTGATCCGTCTCAATCCCTCTCAAATACCACCTCAAGATTCCTCTACAAGATGAAGTTCCAAATTGTCGCCTCTCTCCTCCCCCTCCTGGCTTCGGCCGCTCCCACCGCGGAATCCGCCAAAGCTGCTGCCCCCAACCCAGCCTTCGGCGTCATGGCTGCCAGATCCGCCTCCCCCATCCACTACCTCCCCATGACCGCTTCCAGCCAGAAGTTCTGGCTAGGCGGCAAGACGTCCTCCTACTGTCCTACTCCTCCTGTTTCCAAGGAGGACTGCCCCCCGGGAACGGACACGGTTTTTTCTCCGGGTGGATACGGCCTAGTAAGTCTCATTCTACACTTACACCATCTATACCCATCCATCCCCACAGTATCCATATACTAACGAAAATCAAAAAAATAGAACGTAATGGTCCCCGGCGGCCAACGCATCTACGTCGACCCCACCGGCGCCCTCCGCTTCACACAAGCCCACTCCGGCGCCATCCCTCCCGGCTCAGCCATCGGCCCCTTCGAGTACACCCCCGGCGACTCCTTCGGTCACTTCACCTTTAAGGGCTGGGGCACAGACGGCTTCATGGCTTGTCCGGCGGAGGAGAACCGCTGGCAGGTGTTTGCTGCGATCCAGAATGCGACTGTGCCGGGTGGTGATGTGGGTGCGTGTTTGGGCTTTTCAGCCATTGCGCCGACGGCGCAGGATCAGGGGTTTGCGGCTTGGCAGTATACTTGATTTGGTTTATGGGGATTGGGATTTGTGGAGAGATTTGGGGGTGTGGGAATTTGGGTACATATGTACTCGAGTATGCATGTATAAGAATGATGGTGGATGGTGGATGATGGGTGGATATGATATGGATAGTAAAGAAGATAATGATAATGAATGGAGTGATGGGGACCGGCATGGGACCATCTGCGATGTCAAGTTTAATAAGTTACGATAATATAATGCAATCAAGCTCATTCAATCTATCCAAGTCTAGGGTATCTCAGTTCCTCCAGATGCGAACAGCCTTGTCCTTCCCCCCACTACCCACCTTCTGCCCATCGGGACTCCAATCCACCGCGAATACCTCGTCCCGATGCCCCGGCAGATCCATGGCCAGCTTGCCCGTCCGCAGATTCCACACTTTCAGCGTCGTGTCCTTGGATGAGGACACCAGCATGCGCGAGTCGGCGGAGAAGCAGCATTGGTAGACGGCGCCGACGTGGCCGCGTAGGGTGGTGATGAATCTGATTTGTTAGTTTATTTCCATGGTATGTGGATATGTGTGTGTGTGTGTATAGCAGGGGATACGTACTTCCCGTCTCGCCCGTTCCATAATTTGACGTGGTTGTCGAATCCAGCCGAGGCGATGTACGCCATGTCCGGCGAGAACGTCACGTAGTTGACTTCCTTTTGGTGGCCCAGCAATCGCGCCACCGGCTTGTTCGAGCTCTGCGGCTCCCACAGGTACATGGTGAAGTCGTCGCTGGCGGAGACGAGCTTCTCGACGACCTGGTTGTTGACGGTGGCCGCCTGCTCGAAGCGGCGCTTGGCGGCCGCGACCTTCTCCTCGTCCGAGGCGGGCACCTTGCCCGTGTGGTCGTGGTAGCCCGTGCGCAGGGCAAAGTCCGTCGACAGCGCGAGGTGGTTGACGCGGTGGGCGTGCGCCGCCAGCGTCTGCAGCAGGGTGCCGTTCTCGGCGTTCCACACCTTGATGGTCTTGTCGTGCGACGCCGTGTAGATCTTGCCCGTGCCGCCCCAGCGCACGCACGTCACCGACGCCTTGTGCCCCGTCAGCACCATGTCGATGCGCTTCGACACCACGTCCCACACCCGCACCGTCGAGTCCTTCGACGCGGACGCCAGCCGCGGCCGGCCCGTCTGCTGCAGGTGGTACGGCTCCCACGCCAGGCTGGTGATCCACTTGGTGTGACCCTTGAGCGGGCCGCCCAGTGCCTGGCCCTTCTTCGCGTCCCACACCCGCACCGTGTTGTCCATGCTGCCTGTCGCGATGATCGCCCCGTTCGGCGAGTAGCTCACGGCCAGCACCCAGCTGGTGTGGCCCTTCAGCGTGTGCAGCGGCGTCCCCGTGTCGCAGTCCCACACCCGCGCCGTCGAGTCCCCGCTGCCGGTTACCATCGTCGCGGACGACACCGGAGAGAAGCTCGTCGCGAGGATCGCCTCGCCGTGCCCGGCGATCGACGCCGTACATCGCGACACTGCCTTGACTCGGAATACCGCCTGCGGCGTGTAGTACAGTTGCACTGTGTCCTCGGTCGTCTTCAGCCCGGGCTTCAGCAGCGATTGGTACAGATCTTGCAGGATGTCCACCGTCAGGTTGTCCTTGTCGTCTTGCGACTGGTAGGTGAAGCGGTATGGTACTCGTTCATCTTCCTCCTTTACCAGAACCAAAACGTTAGTTTTTACATTCCACCATGTTATGAATGGGAACGTACATGTCCTTGTAGCGTATTCAGCAACGTCTCCAAATTCTTCACACTGGTATCCCCCACTGGCACCGACACAGCCGGCCCCGTTGCGGAACCGGTCGCCTGGTCGTAGAACTGCACACGGATGCTGCCCAGATTATCGGGGATTCCCTGGATCTCCTGCTGCTGCTGCGCCTTCTCGGTATCCTCGCGCTTTTGACGCTTCGTCGGGGGTGGGAGGAGAGTCGCCATTGTGCTGGTTTGGGTCTGCTGGTTGTTGTTCGATGTCACTTTTGGCCCGCCAAAAAATTTCGTGCTTATCGCGGAGACAACGATTACGCTAACCGTTTTCGGACATCTTATCTATACTGGGCTTCTATACTTGGGTTCATCTCACTTCTTCTTCTCTTTTCTTCTGTTTTTTTTTTTCTTTCGTTGATACTTTTGACAGAAACAGCGGTTGATCTGATGTCGTTTCCTCTCTCTCAGGCTACCCCCGTAGCAGACTCGTTCGTCCCACTCTCCCGGCAGAGTAGTGGTCCGCTGCGGACGAGACCGACAACAACAGCCACCAGTGTGGCATCTCAAGACATCGTCTGTGCAGTGAGTGAATCGCGCGGTATTTCATCCACGGTGGGACTGGCTTTTGTCAATCTTTCAACCGCCGAGACGGTTCTCTGCCAGATCTGTGACAGCCAGACGTATGCCAAGACGATTACGAAAATCAGCGTCTTTGAGCCCACGGAGATTCTGTTCATGAACACAGCTAGGGACTCCAAGCTGTACTGCATACTTCACGAGAATATCCCAGACACTACCTTTACCTTCCTTGATCGCAGGTGCTGGTCGGAGAAGGCGGGCCATGAATACGTCGACAGGCTTGCCTTTCCGGAAGATCTTGAATCGGTCAAGCTGGCACTCGGAGGACACTTCTTCGCGGCGTGTTGTCTTGCTGCTGTATGACTGACTCCTTGGAGGTTTAGACGGTGCTTCTGATATACCTCCAGACCCTCAAATACGTAGAGCTCGAGTTAAACCGGATTTTTGCGTCTCACTCCCTTCGCATCCGGGTTGAGCCGTCGCAAGGCATTATGTCCATCGACCTGTCGACGATCGTCTCGCTGGAACTCGTCCAGAATATCCACAGTACCAAGTCAAAACATAGTCTGTTCGGGCTCTTGAATGAAACGCTCACGTCGATGGGATCGAGGTTGTTGAGAGCCAACATTCTGCAGCCGTCCACGGAGCAGTCAAAGTTGCTGGCACGTTATGACGCAGTGGAGGACTTGTCGACTAAGGAGGATATGTTTGTCTCTGTTAGACAGGGTTAGCCCCTGCTCTCTACCACTCCTTTTCTCTCTAGTGCCACTGACTATGTGTCTACAGCTTTGAAAGGCTTCATTGATGCGGATAAAGTCTTGTCGTCTGTGAGTTTCCTCCTCGTAGGCTCGGAAGCTACTGACAAACCAGCTTATACTGGTTCCCACGAAACGAACCTTCCAATACGTCGAGCAGTCCGTCAACAACGTGATCATGCTCAAGTCTTATGTGTCTTCAATCAAATCAATCTACAAGGCCCTGGGAACCGCCCAAAGCAGCCTATTACTGACAATCAGAGAGGTACAGTGTGCCGCCTACTGCGGGATAAGCTAACCTCGCATAGCTGTGCGCACCGGCGGGTCACAGAGGGGTCGAGCAGCTCATCGAGTCTACCCTCAATGACCATGTTGCGTATCAGACCAAACCGCTGGATCTGAGAAATCAGCGAATTTACTGCGTGCGGGTGGGTTTATTCGCCATATGGGTTTGCCATGTTTAACCGGTATAGACTGGCGTGAATACCCTGCTCGACGTGGCGAGACAGACATACAAGGAAACAAACATGGATGCCGTGGATCTCATAGCACAGCTATCTGGTAGGCCCAGCCCATATTGACCGTGATTCTAATCTGTGACCTCCTAATTCAACTGACAGAAACACATAACCTCAACTTGGACCTGAAATTCGACACAGCCCGCCAATACTACATCAGCATTTCCGCCGCAGAGACAAACTGCTACCTCCCGGATATATTCATCAACGTGTACCGCAAGAAGAAGCGCATCGAGTGCCAGACCCTGGACCTCGTCAAGCTCAACCAGAAGATTGTCGACGCCCACAACGAAGTAGTCAGCATGAGCGACCAGACAATCCAAGAACTCATCCGCGACGTTTGCACAGAAGTCTCCACCCTCTTCCGCGTCAGCGAAGCCATCGCCATGCTCGACATGCTCTCGACCTTCGCCCAGCTGGCCACCTGCAACGACTACATCCGGCCCGAGCTGACAGACGTCCTAGCCATCAAGTCCGGCCGCCACCCCCTCCGCGAGAAGATCCACACGAAGAAGTACGTCCCGAACGACGCCTACGCCACGCCGCAGTCCCGCTTCCAAATTATCACAGGCTGCAACATGAGCGGCAAGTCCACCTACATCCGCGCCCTCGCTCTCATGACCATCATGGCGCAGATCGGCTCCTTCGTCCCAGCAGAGTACGCCTCCTTCCCACTCGTCCACCAGCTCTTCGCGCGCGTCTCCACAGCCGACGACCTCGAAGCAAACGTGTCCACGTTTGCCTCGGAGATGCGCGAAATGGCATTCATCCTACGCAGCCTCGAACTCAGCCCCGACAACAACAAAAGCATGGTCCTCATCGACGAACTCGGCCGCGGCACCAGCCCAACAGACGGCCTATCCATCGCACTGGCCATAGCCGAAGCCCTCCTCTGCACGACCCACGCCCTAACCTGGTTCGTCACCCACTTCCACGACCTAGCAACCATCCTATCCGCGCGTCCAGGCGCCGTCTCCCTCCACCTAGCCGCAGATCTCACAGCGGACGGGTCCAAAATGACAATGCTCTACCGCATAGCGGAGGGGGTGCCGCCCGCGCAAGCCTACGGCCTCGCACTCGCCAATCTGGTTGATTTCGCGCCTGATGTGATGCGGATCGCGCGGGATGTCTCTGCTGCGATGGACGCCCTTGCGAGGCGCAGACATAGTCGGGCGAGGTCGGTTGGGATTGCGCATAAGCGGAGACTGCTGCTTGCGCTGCGGGAGCAGTTGGTTTTGGCACGTTGTGGGACGGTCTCTGGGGAGGCACTGAGGAGGTGGTTGGTGCGGTTGCAGGATGAGTTCGTGGTGAGGATGGATGCTGCTGATGAGGAGGGTAGTTTGTGTGAGGGGGATAGCGATGGTGGGGGGGATAGCGATAGTGAGGGGAATGTACGCCTTCTTGATAGTGACGGCGGTAATGATGGGGATGATGATGGGGATATAAGTCTGGTTGGTATCCACAGCGGCAATGATGGTGATGACGGTGCCGATGATATGAGTTGTGATAGCGACGGTGAGGTCCTCGCCACTGATAAGGTTGAAATCATTGCTCCTGATCAAGTTGAACCACCATCTGCTGAAATAGCCAGCATCCCACACACCACAGTGCCCTCGTCTTTTACACCCGCACCTCATGCCTATACCTGGTCTCCTTCTCTTGGAGCAGACCAACAGGTGAGCGGGATCTGCTCGTCGAATTCTCCTTCAGCTGTGGTTGATTGATCCGTAGTCAGAGATGGATCGAAGACGCAATTATCCTTAGATAGTGTAGTATTCTTAGATAGTTTACTCCGTAGTATTTATATAAAGAGTATGTAGTAGTAATACATTATATAACTTTTCACCACCACTTTGTCCAATGCTCACTCACATCACATCACATCTACAGTCAAAACCATCCACAATGACCAAGTCACCTAGCTCTAGTTAGGTTAGTTGTATTATGACCCGCTAAACACAAGCTTTTTAGTAGAAAAATGAAAGAAAAGCAGAGCGAAAGAAAAAAAGAGATGAATCACACGCATAACGCTTGTCTCACTCCCAGTGCACCTCAAACATCAAACATCAAAAACAAGTATATGTACTCATAAAATCTACCCAATACTAGGATCCCCAATACTAGAATCCCCAGACTAGGATCCCCAATACAAGGTGATATCAACCCCAATGAATAAGCGTCTGCTTCCCCTTCTTCCCCTTCCCTTTCTTCCCCCCACCACCAGGTAACTCAGGGAACTCGTCGTCCGGGTTCAGCTCCGCCTGGGAGGATCCAGCCCACGGGTTGGACGGCGCAGGGCGCTGGTTGTCCCAGCGGACGGTGCCGCGGGTGAGACCCGCCATGAGGACGTTGGGTTTCGGGGCGGCGGGGAGGGACGGGAAGGCTTCGCTGCTGGTGGGGTTTACGGGGCGGGACGGCGTGGGTTTGGGTCTGGAGTAGGAGGAGGAGGGGGTTGGGAGGGAGGGGGAGGAGCCTCTGAGGGAGGGGGATGGGCCTGCGGAGGAGGCAGACGCTCCCCAGGTTGCGCCGGCGGCGTTGGCTTTGGCGGAGCGGGCGGTTGCGGCGGAGAGCGGCGGGAATGGGTTGCTGGCTGCGGCGGCGGCGGTGGCAGAGGATGAACCTGGGAGGGCACCGCTTCTGCCGACGGCTGAGCGGGAGGACTGGGCGGTGGAGGACTTCAGGCGGAGGACGCGCTTGCCGCCGAGGCCGGTGCCGTTGACGGTGCCTGGGGACATGCCCGGGATCATGCCGCCTGCGCCGGGGAGGGCCGGGTAGTCTTCGTTGATGGCGCGCCAGTCGTTCCAGGACTGGAGGAGGGCGGTGCGCTTGGTTTCGTCCTCGTAAATCTCGGCGAGCTCCTTGATGAGCTTGCCCAGTTCGGTGCTGGAGGTGTCGAAGAGGGAGAAGAAGGCGTCGATGAGTTCGGTCGCGGTGATCTGGGACGTCCGGAAGTGAGAGACGCGGGTGCGGAATTCGTCAAGTTTGCCCGCGTCGTTGCCTAGCAGGTTGGCGGCGCGTTCCACCACGGCTGCGTGACGCAGACGACGGGCTTGCTCTTGTGGCGAGACGGGCCCTGAGTCTGCTGCGCCGAGATTGAGGGATCTCAATTCGGCCACTGGCGTCGGCGCGGCTGGGGTGGCGGCCCCGGACCGCGGGGGCGCGCGGACGGTCTGGGTTTCGTTGCGAGACAGCTGGCCGCCAAAGCTTCGGCCTGTCACGGACTGCGAACTCTGGATGGCCACCTGGCGCTGATAGGCGACCTCGTCGCGCCGCAGCGGTTGCGCGCTGGATGGGGGGAGAGGCTCCGAGTTGGGGTCGCGTCCCCGGCCGGCACCACGGCGTTGTCGCTGCTGTGGTTGATATGGCGTTCTGATGTCAAAGGCAGACAGGTCCACAATTCGCGCATCCCGTCTGACATCCTTGGACATCCCGTTGGGGTGGCATTCCAATTGGTGCCCCTTGAGGTCCATTTGCGACTCGAAGACGACAAACTTCTTTTCCAGACACTCTTGGTCGAGGCACAGGAAGTGATCTTTCTGGAAATGGTCCTCCAGCGCATTGTAGTCAATGTAGTATTGCTGCTGGCGAGTCGAGGACCGTCGGTCGCAGATATAGCACCGTTCATGGCGGTCGCGGCAGTGGGTATACAGCTCGTCATCGCCGTAGAACCGCTGGCGACAGAACCCACACTCAGGGTGGCCCTTAAAGCCACTTTGATCGACGGATCCGGGAACGTCATCTCCGTGTTTCTCGTGTTTGCGCAACTCCGCCATGGTAAACAGCGCATGCTCGTGGGTGAAGACCTTCTTGTTCCTCGTACACAAGTCACTGTCACACTCTCAGGTTAGTCTCGCGGTGGTTGATCTTCATTCGCATCCATCACATACCACATGACCTTGCCGTGCTTGTTCTTGACATGACGATGCAGGTCGGGCCACCCCAAGCAGGCCACGTCGCAATTGTCGTCGGGGCAGTTATACCGCAGCAGCAGAACAGTATCCTCAAAGATATCATCATTCGCATACTGGATCCCGAGATTCTCGTCCTTCTGCGAAAAGTCCGCGCTTGTAAAGTCCTCAAACCGCTTCGTATGGTCGTCCGTAAAGATCACGTAGGCCGACTCCGTCTGGTCGCAGATAGCTCGTTAGCAATTTGTCTGTATTATGCAGATCCTCTTGAACATACTCGACAGTGGGCACAAGCTTTATTCTTGTACAGGGCCCGGAGGCGGAGCGCACAGATATGACAAGTGCGGTGATTGCACGGCGAGACGGAGGTATGCTCGACGGTGGAGGCACAGATGAAGCACACCTCGCCATCGTCGGCGTCATCATCCGTCGCAGGGGCCGTAGCCTGTTTCGCCTTGGACAGTGCGCCCGTGGGCGTTGGCGTAGCGGTCGTGGACTCGGGCTTCTTCCCGCCGCGGTCCTGCTTATCGCCGCGGCCTCTGCGGGACGGAGCGCCCCTGGATTTCGAGCCCCGACTGGAGCTCTCTGTCGACTGCGCTGGCGTTTCGCTCTGGTCGGAGCGACCACCACCGCCGCCGCCGCCAGCAACACCATACCCTCGACCCCGTCGACGACCCCCGCGGCTCGGGCCTTGCGGGGGAGCTCGGGACGGCTGAGATTCAGACATGAGGGGCAACGGAAGCGGAGTTCGGGAGGGGGAAGAGGGGCAAAGGCCCAAGGGAGGGAGGGAGTCAAACGAAAGTTGTCTGCCTGGTAGGAGGAGGGACGCGACGAGAGGGAATTCTGGCAGGCGACTTGCAGAGGGAGGGAAAATGGAATGAAATGAAATGACAGCGAGGAATGAGAGAAAACGGGCCAAAACGGCCAAAAAAATTGGTGGTGCTCGGCATTGCTTAGTGAGCAGGGGAATTATGCATTATGCGGAGCGGATCTCCGTCGGGCTCTCCTTTGGGGTTAGAGGGAGGCTCTCATGCAGCTGTTCCTCTGTTATAACTATTCTTGCTACGACTCTGGGACCACGTTTCTATGACAGGATTAGTATTTCACTATGCCACGATGCGGGGAAGATCATCCGCATGCTAAATAGTTCATCCCCTATCAAAGCATTAGACTTGCTTGCCTGGCTCATTGCCATCAGCGTTCCTCCACGTCCCAGCATCCCACGAGCGACGACAAGATTCGTCCGCCAGGCCACGGTTAGCACCAAGAAAAGGGGCTTGAGGCGACGCCTCAGAAACAAATAGTTCAAATATGCCACAGTATCACCTCCCTCCCTCCCAATAACTAAATCTCAAGATGACCAACATCCGTCGGGTCTGTAAGAGGATGCCAACTCCCGCTGTAGAAAAGATCAGAAGTAACGATAGAAGAAAAAAAGAAAAACAGAATGATATTAAGAAAATCACAAAGGAAAGGGAAAGCAATCCAATCGCCAATGAGTGTCCGGAGTAAAAGGAGCGCGTCGTAAAGTCACAAAAACCAATCATGATCACGCCTGGTTGCCAATGCGGTGCAGTATCAGGTATTCGGAAAATCGTAAAGAAGGGAGTCATGGAGACAGACTCCCGGTGGCCTATGATCCTCGTAGGCTCCCGCCCACACACAGTGGAGGGGGCGGCAGACTATTCATCAGGACTATATAAGTTTTGGCTGAGAATCTTGGTCATTGTAAACATGTGGATCCGGTCTTGCTTGAAGACAGCACGCATGGGCTCGTCGCAGCGGATCTGCCGTCGGTCGCTCGGGTCCTGCAGTTCGTGCTCGTGGATATATGCCCAGATCTTCTTTACCGTCTGGGGGCGCGACAGCTGCGGGTCATTAGTCGAATGTTTGGGTCCCACCGGGGTGTGTTATACGCACCGTTGATTCACCCCCTAACAGAGCAGACAGGGCCGGCGAGAGATTCAGGGGTTTCTAAACAATTTTTTAGCATCCGAGGCCGGTTGTGAGAGCATTCAAAGAACATACGTGGAATCCAGTCGACCGATTGACCTTCTTCCCCGCATCCGAGCCCGACTCCAAGTCCGAATCATCCTCTGCCTTGACCTTCTTAGCCGTCTTGGCCTTGGTTTTCTTTTTGACCGGCTGAGCCCGGCGCGTGTTGCCCCCGCGGGTCGGGCGGGCGCGCAGGTTCTCTTCCGCCTGCAGTTTCGCCGCGAACACGGCATCCGCATCCACATCATGGTCTGACTTCTTCTTCTTGGCCGGCGGAGTCTTGCCCGAGAGGTCCGCGCGCTCTTCGCTCTCCGCCTGTCGTTTCTGCGACATCGACGACTGCGCGGGGGAGGACGGCTCCACCGGCGTCACAGAGTCCTTGTCCTTCCCGTGACCGTTGGTGGACACGGGATTCGATTCGGGCTGGGGGGACTCGCCAATGCCACCTTTTTCCGCAAAGATATCAAACCTCTCCATGATCAGCTGCTTAATCGCAGCCTGACACCCAGGAAACGGATCATGTTAGCGCACTGATCATGACGCTTCACGGTGGACGGAGACCCCCAGGGAAGCGGAGGGACAAGGGAGGGAGGGAAGGTATGGAGAGATCGGATCGCGGCGAGAGGGGAAAAGCGGGCAAGCACACCTTCTGCGGAGTAAGATCATAACCGACCACATCCTGCAGGCCTTTGCGAATGCGCTTCTCCGAGATCGTCGTCAGATCACTCTTGGCCAGAATTGAGTCGATGATGGGGACATAATTATCACGGGAATCCGGGGAGACTGTCGCGACAGAGAAAATGATGTCAGTTAGCAGCGACTTCGGCAGGCAGTGAGCGACCTCGGTCGTTCAACCGATCGAACGGGCACTTACGCGACATCCTTCTTGGTCACCTTTGGGCGAGTGTCTTCCTCACTGCAGGGGTAGGGTGGGGGGGGGAATCCAGGTGGGATTGACAGGGGAGAAATTCTATCGGGACAATTGTTCTACTGGACCAAATTGGGCGGATGATATTGGAGAGGGGTGACAGGGACGCGGAAGTCGGGGTCACGGTCCAGGTGAATTGTTGTAAAAGATCGGCCGTCCAGATCGGGGCGTAGCGCTGGCGCTTAGGACCGGCGGGGCATATGGGACCAACGGGGGGAGGTCCCCAAGGGAAGATGTTCAATATGACAGGAAACGGAGCAAAAAAGAAAAAAAAAAAAAAAAAAAAACCCAGATCGATCTAGGAAGGGACAAAGAATCAAAAGACAGCTAGGAATGAGCAAGTGACAGCCAACCCACGGAGCAACCAAAGCCAGTTGGGGATGTGTGGGGGAAGCAGTTTATCTCGAAGTAGAGAAAGTCGCGCGAGTGACCAACGACAGCGCACGGGGTGGGGTCCCGTGACCGGGCTCGTGACTGCCCCGTGATTGCGGTCCCGTGACTGGGGGCGCTCTGACTCAGCATCTGGTCAGGTGACAGACTGGCCAGTTGGCAGATATCAGGTGACACGCTGACTCAGGCCTGACTCAGCAGATCGCACACAGAACACGCTTGGCGCTTTGGTTTTGTTCGTTTTTTGCCCTAAAAAAACAGGCCGAATGGGTTCGCTCAGCAGAAATCATCCCCCTCTCCCCAATTAGCAGCCAAGCATCCACATCTCCCTCGTCGCCGTTGGCTCTCCCTCCAACTCCCCCCCCCCGACAATTCCCCCCTCCCTATATCACCATGGCGCCTAGTTTCGATACTCTCTCTGAGCAAGACCTCCACGAGGAGGAGGAGGAGGAGGAGATCGACTTCTCCGGTGAGTCCGACCCACGCCATAGACAAAGGAAGACGAAGATTTCCACGTCCGGTATCTAACCTCCCACTTCGATCGCCAGATCTCAAAGCACAATATGAAGTGAAAGTCGACGAAGGCCTGGACACATTTATCGTGATCGATGGACTCCCCGTCGTCCCCGCAGACAGCCGACAAAAGCTCATCAAATTCCTGTTGAGGAAGCTCAACTCGGTCGGCCACACCTCCGAAGATGCCGTCTTTATGCCCCTGAGCGACAAGAACATGACTGAAGGGTACGTGTGTGGGATGGAAGAACGGAATGGGGGTGGTCGCAAACCTCCCCCCGTGGTTGGGAAAGACTAATGGGATTGGTTCCTGCAGATTCGCCTTTGTTGAATACGAGACCCCCGAAATGGCCATCGCCGCCGTCAAGCAGCTCCACGGAGTCCCCCTGGATAAGAAGCACACCCTCATGGTTAACAAGTTGATGGATATTGAACGGTATGGTCGGGAAGGACGCGTCGAGGAGGAATACAAGGCCCCCTCCGTCGAGGCCTTCAAGGAGAAGGAGCACCTTCGGTCCTGGATGGGCGATGTCCACGCCCGCGACCAGTTCGCGCTCTACCGGGGTGACAAGGTCGGAGTCTTCTGGAACAACAAGAGCAACCCGCCGGAGAACGTGGTGGATCGGGCCCACTGGACGCAGCTGTTCGTTCAGTGGTCCCCCAAGGGTACCTTCCTGGCCTCCGTCCACCCGCAGGGTGTGCAGCTCTGGGGCGGCGCCTCCTTCTCCAAGCAACGCCAGTTCCCCCATCCCTTCGTCCAGCTGATCGAGTTCTCCCCTCAAGAGAACTACATCACCACCTGGTCCGCCCGCCCCATCCAGGTTGAGGAGGGCAGCCAGTCGGCCCTGTCCTACGAGGAGGATGGCAAGAACATCATCGTGTGGGATATCACCACCGGCAAGCCCCTGCGGTCCTTCGTCTCCCACGATCTCACCGCCGGTGCCAGCGCCGAAGGCGAGCCGAAGAAGAAGGTCCAGTGGCCGGCCTTCAAGTGGTCCGCGGACGAGAAGTACGTCGCCCGGATGATGCAGGGCCAGTCCATCTCCATCTACGAGCTGCCCCGGATGAACCTCCTCGACAAGACGTCGGTCAAGATCGACGGCGTGATGGACTTCGAGTGGTCCCCCGCCACCGTGACCCGCGAGGGCGTCAAGCAGTACGAGCAGCTGCTCTGCTTCTGGACCCCGGAGATCGGCAGCAGCCCCGCCCGTGTCGGTCTCATGAGCGTCCCCTCCAAGGAGATCGTCCGAACCCGCAACCTGTTCAACGTGTCCGACGTGAAGCTGCACTGGCAGTCGCAGGGCACCTACGTGTGCGTCAAGGTCGACCGTCACTCCAAGTCCAAGAAGTCCATGGCCACCAACCTCGAGATCTTCCGCATCAAGGAGAAGGGCGTCCCCGTCGAGGTCGTCGACAGCCTGAAGGACACCGTCATCAACTTCTCCTGGGAGCCCAACGGGGGCCGTTTCGTCGTCATCACCACCGGCGAGGCCGCCCAGGGCGCCGCCGTCGCCCCCAAGACCTCCGTCGCCTTCTTCGCCCCCGAGAAGAAGGGCCCCTCGGCCGGCAACTTCAAGCTGGTGCGCGTGGTCGACAAGAAGAACAGCAACGCCATCTACTGGTCGCCCAAGGGCCGCTTCGTCGTCGTGGCCACCGTGCACTCGCAATCGAGTTACGACATCGACTTCTGGGACATGGACTTCGAGGGTGAGAAGGCCGAGGGAGAGAAGGACCTGGCCGCCAACCTGCAATTAATGAAGACCGTGGAGCACTACGGTGTCACGGACGTCGACTGGGATCCCACGGGCCGGTACGTGGTGACCAGCGCCAGTTCCTGGACCCACTCGGTAGGTTTTCTTCCCCCCATAAAACATATGATCGACAGATCACTGACACTTTTTAGATGGAAAATGGCTGGACCCTCCACACCTTCGCCGGTCAAACCCTCTCCGAGAACCCCACCGACAAATTCAAGCAGTTCCTCTGGCGCCCGCGCCCCGCCACGCTCCTCAGCAAGGAAGAGCAGAAGCAAGTGCGCAAGAACCTCCGCGAGTACTCCAAGGAGTTCGACGAGGAGGACCGGTACGCGGTGGACATCGCCAACACGGCCGTGGTCGAGACGCGGAAGCGTGTGCTCAGCGAGTGGACCGCCTGGCTCCGCCAGCAGAAGGAGCTCCTGTCCGAGGACAAGGAGGTCTACGGACTGCCGGAGGATGTGGACGATCCCAAGCTGGCCAAGGACGCTCCTCCCGCTACGGAAGACAAGGGCGAGGCCGTGGTGGAGGAGATTGTCGAGGAGATTGTCGAGGAGCACGAAGAAATCATCGGTTGAACGGAGCATGTTGGAATTTAATGTTAGGTTTTTTCTTCCCTTTTTTCTACTTTTTTTTTTTACTCTTTATTTCTCTACCTTCTACTGCGTCATCTGTCGATATCCTTTTTCCTCTCGTGGAGCGGTCCTCGCTTCCCCTCTTCCTGTGAGCCTCAGCCTCTTGTGATCCGATTACCATGGTTTTCGTGCGGGATGTCCGAAACCATGAAAAAGTGAATATATGTGTACTGCATATCCCGTTGGGACTTATGTGCGCGTTGGTAGCATGAGCGATGACAATGACGAGCTGCAGTAACGGCCTAGTAGAACATTACATACGCGTAGGATAGCGTGTTTGACATTGAAGCTTTTATAAATCAATCTATAGCATCTGAACCACAACGACAACCACACCCAACACAACCCTCCACCCAACCCTCTGGCCCCCGTACACCCGCCCAGCTCTACTATCATCATCATTCCCACCCTCATCCGTAGTACTCGAAGGCCACGGCCCAGAATACGTACTCGACGGCTGCACATTGACACGAAAGAACCACTTATCGTCGTTTCCCCCTTGACTCCGACCTCCACTCCCACCACTACTCCCAGCGGCAACAACATCAGCCCCATCAGCAGCCCCAGCAGCAATCTTACTCCTCCCTCCACCACTATTGCTACCACCAGTATTACTACTACTCCCACCCCTGCTACCCACAACATTCCCCGCAGGCGAGTACTCACAAACAACATACCACCCCTGCGCCATCTCATACTTCCCCAGCGTACTGTCCTTCTGCGCGCGCGTCTTCCTACTATCGCTATCGCTATCGCGAAACCCGCAATCGATAGCCGCGCATCCCACCTGTTCAGTCCCTCGCCAGACCAACTGTGTAAAATGCCCCGTCTCTTCCGTAAAGCCAGTCGGGATATCGTAGTTATACATTTGGCTCTCGTCGGCCCAGGCTGCGAGGGCGGAGGCGGGGTCAGGGTATCCGAAGGCGAGGTTTTCGCCGTAGGGTCCGTGCTGCCCATTCATTAGTTTATATCTTTCCCACTGTGTTGTTTTCAAGAGCCATAGCCGAAGGAAGAACAGTCGGAAGGGCTGAACAGTATAGTCTCTCTAAGGTTGGGGGCCAACTCACAGAATGCTCCCATTTACAACCCCCCGCCCAATCAGCCGCGTAATCTGTGAGGGTCTCGTTCCAGACGAGGGCTGAAGCGTTGTGGCTCCTGCGGTAGTCGTTGCTGTGTGCGAGGACGGTGTCGCGGAAGATGTCGGGCGATGTGTATGAGGGGGGTTGCGGTGCTGTGGGGGTCATTGTTACGTGGACTGTTGTTTGGGTTGTTTGGGGTGGTGGTGTTGCTGTTGTTGGGGCGGGGAGGGTGGTGAGTGTGAGAGTGAGGAGGGCGAGGAGGGATATTCCTTGATGTTTCTGGTGTTGTCGTCGCATGGTTGAGGATTGGTTGTTTGGTGGTTGATAAGGGTTGTCGTAGAAGGGCGAGTGGTGAGTGACATGTAGCTCTTGTGCAGTGCCTGGCGCTATACAGCTTGCGACAATCATATCCCCCCGGGAAGACGCAGAATAAAACCCAAATCTATATCGATCATAGCAAACAATCACGAATCTGCAAGTAGTTGAGTTAACTCAACCTAGACAATGAATACATCCAAGACAAAGACAAACAAAAACCACTGAAACACACTCGTCTTATTCACAACTCTCCATTATAACCAAATCCAGTCCAGTCCAAGCCAGTCCAAGCCACCACGGCGGCACCATGTTTAAGCCATGATTTGCAGCGAATGAATAAAAATAGTTGACTTCATTGCTTCAGTAGGCGCTTCGCTCATTGACGTCAGTTGGGTCGGCGCGTAGTCAACGGGACCAGTATGTGGTCCATGACGGAGGAGAGAGACAATTAAGCTTTGCGATCAGGGGGGGGAATAGGTGCAGGAAAGGTTATTTTGTGCTGAAAGACTATCATGACATATACATCTGAGGTGGGAGTCTTGGTGGTTGGGTGTTCCGGGACTTCCTTGAGCCCCACTGCTACGGAGACTATAGATAGAGATCCACTTGCTGGAATGCAACACAGGGGTATTTCATTTCTATGGATAGAAGACAGAGAAGGAAAGAAAAAAAAAACAGGATATATATACACACCAAGAAATTTCTCACATCACTGTACATCCAATACCGTACATGGCTCGCTCGACTTCCTTTTTAACCTGGTACCAGTCTGCCCGTCGCTCGGCGAACTCGTATACTTCTTCTACCCGCCAGATCCCGTAGAATCGGTCACCGTCGGCAATCACCGCTGCGAGCTCTTTGGAGTCGGACGGGTCGATCAGGTATATCTGGGACAGTTCTCGGAAGGCTTTGAAGTAGAGGAGGAGTTCGTTGTTTTTGAGTGTCTGGATGAATTTGAAGTAATGGTTCATGTCGCTGGTCGGGTTAGTTAGGTCGGCATTCGCAGAAATCAGGGGGGTTACATACCTGATCAACTTCAACGATCCCTCGATGCTGATGCGCTGGCGCTTCAGATGCTTGCACAATGCGGTAAACAGTCGCAGTCCCACCTCCTGGTTGAAGACGTCCAGCGTGCTCTTGTCTGTACTACCTACCAGCATCTGTGTGTGCGATGAGACCACATCGACCACGGCGCTAGCCGCGTCGGTCACGCTGACGTCCATGGTCTTCCGGTAGGGATCAGTGGAGACACTGGGATTGAAGTCCGTAGCCAGCTGCCGCGTGGCAAGGATGTAATCGACCTCTTCCATCAACACGTCGATGCCCTTGCTCAGTCCCGCAGCCACCCGCTCATCCAGGTGCTGCTCGAACTTCTTCTTCTCCTTGACAGCGGGGTCGAGGAAATCGTTCCGATCGGTCAGCTTGGACCCGATCAGCTCTTGCTCGTAGAAGACGTCGATCATCTGCAGGATGAGGTCTCCGACGTTGACCAATTCCAAGAAAGTCACCAGGGGTTCCACCCCGGACTGGTCACGGTCCCCTTGCTCGCGAGGCCGGTAGTTGGACAGATGATTGACGGCCTTGTTAAAGCCAGCGATCAGATGGCGGTGTCCCAGGATGCGGACCAGCGCAACAAAAATCGCCTCGCATTGCTGTTTGACGACGCCGCCCAATTCACCCCCGACCCGGACAAACTGCGCCGCTCGCTCCAAGCTCGACTTGGCCGAGTGGACTAGGCCCAGGGACACCTCGATGCTGAAGAGCGAGCTGATACCCTCCAGTTTCGATTTCATGATCGCAGCCTTGGCGGCCAGCTCCGAAGTGGGCGCCTCGACTGCTGCAGGGGTGGCGGGCGACGACATGGTCGAGAACCGATTGGTACCCTTTGATCCACTAGTGCCATCATCCGCAGTAAGACCCTGGTCGGGCCTGGTTTCCGATGACTTGGTGCTGGAGAAGCTAGGAAGGATGTTGACTGGCGCCATGATCACCTTTTTGAATGATGTCAAAAAATCGCGCTTTTCAGCCTGTCGGTTGATGTTGGATAGCAGAAATGACTCGGTCGAAGCGGCTTGCTCCGACAACTGTCTGTCCCAGTCTCCCACCGCCGACTCCGAGAGTTTCTGGAAGTAGTCCAGTTCTTCTGCGAGATATGTGTCCAGGTGCGGTTCATAAACCTTGGAAATCACTTGGTCTACGAACTCGTCCAGGCTGTCCTCGGAACCTTGAACCGGCAACAGAGTGTCGGCCAAGTTCAGACACTGCGCGAACGTTCCAGACATTGCAATCAAGTAGGCTTCCGTGTTTGAGCGATGGAGCTCGTCAAAGACGGCGGTCAAAAACGGGAACAAGACGCCTTGTCCCACCTTGTCAATGAACGGGGTGGCCACTCTCAACGAACGAGGGAATGCGCGATTGATGATCGAGACCTCTTCATTGTAGGCGACGCTGAATCGCGTGAAGAATGCCTGGGTATGCTCCAGCTTCACCTCCTGTGTTGTTTCGTCGATGCAGTCAGCCACTTTGCCGAAGTCCGACTTCCGCGTGATGATATGGTTGTGGTGGATAAAGAGCTCCACGGCCGCCGCTCCGCCGTTCAGGGTGCAAAGCACATGCGCATATTTTCGCATGCGGTCCTCAATATCATCTGTCTCATACCCATGTCGGAACTCTTTGACTGCCGTTGTTTCGAACATCGATACAGCCGACTGGAGTCGGTTCACTCTTTCGCGCCAGCCATCAGTCAAGTCGCTCTTGGAGAACGCTTGCAACTGGGACAGGATCAAGGCTTGCTGGTACGGGTCGGTGTAGCTCTTGTAGACCAGATTATCAGGAGACGCGCCCAGATTTGCGATGTCATCGTAGAACGGGCCAAGCGCTGCGTGCACTTTCCCGTATTGCTGACGTGCTTCCCCGCGAATGGACTTGACCTGCCGCATCACTCCCAGGACGGGGTCGTGTTCCGAATCATCCGCTTGATCGTTGGCCGGGACGGTACTCAAATTGATCTGGTCGAACCCGTCTGAAAGCGAATTCAGGGCAATGGCCGGTTTCTCTGCTGTGCCCGCCCCCAGACCAGACAACCGCTTCGACTCTTCCACCAGCTCCTGTTCCTCCACCTTCTCCACATCGGCAATCGTCCCAAAAGATTCCTCCACGTGTTTCCTCGCCTGTATTTCATCCCAACAGCCCATAAGCTTCAACCTCTGGACCCATCGGGTGTCATCGTATGCCATCTCGTGCAAGAGTTTCGACGAGCGCGCTACTCGGATAAGGTCGGCGGGGGAGAGGTATTCAAGGACCAAGGATATAATCTCTAATCTAGTGTTAGACGAAACCATCGCATCGCAGTATCCCAGGGACAACCGAACTCACCTGCTGGAAGAGACGCCCTGGAGACCTCCTCCATGGACGCCATCTTCAGCGAAGCCAGCACATCTCTGCGCGGTTTCCCGCCAGTCCGTGGCCCATTTCTCGCTTTCGACATCTTGTAGTCTCAATTTCGGCATCGGGAGGACCCTTTGGGTGTGTTTCGTGCGGTGTATGACCCAGCCCGTTTGGTGGCAGTCGGTAGCCAGTCCACGCTCTGCGGGGCAAATTGGACGACAGGAAGGTGTCTAGACGGATCAATATTATAACATTCAAGATATGAAAGGTACATAGGCCGATACAATCATTATTAAAACAAGTTCAGTGCCCGGTGGGCAAATAGTTGAGCTGGGGGGAGTTGAGCATTGGATGAACCCCAGAACTTCCCAAGTCAAGCGACTGATTGGCCCCCCAATTTACCCTTTCCGACCGCCCAGCAGTTATCTATGAGCTGGTCACTTCACAGAGATCTGCTATTATCGTGTGACAGAATTAGAACAACTCTTATTACTTGGGTAAGGAATTCAATAATGCTTAGTAAAATGTGACTTGTCTTGGAATCTGTGGAAAAAAGAGTACTGAGAAGGTCTAGAAAAATATAGATCCCAATATATATCATAGCAGCACTGGTCTAAAAATACCTCATCAGCCAAGCTCACCTGCGGTAATATATATAGAATATCCCACCACCTCAATTATATCTACTCACTAGATATGAGTTATATAACACATACTGATATGCGAACAAATATCAGCCACGTCTCGTGTTTAACTGAATCCAAATTCACCCACCATATGGAGTTAGAGTTATCGGGGGCGACACACTTTCCAAAGACTAGAACTCCACAAGCCACTGTCTGGCCCCTTGCATGTTGGACATTTGACGGATATTCACAGTGGGACTGCCCCTGCTTTGACTTTAATGACGTGTTCTGTGTAGGTTTGGGCGCCTTTGATCAACCTCGGTTATGGCTGGCAATATGGTTGGCATCTGAGCTGTAGGGTTGTATACAACAGTAACAGATATGGACTTTCGAAGCCATATACATGCAGTGTGATGCTGACCAGATGATTGCATCATTGTCACTTTTTGGGTGCGGCCTGCCGGCATAGTGGCGATAATCGTCTGAGTTCCATTAAGTAGGAGGGGTCAATCTTGTATTCAGCAGGAATATGTTGCTGGATACTCTAGACTGCCCTGTATGTTGATTTGAATGAATCGTAGTGTGTTAAAGAAAGCAATGGACGCATTATTTGGTTGTTCGGATTCAGTCTGTGCATGTTCTGATATATGTCTAGACTCGAATATAGAAGAGTAGGCGAATTGTCCTGTTTGCATGTCCATGGTTTACTTACAGCAGTAAACCTCTCAAGCACTGCTCGACATCTTGCCCAACTTCTCCCTTCCCAATTGATAAAGATATACTTCACTTCTTGTCTCTACTTCTCTCGAGCATTGTAATACGAGCTTTCAATTGATGATGAACACGACTACGTGCATCACCCAGCCAATGGAGGTTTCTCAGCAGCCAGTCCTTCACATCGAGGCCCGTGTGAAAGCTGATGGCATTGTCGTTCGCACTGATGTGGTATTGTCTCAGAACTTCCTCTCTCAACCCTTGTATAATTTGCACAAGAAGAAAATCTCACATACAGCAGATCAGAGATGAAATAACCAAGTGGCTCGTTGACCATTTCGTGGTCTTGTCGCTGGGCCAGGAGATCTCTTCATTTGGTAACGTTACCATGGCATGGATCTTTGATTTGTCCTAATTATAGTACAGACGGTCTCAAAATGCCATACGTACATGCAATTGATTCCATCACCGTCACAGAATGCAATGGAGGAGATTCCGAATCGGGAGCATACCGACTCCAACAGGTCGAATTGGATGTACAGGCATACCAGCTGCGACCTCAGTTTGACCAGGAGAGTTCGCAACAAATCCAGCACCCGGAGGAACCGGCGAATGATGGTGACGACATACCGAAGGAGAGGGTGATGGCTTTGCCGAATAAAGAGTTGGACGGGCTGTGGGAGTCGTAAGGCAGACCCCTTGTCTACTCGTGATTTGGATGTTGACCACACTACATGGAGCAGGTTGAAATTTGACCAGCCTATCCAGTTCAATCTCCTACACGCAGTGAGTCGTATGGGTATGTCATTGAAACCAATGGTCTGCCCGAGAGATGTCGTTCTGTAGAACTGATCGAGGCAGTGCTTTTTTCTGCCCGGAAGCTCAGCAAATGGGTTATTAATTGGAATCGACTGGTGCTTCTATGGGGCCCACCTGGGACGGGCAAAACAAGTCTCTGGTACGTCAATCAGCTATAATATTGTAGCATACACTGAGTTGAGGTGGCCACAGTCGTGGTCTCTCCCAGAAGCTCGCAATACGTCTCGGCAAACTCTACCCTGAGAGCAAATTGATCGAGATAAATGCACACACCCTTGGAAGCAAGTTCTTCAGCGAGAGTGGAAAGCTGGTGAACAGGACATTTGAGGGCATTGAGACGCTGCTCGAGGAGGAAGAGGACACCTTTTTCTGCGTCCTTATCGACGAGGTAGAAACGCTGGCTGCTCGTAGAGAACGTGCGCTTAATAGTAACGAGCCGTTCGATGCTGTCCGTGCCGTGAATGCACTGCTGACCGGACTGGATCGCCTAAAGAGCCATTCAAATGTGGTGGTCGTCTGTACCAGCAACTTGGTCACAGCATTGGCAAGGATCCGTCCCCTTGCTCGCGCACTGTAACAAACTGCTATGCTAACTGCAGTCTTGATGACAGGACCCGGCGTTTCTTGACCGCGTTGACATCAAACAGCACATACCCCACTTATCCGACAGGGCCATTTACGAGATCTACAAGGAATGCCTCGAGGAGATGAGCCGGCGGGAGATCATAGAGGGAATCACTTTCGATGTGATCCAAGTCGATCCGCAAGACCCACAAACAGCACTACAATACGTGGAGCAGCCTGCAAAGAGCCTCTTACTCCCATCGTTCGATGAGATGATCCTGAACTATCAGATCTTTTCCGACGCCGTTCCCAAACTGCTCGCCGACGCAGTTGCCGCGAGTGTGGTGAGAGGCTGTGGTCATGATGACATTGAGTTGGCTCGGACTGATGGCAACAGGGTCTCAGCGGTCGCACTATTCGACGATTACCTGCATTATCGCTCGTCATGTATAGTAACCGCACCCGAAGCGACATTCGAACGGCCATCCAGGCCCTCCAGACGGGTATCGCGTCGGAAAACCAGGCCAAGACGGAGGCGTTCTAGGGACCACACATTGCCGGGTGGAAGGGAAGTGGCCCGATTTCGAATGTCTGCACCACACATAAGGAAAATTCCTGTCGACGAGTTTATACCGAATGAAAGGAGCATATTCTCTACTCTAATTTTCTTTGACCATCTTCAAGCTCACCAAGTGTAGATAACTAGAGCGGTCATCATGTGTTGCTCGAAATTTGTTGTTCCGAAAAATCGCGGTTTTCACCGAAGACAGTTAGACCGGGCGGGTCGGCCAATCAGCGGGAAGGTTTAGGCAATTCCAAACCCGCCTTAGAGAAACTTGACGGTTCAACCTCGACCTCGACTTCACATCCAAAAGCACTCTCCTGTGCGCTGAGCCTCCGTCCCACCCCCCCTCCCCTCCCCTCCCTCCTTTCCGTCGCTATAATACCTTCCTGATTCTCCGTTGATCGGAAGGTCCTTCATACATTCAGCATGCTGGGTCGTACAGCCATGCGCGGCGTCCCCTTCCGGGGTCTCGCCCGGCAGTCTTTGAACAGAACCTCCACGGTAATCACCCACTTCACGCCCCATTGGACCGAACGGATGAAGACAATGGCTTCACCATTCGTCTGAAACCATTCTTCGGGGACTCTCGACTGACAAAGTGACCAGCGGTCTGCTTCCTCGTCCGCCGGTACCGAATCCGCCAACTCCCCCTTCAACCTCACCCTCACTGCCTCCGTCGCAACCGCTGCCGCCCTCGGTTCCGCCGCCTATCTCTTTGGACAGGAGGCCTTTGCCTCGACCCCTGCTGAGGAAGGGTGAGTACATCGGTTAAAAATTCTGGAAGAATGGTCATCCGATCAATTTGGAGTCTCCGATGATTCCGACCGGACAATGGCATTCGAACAGTATTGGAAAAGTGCAAGATCGCTGACTTGTCGATTTCAAAAGATTGCACGCTACCGCTTATCCTTGGGAGCATGCCAAGTGGACCAAGACCTTCGACCACCAGGCGTAAGTTACCACGACCGTGGCCTCCTGGGCCTCTTCCCGTCTACCCCGAGGGGAGGGCATCGATTGACACATACCGTTTCTTTAGTCTCCGCCGTGGTTTCCAGGTCTACCGCGAGGTCTGCGCTAGCTGTCACTCCCTGACCCGTGTGCCCTGGCGCTCGTTCGTCGGTGTCACCCACACCGTCGATGAGATGAAGGCCTTCGCCGAGGAGAACGAGTACGACACCGAGCCCAACGACCAGGGTGACATCGAGAAGCGTCCCGGCAAGCTGTCCGACTACATGCCCAGCCCTTACAAGAACGAGGAGGCTGCTCGTGCCGCCAACGGTGGTGCCCTGCCCCCGGATCTGAGCTTGATCGTCAAGGGCCGTCACGGTGGCTGCGATTACATCTTCAGTCTGCTGACCGGTTACCCTGACGAGCCCCCCGCCGGTGCCTCCGTTCAGGAGGGCATGAACTTCAACCCCTACTTCCCCGGCACTGGTGAGTCCTGCCAGAATCTATCATCAATTCGATGTTGCGTGTTCTAATATCCTCCTTTCCAGCTATTGCCATGGGTCGTGTCCTCTTCGACGGTGTCGTCGAGTACGAGGATGGCACCCCCGCCACCACCTCCCAGATGGCCAAGGACGTCGTCGAGTTCCTCAACTGGTCCGCCGAGCCCGAGATGGACGACCGCAAGAAGATGGGTGTCAAGGCCCTGACCCTCCTGACCGGTCTGTTCGCCGTCAGCGTGTGGGTCAAGCGCTACAAGTGGTCTCCGATCAAGACGAGGAAGATCGTGTACAGCCCCCCTGTCTCCCCCCGGCGCTAAATGTTGCAGTAGACGGTGACATTGCAGCAACCGTGGGATGTGGACGGGGACGGCGAACCCGGTTTGCATAATCGTGACAACGCCCGGGTGTACCTTACTCTCCATCTCTTGTCAGCGGTTGTTTTGCTAGTCATTGGTCTATGCTGCGTGTTTTGTTAGATGTTATTTAGGACACCTGTATCTGTACCCTAGATATTTTTTTCTCCTTGAAAATTTTGTTCCAAGATCCAATGCCACCAATTCTCTTTTGTTATATTATATTATATGTTATTGAGGTTTGCTGCTTACAACTTCGTAGAGTTCGCATGCATACTACAAGGAAGCAACAACACCTTGACATTTTCGCAAAATAGAAGCCAGAATTTGATATCTACAGTATCTCTAATTCCATACAGCTCAAAAATTCTTCTTTAAATGTACTCGCAGAAGCAGAAACCCTTATATACCAACAACTCACCACCCTCCCCACATCTATACTATATCCCATTCAATCCACCTTCTGAACCGACCGTTCACCATCCCCAAAGATTCTAAAAAACACATGATCATAAGACCACCACATGGACGGCAACACCAACCGCTCATACGAAACCAGCCACGCCGGACTGCGCCCATCAGGCCCAGCAAAGACCTGTTTCAGAACTAATATCGGCAGGAACAGCGGGGCCCAGACTGCTGTGAAGACCGCCCTGCCAATCTTCTGTCGAAGCGTGGTCGCGCGGTACGGCGGCAGCTGCGCAAGGTAGCGCCTGTATGAAACGGGGAGGTCATGCTCGGCGGCGCCGTTGACGATCAGGCCGAGATAGCGCGCGGAGGGCTGTGCGTAGCCCAGTTCGGGGCGGGTTATGGGGTGACGAGAGCGTGCGGGGGATTTCACGCGCGAGGCCGTGATGCTGTTGGATGGGGAGAGGAGGGTGTGGGATTTGAAGGTTGGGGTGGTAGGGATGTCTGGGATGGGGTCGTTGGGGTTGTACGGCTCGGGGAAAGGGTGGCAGTCGACCACGACGTCTTTGTAGCCGCTGCCGCCGCCTTCTGTGGCGATGATGCGGGCGTAGTCGGTGAGGGTGACTTCGTAGGCGACGCCGACGAGGGGCTTATTTGGGTTGTAGGCGTCGCCGTCGTCATGGGCAATGAGGGGGGAGTCTTCGGCGCTGGATTCGTGTTTGGTGGTGAGGTCGCGGAATCTCGTCGCTGCGAAGCAAGGCTCGAAGTATGGGAGGCCCGGCATGTCGAAGGTCAGCCGCAACTCTGGGACTATGACGTTGATTTGGGAGAGCGGCTTGATGCCTCGTCGGCCGAGGAAGGTCTTGGAGTTGAGGTTCGAACCGTAGGCTAGGTAGAGGACTGTTTCCTCGGGTTCTTGGAGGAGGGCGTCATCGTGCTGGTGGGCGAGCTTCTCCGGGAGGTGTTCGGGTAGGTGGTCGTCGTTTTCGAGGGAATGTTTTGCGATGGATGCCTGCTGTCTTTGGGAGGTTGTTTCTGGAAGATGGGATACTTCGGAATCTGCTGGGAGAGAGAACTGCGTAGAGTACGAAACACCATGGTTGTCTTGGTGGTTCTGTATCTTGGTGTGATCAGTATGTGGCTGCGCCATTTTGAGGTCCTTCGTTTAGCACTGCGGTCAACCCGTACGTATCCTATGGAAATCTGTTATTTATGTTAGTTCGGTCTCCAGAGAAAATTCGAGCAAAGCATTATGTAGCGGAGTGGTCAGCCATCGTTTAGGCCTTCCACGTCCTCGGCTGAAGCCCAAGCTGGTTAGTTGTCGCTCATCAATCTCTGGGGTCGGAACCCGGGGGAATAGCGAGGCCGGCTCGGTAACGGAAACTGGAATTCCCGAGGGCTTCAATTGTCAGCATTTTCATAACCATCAGTCATGCCTAATTCCATTTTGCAGTATATTGCCGACGTGGTTTATTGATATTGGGTGTTTTTATGACGGCAACCCTGTTGAATAATTAAGCCTGTTCTGCCGTACTGGGATGAATCCTGGCTGTACGTACTAGCTCCGGTCTATTGCTTCAAGTGCAAAAGTGGTGCTCCATAATCATGATGGAAATGGCAGTAGTAGATTAGCAGTGCTTCTGCTTCTAGTAGAAGAAGGTGGTCTAGATATGGTCAAGCATAAGCAGATATGTTCAATCATAACTTCAGTGCATCATGTGATGAACAATCACCTCTCGAAGCTCAACCATCTCTCTTGTAATAGAAACTGACGCCCCATCGTGCTTGGATTGCAAACCATCAATGAAACCACCCGTGTATTTCAAACACCATGTCGGGTTCTGGCTCTAGAGCAGCACTTGACAAACAGCAGAGTGCACTCTTAGTGGAAGAGTTGGCTTCATTGCTGGAGTGTTTATCCCCCGAAGGAACGGAAGTGATCACTAGGATTCAGTCTGTCCTGGACATTGACCCTTTCTCCTGGACTTTGCTGATGTGTGGGCCGTTGAAGTCAAATAGTCGAAACGTTACAGGACCGCGAGAAATCGATCAATGAGCGGAGTCTGTATCGTAAGCTTCTGTTGGCTGTAGAAGGAAACCGGCATAACATCATTCACACCTTGAGCACCCATCCGTTGCACTACATCGCATACCTCTTGATCGATTCTGGTAACGGGGATTGCCAATCTCGTGGCCTATACCTTTTGATGGTTTGTCTCTGCTCTGAAGTAATGTCGCAAGTGGCTCTGACATTTATTAGGACAGGTATCCAGTGGGTCCTAGGCATGATGGCGAAATTTCCCTTCCGATTGACGAATCTTCTCGCCAGCTTAGGAAGAAGCTCGTCGATAAGCTGTCAGAAATATTCCACGATGGACAGCGGGATGATCACAGCCGAAAACTGGTATTTCATGAACTACTTATTAAACGAACCGAGCTCATGTGGCCAAGGCAGGGAAAATCTTAGTGGACATGTTACTGGAATCGAAAGGACTGGGCCAGGTTGACCTAAAGCCCTTATGGTATGCCAGGCTATGACCTAAGCCACAGTTAGTACTAATAGTGCCCAGGATGAAGATCGATTCAGTCCCAGACAACACAGTCTTAGGATTTTTCGCTGGCCTCATTACTCACAAACTGCTTTCCTTGACGGACAGCCGGGAATCTACCCCAACCTTGGTTTTAACGGTCACTGAAAGTCCGTTTTCCACCTATTTGGAAAAGATACAGTCCGATCCCCCGAGGTTCCTCGCGGATATGGCGGCCATGATAGGACGATGTCCAATAGTATGTGCGAGAGAACAGTCGTCGATCCTACAGACTCAGGTGACAACTTGTATTCTCCGGTCTGTCAGTATAGACATGAAGAGTCTCGCGAACAACATGGTGCTTGCAACATTGAGTCCTACGGAATTGACATTCATATACTCCCCGGCAGATGAATGCAATGGGTATTTCGAATATCTCGAAGTATCGTTTCCGAACCCACGATACATCCATACATCATTTAATATGAATGATGCCAAAAACCAGCACCTGATATTGTATATTGACGACGCGAGTCTTGTTTTCAGAAATGGGCATAAACAAAGAGGAGACAAGTTGACGATAAGAATGGACTCCAGTGATGATCTGTCGGAGCTAAAAGAGAGAATGCGTTCACTCACCGGCGAAGATACACAGGCGAACACTAGTGGCTCCATGATTCGAAGATCTTCGTCCATGATTATAACCTTGGACTCAATAGAAGAGATCGCACGGAAATCTCTTAATGAAAGAGCCCACGAAGAGAGTCTAATTTTCAACGAAGCCCAGGGGCCTGACGGAGCAATTACTGGGATCTCGCGGGATAGTAACCAAGAAAGCCATTCGCATCAAGAGACAAGTCATCTAGGGGATGCTGAAATCACCCAGGCAAGCCCACCTAAATGTGACATGTCCCAGAGACAGGAACAGAATCGGGAAACTCCCATCAAAGAACAGCTTGAGGGAGTATCCGAATACTCGAATGAAGACCAGTCCAAATTGCCATCCGTAGCACTGGGACGGGGATTAGAGATAGGCGAGCACATTAGTATGGAATACGAAATGATGACACCTGCTGCAGAAGAGACAGGCAAACACCGAAGCCAACTGACTAGCCCACAAAAGTCCAAGAGCCCACCACAAACCATACGAGTCAAGTCTCCCGATAGGAGTATTGAGGTGGCAAAAAACGAATCACAGGGCGAGAAGGATAGTCATGATTTGTCCTTTCGAAGGAATTCCAAATGCCTTCTACCGAATACTCAAGAATCCCTGATTTTTCCGCTACGACGGCCGAAAAGAAAAGTGTATAACTTGAACTCGAAAGCGGCTGTGGATTGGGATGAAGACCTTCGGCCCAGCGATGAGGCGGACGAAGCTGAGCCTCCACCGAAGCGTCTTTCCCGGGTCGGGTTCACCTCTGTAACATCTCTGATATCATCTCCGTTTCCCGGCGATGAACCTTTATTTCAGCCGAAGCCCAAAGGACCAGTAAAACGGCAGAAACCTACAAAGGCGAAGTCTTTGGCCACAGGGAAAAAAACATGTGCAAGGAAAACAAAGAGCCAAAAAAAGAAGAAGGTAGAGACTGCGCCAAAACCATGTCTACAACTTGACATTGCTAGCGAAACCGTCCAGCAACCCCAAGATGACAGGTATGGGGACACTGAAATGACTAGTGACAACGGACTATGTCTCACTGATGGTGACAAACAAACCCAATTCAGCAATCTCGACGGATTGCCAGATCTAGGAATTGAAGTCGCAGCGGTTCTTGCTGAGACTGACACCACCCTTGTGGATGTTGCAGACACGAGCAAGTCCATGCTGTGCAATGAAGACGGTGACCTGGCAGGAAGCACACCCGAAAAGATACACTATACCGACGCAGACCTGGGACAGAGCGACGGCGATAGAGCGAGAAAGGTGGACAATGAGTTGAACAAGAACCTAAGCCAAGATTTCGAGCAACGCGAAAGTTTAAATGAAGGAAGAGGGTTGGCTATGGGAAAGAGGCTTGCAGCGGCTTTACGAGGAAGCGCAGCTACGTCACACGAAGTAGACCACCATGATGCAAGCAGCATTGATATTGATACGAATGAGAAAATTGACAACAATGGCTCCTTGGAGACAATTTCGCCTGCTCATCCAGCAACCGCCCAAGATGTAGACATCGTGCCTACGGCGGAAAAATACAATGTTGAGAGCGTCAAGTCAACATGTGTGACAGGTATTCAAGTAACTGATGGGACTGGCACGCCGACTCTGGTACCACCAGAAAAACCTAGCCTACAATATACCGAGGAAGTTCTGCACGCACTGACAGAGGGAAGCAACCGACCTGACAGTGAGGCATTAGACAAAAAACCGAAAGCTGAGGAGCTCCGATACTCTGACGTTAACCTCGAAGAGAATTCCTCACGTACGCACTCTACATGTCAGACCCACAAAAGGCCGTTGAACTCAATTCCTGGATTGAGGGGCGATGATTGCACGAAGTGCAGCACAGTTGAGAAAGAAAGGGGTCTCACCGTGAGTATCAGGCCCTGCGAAAGAACGCCAGCCGTTGAGACAGACACTCTGTCTAACATATTCCGTGCTAATTCCCAAGCTCAGCTCAGGCATCCCAAACGGCGAAGTGAAATTTCGAGAACAACTATCGTGGACGGGAATGGAAGCCCGAGACTTTTCCCACAGACAGAGCATGGTCATCAATCCCATAGCCGGTATAGTTGGCCCAAAAAGGAACCGATCTCAGCCATAGACAAGTGTAGCAGCTTAGCTCACCCTACAAGCTCGGATATTGTGTCACAGGCTCGGTCATTATCAAATGACCTGATTCGTGCTTTTTTTGTTTCCCGCGAAAAACTCGGTATCCACTCGGACAATTATGCACGAGAGAAATGCGCCATTTCTAGAGAGTCGTCTGTGGTGAGATCGGAATACACCACGGACTACTCTAGTATGGATGAGTCATCTTTCAATACGATGGATTGCACAATTGCAGGGTGTCTTGACAATGGTCATGAGGCGACTCCCCCAGTACTAATCGCCGAAGCATATGCGGGGTTGACCCAACAGGATGATAGAGATATCGCCGATCGAGTAAACAAGCTGTCCCCGGGTCGTGACAGGCTGCAAGTCCAGCCAAGACTAGGTCAACACCAAAGGGAGGAGAGCCTTACCACGGATCAACCCGTACTGTTGCAGACGGTGCAAGAGATGACAGGAAATGAATTTTCTGGCTCCAGCAAGGTAAGCTGACCAAGGCAGACACGCGCTTGATGAGTTAGCCTAGATAGGCTCAGCTGACGGCAAGGAGTATCTTTTATGCCAACTGGAGCAAGAGCGGAAGACTATCACCGAGGCCTTGGAGACGTATCGTCGACAGTGTCACCGAGTGCTGGATCAACTCTTCGAGGCCCAGAAAGAGCAAATCAGAGTGTGCCGGGAGGGGATGGAGGGGGTACAACGACACCACGCCGACATCTGCAGGGAGGTTACCGATCGCCTGGAAGCAAACGAAAGATCGCTGCTCACAAGCGCTGAGTGGAAAGTGTTCAAACGTGGCTCGGAGAGACCGAGCAGACCTTCGCCACGCTGAGATCCCTCCGCTGTGCAGTCAGCCTCGGAATAATTACAAAATAAACAAATAAAAAAAGGGCCTCGGACGGGTGAGCGGATCATGGGAACCCATCCAGTCAGCACGCATCAGAGTCTTCGTGTTACCCTTGAGTTTCAACCTGTGTCTTGTACGCATCAGCATACAATCAGACTACATTATTGATAGTGGTGTATTTTATGGACACCGAAAACGTCATTGCTGGAAATTCTGATGCCGAGGATAGTTTCGTCGGCGATAAAAAGCTTACAGCTGTAGGGCACAAGGTCAGCACAGGCAATACTAGGGAATACCCACTCTCTAACCCAAGTAGGGACAGCTGTGTAATACTAATGGGCCGAAGGGTCCAACTTGATGCTCCGAGCCCGGCGCAACCAGAGAGCAGCGAATGAGAAGCACGGCCAATGGGGTGACCACCCTCAGGCACCAAGGCAGATCGCACCCGGAATACCGCCGACATCACGTGCGCCGAACGCAGGTCGATCGCCGACATAGGAGCCTTAAAAAAAAACCAGTGGAGATTTCGTCAACCCTAGTGTGGATGTCTGGAGTGTGTCATACTTTATTATACTCAAGTCCCCCCCCTTCGCAAATTGTTTTTAACCATTGACTCGTTGGTTGTTTCTCATTGTCGAATCTGTTGTTCTTGCCTGTGTTGAGCTAGAGTACTCATTGCTGCTGCCCATTTTGCCCCTCATCCTACTACTTACTACTTAACTATACGACTACTATTTCCCCCTCTCCGCCTCCGACATAGCTCTTCAACCCCACCAACACCACCACCATGTCGGTGAGTCACACTCCTCAATGCGCTGCAACCAACTCAATTGCGATCTTGAATACTCACGCAGAATGATTGTGATCATTAGTTCTTCATCGAGAATCCCAACGTTGGGCAGAATGATTCCTTGGAGGATTCGAGAAGTACGGTCCCCGTTTTGATCCTGCGATCATGATCGAGTGCGCTGACTCAAGGTTTAACACTTCGACAGTCAAGGGATACAACCCTCTCACGCCCCCTAACCTTTTGCAACATGAGATCGCCCTGTCGGACAAGGCCAAACAGACGGTGATCGACGCCCGTGCCGAGGCCGTCGCCGTCGTCCAGGGTACCGATACCGACAAGCGCCGTCTTCTGGTGGTCATCGGCCCCTGCTCCATCCACGACCCGGCCATGGCCCTCGACTACTGCGACCGGCTCCTGGCGCTGAAGGAGAAGCACAAGGATGAGCTGCTGATTGTCATGCGCTCCTACCTGGAGAAGCCCCGGACCACGGTCGGATGGAAGGGTCTGATCAACGACCCGGATATCGACAACAGCTTCAACATCAACAAGGGTCTGCGCACCTCCCGCCAGCTCTTCGTCGACCTGACCAACAAGGGCATGCCCCTCGCCAGCGAGATGCTGGATACCATCTCCCCCCAGTTCCTGGCCGACTGTCTCTCCGTCGGTGCCGTGGGTGCGCGCACCACCGAGTCGCAGGTCCACCGTGAACTGGCCTCCGGTCTGTCCTTCCCCGTCGGCTTCAAGAACGGCACCGACGGCACCCTCGACGTCGCCGTGGACGCTATTGGCTCCGTCAAGCACCCCCACCACTTCCTGTCCGTCACCAAGCCCGGCGTGGTCGCCATCATCGGCACCGTCGGCAACCCCGACTGCTTCGTCATCCTGCGTGGCGGTAAGAAGGGCACCAACTTCGACGCCCAGAGCATCCAGGAGTCCAAGGCCAAGCTGCAGGCGCAGGGCCTGCCCGCCCGTCTCATGGTCGACTGCAGCCACGGCAACTCTCAGAAGAACCACAAGAACCAGCCCAAGGTCGCCGCCGTGCTGGCCGAGCAGATCGCCGCGGGTGAGGATGCCATCATGGGTGTCATGATCGAGAGCAACATCAACGAGGGTATGTCCTCTTCCTTTCCACCATTGGCATTTCCTGTGTCCTCGACTGACTTCTTTCTAGGTAACCAGAAGGTCCCCGCCGAGGGCAAGGCCGGCCTCAAGTACGGCGTCAGTATCACCGATGCTTGCATCAACTGGGAAGACACCGAGTCGACCCTCGACAACCTTGCCCAGGCTGTTCGTGCCCGGAGAGAGAAACTGGGCTCCCAGTAAAGTTTTTGTATTCTGATGTCTTTCATTTTTCTTTTGATGAAAAAATAAAATCAAGCGAGTGTTATGTTGATACGTTTATTCATGCTCTGCGATGGGGAACGCGCGTCTTTCCGAGACTGCCATAGCCGTCGGTCAGTGAAAAGCAAGAGTTTAGCATTTTCGGGGAGGTTGAACCCAGCAGGGGGTTGAGATATCCATTACCCTTTTGTATCTTCTTACTAGTCCACGAGAAGTTGTAGAAACAATGAAGTTTGATGACCATACCAGGACATGGCCTGCGATAGATGTTTCCAATTTGCTTGGTCTATTTCGCATGTCTTGCCTGTCTACCATGGACATTCATTCTAGTTCCTGTATCCTAGTATAAAACACCACAGCATGGAGTGATTTCTATTATACACCCACGTAGGAGAAATTAGAGTTAGCAAAGGAGATATCGACAATTGTCAAGAACCTATACTCAAGACGATGTACTATGAAATGACGATTTTGATAACTTGGGATCTCTGTCCCGTGGAGTCAAGAGTGAGCTGCTTTGGTCTGTGGCTCCAGCGAGACAGTCTCAATTCATGTGACCACGTCGAGGCTACAATGGTCGAGTTTATTTCACGGGTCGGATGTCCTTTGAACAGCCTTTCCTCGTGAAATACTGTAGATACTACGGCTTGATCCTCCGTGTGTATGTTCGACGAGCCGTATCTCATCCCGCATATAGAGTCCGGTACGGCGTTCACCCGGGGCCATCGTCTTTGGTTCGCGCGTCAACCACGTGTTGCGATATTCGCTGAAAGGTGTATACCTCGGCTGACTATACAATGATGCGCTGTCCTATGAAACTGCGGCATAGAGTATATGGTTTGGGCGGAGGAATTCATGGCCGAAGGGTACTATTGCGATATGTCGTGGGACGAACGCGCCGTGGACTGTGACTAGCTGGTGCATGACATGAGGATTGGGAGGACAGGATCTAACTTTGATGTGTTAGTTCTGTGTAGCTGTGATGAAGCCATTCGAGTGTCATTGTAAGGAGTATGACATGACAGTCAGAAAAGGTACTATCCATGTGCCGAATGGACGCCCTTAGTAGATATCCTGTGTCGACGAGTGATCAAAGAGTGATACACTCATGCATGTCAACAGTCAGGGACTGCGAGACCTCCACTTTCTCAGTGGAGACCGAAGAAAGAGGCTAGTCGATCGCGTGGGTCGCTTCACGTCCCACTTGAAACCAGCCAGGATCGAAGCGACGCCGGATCACGTGCGGGCGAGACGACCCAACTCTCCCGCGCCGCCAACACTTGATCCACCAACTTCACATCATTTGTTGTCCCACACTCTCATCTTGCCAACCAACCCCCCAAGGATTATTAACGCCTTGTCTACTATTGATCCGTACTATTGACATGTCGATTCCACCAGCTTGATTGATCGATGATCTAGAAGCACGTATGTCAGCCCAAGCCCCAACAGACTCCGCCCCTGTCGATCCTGCTACGGTGCGAGTTACACAACGTCGACCCCTCGCCTGTCGAGGTAGGGACCTTCCCTGACACTGTCTGCGCCTCCAAAGAAAACATACATACCTCAAGGGCACACCTAATTGAATGTGTAATGTCTAGAATGCACAAAGCGAAAGAGGAAGTGCGATAAGCAGATTCCCTGTTCGCGATGTCGACGGCTCAACCTGCACTGCTCTAGAGAGATCGTCCACATCCGGCAGAACACGGTGCGACATGCCGCGGAGATTAATTTCCTCAACTCCGTCATAGCGGATCTCGAGGTGCCGTCGGCGGAGGGCTTGCGTGCCACCGTCCAGCGGGTCAAAAGTCGCATTGCGCAACTCCAGTCGGGCGATGAATCCGCTCAAGTAGACGATGCCATCATGCCTTCGGAGGCTCCCGAGTCAATACCGGAAAGTGGCACCCACGAGGGCCCCCTGCATCTGGATACCGGGGAGGGCGCAGGCGCCGTCGGGCAGGCGGATTCGTCGCTCCTCACGGCCCTCGAGCATCTGGCCTGGGACCGCAATTCGTCCGGCTGCTTCCCGCACCGGCGATGCGCTTGCCAGTACCGTAGAGAAGGCGTAGAGCGGTTAACCCTCAACAGCCAAGCGTTCCAGTTTTTCGGATATGTTGGAGAATCTGTGATTCGAGTGCCGGATTCCTTTGCGGCGGAGAAGCTCGTGAATTTCCACATCAGCCACGTTGCGTGGCACCACAATTGTCTGCATTCGCCCACTTTCCTGGAGCAATGCGACGTGTTCTGGAAGACGGGGCGATGCGACCATCCACTCTGGATGGCTCTCTACCTGTCCGTCCTGAGCTCCGCGGTGTGTTCGATGCAGAATAGTGACAAGTTCAAGGCGGTCCTGGATGTAGACCTCGACACCATACAGTCGGCCCAGGACCTGTTCGCCGCGATGGTGCAGGTGCTGTACAGCTCCCATTTCCTGAAGAACATTTCTATATACTCGGTGCAGGCCATTGTCATTTCCACGGAGGTGGCGCACAATCTTGGCTTGAGCCAGCTCAACGCGACGCTCTTCAATTCCGCGGTCCGTATTGCGGAGTGTCTGGGGCTTCATAAAATCGAAGACCACGCGAAGCCTCAAGTGCAGACTCGCGAGGATTGGTGCGAGCGCATTGAACGGGAAGTTGGAAAACGGGTCTGGTGCCAGATGATCATCCAAGATCATTTCGCCATCCCCTTCACCGACACCTACAGCATCTCCCCCATGCAGTACTCCACCGGACCCCCGCTGAATGCAGACGACCACGATCTGGTCGACAAGCCAGTGTCAGTGCCAACGATCAGCACGTACGTCCGCGTTCTCGTACGACTCGCCCTCCTAATGCCGGGCTTGGTAGACGGACTGGGCCCCATGAAACACCGCGAGCCCATCCGAGAGCAGTACGAGCACATCCTCGAAGTCGACCGGAAGATGCGCGCCGTCGTCAAAGACATTCCGTCGTTCATGCTGCGGCGCGACCGAGCCAAGGAAGCACAGGTCCCATGGCTGAACATCGCCCGACGCAGCTTGGCCATCACCTCCGCCGAGAAGATCATCATGATCCACCGCCCGTTCCTCTTCCGTTCCTTCCACTCGCAAGCCTACCAGCACACGCGCCGCACCTGCGTCGCCGCCGCGCGCACCATCCTCCGCGAGCACGAAACCATCGTCAAGGAAGACGAAACCTCCATCTGGACACACACTGCGTTCTGCATCACCGCCGCCATAATCCTCTGCTTCGAAGTCAACACCCTGCCTTCAAACCACAAACAGCTCGCCCCAATTTACACCGGCGCGATAGAAGGCGCACGAGGCCGCCTCGCCACCCGCACAGGGGACATCCTCGCCCAGCGTGGCGTCGCCCTCATCGATGCCATCTTCCTCGCCGAGCAGTCCTCTACGGATCCGTCGCAGACCCAACCCCCCTCAAAGTCAATCGACTTCAACCGCATCATCGTCGAGTACTCCGCGCTCAGACAGCTAACTCTAGGATCCGACAGCGACGGCATCCTCGCCGGCGCAGACACAACCAGCAGCCACGCGGACGTCGGCGTTGGATTAGACCTTAACAATAATGCGTCGTTTGCGCCGGCGGCTGAGATGGCTATCGATTTCGATACGTGGTTTAATGGGATTTTCTATGGGTTTCAAACTTGAATCTAGGGTTTGTTCGATGTATTTGGTTGGTTCTTTCGATAGGGTTCAGGGGTTGTTCTTTGTCGTTCTTTCCTTTTTCTTTCTGTTTATATTTTCAAAAGCAGATAAGCCTGGAGCTCATCTGTAGCCACCACCAGCTGGGGCTACCCTACCCGCCCACAGCGCCTTCCTTACAAAGGCGTCTAAAGCAGTCCAATGACGACGACAACATGATGTAGAATACCTATTTACTTTATATACCACCCGAGAGGATCAGAAGCAGGGAGACGGCATTTTCGTTTTCCTTTTTTTCTTTTTTTTTTTTTTTTTCTTTTCCTTTTCATCTATTCTCGTCTTTTCTTGACTTGTTTTTGTGTCCTCTCCCAAGCAAAGTGGACTGAAGTGGACTAATGGACGGCTTGGATAAGGGCAACAACTACTTGTAAAAGTGATACCATATTGATAATATTATGAACGTATATGCAAAAGAGGTGTCTGCGTGTATGTGCTGGTGCTGGTCATGTTCCGCTAGGATCTTTTTCAATTTGTAGATACATACATAGATAAATACATTTCTCTCGAGCATGATAGTATAATAGTATACATAGACATATACATACACCCTTATACCGGTTGACAAGGACAACATATGATAAGAGATAGAGAAATTCACGCCACGCTATGTCTTGTCCGGAAGGAGATGTATCCAAGGGGAAAAGAAAGAAGAAGAGAAGAAGAGAAGAAGAGAAGAAGAGAAGAAGAGAAATGTAAAAATCAAAAACAATTATCAACCCATCTTCCCTCTCGCGTACTCAGCTCAGGAATCTTAAGATCAACTATACATGCCGCGAACGAGGTACGTCGTTTAGAAGCGGGCATACCGGTATGTGCAAGGTCATAACGTGTAGGGTAATGTCCATCAGGTGTAGCGCGATGGCGATGCTGGTGTCGATGCACGCATGAGTATTGACCGCCGAAATTGTCGTCGCATGATGCGTCGCGTTTGCGCTTGCGAGATGATCCCGGCGATAAGAAACCGGCCTCGACTCGATCGATTAGTTTGGCAGACGCGATGTTGCCACCTGTGCCGACGGTGAGGAGCTTGTATGGGATGTCTGAGGCTTGCTGGGCGGGTGAAGTGAACGTATCCACGTCGATGATGTTCGTTTTGCCTGATGCGCCGAACGCCCAGATACGGGCTCCGCCGGAGGAAGTTTGGATGGCTAGTTCGACGACGTTTGGCATACGACCGATCTGCTTGCCGTAGATCTTGAACGGCCACATTGTGGCCGTGGGTCGGTAGCTGACGCTGAGCAATGATTCCCAGTCACCGTTCTGGTTTTGGACCAGGCTGTCGCGGCGCTTTTGGGATCTGTGGTTGTTGTCTAGAAACCAGTCTCTCGCGAGGTCGCTGTCGCCGATGACGTTCTCTCCTTGCTTCTCGCGCTCCTTTCGGATGACGTTGAAGACGTCAAGAGGCACGGAATACAGGACGACCCGGTCCCCGTAGGCGGCAACTATTCGTAAACCCCATCCGAGGTCAGATCCTGCTGCGAATATCGTAGGCGCTAATTCCTCCCTGATGCCGTGCGTGGTGTGGTTGGAAGGTGGTGGGACACAAACGAGAGCCCTTGTGAGGCTCGTGGATCCGCCAATAGGGGCATCAGAGCCGATACAGAGCAGATTGGTACGCGGCTCGATGAACAGAATGTGCAGGCCATCGTTGATGGGAATCGCGCGGTAGTGGTGGCAATGAGTTGCTCTGAGCAGGCTCAGACTGCTGTTCTGTTCCGGGGTCCATCGCGTAAAGCATTGCACATCCGCCAAGAGACGCAGAGGACAAGGCCGATGTCTTTCTCCCTGTGACGCCGAGTGGCAGTGGCAGCTGGGCGTCGCTGGGCCAGCCAGTGACGAGATGAGCCGCAAGTCAGCCGGAGATTCTGACTGTTTGGGAAGAAAATGGAGGATTTCGGAGGGCTGCGACATTGGGAACTGCTGGCGGCATTCACGGTTGGTCTTGTCATCGATCCAATGCAGCTCGACACTAGTACCGCAGCCGAAAGCCACACAGTGACGGCCTGGGCAGATAGCAATGCTGCGCGGGCGATCTTCCGTGGAGCAAACGTCGTGAAAGTAGTGTTGGGCAGTCAATTCCATACTAGGCGTCCCCCTTCGCATAGGCGAGCCACCTGCCCTAGGAGAACCCAAGGGGGCAAAATGCTTTGAATTTTCGCCCTCAGCATCATTCGGAGCAGTTAGGTCGCACACCATCCCCACACGATTTCGCAGCAATGCCGCAAGAACCAACTTCGAGCCGCTTGTATCCATAGTAGTTGTGACCACCCCCAATGGACAAGTCACGCAAGCAAGCAGAGCTAGGTCCATTTCCTTTTCGTCTTCTGCATTGAGTTGTAGACGGCTCCCGAACTTTTTGGTGAGCAGATGGTAAACGTAAATCCTGCAGTCCATAGTGACCAGGAGATAGTGGCCGCAGTTGCTAACGTGGAACTTGGATTTCCCCCGACTCGCGTGTCGGTGGTCGTTCATATCTGCACGGAGTGACTTGGCGGTACGCTCTGGTCGTCCGTATGAAAGGTTAGAGAAGTCCACGGAACATGTCGTCAAAAAGCCTGGCCTCTCCACGTTCATTTTCCGCCCAGATAGGACACATTCCGTCGCAAAGCGTCTGCTCATCCTCCACGCAAGACTCTCGTCCAGCGAGTCAGATAGGATCTCTGTCCGGCAGTCGCGCTGCCACGAGTCCCACCAGCCAGCGCGTTTGAGCATGCACTCCAGGAGGCCTTCATTTAAGCTTACCCGCATCCATTGGGAACATGTGCGTCGGGCATTATCGAAATCTCGTGGGCTCAGCATGAAAAATATCTGTATCAAAATCTCTGGAGGTGTGATGTTCGCTGCTGGACGCACCGGGGGTGCTGCTTTGTCGATCGTGCGAGCCCAGGATCTGCATGTTAACCGCAATGACTGTCGAGACTCGCGGGGAATGATACCAAGAAGCCTCCTGACTACAGCGGATGGGATTTCTGGGGCGAGAGTATTTTGATCCAGTGGTGAGGATGGGCAATGCGGGACATGAACCATGCAATCGTGGTTGTTCATAGAACCGGATTCAGTAGTAATTACTGCACATGCATCCCATCCGCAACTTGGCTTCGATGTAGAACCGAAATCCGAGTCTAGAGGGGTGCACAAAGACATGTTCTTCATGGAAAAGAGGTCATGTAGGAAACTTGTATGCACAATTCCAGCCAGGTGCCGCACACGGGTAGGAAGGGCCAGATGATAGTAGCAAGGATTGGCCAACCTTCACGATCGAGAGCAGACGGAATTGATCAACCTTTTATATCTTGTTGCAAAGATAGAACATTGACTTCGATGAACCGCTTTATAAGAGTAGGAGTCTAAGCGCTAATGATCATGTTCTGTCCTCAATCCTAATCTGCAGCGTTAGAGATCCTGCCCGAATCCGATTTACCTTTGAAGCTGGTCAGTATGTGATAACCACAAGGCTTTGCAGGCGCGAGTGGGGAATTTACCACGACACACAAAATCTTGAAGATTGTTGATATGGCTCGAATAAGTCGAACACATAGAAACGCAAATGACGTGAAAGGCAAGACTGTACGATGGTCTAATGTACAAAAGGAACGAAAGCACAAGTGAAGGCGCAAATGTGAATAGTATAGAATCTAGCGGAAAACGAAAGCAGCTGTAGAAATAATGCTACTCTTTGGAGCTCTCCACGGCTGGCACGGGATCTTTTTTCCATGTTACCCATTCTGACGTCGACGGCAAGTAAGGCTCCGAAGCCAGGGACTGCATCCAAAGCTGGGGGCGTTTGATTTGAACTGATCCGAGCGACTGAGACCAGGCTGTCGAAGAAAAGTGGATCCCCGTTAGTGACGATCTGCGGGTGGTTGATGGGGGGCGCGAAAGTTCCACGAGCAATCAGCGGCGGGTTCTGGTAAGGCCGACATGGCCGATCGCTGGGTCAGCCAGCGGAGTGGAGACATGGCATGAGACGATGGACGAGTGAGGTGATGTCCAAAGTAAGATAGAGTAGTATCCCAGGCCAAGACGGTGGTATTAGCAGGATTTATTCAGCCTTTAGATCCCGTGGCATTCTGAATCGGATGGAATGCTGGAATCAACCCTGATCCACAATTGATCTTAAATCGTGAGTTGAACTAGCAGGAATGAGGAATGAAAGGGGATGGAATGTGGGCAGAGACATCGTTTTGTCGCATGCGGTCGAGAAGAAGAATTTGGAAGGAGAGCGAGAGAGAGAGACAAGTCTGCAAGGACAACATCTCCTCACCGCCCAGGAATGATCCATCATCTCCTTTCTTCTCTCTTCACGTTGTCCATCACACATGATGAGTTGGGCATTCCTTTGCTAGGAAGTTATACCTCGAGTATCTACTATGAAAGATGGTGGAAATTCCACAGGACGTCACAGTTCTTGCATGTGCGCGAGCTGTATCAATACTCGACCATCTCCATTCACTCAAATGCCTGTATAACAGAACAATTAAGTAGATTGGAAGTTACATGGCTAGTTACCAAGTACTACATTGGTACTCACTGTGTACATACTAAGAGGTCAATCATGGTGTCTCATGAAGCCTATAAGTACGCTCACTAAAGTGGCAGGTTCTCTATGAAACATAGTATTGCAAAGTAAATACATATAGCAAGGTAACACTCATACCTCGACACACTGCTCTAAATAATTCAAAGTCAATAATTCGGCGAAATCAACAATACAAGTCCGGGATCCGAATCGCTCATGAAGAATGCAAAATGCAAAAAAGGGGAGATCCAAAACGTTAGTATACATGATACGTGAGCCCGTAAATCAGATAGGAATCAGATCCTAGAATGGCGTAGCGGTCGTATATCGTGAAATAAGGAACGATAATCATCTTTTGTTGTTCTTAGTGTTGTTGTTGTTGGGGGGGGATGGAGGAAAGTCAGTGTCAAATGCGAAACGGCACATATCCGTGAAGTCGGCATAATACTGAAGGCATAGTGAGTTGTGTACGATTACAGCGCTATCAGCTAGCCACTATGGCAAGCTTAGACTGCAAAGTCGTTCGGAGTCTCGTGGTGAGAAAAGTGGATAGCACCGCGCCCTGGAAACCAGGCATCATGCAGAGGGAGGATAAGGTTGGGGTTGACGTATTTATTCAACCGGAGGCCCAGCGCTTGCCCGCCGATCCGGATGGGAAGGGAGTCGCGGTCAAGGCCGGACGGAGGGGAGAAAGTTGCGGATGAGGAAGGCGAGATCTCTCCACTACTAGTACTCTCTGGGCCGATGCTCTTCAAAGCAATGAACTTGGTGAGGGGCTCGTAGCTGCTCGCGAAGAAGTAGCTGAACCACACAGTTCCGGCCAGCAAGGGGACCAAGAGCAAAGACCGGGCAATTGACTTCCGCAAGGCGAGAATGCCAACCATTGCAAGCTGGAACAGCATCAGACCAACCAGGACTCGGTGGCAGATCATGGGCCATGCCCGTCCGGTGGAGTGTTGCTGATGGTCCATGGCGTACAACAGCTGGTATTTGTAAATGAACTGTCCGATCGTGAAGTAGACTAGCCCGAAGAGACAAATCAACCAGGAGCTCGGGAAAACGCTATATACCAGGCAGATGTTGAAGATCAGGATCGTTTGCGGAATGGAATAACCGTAGCTGAACTCGGGCGGTGCCGACAACTCAGCATGCTCCCGTGGCGTTTTGGCCCTGAAGAGACGGAATGGATACGCTGCCACGCTCCCAAACTCCAACAAGCGGAAAGGGAAAATCCCCACGCCCTGGAGAACCAGGAGATTCACGTAGAACGGAGTCAATTGTTCCAAGGACCCCGCCAAGGTATACGCGATCGTGGTGGTGTCTTTAAACGCATCGCGCAGGTTCTCCCAGACACCGTAAAAAGTGGACGCGGTCCCGAAGACGGTGAAGAGAAGGAAGAGGTTGAAAAAGGAGAAAAAGAAATTCTTCGAGATGATCGACAGCTCAATGTCGCCGCGCGACGTCATTCCTTGCATATGCGATAGCCCTGCATTCGGTCAGTAGTGTCCACCCGCCTGGCAAAGAGCTTACGTACAGTTATACAAATAAGGGACAATGACAGTCATGAGTGACAGACCCAGTGTCGGTAAACCGGTCTGAACCAGGGACATCAAGACCGGATGGCGAGCCAGCAGGTCGGCGAACTGGGGCAAGAATTTTTCGATGGTTTTCAACTCCAGCAAGGATGCAAAGGGAACGAGCAGCACCGACCAAAAGATAGTCAGAAAGCCGATCAAGATAGTCACCGACCAGGACCGCATCATCCGTTTGGAACGCGGCACGTATGTGTTCTTCCAGACAACGTCCGCTGGCGCGGGCGCCAATCTTGCCAGCAGGCGCATCGGATGCGGGTCCAGGATTGCCTGTATAACCATCTGGGAGGCGGCGATAGACTCCATTGTCACAAAGGCCAGCTCGGTAGGAGGATAGATCAATTTGCGAGCGTGTTTGATCGCCTCGTCGATTCTTCGCAGTTTCTCTTCGTAGTAATCGATCTCGTCCACGGTGCGGTAGCGCAGTTTGAGTGGTCCATACCAGAGACGAATCGTTGGCCGTGCGTTCGCATCGTCGGTGGTATGCGACCGTCCGTTGTCCGACAGGAGTTGCCTTCGTTCACTGTCGTCTTCTGATAGCAGACTGGCGCCACGCCGCCGCCGGTGTTGTACCAGTGGTAGCTGGCTTTCGTCCAGCTTCACGCGCTTATAGCCCACATGCTTAGCCCAAGCGCGCTCCAAATACCGTATAATCTTCATTCGCTTCTCAACCAAATGCTCAAGGGCGCCCCAGTCCCGACAAATCGTCACACTCTGAACCTTCCCAACGTGTAGGCCTTGCATGAAATCCCTGATCGACTCCTCAGACCGCATCTCCGGGGGGATCCCTGATAGACGGATGGTCCGATCTGTCGTGCTCGCCTGATTCCCGAGATACTTTTGTCGCGTCCTGATGACGTTGTCCGTTTCACGGAGCAGTAGGTAGATCGTCAGGCCACTGAATATGTAGCCGAATACCACGTACATGGACAGATAACTGGGATCCAGCATTAACTGATCCTTGTCGTCGAGTGGCTCACTCCCGTCCCAGCCCGGGATCCCATTCTTACCGGTAAACTTGTAATGGACGGGGAGGAGGATCAGGACGGCGATCGGAAGGAGTGCAAGCAGAAGTCGGATCGAGAATTTGAAGAACGAAAGGAGCTGTGTCGCCGATGGGTTAGCTTGTTCGACTCCTGACCATTATGAAAACCGTGTACATACAACATAGGCATCTAAGCCGGCAGAGTGCAGCACATCCTCATCCGTTATCCTGTATAGCGCAGGGATCCAACCGAAAAGACTGTCCGGGAGTTCCGGGAGGTGTGAGGCGGCGCAGCGTTGTCGTCGTCGGGCAGCGTACAGTTCGGTCCATTTCGGTCGTAGTATCTAGAACAAGGTGAGCTTTTGGTTAAGAAACCACCACGGTATAAGTGGACATACACAGAAGGCAAAAAAAGCAGTCAACCCGAGCGCTAGACTCAGCACGAGTTGAGTGTAGAGATCGCGTTGCCCGCGAGTCTGATCCCCCCAGCGTGGCTCGTGCGGGTCGTCTGGTTTCTCTATGACCACAGCCGCGGCAGTCAGAATTTCCGCCGCAGCGGAGCTTGTAAGAGACATGTTCTCATGGAAGGTCGATGGTTGTTGGCTAGATCACAACAACATATGGGAGGCGATCTTCGTAACGGCAGGGATGCGGCGCCCAAAGAACTGACGTCAGGGACGGATAAGAAGACGACCTTATGCGGAAAGTAAGTCCGCTCTGGCAGTGATATCAGATAATATCTGGTGACTAACTGATAGGGAGAACTCAACACGAGTGACACCACTTCAAAAAAAAAATAGGATGATATGGTGAAAAGAAGAAGTCGTTGGGCCGCTGGGTTTGTTTTGGAAGAGCTCACTGGGACAAGTGTACTGCCGATCCTTTCAAGTGGGATTAGCTCCGCCATGACGGGTTTAGCTTATCGGCTGGAAGGCGGTCTGGGTCTATCCTCATGTGTAGATTGTCGACTGCGACCTTGGCAGATGTCGATTGACTGGCAACTGGAGGATTATTCTATCAATTCTCGTGTCATAACCCAGGGAAGATCTCTTTGTTGACTCTATCGGGGGATATCTACTCAATATAAGGGCTACCAAGTACAGCTCAACCCAAATCCAACACATGTCTACGACTAAGGATCCAGCACAGACCACCGCCAAAGCCGAAAGCACGGCATAGATATCTAGTTTTAACCCTGAATACATTCATAATGGAGTACCTTCAGGTCAGGGTACTCCCGCTAGGTCGTGTACACTTGTCTTGTTCATACACTCTTCATGTTCGACTACAGCCAACAAAAGGTACTCGTGGTCCGAGGAGCGTCCCTGGGAACGATGTAACCCTCACACATGTCTTCTGTGGCCGTATGTGCGACACATCGGGTCACAATATGCCGCGGGTGAATTTCGAGAAGAAAACTCTTAAGGGATGCATACCGGTCTTCCTCTGTGGCCCAAGTGCAGGAGTACTCGTGTGGGAACAGTGTAACTGGAATAGTGAAATAGAGGCTATATTCGGCAATGTTTGTCTATCTTGAAATTAAAACTGAAGACTAACATCATATCATATAGATTTGAGTTTGAGCTCACAACGCTGTCTAGATCGACACTGATCGGCCATGCTGTCTTCAACGTTGGAGACTCCCTATCGAGCCGGTCTTCTATGTAAACCGACCATTACCAACACCTCAACTCGGCCGATATTCTCCAACGACCGAGCATTCTCCAACGACACAAATAGAATGAGATTATGATCTAACATTCCGTAGACTGACGAGAGCGTTGGATCATGGCGCCGAAGTCACATATTCAGACTTGAACGGTACATATCCACAGCACTCCACCCGCCTAGCCAAAAACAGCTCATGTGGAGTCATACAACTATGAAGGCTACCAGCTACTACATCCGTCAACATCCGTCTTGTCTGCAGCTGGGATGTGACATTTGTTAGCATGTCTTATTATCTTGACCATTCGACCGAAAACACCAATTGGCGGGTGAGGTAGGTCTTCATATCCAAACGGATTCTGAGCTTCTGCGCCGAACTACGCACAGCACGTATTTCCATGGGAGTGAAGGCACACAGACCTTTCGTATAATGCATCGCATGTATGCGTAAGAGTGAGTTATCAACATATAACAGGTATGGCATCACGCAAAGAACCACAGGGATAAAACACATGCATCCAGCGTTCAACGCCAAGGTGCATCCACAGTAAAATCAACAAAAGGCATGAAAATTCCCTATAATCCCATCTCTTCAAAAAAGACAGATAGGTAGATACTCCGACATCCCTCCAGCGTAGTCGCCCTATTGCATCACAATCAGCCAAGCCTACAAAGCCACGCGACGAAATCCCCAACTTCTCCATCGAGTCTCCCCGACAGTTACTCACACTGAGACTAATAAGCATCCAAATTCGACACCCTCCCTATCCTCCGCTTCATCGAAGAGATGATACTCTGTCGTCGCTGAGATCGCGTCATATTCTCCTCGGCCAGCATCATGGATATATTGGTGTGACTATCCGCCTGGTGCGCTGACCCGTCGCTCGGGGACTCGACAGAGGTGGAGGAAGAGTCTCGCTCGAAATCTCGCTGGGCGGACGAGCTGTCGAGGGGAAATGTGTCGAAGTCGAGGGTGGGGAAAGTCATTTTCTTTTTTAGTTTATCCTTCTTTTTCGCTTTTCAACCTTGTATGTCTCCAAGCGTCCGCTCTCTTCCTCTTTCTCTGAATGGATAAGAGAACAGCTCACAGAACGACCTATGAAAACTTGACTCAATAGTATAGCCGGACTCCATCCAGACCCCCGAGCCAAACCAACTATTTATGTCCCTATGCTGACAACGCTGACCGACCCCATGACGTAAGGTACATACTACCAAGAACGCAGCATGATCCACCCACCATGGAAAACCCAGCCCGCCAACCCTCGCGTCTGGAGTATAGTTAGTTAGTGTGCTTGTGAAGCATGTGTGAAGCATGCGTGCACGGTCAGCTGGTGCGGACCCTGCTGTGGTTCTCCACCTGATAGGAAAGGATCTCCATGTTGTGTGCCGGGCTTAGCTGACTTTTCTTATTCTATCGACCCTGGGAGTTGAGAAGGGTCTTGTTTGTGATACAGGGGTGGGGGGTAGACTCGTATAGACCGTGGACCCTGCTTAGAGTGTAGTACAAATATATCTAAACTTTTTTCCCGTATGAGGTGCAGTGATGCGAGAGGTTCGTAGGAAGTGTGGATTTTGACGGAGAAAGGGGGAGGATTGCTGAGCTGGCATGTCATACGAGATAAGCTGATAGGTACTACCCTCATACTTGGCGGTGACTTATGGGAGCTGAACGGTCTGGCATGTTCGTGTGGATTTCTAAAAAGTATGCAGCGCAAAATGGAGTCAAGTATGTGGTTCGAATTCTATCTCCAGCATGCAGTGCAGTGCCTCCGCCAATCGATATCGAGCCTGATATCTACACCACTCAAATTGATCCCCTGGTTTAACCTAAAATGGATACACGACAGACTCGTCAAACTCCCAGGAGGAGAGGTGAAGAGTGCAGTGTATGCCATTGGGTAGGGTCGAGTGTCTCATGTTGGTTGCAGTGTATGACAGCCTACTCGGGTCTCGACCGTTCAGTAGCAGGGCTCAGGTCAGTTACGAGATTGCATATATGCACATAGTAGATCAATAGTATTAGCAGATATTATCAAGTCTTTCGTGTAAACCACGCTCAATCACTGTCTACACACCACAATTACTCCATGTTAGTCGCGAGCTGAAATACTAGATATCCCAGCTACGCATGTTGCGCAATTCTCGATGCATCATAATATAGATCTAGCAAGCACCCTGCAGACCACGCTTGCGTCGGAGACTATACCGTCACAGTTAGCAAAACAATTAATCAAGAAATAAACTTCCAACGCCTGAAAGAGCCACTCACAGAATCCGCACAGTACGCCCCATCGCGATTAGTCAATTCGGTAAGCCCCTTCCACGGACTCTCTCGAAGAGCACGCTTACACCCTTCCAACCGCCTCGTAACCTGCTGGAAAGACTCAATCCGCTCCTCCGCCGTCTTCCGCCGCATGAGATCAAAGTGCAAGAACGCGCGCAGGAAGTACCCCCGCTGCCAGACCCACTCTGGGCCCTGGTGGTAGTTTCTCCCCTTGGAGGTCGCGAAGTCGGTCGAGTCTTCGGAGTTGTTGTAATTGGGGCGGTAGTTGAGGTCGGATGGGTCGAGGGTGGCCATGCCCATGGGTCCGCAGAGGACTTTGTCGGCGAGCGCGATGGCGTTGAGTGCTTTGGATGGGGTGAAGAGGTCGGGCGCTACTGTCATTGCGATGGGGAAGTTCGACCGCAGCTGGTAGTCTTCGTAGGGCTTGCCGGACTTGTATAGGTCTTTGTAGATCCCGCGACGGTTGATGATGCTCGGGTCGATGTCGTACTGCTGGTCTTCTTTGGGGTTGAGCGGGACGTAGTAGCAGCGTTCGAAGCTCTGCTTGATCTTGGATGCCCAGTCGCGGAGAGTAACCGACGAGCCGTCGTCGAGGTCGACTTCATCGTATGAATAGAGTCCACGTTCTTTCAAACCTGCAGCCCAGGTTAAGGCACTGTAGACAAGCCCGGTGATCTCGATAGCCGCCCCGTCGCGCGGTGTCCCGGGGACGCCCTTGTTTCCTGCTTTTTCGCTCTCGCCCATTTTATCCTGCCAGGTGCCGCAGTTGGACTGGCTTCCGCCGAAGATCAGCCCCGTTTCCCAGTCGACTCGCACGTCGATCTGGAAACCGTCGGGCTTCATCTGCACGTCTAGATCTGGTCCAGCGTTATATTCCCGGAATGAGAGACCACGGGCGTGTCGCTGGAAAACCTCTTGGATTATTTCAGCGATCGTCGAGTGCTGCGAGTAAGCTCGGGAATCATCGAACGGAAACCATGTATCATCGTAGGGGAGGAACCGGCGAGGGACCTTCTCCTTCAGAATCTCCATCCCATTGGGCGCAATCTCCGTGTAATCCTGTATACTCTGCAGAAGGAACCACACCGAGTCTCGCGAATTATAACGCGGTAGTTTCCCACTACTCAGCAGATTCGGTATCATCCCATGCTTGAGAACGCTAGCAAACGCAAGAATATGCTCCTTCGCGACATCAAACCGCCCAGTACACAGAAGCAAGCCTCGAAGCGAGATGAATACATCCCGACCCCAGCATCGCGCCCAGTCGGTGGCGAAATGCGGCAGCCCAGCCGCAAGACTGGGCACAAGTTTAGTGGGCCACAACGACGCCGACTTCACGTAGCCCGTCTGCTGCACGCTGACCATTCCCAGCTGGTGGATGAATTCCTGTCCCTCCTGGATATTGCTGCCCAGCAGATGGATGCCTCTCTTCCACGCGGCGTTGTAGCCAGCCTGGACGATGAGGGCGAAGTATCGTGGCAGGAGGAAGCTGGGTAGCTCGCGGACTGGCTGGAATCGTTCGCGGAACCATGTCGCTGGGGCGAGGAGGTTTGAGTAGCCTTCTTGCTGCGCGGCTTTTTCTAGGCGTCCTACGATGTAGTCCAGTGCCCATTGGCCTTCGCGAAGGTTGTCGCAGATCGGGTGCCCGAGTTGGTTGTACTTGACGATGTCTTCGAGGGCGCTCCACCATCCTTGTAATCCAGCGTAGACGAGAGAACCGTGGTTGGGGATGGAGTAGGTTGCGTCTTGCCCGTTGCTGGAATCTCTTTCCTCTGCCTCGCAGCGGTAGAGGGCGAAATTCAAATCAATCAGACTCAGCTTGGAGAACGCTTCGTCCGCGTCCTTGGTGATGTAGTTATCGAGTCCCACGGCATGTTCCGCAGCTGGAATGGACGTTTCAAATAGCGCGATGGACCCAGCCGTGAAGTTTTCCAACGTGGAGACAGTGCTATCGCTGCCGTTGAACTCAACCTTCGTGCCTTCGAACTCACGTACTCGACTCGGTAAGCCCCGTAGATACGATTTGTCAGCCATAACTTCTCGTTTTACCTCTTCCCGGGTATCGACTTCCAACTGCCACGCTCCCAGACTCTTGACCCGCGTTCCAACAAGATGAGTCGCTGGTAACTGATCCTTGCTGGCATGGCCCGGGAACGCCGTATGCGCTATTAAAAAGACACCCTTTCTCGTCTTCGGATCGACCCTGTGCACGGTGATGTACTCGCCATCGTGATGGATATGCGTCTCGTCATAGCCCTGGACACCCATCGTGGTATGCAAGTGATTCAAAAGCCTCTTAACGGCCCCAATCCCCCCCTCCAACGACGACGAGTCAACATCCTTATCCTCCGAAAACTGCGAGAAATACAGTCGTTTCTCATGCACGAGATCCACCAGCTGCGGATATATCTCGTCGTAACCCATGACGCTCCCAACCGCTGAAGCACACATAGCGACAAGCGCCGCGTTCGGAAGCGTGTCTATCGCGGTGCGCTTCTGCGCTGGAACCTCGTTGTCGTGCGTGCAGTCCATGAAGAGCGCCTGGACGGGGCTAGGTCGGATATGGCGGATGGTTCGCTGGCTGTCTTTTTCACCGAACGATGCGATAGCGTGGCTGCTGCCGGCAGAGGGCAAGTCGAGGTCGAAGCTCCCGATGGGGTGGCCGCCGTGGCGATGGACGAGTCGGCTCAGCTCCGCCGTGCTCCAGGCTTGCATGGCCTCTCTGATCAGCGCGTTGATGCCGAGGCGTTTGACGAAGACGTAGTCTGCTTCTTCGGAGCCGGTGAACAGCTCAGCGAAGACTGTTAGGTTGGGTCGCACCTTGCGTGCCTCGTCAAGCAGGTACTCTGCGACCACCAATGGCGTTGAATGGCAGTTGTCGATGCGGAAGCCGGAGAAGTACTTGGCCATGAGTCGGGTGTACTCTGCCATGTAGTCCCACAGGAAGGGGTTGTCGTCGCGGCTAGACCCGTATCTCAGCTTGACGCAGTCGCCCCAGACGATGACCTCGCGGCGCAGATACGCCCTCGAATCGGGGCCGGCGTTGTCGCGCATCGCGTCGGCGTTCCAGATCCATCCGTTGTTAGCCAGTGCCAGCGCCTTTTCGTTGTGCTTTTTGGTGACTGCGTTGACGGGGAGTCTTGTGAAATATGCCTCCACGAGAGGGTTTTTGTCGGTGACAGGGCCCAGCTTCGGCCCGTGGTCGTCGATCCGGAGGTATTTGATGCGGTTGAACAGTTGATCCATAATCACAGCGACATCATCATCGTACTCCTTATAGAACGGCAAGTTGACTTCGTCCAGAATCTTCGACAGCGCGTTCTCCGCCAACGAGTAATCGGAACTCGCACGGCGGAACGGACCGAACATGGCTGTCAAAATGGCGGCGCCAAATTCCTTGTCCAACGACCGCTCGAACCGTCCCAATATATTTTTCGAAGTGGGGATCCCATGCTCTCGAACCAACCTCGCTTGCTGCGCCAAGGGCCAGCTCTTGAAGCCATCGAGACCCAAGCGCGCCCACCGGCCGGTGTTCAAATCGACCGTCCCAGCCTCTCTCCAGCTATCCACTGCTTTCACAAGATCAGCCCGAACATCGATGACATAAAACTGCCACAGCTGCAACTTCTTAATAACCTGATCCTTGACGGCATTCATCACAACAACCAAGTCATCCACAGACTTGAACTCAGTCGGAAGACCTTGCGCCTGAAGATCCTTCCCAAACCGCAACAGAGCCGTATCAAGATCCAGAGCTGCCTCCAGCCACGGCGCCGTCTCAACGCTATACCCGGCCTCAGGGTGCTCCTCCAGCCATTGACTATTATGCGCGGTATGGTTCCAAACCACATCGGTCAACGACAGCAGCCCGTACTCGTTCTCCATGGTCGACACCAACTTAGCCACGTCTTCTTCACCATTAGGAAAGCAGTCCTCGTCAAACTGGAGCTGGTCAAAGATACTATAGGGGGAGTTAGACGCCCCGCGCTGCATCAATGGCGTGAAATGCACCATATTGTAATTGCGCTGGCTTATCCCCCGCAAATGCTTATCCCAGTCTGTCGGATACCGCCCCATAAATTTCGATATCACCGAGAAGATCGACAGCGCGTTGAGAGGCAGATCGCGACCGCGGACTGTCAGCCGCGGCGACACATCGATGTAGTGCACGGGCGTCCGCTTCGGCTCTTCCGCCGCAACCGCGGAGACTGAGAACGCAGGCAGCGGTGCATATGTAGTGTAGAACGCGAAGCACCCGGGACGGGTGATGGGGACATCGATCTGGATGTTCTTGTTGAAATCGGGCTGTAATCTACGGGCTGTCTCAGCGAGGTGTACTGGGGGTGGGGGAGCAGCTCTTGAATTCAAGAGTAGACAATGCAATTCCTTACGTGAATCTTCGAAACGCCGTCCGATCGAACTCTTTGCCCTCCTCTGGGAGGTTAACCCATAGCGCCCCATCTCTGCAGATCGAGCTGCTTCCCTCGATCACGAATCGCAGCGTGTACGGCGGGGTTGTCGGGGGAGGGAGATAAATGTATCCCCCCGGGACGTCGGGAGAGCCATCATCTTTCAATGGCAAGAGATAAATCTGCTGCGAGGACATTGTGACTGTTGTAGCCCAACAGATTTGGAATTGTGATTGTAATTGTGGTGGTGGTGGTCTCTGAGAGCTCCTCCTAGCTAGAGGTGAGGTGGTGTTTAAATCTCACCACTGCGATGCAAGACAGCGAACTCCCCTAGAAACTCCCTCCCTAAAAGATAGCAAATCCGACAAAAAGCTAGGGTAGCGAACTAATAAGAGGGGGCTAGCAAAGAGGGGCAAACCAAGGCAGTCGAGCGTGAAATGCAGGTTTTTGGCCGCTTTTGTTGTTCCTGGGCGAAACCCCGCGGAGGGTCTGACATCATATAAGACTTGCATGATCCATCTCGGTCTCGAACTGTCTCTAAGCGCTCTAGTATCCGCACGGACCGCAGAGGCAAAATGGCTTGAACTGGTTGGGCCCTCAACCAACGGAGTATGGTTGAAAATGACACGGTTGAGATATAAATAGTGAAATAAATAGTGAATAGAAAGATAGATTGATATGGTAACTCTATGGATATATATAATCGACAAAAAACAAAGCAAAAGGCACCGGTCTATCTGCGAAACGGAAAAGAAAAAAAAACACCCGGCTTTATCATGCGGCACACATCCCAGATGGCCCCAATTTTAGAACGATGAACGGAAGCGAGATCGTAAAATACCATGACAACTGTCACGGCAGGAAAACATCAACTTATGCATGTCAGCCCTTAGAGCTTGGAGAGCACGGCATGGCTGGAACCACCACCGGCGGTCGTTCCGTTGGCGCTATCACCCGCACTGCACGTGGGTTTGCTGTTCGAAACGAGGATTAGCGTCTGGTCCTGTTGTTTGAAAAAGACGGTGTAAAGAAAAGGGCTATTTACCGCTCAATGTAAGAAGGAATGTCCTCGACTGCCATGGAGCCTTGAAGGACGCCTGGATGCGAGTTAGCAAATTTTAAACGGGAGAGAATGGTGGGGTAACGTACGGTAAACCGCAGTGAGCAGAGGGAACTCCTCCTCGGAGCCCTGTCTCTTCAGGAAGCTGTTGACTTCGATGGCAGTCAGAGTGCCCTGCAAGCTCTGGCCGTTGAGCTCGGTCTCCTCGACCTTGGAGATGGGCTGCTTGCGCTCAATGCTAAGCTTGGCGCAGCGGAAGTTGCGGCCCGCCGCGCAGCTGGTAATCATGTCGGCCACGCCGGCACTCTCCTCGGTGAAGGTCCGGGTGTTGATCGTGTTACCGAAGAACATCTCACCGAACTTGACCATCTCCAGCAGACCGACCCGCATGATGGCAGCCTTGGCGTTATCGCCCCAGCCCATGCCTTCGACCCAGCCGGCGGCGAGCGCGACGACGTTCTTCAGGGCACCGCCCAGAGAGACGCCGGCCACGTCGTGCACCACGCGGATGTGGAAGTAGGGGCGGTGGAAGAGAAGCTTGAGGGTGTTGTGATCAATGGGGGGGTAGTCGGAGGGAAGAGCCTGCAGCTTGGTCTTGGACATCTGGCCCGAGACATCGCGGTGCTCGAACTCGGCCAAATCGGTGGTCGAGGCGGAGGGAGTGCCGGTCGGGGAGGGCCCCTTGGAGGGAGCCTTGGAATCCAGGTGGGGGGGATCGTAGGCAATGCTGGACTCGGACCACTTCTCCCGGGCGACCTCGTTGGCGATGTTGGCACCGGAGAGAGCACCGCAGTAGATGCCCAGGATGTTGCCAATGGTCTCGGAGAAGAGGCTGATGCCCGACTCCCTCACATCGACACCCTTGATGCAGGAGATACCACGAGCATAGGGCAGGATCTTGCCCTTGATCTGTTCACAGGTCCGGATGATGAACTGATGGGGCAGGTTGAAGACCAAGATGGTGCTGTCCTTGACAGCATCGACCACGGAGGGGTTGGCGTGCAGGTTGGAGGGAAGAGCAACACCCGACAGGTACTTGACGTTCTCATGGGTTTGGTTGATGATGTCGGTCAGGTTCTGGGGGCCCTGGCAGAGAGGCGACGAGGGGTTGTAGTGGCGGGAGTTCTTGGGGATCTCGACCTTCTCCTCGTGCACCCACATCTGGACATCCTTCTCGAAGACGGAATCATTGCTAGCCGCACATTCGGCGACGATCTTGGCGATAGCGGTACCCCTAAATATTATTAGCATAGCTCGACAGATAACATCCTCGTTGCTTTATTGCTTACCAGTTGCCGGAGCCCACCACGGTCACCTTGTGCTTGCGCTGGTAGGGAGAGAGAGAAGCCATGATGTCGTTTATGCTGTGAGAGAATTGAGATGGAGGTAGTAAAGTCGATCGAAAGGAGGAAGTTGAAAAAGGTTGAAGTGGATGGGGACCCCGGGCTTTTAAAGTGCCTGAAGGGATTGGCCGCCACCAAGGGAGAGTTGGGATAGAACGAACGAATGGGAGGGCTGGAAAGACGGGGAACCGAGGTCGAGCTGCAGATACGCTGAGGCGAGGAAGGCAAGTCCGGCGAGAGAACGACATCCACAGCGGTTTCCCTACAAATGGGGATGGCAAACCTGTTAGCAGAATTCGGCCGTATCACACTGATGCAATTTGGAACCAAAAAAGAGTGGATTCGATACCCGTGAATGTGGACCTCCTGCTTGTCCCGAGGGGAGAGACTAAACCCGATAGAAGAGATTCCGGTGAGAGAAATGGCGATCCGGTTGCCGGTCTCAGGCAAGGAGGGCGGTTTGACGGGAAAGTGTCCAGTACGTCACTGCGGATTGAGGTTGGGGTAAAAACCGTAGGATAAATAAAATTAAATGGAGATCGAATGCTCGTGGAGTCTCACTAAGGAGAACTAGGATGAGAGCAGTCCGATGTCTCCATATGATTACTGATACAATATCCAGTTCAACCAGATTCCTACTCTCGAATTGATTCCATCAAATAAGATAGAGCAAAAAAGGAATCAAATAGGAATCTAAATAGGTGCAAACTCGGCGTCTACACTGTCATACTAGAAGAGGAATAGAATTGAGAGAAACCTGGTTCCAACGAGGCAAACGGCATAATTCGCCATCAAACAAGAAGCATAAAATTTATAAAATATCAAAAAAAAATAAAAAGAAATTCAGATCAAATAAAATCATTAATAAAAAAATCAATAAAAAAGAAAATGAAAATTAAAATGAAAAAAAGACGCAAAAGACGGCAGAAAGGTGGAGCATCATGTGGGCGGTGAGGGGTTACCCCCAGAAACAGCAACCGCCCGTCCCAATCGGGCTTAGTGGCGAAGAAAACCCCTCGGAAGCCGCCACGCAAAATTATCGTGGTTCACCCGAACTTCTCGTCGATCTGCTCGCCTTTTTGCTCTTTTTTCCCGACGGCTCGTGGATACCGCCGTCTCTACCCTGTGCACACGACGGTACTACCTGAGGTGCTTGCGCTGACTGAACTCGGTGATCGATCTCAGCATGGTAAGTCAAGCGCTGGCTCCCGTCCCACCCCGGGTAATTTCCTCTTCGACTGACCTGCTTCTTCTCCCGGCGCAATGTCAAAGGCCCCTGTTAGTTCTCTCAAGAAGAAGCAGTCCAAGGTGTCGAGTGCTGGGAAAGGTGCCCTGCCGTCCACCAGGTCGACCAGCTTTGATCAGAATGATGCGCGCGGGTCGAAGAAGGATAGGCGGGCGATGAAGCACTCCAGCTTCGTCACCAAGATTGAGAAGAACTCGCAAAAGTCGTCCAAGCGTCGACGGGCCTCCAACAAACTGGCCGCCAATCTGGAGTCGCTGGCCGATGCGCTCCCAGACACAGAAACGGACCTCCACGACCCCGACAGCCAAGTGAACATCATCAAACAGAAGACCCTGAGGCACAAGCCCGGAGCCATGAAGCGCCGGGAACGACTGGAGAAGTTGGAGCGAGATCGATTTGCGAAGAACATGGCGCAGATGTCTGGCATGCAGGCATCATCATCATCGGCTCCGCCATCCAGCGCAGCGCCGGAGAATGATTCCGGTGCGACCTCGAACCGATGGGCTGCGTTGCGGGGATTCATCTCGCAAACAATGGAGCAACAACCGGCGTTCCGAGGAAACAAGTGAACTTGGGACGTTGGGAGTGTATTACCCCATTCCCCTTGATAGTTTATGATTAGCATCTAGACTACGTGTATCCTGAAGACAAACACCCTGGAGGTGTGGATTCAGGCGTACGAACAACCAGCACTTACACCGTAGACAGTTGGATTGGGTTGAGCATCTACTTTGGGTTCCGGGGTGTATACGTCCGTTCTCTTTGGAGGTATACGTCCCCGGAGATGGAGGGATGGCAGGTCATTCCTCCAAAATGCAGTATGATCTCCTGGGATACCTGCTACCAATCCATACTCGGCACCTAACCGGCGGGGTTAACACTGTTCATGCCCCCACATTCAGAACAAATGCACCAGCTACAAGAGTCATGTTTCTTTTAGCTAATACCAAGTCAAAATCGACCCCTCGCCTAACCTGCACATTTTACCCACGCCCGGGGTCTCCAGATTAACTCCCCGGTTACCCCATCGGGCCCTAGTGTTCGTAGGGCACATATTCCCTGACCGTCCAGGCCCATCTCAGGTCCGAGCAAATGGAGATCCCTACATCTAAACTCATTTCGGCGCTTCCGTCGGAGAGATGGTTTCAAACCGCCCCATGACGTAGTCTTTCTGCAAGTTTAACCGCTAGTCCATATTGCCAAGTGCCTCTTGGTCAGAGCTTGTGTCAACATAACTGTTTCTCCCCGCTTGGCAAATGCAGAAGGTTAGTAGAGAGAAGGTTCGGTTCTGCAGCCTTTTAGCTAATGGCATATGCGTTGCTGGCGATCTAGCCGCTCTGGCCTGCCGCCATGAGGTCACCGAACTTGAAAGTGTGATTGAATTGTTCTGCAAACCCTCAGATGAGACATTTTTCCTGGCTCCGTTATTGGCCGTTACAGCCTCTGTGGACAATTGAGGTGGGGGGAGCTGAGTAGTCCGGCAATTCCCCTTTTAGTTGCGAGCCAAGGTTAAGTCTCCGGGTCTCTGGCGCCTTGCATCAAGCCACCTGCCGGTTGCTGTCATTGTAAAAGCTCTGATTTCTCTCGGATTGCTGTTCTGGTGGAGGTTGGACCGGTTGTATTACGTTCATATTACACTGTGGATCCTGATGTCCGGTCTGGATCACTCGAACCAAAGAAAAGATTCAACAATTTAACCGGTTTTCTTACCCGGTTTCATACTCCGGAGTATATCAGAGAGATCCAGAATTTGATGATCTTCGATGATGTTAAGCGGTGAAAGAAGAAGAATAACGAAGAGTATATTCCTCGCCTCGTTAGAGTCCCAGTGTTCGCATATCACCACTAAAAGCCTGTTTTGACAAGCACGGGCCATTCCTACGGCCATCTTTGCGATCCGAGCTCTCACTCTATCACGCGCATTGACTATCCCATTTCATGGAACGAGGGCAACTCGTCAGTTAGAATGCAATGTTGATATCAGTGCGCTGAACACATGCTTCACTTCGCATATCGTGTCCCTAGAGGACAGACGACTCCCGAGATCAGCCATGCTACGGAGACTTGAAAGACACCCTGACTGATGTGTCTTTGAGTTGGCATTCTTCTTATGCAGCTTCTTGCCGGCCGAATAACCAGGACACCATTCTACCTAAACAGGAGATGCCGAACGAAAGGCTTCAGATCGAGGCGGACATGGCTACGTCTGCTCATTGGACAGGATCTGCCTTGCAAAAGCACACATATGACATCTCCTCATCCCCAGCATAAATGAGCATGCAAGGCATGGCGTTGTCGATGTCCAGGATGGTGTGTGTATTTGGCGGTGTCGGATCAATGTGAACCGATGTCTCCCAAATATATACCAGTATGGGTTCCTTCTTGGCATCATGGAATGCGAACCAGCAGTGCTTTCAATCGTAAAGCCATAGAATCATGACCATCATGAGATCCATAGAAGATAGAGTATCACGGTGGAAGAATACGTACAATGTGGAAGTCAAACGGATAGCGCCGGCTGACGGGGTCCTCACGTGCTGCGGGGAAAGCTGATTGATCCGCCATCTTATCTCTCTCTCTCGGCGTCATCGTCGTCTCCAACTCTCTCCGCCATCAGCCCACTTGCCCTGCCCCTTTCCCCCCCCAACGTCATCAAGATCATTGTAGGAAACTTACTTTAAACTCCTTTTTGATTTCTCTTTTGATCCTGACCCGTCCACTGCATGGTCATGCTACGACTGCCTCTATGGCGCCAGTCGCCGCTCCGAGCGCACCGCTTCCCTGTGGTCCGTTATCGGCGAACTCCCAGCTCACCCGCTCCAGCACGCCCCAGCCATCGCCTCCTGTCTTCCACATCAGCATCTTTCCCTACTCTCTCGCAGTTTAATCGGTCGGATTTTACGGGCCAGCCGTGGTCGGGAAATTATGAAGCAGGGCTCCCAACTGCAGGACCCCTGGGGTCGACTCCGGCTTTCGGAGCGCCGCGCATCACGCCTAAAACGTTGAAGCAGTACCTCGATCAGTTTGTGGTCGGACAGGACCGTGCGAAGAAGATCCTTAGTGTTGCTGTGTTCAATCATTACCAGCGGGTTCAGGAACTGCAACGGCGCGCGGAAGAGAATGCAGAGCTGTTGGCGAAACGGACCCGGAGAGAAGCCATTGAGCACCATCCGCTCGAAGGTAGGACTTTGCACCAGCAGTTCACACAGTGACCCCAAGGAACAATTAAACCCTTATCAAACATTGACTAATACGGAGTAGATGACTTCCCCGGTCAACAGAAAACTCCCTCCATCACCCCTCAGTCGAGTCGGCCGCCACCTTCGGAGCAGCCCGAACTCAACGACACGCCCGCGTTGGAGTTGGAGAAATCCAACATCCTTCTCCTCGGCCCGTCTGGAGTGGGTAAGACGCTCATGGCGAAGACGCTAGCAAGGGTCCTGTCTGTCCCCTTCAGCATCTCCGACTGCACTGCGCTCACCCAAGCGGGCTATATCGGGGAGGATGCTGAGGTGTGCGTTCACCGACTCCTGGCTGCTGCGAACTATGACGTCGAGCAGGCCGAGCGCGGCATCATCGTTCTCGATGAGATGGACAAAATCGCAGCGGCCAAGGTCAGCCACGGAAAAGATGTCAGCGGAGAAGGCGTGCAACAGGCGCTTCTCAAGATCATCGAAGGTACAACAGTGCAGGTGCAGGCGAAACAAGAGAAGAACGCCCCTCGTGCAGGTAGCGCACCCAACAGTTACCCGTCCAACAGCCCCTTAGGCAACCCACCATTCTCCCCACCCAACGGCGGCAACACGCCCCAGAAGGGCGAGGTCTACAACGTCCGCACGGATAACATCCTGTTCGTCTTCTCCGGCGCATTCGTCGGCCTCCACAAAGTCATCATGGACCGCATCTCGCGCGGGTCCATCGGATTCGGCCAGCCCGTCCGCTCGCAGTCCACCGCCAACGAGCGATCCGGAGACTCAGGCGCCTCAAACAATCAACCGATCCCTATCGTCCCGGGATCCGATGAAGAAGCCCTATACAAGAAACACCTCCCATTCTTCAACCCCACGACGCCGCAGACCCCAGACAGCGAACCCGTATACTTCAACGCACTCGACCTCCTCAACCCCACCGACCTCCAAAGCTACGGCTTCATCCCTGAGCTCGTCGGTCGCGTCCCCGTCACAGCCGCGCTATCCACCCTCGCCCAGCCCCTCCTCGTCCGCATCCTCACCGAACCCCGCAACTCGCTCCTCGCCCAATACACAACCCTCTTCTCCCTCTCCGGCATCGAACTCCGCTTCACAACCCCGGCCCTGCACAAAATCGCCGCAAACGCCTTCACAATGGGCACCGGCGCCCGCGCCCTCCGCACAGAAATGGAAGCCATCCTCAGCGACGCAATGTTCGAAACCCCAGGCTCAAGCGTCAAGTTCGTCCTCGTCACAGAGAACGTCGCCGCGCGCGGCGAGAAACCCATCTATCTCGCCCGCGGCCAGGGCGGCAAATTCCACTCAACGATCGCGGCCGAGGAGAGCCAGTGGGAGGATAAAGTGCGCCGCGAGAAGAACAAGGAGAGGAAGAAGAAGGGTGATGATGCACCGGCTAATGCCAGCGATCGGGATGATTCTTCGGACTTTCATGATTATCGCTCGCGAGCGGCCGGTTCTTAGCGTCGACACCCTCTTCGAGCTGCTCTCTATTTTTCACTCACTGCAGCATCTCTTTTTCATTCCCAGGAAGGCACACGCACATATCCAAGTTTATACCAAAATGAGCGCGTTTCCTCTTCTTGTATTGTGACTACCAGTCGCTTATCGTACGGCGTTTCTTGGAACTTCTGCATGTTCATTTCATTCCCGCGTCTCGTCTTTACGATGCTCGGTTTATTATGGATAACATGAATTGCGGGCAATTATTTCAATTTCATTACATGAAATGCATTCATCCACCTTCATTTCTCATTTCTCATTTCTCATTTCTCTTTCTCTCTAGTGAAATCCCCCAATACACGTACATGTGTGGGCGTGCGTGCACTGCCTAATAAACAAGGGGAGAAAAAAATTTTAAAAACAAAAGGAAGAAGAAGAAGAAAGGTACTTTGCATACGTGATATCGTAGCGGTGGGGATCGACCGACTAGTTTGGTTTAATCACCCATAAAAAGCCTTCTCCCCTGCACGAAGACCGCAGAAAAGAACAGAACAGTCGTAGTTAATAGAACAGTCGTAGTAAATCACCTGTATGCCTGCGGATACTGAGGCCGCGAGGGATTCTGCGGATGTCGCCTATCCCGATCCCGATCCCCTCCCTGATCACCTCCCTCGCGCGATCTCCAACTATGGCTGCCACCAGGTCTGGGAGTCTGCGGCGTCGTGGGCGTGCGCTGCGTGGAGCGAGAGTCAGTCGATGACGAAGGCGGTGGTCCGCTCTTTCCCTTGATGATCCAGTCGTATCTCTGATAGTCGATACTAAAGGCGGTCATGAAGGCCTTGGAGCCGTGTTTGACGTCTACGTGCTGCCAGGCGCTCCAGCGCTCGGGAGGGCGCAGATATGTGACTATGTGGAAGTGGCGGAAGACGTGCGAGTTGACGAGGGCCCAGCCGGCGAAGAATTCAGCCAGGTGGTCCGTGTTGCGGTGCTCCTGGGACAGGCCCTTCGGGATGTCTGGGCTGTCGTCTTCGCTGCGGGAGCCGTAGTTTGGGAGGAAGGGGGGCGAGATGACTTTGCTTTCGTGGTATTCGTCGCTGTCGCCGGCGAGGATTTCGGCGTCGAGCTCCCGTTGGCTGGAGGTGTAGCTGAGTTGGAGGATGTAGTGACACATAGCTATCCACCTGAGAGGGAATTGGGTGAGTATTTTTTTTTTTTTTTTTTTTTTTT